ATTGGTATCGCAGGTGCTGCCAACGTCATGAACGCCGTAATCTTAATCTCCCTATTATCTGCTGCCAACTCTTCCATCTACGCTGCATCTCGAACCCTCATGGGTATGGCAGAGTCAGGTCTGGTATGTATACGTAAATAAAGTTCTAAAAACGCAAAATTGACTTGGAAAATTGATTTATGTCTCTTCACTCAACAAACAGGCACCCAAAATCTTCGGTTTAGTAGACAAGCGTGGTGTCCCATGGGTCTCCCTTGCCATCTCCGTCCTTATCGCCTGTATCTCGTTCTTGGGTACCGTCTTTGGTAATGGTATTGTGTTTGCATACCTCGTCAACATCTTGGGTATTGCTTCTCTCTTGACCTGGATTACCATCTGTATTACCCACTTGCGTTTCCGTGCTGCATACAAGGCACAAGGATTCCAGCTTGCTGATTTGCCTTTCAGGACTGTGACGTACCCTATGAATGACAGTAAGTTGTTGGCACCAAAAGAACGCAGCAGTTTTGCTTTAGGATTGCATTCGATCCTCGATCCTACAACCGCAATTTGTTAAAAATGGTGGAAAATCGCAACCAACATGTTCCTTCCATTAGTCTTCGCCATTGTCATTGGTTTCTTGATCATTGCTGCCCTTATCTACGCAGCTGTTACATCACCATTCGTAGACCCATACACCTACTACGACTCTTCCCTTTACGGTATGTCGTTGTGTTGTGGACTAGTCTTCAAACCGCACTCAGATGGAGAAGAAAGAAACTGATTGTGTTCCTTCAACGAATAGTCGGAATTCCTCTATTTGCCATCCTGTACATTGGCCACAAGCTCATTACCCGTTCACCTGTAAACATCTCATACAAGTACCCATTATTCTGGCTCATGTAACTAACACCACTCACTTCACTAGTTGGTCCCACTCATGGAGGTCGACTTGGTTTCAGACAGATTCGTTGACGAAGTATCTGAATCAAACTGGTCTACACCAACCAAGATTATTGAGCTTATCGCGTAGATTCTCCTCTTTCTCTCGGAACTCGTTTTTACTACTAATGACTGTTTTGGTGTGTATTATAATATTGTTGCTGGCTTGAGAAATACACCTCCTCTTAATACTGAAAATTGAAATGGGGATTTGTGAGCGTTGTTTGCTATTGGATTGTGTGAAGGTTCTTCGTATTAGCGTTTTGACCAAAATTGTGGCCGATAAAACATTGCGATCGGCCTTCAATGAAGAATCCAAACGTATCATAACGTGTTTGAAAAGGAATCTATTTACCGACTACTGCGATTACTGGTTTCAAACACGTTCAAACGCAACTCGAATTCGTTGTGTGAGAAGTCCAAGCCACACCACCATTTGCAAAAACAAAAACATTGCGAAAGCAGAGGAACCAGCTAAACTCTACTAATAAACAGGATACGCAGACATGTCCCAGGATCTGGTTTGGATGCTAATTCGCACCAACAATGCCTTTCTAGTTAAAAGGAATGGCGTAACAATGTCTCGTGAACCAGGAAACTTGTTGGCTGCTCATTCATTCAAGTACTCAGGAATCGCAAACACCAAGGTACTATATTATATATATTGCAGAATGTGGAGACTGGATGTCGCAGATGGGAGCTTTGGTGGTGGATGTTTGAGATAGGACAAGATTCATTAGGCTGCAAATATGAAAAACTCAGAGCAGAGGAGAGGAGACGCTGCTTCTACCAACAGATAATGAAACGCCTTGCACAAGCTTCTAGAACAAGTTATCATGCCCGAGTCTACACCTTTATCTAACCCACATCTTTCAACAGACAATCGACATCACAGCACCAACAACCAAAGGTGCCAAGAAGGGCGTCACAGTTACCAAATCTTCATCAAAGAAGAGTGGCAAGAAAGTCACCACTACCGTATCTCGACCTCCTCGTTCGGGCCTCAAGGCTGTACGATCGTTGGTAAAGAGCTACCGTCCTGATTTGACCAAGGTAGATTGTTAGAGGTTGATATTATGGTTTGCGAATTATTTGGTATTGATTTTTGGTTTTTTAGGCTGCTGTGGCCCGTGCTTCTCGAGTTTTCGAATCTCAAAGAACTGTCAAGGTAAAATGGGGCAAAAAAGTCTATCGGAAAAGGATACATATTGACCAATTTCTTTCATCGTAGGCATCAAAGGCAAAACCAGCTCGTGCCTCTCGAAAGATCAAGGCATAAAAGCACAGCTACTTTGTAATCGCCAAACTGTAAAGATTCTTTAAAAAAACACGCTACACCATCTCTAAAATGATTTGTGGATGAGGCTGTCTGTTCTTCTATTTTGGTAAAACCGCCTATTTTCTCTACAAAAAAAGGTCCCCGTCTCTCGCTACCCTTACTTTTACAATACGGCTTCTTTACCATCAGTCAAGATAGTGTAGGCTTCCAAATACTTGACCAGAGTTCCTTGAACCACAGAGTCAGGCAATTCAATTCCCTTTGATTTGTCAAAGTTGATCGAGTTTAGGTAGTCACGGACGAATTGCTTGTCAAAGCTACAGAGCAAAAAAGCGTTATCGAACTAAGGACGCAAATCATTGTGATTTCCAAAGAAAACGGTAGCTTACCTTGGTTGAGACTTGCCAGGTTCATATTGGTCTGCTGGCCAATACCTTGATGAATCTATTTTCAATAATTGCATTAGCAATCAGGAACGGCGAGTCTTTCAACAAATTGTGGTTACCTGGAGTCAATACCTCATCAGCCAATACAACAGTACCGCTTTCATCCAGACCAAATTCGAACTTGGTATCAGCGAGAATGATGCCCTTGGTTTTGGCATAGTCACGAGCCTAGCAATGTGAGAGCCTTGAGTTTAGGTGTCCCTTTGAATGTAGTGACGACTCTTCTTTACCTTTGAGTATATAGCAACAGCTAGAGTGGCGACCTTCTTGGCATAGTCGGCACCAATGATATCATTAACTAATGAAAGTGTGTTCAGATTTGGCGAATCAAAGCTCTTTCAAAGCGAACTCACGCTTGTCAGGATGTATGTTTTCATCTATGTACGAATGAGTTAGCATGCGATAACAAGGTGACAAAGGGAATACAGAGTCTACCATGGTCTCCAAGCTCAGCCTTTGTACTAGGAGTGAATAGAGGAGTAGGCATGATGTCACATTCCTTCATTCCAGCAGGCAATGGGATGTCACAGACAGTTCCCTTCTTTTGGTATTCAATCCAACCGGAACCTTGTTGAATAGTGGAAAATGAGCGGGGGTTCATCCTGGTCCTACATTCCATCAGTCATAAAATTTTGGTTGCCTACCAGCGATATAACCACGAACAATAGCCTCTACAGGCAAAATCTTGAGTTTCTTGACGAGCATGGAGCGGCCTTCTAGCTGGTCCTTGTATTTGCGTACAGACTCTGGCATCTCATCGACATGCCAGGTTATAACGTGGTTTGGAGCGACATCCTTCAAGTAGTCAAACCAGAATGCGCTCATTTGAGTCAAGATCTTGCCCTTTCCTGGAATGCCCTGTGTGAGAATACAGATATGAGATAGTAAGAAAATTGTATTGTAATGTCTGTTTTGTTAATAGCCTCTGGGTGCATCAGGCCTACACACATTTTTCATGATAACATCAAAGGCAGATAACCGGTCTGTGGCAACAAACAGCAATGATTTGTCGTCGACTTCGTAGATATCGCGGACTTTGCCGCGAGCAAGCAACTTTAGGCCATCAATCTGTGTTTCTAGAAGGGCTGTCATGGCTGTCTGTGTTTGAAATTTTTGAAGCTCCTACTAAAAAGATTTTGACATTTGGAAGCAAGGAAACTTTTTTTGTGGAACTACCGCTCAATCATTGATGACGTTGAAGAATGCTTTATTTGGTTATTGACGCGTCGACAACGGGCTTTTGTCAAGATCTGAGTACTGTACCTTGAAACATCGGGAGGCCATACAAGATTCAAACGCAAGCAAATCTTCAGCCTAGAAAGATCAAGTACAAAGGAGATCAGAGGAATGTGGAGAGTGGAGAATCCTGCTTGTTGAATTTGAAAGACTCTACTATGCGCCTCAAAGCATCCTGATCATATGGTTTCCGTTTGGCCGTAGTTGATTGGTGCATGATTTTAGAAAATCACAAGAAAACCCAACCCTCACGCCCAAAATCATTTTTCTTCACGACCACTTTCACAAACACCACGCACACCCGTTTCAGAGTAGAACAAGGCATCCAAAGAGGACCAGCTCCCAAACACTCGCTACCACCACTATATTATCACTGTCTTCGCTCCATTCTAGCGAAGGATTTATGAAGGAAACTCAATACTCAATCCCTATAAACGCCGAGTTCGGAAACCAAAACAATAGTAGTAATTATAAGCATGAATTCCAACGAAAATACTCTCTCAAGAGTGGTATCGACCGCCCTTCTCTCCACACTCTGTCTACCTCTCCAAGGGGATCATTCTATGAAATCAAACAACTGCCATCTGCATTGTCTTCAGCTGCCACCTGTGCCTCCCCCTTTCCTATCCAGAATGATTCTATAGGATCGCTCATGAGGAAGACCGTCGCTTCCGCTGCTTTGTCTCGTAATGATGAACTGGAAGACTCGGAAAACTCCTTCTTTATTGCTGACCTTGGATGTATTCAACGTCAGTACTTCCAATGGAAGACTATGCTCCCTCGTGTAGAGCCATTCTATGGTGAGTATTTGATTTACATTATTTTTGCAGTTATTGCAATGGATCGGTCTTTGATTTTTTTGGCACCTGTGGCTTGATGAAGAAGAAAAAATCCCAAACACGTCATATGACGTTCTCAATTGCATTGAAAAGACGACGAATAAATCAAATTCCATGATTTATTGATATATCATGTCTCTATACCATGTTGATTTGACACTAACCATCTTCCCTCCTCTCTATAATTTCCCCATTATTCAGCCGTCAAATGCAACCCTGACCCTACCATCGTAAAGACATTGGCTTCAGTAGGTGCCAACTTTGACTGTGCTAGCAAGGCTGAAATCCAAACCGTCTTGGATATGGGTGTCGATCCATCTCGCATCATATACGCCAACCCCTGTAAACAACTCTCCTACATCAAATGGGCCGCAACGCGAAATGTCAACATGGTGACATTTGATAATGCAGATGAACTAGTTAAAATTAAAGCTGCTCATCCTCATTGTAAAGTTGTATTACGTATCTTGGCTGATGACTCGCACTCAGTTTGTAAATTTGGTGTCAAGTTTGGTGCTTCGCAAGAAGTCGTACCTCTCTTGCTCCAAACGGCTCGGGACTTGGACTTGGACTTGGTTGGTGTATCCTTCCATGTTGGATCGGGCTGTGGAAGTGCTACCGCCTTCAGTGACGCCGTCGCCTTGGCTAGAAGCGTCTTTGATGTTGCTGAGAATTATGGATTTAATCTCTCTATTCTCGACAGTAAGTTTTCATGTTGAATTTGCTTTGTGCTTTGTACATCAGATGAGAAGAGCAGCTTTCTGCCTTATCATCCATAGCAGTATTGTAGGGGGCTTTTTTTGGTCATCAATGCAGTTTCTCACCAGCTTCAACTTCACTTATTACTAGTTGGTGGTGGTTTCCCCGGTCGTGTCACTGACGGAGTGACCTTCCCTGAAATCGCAACGGTCTTGCGTCCAGCTCTAGACACTTACTTCCCTGCTGAAATGGGTGTCCGTATTATTGCTGAACCAGGTCGTTACTTTGTATCGTCTGCCTACACTCTCGCTGTAAATATTGTAGCTCGTCGTGTAGTCCAGCACCAGGTCATCGCTCCTGCCTCGGATTCGTTTGCCGTACCAAACACGGACGGTATGTTGGTTGATGAAAATGTCAACCCAAATGTCACTGTTGATGAACATCCTACATTTATGTGTAAGTTTGATTGCATACTCACTATGGATTTGGATGCTTTTTTTGCGAATATGCACCAACACCTTCGGTTCATTCATCTAGATTATGTCAACGACGGCATGTATGGAAGCTTTAACTGCTTGACCTTTGACCATGCAGTGGTTACTCCTCGCGTCTTGTCCAAGAATGGTGTCTATCTCTACGACGCTACTCCCAAGGAAGAAGTCTATGGCTGCAGTATCTGGGGTCCTACTTGTGATTCCATTGACTGCATTAGCAAGAGCTCCTTCTTGCCTCAACTTGATATTGGTGACTGGCTCTACTTTGAAAACATGGGAGCATATACTTGTACTGCTGCATCTACCTTGTGAGTTGAACTTTATGTTGTTTTGGGTTGTGTTTGTCGGTTTTTTTTGTGGTCCGTCAACTTACTCGGTTTTCGTTTTTCTAGCAATGGATTCGCCAAGAGTCGCATCATTTACACCAACACAGAACTATAGCTTTATAAATGAAGAGGAGCATATGGGGGAGATCAAAAGGAGTGAAACATATATATAAATTCAAATAAAAACACAAAAAGAGGCCTAGTCGTCAAAGGCCAAAACAAAAAACTTGAATCATGTTTTGCGAATGGGTTTGAATCGCGTTCTCGCGGCTCTCAGAAGAATCATAGCGCGTCTCGGCAGTGCCTTCAACTCCATCATCACCAATTTTTTTCTTGTTGACGAGTTGTGCAGCTGAGGACCTACGAATGAGTGGACCTTCACATTCCTGAACTTGGAATCCCGCTCCCTAATCGCCTAATCTTCTCATTCTCTGGATTTGCTTGCCTCTCCCTCAAAAAAATTGACAATTCGAACTTTTTCGCACTTAAGAAGACTTGAGGGCATCCCCATCATCTACCTCGAGTTAAAAATACTTTTGATCTTTTAATTGGCACCGTATGTCGCAGCTGGCACCAGCATATCGAGCCCAACTGGCTTCACAGTCATCAACATCTGAACAGCAGAAATCTCAAAAGCAGCTGCAGCCGGCTGTTCCTTCGTATGTCCATTTCTTGGCTGGAGGGTAAGCGATCGTGGTATTTGGACTGCTTCAGATCATCAATTCGGTTGCTCAATCGTGCCTTTTTGTGTTGATAGGATTGGAGGAACAGGTACAAATTGATACAGTGTGATGATGTTTGGTCAGCACAAGACTCTGACGTTATTATTTGATAGTTGGAGCTGCTGTGACATGTCCGTTAGAGGTAGTCAAGACGCGATTACAGGTAGGATGCCCCAAAAAAGTCCAAGTTCATTCTCAAGAATGCTGATCAACTTCACTACGCTAGTCATCATTATACCATAGTCCGCAAGACCAAATACAGCATAGAAACCCATTACGGGCTGTATGGGGTCATGTTAGAGGTGTCGTGTCTATACTAGTGTATGTCGTGCACCTAATTTGCGGATGGGATGTAAAAAGTTGACACGTATTTCATCAAACTCAGGCAAATACAACAAAAGGAAGGAGTGAGGGCGCTTTTCAAGGGGTTGGGACCGAATCTTATTGGTGTCGTGCCAGCTAGGTGAATACATGCCGCTGATACATCCATTGCTTTTGATTAATTTTTTTTGCTGAATTCGCAACATACAAATTCATGACAGAGCCATATATTTCGGTGTATACAATCACGGAAAGGCCTTTTATACCCAACTCAATAAAGGACATGAGACGTCCATTGTACACATGTCGTCCGCTATAACGGCTGGAACGGTTGTTGCTACTGTGACTAGTCCTATATGGCTTGTGAAAACTAGAATGGTATCGTACAACAGTACCGCATTTTTTTATCGTTTCTGATTTTTGGGTTTTCGTAGCAACTGCAATCAGAAGTAGGCCATTTGGAAGGTGGACCAAGATACCGAAATAGTTTCCATTGTTTTTATGTAGTTGTTAGGAATGAGGGGATACGAGGACTGTATAAAGGGTTGACTGCTAGTTACCTCGGTATGTTTTGTTCATTGGATTGAAACTTCATCGACTGAGATTGAGCTTTTTTTTTCTCACTGTGTACTTCGATTTGTTTGCAGGACTGGCTGAATCAACACTACAATTTGTTACATATGAATATTTGAAGAAGGCGATAGTAGAGAGAAGGAGTAGACAGAGAGAGTTGTTAGATGCACAGAATTCTAATTTTATTAATCGAACGGGGTCGTCACAGAGGACACCGATGGGTATGATACCTCTTGGTGGCAGTGATTTTTTTCGCACATTCAAATGACATCTTTTTTCAGAATGGTTGGACACATTCCTAGTAGCAGCAGGCGCGAAATTGATGGCTGCTATTGTTACATATCCTCATGAGGTAAGTTTTCCATGCAAAAAAAAAACTGATTTATTAAATTTCCTGGTAATACCTTTTCTCATAGGTGTTACGAACACGCATGCGCCAAAACCCAGACTCGAACGGAATCTCCAAATACCGCGGTATCATATCATCAACGAAACTGATATACCAAGAAGAAGGCATACTTGCTTTTTATGGTGGAATGACGGCTCATTTGATGAGAGTTGTGCCTAATGCCGCTATACTGTTTTTGTGTTATGAGGTGGTGGTGTCGCTTGCATCGTCTTCAACTGATTCCTTACCTACGACAAGTAGTAGTGCAATTAAAAGCAAGTCATCATCATAGAGTAGTATTCGTATAGAATACTTTTTTCACGTTACATATCACATATCAGTATCCCAACACGTTATAATCATCTGATATGTTTCCTTCGCATCCCAACAACCACCCATTGAATATACATCTGCATCGAAACATTGACTTTTGGTGTGCATCTTATCTACCTCATTTGAGACAATTTGATCATTTAATTCTACCAAGTGTTCCAACTGGCTCCATTTCATATCGGACAGGTTTTCATAAGCATCAGAACAGAAATGTTAGAAACAACTTGAACCATCCATGCCTTCTTATGCTGGCTGGAGGGTAAAGGAATCGCGTTAATTGTCTGATTTAAGATCAATATTAGACCCTACCCATCAGTTTTTTCTTCTTCATAGGATTGAAGAAACAGGCACAAATCGTTGAAAATTGTTACGAGGTTTGGTCAATTTGAATTTGACGTTGCTATTTGACAGTTGGAGCTGCTGTGACACGTCCATTAGAAGCATTCAAGACTCGATTGCAGGTAAGATGCTAAAAGAAGCTGGAATGTGCGGTTTCCGCATTGCTCATCAACTTCACGTCTCGCCAGGTGTCACTATACCCATAGTCTGAAAGACCGAAGATAGCATGGAAAGCCATGACGTGCAGTATCGGGTCATATTGGAAGAGTCGTGTCTATACATGCGTTTGAAGTTTCGTCCTCTTTTGGTCAGGTAATTCACACGTATTTGCTGTAAACATGCTCACATTCGAAGGAGTTGGGTCTCTTTTCAAGTGGTTGGGACCCCAACTTATTGGATTTGTGCCAGCTAGGTGAATATATGCCGTTGTTGGGCACTGCCATAAGGCGTTTTTGGCTGACGTCGCAACATATTCAATCATGACAGAGCCACACATTTCGGTGTGTACAATCATGGAAGGCCTTTATTGCCCATCTCATTAAAGGAATTCCTTTAAGTCCCATCTCATTAAATGACATAAAACGTCCAGTGTACACATGTCGATCCCTATAACGGTGGTCGCTTACAGTTACTAGGTCTATATGGCTTGTAAAAACTAAAATGGTATGATATGGTAGAATGGGACCTTTTTCTGTCGGTTGCTGATTTTGGGGGGTTTTTTCGTAGCAACTGCAATCAGAAGTAGGGCATCATTTGGAAGGTGGTCCTAGATACCGACCATTGCTTTTATGCAGCTGACAGGAATGCGAGACACGAGACTGTGTAAAGGGTTGACTGCTATCTACGTCGGTATGTTTTCTTCATTGGTTTGAAACTTCATCGTCTGAGGTAGGAGGATCTCTTCTCACTGTGTATTTCGAATTTTGAAGGACCGGCTGAATCAATACTACAATTTGTTCCATATCAATATTTGAAGAAGAAGATAGTAGAGAGGAGGAGTAGACAGAGTGAGTTATTAGATGCACAAAATTCTAATTTTATTCGTCGAACAGAATCGTCACAGAGGACACCCATGGGTATAATGTCTTATTATGTCACTGTTTTTTTTCACACTCAAATGACAAAAATTTCTATTTAGAATGGTTTGACATATTCGTCGTTGCAGCAGGCGCGAAATTGATGGCTGCTATTGTTACATATCCTCATGAGTTCGGTTTCCCACCCAAAAAACTTCAAATAATTTTCTTATTGCACGTTATATGATAGGTGCTTCAAACACGCATGCGCCAAAACCCAGACTCTATCGGAATATCCAAATACTGAGGCATCATAGCATCAGCGAAACTGATACACCAAGAAGAAGGCATACGTGCATTTTTAGGGTGGAATGGCTGCTCATTTGATGAGGAATGTGCCTAATGCCGCTATACTGTATGAGGTGTTGGTGTCGCTTTCATTTTCATCAACTGATTCGGTAGCTACAACGACAAGTAGTAAAAGTCAAATCAGCATCATTGAGTAGTATGCGTATGAGAATAACTTTTCTCGTCTCGTAGCAAAATCCCAACGTATAATCTCACTACTTGTTGTTCGCTTGACAACAACCCATTGAATACACGTTTCCATCAAACATCAAACACGTAGTGGATCTTTGTTGCTGCTCTTTTCCATCATCTTTTTTGGTCAGTGTGTTTGGCGAGGTGAAACATTTGCCAACATATTCAGGTTTCTCTCACAAGTCAACATTTGTATATACCGCATCTCAATCGATGTGTAGCCAACTCAGCAGTTGAAGATCTTGTTGCGAGATTTCTTGTATTATATATAGCGAAAATATCATATAAACACAATACAAATGTAGCTCTACAAACAGAATGCCATGTGTAATGCTATGCTGAAAAAGTAGTCGAGAGTCCATACAAGACACCCAAATACTTTGAATCATCCACCACGTTATCAAAGAAGGTAGCTCTCATTTTGAAGAATGTTTTCGAGGTCAATAGTGAATCACTACCAGCCTGATGCTGTGGACCTATTCGTGATATTGACAAGTCATCTGCTAGTTCTTGCAGCCCACCTTTTAGGTTTTTGCAGCTCTTCATCTAATTAGAGTGGGAGTTTTCGTAAGTATCTAAGTCTTTTTGATGGTGTGTTTTATCATGCTGCTAACGCCACCACCAATGAAGCATGATTTGGCAGATGCAGCTACATCAACAATCTCTCGATCCCCTCCAACTCTGTCCATCCAACTCGATAATGTATGTCAGACAATTAAGTGAGTGCATTGCAATGGTGTGAAGATTGCTCAAACAAGAGGTGTCAGAAATAACGATTACAGTGTCATCATCCATAATTTGCGAGTTGAATCAGAGTTTTAAAGAGAGAGAGAGTGTGTGCGTGGGTGGTATCTGTGGCCAAAAAAATATAGTGGGACACATACCAGGAACTTGATATCGTAAATACACGGAAAGTAGATTTTGAGCAATTCAAAGAAATCTGATTCTTCTGGTGGTAGTGCTTGGCATGTTAAGACCTTCAAGAGATATCCAAAGTCATAACCACTACATTGTAAGGATATGTGAGATACCGTGTAAGCAAACAAAAACTATGATCCACACACAGAATGATATTTGTTTTACCTGTGGAAGGATATCCATTTGACATCATCCAACAATACAAATCCAGAAGATATCAAGACTTCACCGAAATGTTCCACATCAATTCCAAACTCGTCGTGTTTTTTGAAATCGATACCAGACTTTGTTAGCAGGTCGATTGAATCCTGTGCGTACATATCGTCACTAGAAGGATGATGGGTTTTAGAAATGATTTGTTGTGGTGCATCCGGTCTTGGGCACATTCATAATGACTGTCTCGTAGTGCTTCTTTTGTTGGCGATGATTCCCGACATACTCCCTCCAAGCATCTTATAGCTCCACTTACTTTAGGTTAAATTTAAAGTTGAATTGCCAACAGCATACACCGGGAGGGAGATTGCCCTCTTCATCAGCAAAGGACAAGCCCAACTGTATAATCTTTAGCAAGTCGACATTACATCGCAGTGTTTGATAATGATAGTCTGATGAAGTACGGAAATTGCCTACGGGGCGAGCTACTACACCCGGGAATTCAGTATCCTTTGTATATGAGGGTGTGTTGGGTTACCATCGAGATGGGATGGGATGTGATGTTTGTGATGTTTACCATTGAAATGTATGGATACTTTTCAACCAGATCTCGTAGGACTTCCATTTCCTCCTCCAGATTAGAGTCCCAGACCTATATGATGGAGGCGTTGTTGGTAGGTGAAGCTTGGATGTAAGTGGTGAACAGTGGTGAACAATGTCGTTCTATTGTTTGGGAGCCTTTTCATAATAAAACACGTCTCGCTTCTTCCAAGTAGACTATTAAACCATACCTCTCGTAACCAGCTCGAGTCATTCTGCATGGTCGTTGCCTTTCTTGCCCTCAAGCAACAAGTTTGGACTGTCCTCCTGTAAGTTTTGGTGAGGGTGTGGAGGATGACGGATCACAGTGTACGAAACTAGGGAGGCGCACGTTACTGGGAATTTATTGTATTCTCAAATGAAAGATTTTGATTACGTGAATTGTCTCATATCAATAGTGTAAGCTGTTGACTCGCGGCTATACGTTGTCTGTTTTCGAGATAGAGACAAACCCAAGACATGTGCAATCGATTTTGACGCCAGATCTGTATTAAGCACTCGTAGCTGTATATGTGCTCAGCTTCTCAGTAAGCGATTGCATTGACCATTGACACGCTAGCAAACTTTTCATTTGGAGTTGTCACCACAAGCGTTTAAAGACACTTCTTCGAGTCACCTTTGAAGAGTATTTAGTTGGTAATGGTGAAAATAATCAGTAAATATGCTTTGAGATCAGGCCGACCAATAGGTGAAATGCTGAGATATAAATGCTTTTTAACGTGTTTCACTCAACTAGTAGAACATGATTTGCCACCGCCAAACACTACAATAAAGGCCAAGATGTATCATCACGCATTCATAAATATCGAGAATATAGTGTTCATCGATACAAATCATGTGCTCGATTGTCTGTATCCAATGTACACACTTTAAACGGCGTGTGGACTATTGTTTGATGGCTGAAGAATTGGCAATTATATGACATACGTGATATAAATCATTATAATCCGTTCTCTGCGCGTCACTTGCTATAAACTAGTCAGCGTACAGGCCTATTTTATGGCAAGCCCCCATTCTTTCAACCATTTCTTCACTCACCAAACAACAAACCAAACCAATAAAGATGGACCCAACGGAACCAGACACTCCGCAATCAGGCATCATAATCGACATGGCTCGTGCCTCTGACGACAATCTAAACTTGGGCGACGACATTTTTGATGACAATCTCTCGTCCCAAGGAGACGAACCTCCTTTTGGTCCAGACGACGACCTGGCTGGTCTCGATGACGAGAGGCCCGTACTCCCAGGCGACAAGGAACCACATTATAGCACACAGCCTGGTCGATGGCGCTGCAATTACTGTGGAGTGACATCAACTCAGTGCAGACGTCGAGGGTATTTATTTCTTCTTCTTGTTCTCATTTGCCGACCGTTTTTAATCATACCAAGCATTGCATATGAGAATACATCATTCATATGTCCTATTCATGCTCTTTTGGATGACCGATTGGTCATATACAAGGTCTCTAGTTCTCATTGCTGACCAAAGTTTGTGTTTGTTCAAATAGTCCTCCTGGATATGACAGGCTATGCAACAAGTGTGGAGCTAGGTGGGCTCGTGGCACTATACTACCACACTATCCAAAGAAGCAGTTCCCCGCTGCTAATGATGGTAATGGAAGGAGGCATTTGAGTGAAGTTCCGCTGAGTGAACAGCCCAAAGTAAGTTATGAACGCACAGGCTGAACCATATTTATATGGATTCATTGGACTATATTTACAAATAATTTATCCTTCCAATTATAAAACTAACAAATCCCTCCATTTCTTCTATTTAGCCAAAACCTATTATTCGTATCGAAGACCCTCCCATCTTAAATGTCTTGACTCGTCCTCGTAGGCATAAACGAGCTGTTGAATATACCACTATGACTACAATGGAAGGTGGTCGACCTCCTCCAGGTGATCCAGCCACGACTCAACCAAAAGGAAAACGACGTAAAACAGGTGCTGCTTCAACAGAGGTTGTCATGATTCCCATCTTGGATCTCTCAGGAGGCAACAATAACAATACCAATGGATCAATGGATGTTATAATGGTTGGCGAAGGAGGTCCTACTAGTATTAGTAGTGCCGGTGGGAACGCTAGTGTTGCCAAAACAGATGGCGAGCCGGCTCAACAAGAGCAACAACAAAGTCTCTTGCCACCACAAAGAAACGAAAATGATATGGATGTCGACGAATTACGTGAACAAATCACGGATATTATTCATGACGATTATGATTTGCCATCACTCACAACTACATCACATACATCCACAAAGACGACTACCTCACCGGCAAAGGACAAGTCGACACCAGCAAAGGGACAAGATGCACACAGCACTACTACCACTACAACAACCACTGCACGTAATAGTCCCAATCTTAGAGACGAACCACGTGCATCTCGTATTCCTATATATGTCCTTAGTGACGACGACAATGACGAACAGGATGCCGATGACGAGCCTCTTATCCGCCGTAGTTTAAAACATAGTCGGATGCAGAACAATAATGGCAATACCCTTTCAACAGCAGCAGCTCCCGCAACCGCTGCAGCTCCAGTCGCTGCTGCCGCGTCATCACGAACAACAATAAACAAGGAAGTAACCGCCCGAGAACAACTCGAAAAGGTTGTCGAAAATATGCATGCCAATCGTGCAGTTTCCATTACACCCAATAACACCACCACCAACACCAATAATAACAATAACACCAACAATACTAATAACAATGATAGAGCCAGCAACCATGAAGAAGAAGATGATGATACCCTGTCGTATAAACCCCGAAAATCCAAAAGACGTGAAGCTGCTGTCGCTGCTGCTGCTGCCAAGGCCGCTGCAGCAGAAGCTAAAGCTCTTGCTGTTGCAGAAGCTAAAGCTGCTGAAGCTGCTGCCAAGCTTGCTGCTAAAGAAGCATCGGCTACTCCACCGCCTACTATTGTATCCACGTCGGCAGAACCTACTTCTGATCCTATGCAACCTGTTGAGCTGAAAGATTCTGAAGAGCCAACTGCTGAAGAGGTAGGCAATGAGAATCCTTGAAAAGTCATTCTTTTGTCTTTCTCGAAAACTGAACCCGTGTATCGTCTCTTGCAGGAGGAATTAATCTTTGCCAAAGTACGCATGAAATTAATGTACGACGACATTCGACGACAAATATCAGGACTAGCTACAGCTGCCAAAGATTTGAAATCTCGTGGTGGTGACAAACTATCCAAAAAGGAATCATACAAGTTGTCTGTATATGATCCAGACAAGATTTGTCTCAACTTGTTGAATGATTTCACCAATGTTGGAACTGATTTGTGGCCCCTCAAATGAGGGTTATATATAAAGGGACGTGGTGTGGTTGGTGAATGAAGAAGGAAAGGGAGGAGAGGAGGAGAGAAAGTGTATATTTAGCAAGACACGCAACGGTATATCATATTATTATCAAATGCACGAGGTTGCGATTATTATTTGTAGTATAAGGAACGACGATGACACTCTTGTCTTGTTATAAATTGGACTGACAAGCGAAACGATTGTGTATGTCTATGGTATGTTCAGACGCGCAGTAGCACTCAATTCTGCTTGGAATTTTGATCTCGGCCACCAAACCTAAGGTTTTGATACGAGAAAAGAAAGCACATAGAGAAATAATCTACACGTAATGAATTTTCATCAAGCGCACACGTCCATCGTTCTCTCCTCATCAGCTTCCTCAATGACTGAGCTCACACGCCTCATCCAAGCCCCACGCGTTGATTGGTCTGAACTAACTAACTCTTCAGAATCAAAATCGCAAGGCTTGAAGGAAGAGCATCCAGAAGAACGACCACAATGTATGCCAGCTATAGTCACCGCCTCTACCATACTGGACTCGTTGATTTCTCACTGTTGAAGCATCCCATCACTCAATTTACTCACATTGCCCAACTTTCTAGATATTCTTACTGGTCAAGCCTTGTCAAGGACTGCTCTCAAGTGATTTACTAAGTAGTGACAATACACTGGTTAGCTTAATATGAGGGTCTCATTGAGTTACTCCTTTTTGTCTCCTATGCAAGTGATTTTTGACTATTTAGCGTGATTTTGCTGTAGCGGCTACATGAACGGCAAATTGTTTGCTGACTTTCAGTTCTTGACATAAGATTATAAGATTCAATGGATACAAGTCGAAATTGTCTTCATGGCATATCAAGGTGAGTTCCGTTGGCGTGATAAAATATTAGATTAGATGTGAAGTCACGTAAAGGACAAGCTATAGCGGCAGAATAAGTACATGTTGTGAGAACTGAAGTAAAATTCGAGCGTCTACGCTTTGGAAACACGTCGTTTGAGCGTCGAGTGATATCAAGTCGTAGCTGAAACCCTCAAATTCCAAACACCACAAATTTAGTCAAACGAGCAGCAAAAACCTCGATCAGACCCGAACGGAATATATCGTGCTGTATACGCACAAGCCAGTGCTTCAGACTGTATTTCTTTCCTAGCAACTCGCACCCGAAACCTCAAAAGTCAAACTTCAAATCATGAGCAGACCCATCACATCTGTCGGCTCCCTGCCAATAGAAGAATCATTTGCCGACACGCCATTATTCCGAAGTTCGCTGCACCAGGCCGAGTCTCATGCCTTAAATCTGGATGCTTCAATCAAGAATATGATTCAATTGCAGACTGAAATGTCGTCGGCAATGGAAGTATACGCTGACAAGCAAATACAGTTTGCTGAGGAGCTGAAATCGTTCGCGTCGCCTCAGGATGATATGATTTGTAAGTGATTTTGACGGCGTTTTGAACGTCACGTCGGAAGGTGTTTTGATTCCTGTGGATCTTCACGTTTCAAGTTCGGATCTCACGATTTATTTACACTTTTTAGTAACTGCAATTGATCAATTCTCGTCGGTGCTTAAGGATATTGAACGTTCCAGGAGTCTTATGAACATGCACATACGTGGTAAAGCTTTCAAAACTGCTACATTGTTTCAAACACGCCCATAAATTGACATTGACATCGCTGGTTTCTTGGCTAGACGTGTTTACAACTCCATTCAGTCAATTTCAGTCCAAAGAGTTACAGCCAATAAGGGTGTGTGATTTCTCAAACTATGCTGGTCAAACTCACAACGCCCTTTCCCCCATCACAGAACCTCTCTCGTGGCTGGGCAGATGCTAATGCTAGCTACGACAGCTCGATGAACAAATACCTGTCAAAGAAACCCAAGGACCCCGGAATAGATGAATGTGCAGACGAAGCTGCCAAGGATCGTAAATTTTTGCATCGAAAGGGCGTTGAATATTGTCTGAAACTGCAGGATATGGATAAGAGGAGGAAGTTTGAGCTGGTTGAGAATGTGAGTGAAGCTCTGTCAGTTTGGGCAATCATCTGGAGTTTCCGGACTCTGACTTTTTTTCCAAGGTTGTCGCATTAATTTATACTCTGAATGCATTCTTTCATACTGGATTTGCTCTTTTGAAGGATTTGGAGCCTACTATGCGTGAATTGACTGATTATTTGTACAAGGTATACCACTCTGTCATGTCAATATGTGGATCCTTCCTGCTCATTCTGATGTATTTTTTGCTCGAGATAGATGAGAACAGACCACCAAAACATATCAGACACAGTCGACAGCAGCACATTCCTTAACACATTCACCCAATCCGCTGACGGTGCCGATTTATATAATCCCGCAAAACCAATAATACCAGCTGGATCACCACCGCGTCATCGTGATTCTGCTCCTTCGAAGCAAGGGTGGTTGCATATGGTCAAGACTTTAGGAAGGAATAATAATAAGACGAGTTGGGTTAGGCGGTATTTTGAATTGAAGGATGATACGTTGTCGTATTATGAGGATATTCGAGTAAGTTCGCTACATTCTTCTCTTTTGATTAAGGGTTTTTTTCCACCATGTTTGTTGACTGCTAAAAAATGTAGGAGACACAGAAGAGTATGATTGATTTGAGGATTTGTATGATTCGAGATGCCTTTGTTGGAGAGAGGAGGTTTTGTTTTGAGATTGTTAGTCCTTCAAAGTAAGGCGTCTATTCTGGAAATTGCCCGTACTCGTAAATCTCCTATGTTGCTCTTTTCTTTTCTTCTCACAATTTCAACTTATTCTGTTATGTGACATAGAACATACACGCTACAGGTATCGACAGGGTCCTTGTCACATCGTGTTCCGTCAAAAGATCCATTCCACTCATTTGCTTTGTTATGTTAGGCATACAACGAATACGACTGCAAAGAGTGGATAACGTTACTGCAAAGTTCTGTGTCTCGTGCCCTTCACTCAAACGCTGGCTCGAATTCTTCACTCAATACCGTGATTGCTACCGTCGATGGAACAACTCAACCCGCTGATACAGCTCCTGATGCTAGTAGACAATTGCGGGATGTTCCTGGTGCGTCAATGCAGGCTGTGATTCGTTTTTTGTTCATCCTAACCTGTTTTATTATCTCTTTGAGGAAACGACCAATGTGCCGATTGTGGTGCTCCAGAGGTCGAATGGGTATCATGTAATCTTGGAACATTGGTCTGTATCAATTGCAGTGGAATTCATAGAGGTCTTGGAAGGCATATTTCAAAAGTGCGATCCTTGCTGTTTGATCGATGGGAGCCTGAACTTATCAATGTAAGAAAATTCCATGTGCTTTCATATTTGGAGAAAAAAGCTAACTACATGCTGTTGAATGCTTAGATGCTGAAAGCACTTGGAAATCAACGAGTGAATAGAATATTCGAAGATCGACTGATACGAGGAAAAGCATTCTCAATCACGAAACCAACACCAGATTCTGATCGCGTACTCAAGGAAAAGTATATTTCCATGAAGTATGTTGGAAAGGAGATGGTTTGGCAACCTGAAACTGGAAGTGAGCTTGTAAGACACTGAAAAGTGAGGTTGAGACGATACAGAAAATGTTTGACTAGCTATTATTTTAGGTTCTTGCTCAAGCAGTTCGAAATGGAGATTTGCCCAAAGCTTTGCATTGTTTGGTGCTCAATGCTGATATCAATGAGCTCGACTTGTATGGAAACACACCACTCCATTATGCAGTCAAACAGAATGATACCAGTATGGTCGAGTTTCTGTTACAATGGAGAGCGGATGTGAATGTGCAGGATCAGGCCAAAATGAGTAAGCTCTCGTTTTTTGGGATTGCGGTGTACCGAATACTGACTTTTCTCTCTCTCTCTCTCTCTCTCTCTCTCTCTCTCTTTGTAGCTCCTCTGCATATTGTAAGAAATCATGTATATATATAAAGGCATCATGCTTCCTCGTGAGCTCAACTTAAAAATCTCAATAGGCTACTGTGACTGGAAATATGTCGCTTGTTTCTCAACTCTTGAAACGAGGAGCTCGACCAAATGACAAAGATGCAGAGGGAAAGACTCCCCTTGATTATGCATTAGATCGTAGTGGTGATGGTGATAGTTTTGTGAAGATTGGTGAGTTGACGCCGTTATGAGAAAGTCAGCCTTTCAATTTTTTTGTCAAGCACAACAGTTTACGAATCACCCTTGTTTTAGTGACCATCTTACGTCTAACCATATTCGAAACTGAAGAACAACAACTTTCCGTCGTATCAAAGGACAAGTACGGCATGAGTGAAGCCATGGAGAACCTGTCCACCAGTGGATCCCCATCTCGTGATTCCTCTTCACCAAACATGAACAGCAACAACGCCTACAACATCAACAACAACAGCATCATGAACAATAACAATAGTATTACCAGTAACATGTCCATATCGTCTTCATCGCCGTCACCAAGGCCTGGAATACCACCTAGGATGAATTCTTTTGGACTTGATGAGCAAGATACTTCAGCAGTTTGGGGTGATTCGAGGAGTAATATGTCGTCACCGTTAAGGAGTAGTACATTGTCGCCTCCTCCGTCTATGATGACTGCTGCTCATAAGAAAGTGAATCCTGAACAATAGTTGTATGTATCGCATCGCACTTATTTGCACCAAATACATTTTGCAAATCTTGAACAGAAATATTTAGATCTCCATCGCTGGCCTTGTCAGAATGCTAAAGCCTTCGCGAAGTTAATCAATAACGTGCTCTGAAAGTCACATTCTTCTGACTGATTTACTTCAATTCACCGGTCGCTTCAATAAAACAAACGCAAACAAGACAATAAATAGCACCAATCGTATGATAAACTCAGATTGCTCGCAATTGTATCGTTTTCTAGGTAAGAAGAGTCGTCATTTACGGAAGAATCGTCGTGTTTCTTGGTTTGGGGTTTGGATTTTACTGATTGCATTATATACGACCCTTTATAGTCATAAAATATAAGTCCGTCTTCTTCAAGAGCTTTGAGAAAATGAATTCTGAAAGCTCTGGATCCCCGGAAGATGCTGCTGTTGCTCAACATCATCTGTAGAATACACAGAATACAAGTGGCAATATGAAGCCCGTTGATGCTGATGCGAGTGCTCCTCCCGCTGAACAGCTCACCTGTAACGCGCTTTAATCACTCCATTGACTTTAGGAACGTGCCTTGTCTGTTGTCATGCCACCAATGGGAAGTCAACTGCCATCGAAACCACTTCTCCGCAACGTCGCAATGTTATAATATCTGAATTGCTCTCGATGAAATTCCCTGAAGTCGACAAGAACTGCTTCTTGTCCTGGCTCCCAACCCAGGTCCTCGTACAACAAACACTCGAAGCACCAGCTGGCGAAGGTCGATGGAAATCATTGGTCAAAGGCTTGGCCAATGATTTCATCAAGCAACGATATCTGGTACGAGATCAAATCATGAATAGCTTGAAGCTAGATGACTCTCAAGCTGCCCTTCTCGAATTCTACTGTAAAGACTGCAATTCATATACAAGGCTCAAATGGACAGATGTGATGACTCATATTACCGAAAGGCATTCTGGTGTAGACGGTGTCATCAAGGCAAAAGTTTACATACCTCTGAATAGCTCTTGGTCTCGCAATTTTGAGTTTGAACTTTATAGACTCCTTCTGCACGTTTGGGACTCACGCCACTCATGGAGTCAACCATCTACGAGTTGCTTGAAATTTTGGCCGGCGCTGCATCTGCTCACACGGTCTGCTCGTGGTACCGTCAGGCCTGCCATGAATACAAATCTTGTCCTCTTGCTAAAACCATTGCACACATTCACGAGCGCCCTCATTATTTTACCCTACCATCAGCCCAACTTATAAACACGAAAGACCCTGTTAAATGCGTTTTTGATGATTGCTTGGCTTCTTTGATAAGTCGGGTCGGCCACATTTAAAAGGCCTTCTGGCAATATTTAGGTTTCACCACGTTGCATAATAATAAGTATAACGTCAAGAAGAAGATCTGGGAAACACGATTTTTTGGGGGTTAATGAGCAGGATACTTGAGCAGTTTGAGTTGGGTCATGGCGTAGCATTACTTCAACGGACGAGTTTGCTATCACCTTCTTCTATGATCATTGCTGCTCATACCAAAGTGAACCTGGAAACACCAACTCATCTGCTATTCAGATCCTCATGTTCTGTTGCACCAAATATATTTTGTTCTTTGTCTCAAATAGAGGTTTTCTTTTCAGCTACAAATTTGACTTTACTTAGCAAATGATACACCAAACAGCTTTAACTCATTCTTTCAATAAAACATGTAGAGGATTCATGCACTATGTTAGAAAGATGGGTTCAATCAGAAAAAAAAGTTTCTATTATAGAGAGAAGAAAAACAAGTAGAAGAGAGGGAGGGGACAAACACCCAAATACACAAGTAAAAACTATATCAACTATCTCTAACAACTTATGAAACCAACATCTTTTGGGTGCTTGAATTAACTTTTTCTCCCTCCTCTCCTCACTCCTCTCTTCTTTTTCTTCGGGGGAAAGGGTGCTTACAGTGTTGGTTTGGACTTCTTGACGAATTCGACACCCTTGTCAATGTTGGATTTGAGTTCTGGCACGGCAGCTGCATATAACTTCTTTTCGTAGTCTGATAGAGATGGGATTGGGTGGATTTTGACTACACCGGATGGCTAATAGATGAGAGAAACGGTGAGCAAGAAACGGTGAGCAAAAAGACGCGATAAAATGCATATGTGTTGCAATGTGCCACTGATCAACAACGACAAGACAACGTACTCCAAATTCAACTTCAGTAGAGAAGAATGCCAAACCATCAGCAGAAGCCGAGTCACTGTCAATGTATGCACATTCAGTGACGGTTTTACCAGCAACAGTAGCTTCCAAGATGGAGTTTGCGAATCGAGCACCAGCGTAAGCCATGGATAAGGTGGCTGATCCAGCACCGTTTTTGGCTTGGACGACTTCATCACCACCGTATTGGATTCTCTTTACGAGGGCATCTAATTCAGTTTGGGAGAATGACATGCCAGTCTATTGAGAGTAGGGGATTTTTAGCGTGTGATAGCTTTTTGGAAGTGCAAAAAAGCTGAAACGAGAGAAGCGTCATATGATTCGAATACTTACACCCGAGAGAACTGGGATGATGGTGACTCCAGAGTGACCACCAATGACGGTGACCTTGGTAGTTTGAGCATCAGTCTTCTTGACTTCAGAGACGAAGGTGCTTGCTCGAACAATGTCGAGAGTGGTAACACCAAAGACACTGTTGAAGCAAAGATTGTATGAGCGTGATTTTTGCACTGATAGTTTTGTCGTCACAAACGAAGGTCATTTTCTGAATGCTTTACCGTTTTGGGTCGTAGACACCGTGTTCCTTCATGACTTCAGCGACGATAGGGACGGTTGAGTTGACGGGGTTTGAGATGACACAGATGTAAGCCTTGGGGCAGTTGCTAAAGGGAGTAACGAAGATTACAGTTTCAACGAGGCCAAAAAAGGAAAGAAACTCATATAGAATATGCAATCTCTTGCATGATCCACACAACCACATCCTCATCATCATACACACAACTTACATGGCACAACCAGTAGCAAGAGTCTTTACAATCCCAGCATTGATGTTGAACAAGTCGTCTCTGGTCATTCCAGGCTTTCGTGGCACACCGGCAGGGATGACTACCAAGTGACAGCCCTTCAATGCGTCAGCGAGTTGAGCATCACCGACATAGCCAGCGACTTTGGCAGGGGTGTTGATGTGAGACAAGTCAGCAGCGACACCGACAGCGTTTACAACATCGTAACAAGATAGTTCGGTGACGAGAGGGTTTGCCTTCATTAAGAGGGACAATGGTTGACCGATACCACCGGCGGCACCTGGTTGAATGGGGTAGAATGAGGTTGGATGAAGAAGCGATTAGGCAGATTGCAGGTGATGATGTGTCAAGTTTGATGTGTTGAGTATTTACCTAAGATGAGCATGAAGAAGAGGGAGGAAGAGAGCGTCAGTACATGATGGAGTGATTGTATGTTGGAATATTACAATAGTGACGAGAGTCTTCTGGTTGAAATGCATTTTCAAAAATGTTGCAAAATAATCCAAACATGTTTTGCATCGCTAACGAAAGAAGCTACAAAGCAATACCGCAACGATGAAGCGAGCGTATATACCTAAAACAGCGACCTTGACCATGATTAGAGATTGATTTTGTAGGTGTCTATGGGAAATCTGCTTGTTTTTCTAGTTTTTGAGTTTTAAGAAACTTTTCACACGTCAACAAATCGGGTGGCAACATATCACAGGACTGACTGAGAGGAAGGGACCTCAATAATGAGCAGTCAAGATTCAGATCACACGGAGGATACTAATGATCTGGGCTCTTCGCTGTTTTCAACCTTTTCCGGTTGGGGAACCAGCTTGATGTCTACTGTCAAGTCTCAGGTGTGTTGCTATTGAGAATGTATTGAATATATGTAGTTTACGTGTAAATGTATCTAATTCTCCTTCTTTTAATAGACAGAGACGGTTGCTAATGTGTACAAGAGGTAGTGAGACCAACATCAAAAAGCACGTTATTAGAAACACAGCTCACACCCGCTCCCTCTGTTTGGTAGAGACTTGTCTGAGTTTGTAGACGTCGTAGCTGCTCAGTCCAAAGGGAAGCTCGAAGAGTGGACACATTCTATCTCGACTCTCGTGACTTCTACCGATGACGAACAAGATCCTGAACTTGACGAGGATGGCGATGAGATGGAGGAGCAAGAAGAAGGCGAAGAGAGTCAGCAAGAACAAGGAGATCTCTTCTCCATGTTTACAAACTCATTGGGTACACTGCTGTCAAATACTGTCAAAATCACTCCTGCTGAGGAAAAGTCAAAGAGAACTACTACAATGTATGTTATTGCCTGGGAAATTATTCTCTTGTTTGCATGGTGCCTCAATGTATCATCTACTCTCAAACAACGCAGATACGATCGCAAATCAGCGCGAATAGCTGAAATACGGAAGGCTCCACGTACATATCTGCATGATCCAGAACCTGATACTCCGTCAGCTGAACGGTACAGGACATTTAGAAAGGATTTCGTGGTGTCTCAACGGGCTCCCGATATTGCCAAAATACTGGCTGATGATACTAAAGTTGCTCAGCTTATGGGTCGTATTGGTATGTGAGAGGAGACGGAATGCGTTGACACATACATGCTGTTTAAACCGTTTTTTTTGTTGATAGTGCCATCACAAGCGTCGTATGATGAATTTTGGGCTAGATACTTTTTCCGTGTACAGGAAATAGAATTTGAAGAAGCACAGAGAAAGAGGATTATATGTATGTTGTTTGTATTTGGGGTTGAGTATGACTTCCCACTTACTAACTTTCATTTGTTCTTACTTTTCGCTCCTCTCTAGCTGTCGGTCCAGCAGACGACGAGGTGATACTTCGGTTCCCCGCACACTACTAATTTCAGTCCTAACATCCCTACGTCTTGTTTGTTTTTCAGGAGGACATTGCATGGGACTCGGAAGAAGAAGCAGAAGGGCCTCAAGTGATTCCTTCTCCGCCTCCTATAAATCCCAAAGCATCGCCACCCACTGATTCCATACCGGAAACATCTGCAGATCAGTCTGTTACTGAACCCTCAGAAGCACCAGCTCAAGCAGAAGGACAATCAAGTGAACCTCCACAAGAACATCAAAGTGCAAGTATAGCAGCATCACCAACAACCAAACCAGCAGAAGAAACAGAACCAGCAGCACCAATAGCATCAGCATCAGCAACACCTCCACATCTAAAACAATCCGAAAGCGCACTATCACTACCATCTATCCTCGAAGCTAGAATAATGAGTCGTGATTCACCCACTACATCACAATCTGAAGACTGGAGTAACGTGGACGATGCATCTACTCGTGATAGCGGTGAATTGGTTGATAGAGGTGATGTGCCTGTGGCTGCTGTGGACAAGGGTAAAGAGAAGGCGGTTGAAGGTAGTACTAGTAGTAGTGCACAGCCTGATGACTGGGATGATTGGGAGTGAGTGAGTGAGTGAGGCTAAGAGAGAACGTTGCTGGAGGTTTTGGGGGATTATTCGTGGAGTATATTGTATAGTATCAACTTATTGCACATAGCTGTTGGCACAAAGCCGTTGCTTTTGTATTATTTTTGAACATCATGAGCATATCAAAGATTTGCAAAGAGTTGTATCATTTATCCTTGGCGCGGTGTACTCTTGGTTTGCATCTCTACGTGTTCGTCTCGCTATCGATTAGAGATGCACTGGAATGGAATGGAATGGAATTGGAAGTGGAATTCACGTTTTTGACGACCCAATTCCCGTTATTGGTCGCTTCCATTCTTGGAATCTAGAATCGCGAAATCGCCTTCGGCGATTCCATTCCATCGAATTTCATGTTTGCCAATTCTTGACCGATTCCTGACCGATTTATCTTTTGATCTAAACTGATGTTAAAACGAAACCTAAGAGTTCTACGACCTACTACAGACTAATAGGATTGTAGTTTATAGACTGTTTTATGTCTCCATAAAATTAGCAGCAGCTCACCCCTCTGCCCTGGCCTTCTCTAATTCCAGTCTTTCTAATGCAGTCATCAGCTTTTCATCACGCTATTATGGATAGCGAAAGTCGCAAATTCGAGTAGAAATCGGTATATCGGTAAGAATCGGTAAGAAATCGGTCGAAATTGAGAAAGTCGGGAAAGGGCAAGAATTCACTTTGGATTCCTGATGATTCCATTCTAGAAATTGGCGACTTCAATGATTCCATCACAATTCCAACTTTTGACGCGTCAATTCCAGTTCATTCCGATTCTTAGGAATGGAATGGAATGGAAATCACGGAATTGGAATCAGGAATTGACAACTCTACTATCGATCATAGTTGACTTTCAACTGGTCTCTTCGCGCAGTTTCACAAAGCTCTTCATTACATCGGTAGCTCTACGATACCAGACGCGAACAAGACTACAAATAGCTCCAATCATACTTAAAGTATACATCACTCATATTTGTGTCTATTAATCGGTAAGAACAGTACATGTTTAGAGCAGGAATCGTCATGTTTCTTTGTTTGGGGTTTGGATTTTACTGACTACATGCACATTTCTATAGTCGCCAATCGTAAATTCGTCCTCTCAACGCTTTGGCAGAATGAGTTCTGAAAGCTATGGATCTCAAGAAGGTGTTGTAAGTCAACCTCGTCAACGTCAAACTCGACAAAATGAAAGTGATGTTATGAATCCCACTGAAGCTGATGCGAGTGCTCCTTTCGCTCAAGACAACAGTCATTCAGGATCCTTCAGCAGCAACGCTCCTGCTGTTACGACTTTGGATACCTTGCCAGTCGAACTATTGCTCAACATTCTCCCTCGGTCTTTGGGTTATCAAAAAGGGATGTTTTGAAGATGAGGTTTGGTCGAAAGTGCTCTGAGTGTCTTATAAGTGTCGAACAAATTTATTCGCTTTCGCTTCAGTGTGTCCGTCTTAGTTTTCTTCGTGACTGGTAAATAGCATTCTAAGGATGTCGCTACCCTTCTCACCTTTTATGTACATAGCTTCGGATACTCGAGTCTGGGCGCATCTCTCTTTTGGATTTCGCAACGATCAATTCCGTATCAATGCGGAAGAAGTCCCTGAACAGAGCCATCTCAGAGCTTTGCAGACTCGAAAAGACGCTTTCTTGGAAGGAACTCATTTGCAATGGCGTCAGGAAGTTCGAATTGCCACTTGCATTGCTTGCACTCTAACAATCTCTCGCCATTAGTGACTCCAGTCAGCATGGGGAAGTCGTCAATGCAAGGCTGAAGCAGCACCACTTACTCAATTTGACAGACATGTGAGATCTCATCCCCACCAAATTAGCCCAGCGAAACCGGATGGGGCGAAAAAGTCCATGAACATGACGGGCTTCACCAGGTCTGAAACGACTTTGGAACAGTCTCAACGCTACAGAAACGCAATCTCTGAAAACGAAATTGGTCTCAGGCTTGAAATGGGATCCTCTCTGCAAGGCCATTCGAGCAGACACTCGAGGCACTGCAATGGGACCTGTGTGTATTGTGATTACGGAGGAAGAGTGAATCGTGTGGTCTATTCGTGAGAGTAGATAGTAGTAGAGTAGTAGGGAGAGTAGGAAGAGTGTAGGTCGTGTATTGTGTGGTCGCCGTAACTTGGTCCTGCGTCAAGGGGCTAGGGACCACTTCCGTGATAGACGCCATCGTGCTTTCGCGGCGGATGACCTCGTTTTTTTATCTGTAAGAAGGCCGTCATATCAAAGGTAACAAATAGTGTAGAAATGTAAACTAATAAAAAAGAGTTAGGAAATCTGAGGTATATGTGGTATATAGAAATGGAATAGCAAAATATATTCAATCTTTTAAGTGTATTTCAGCAAATGGTTGGCGAGCTCACGTTGCAACGTAAAATCAAATGATTTGTTTTAACGCGATTCGCGACTTGTTTAGTATGGAATCGACTCGAAATACAGGACTTTCCTATTGTACTTTGTTCCTCTATGAGCGACCACTCTAGTTTTCAAGTCGTTTGAGCCTTTAAGAAAACTTTTTGACAAAACCTCGCATCCCTTGACAAACACGCATCAAGCTTTCTCGTGATGGCCTCAGCACATTCCCGCCTAGTAGCAACAGCAATATGCTCTACTGGCCTGTCTACTGCCTTCCACTCCTCCTTCACATCCCTACTATCAACACATTCAATCTCCGTTACTTCAACTAGGATCTTGTCGCCTCCTGCAGTCGCAACTGACTACTACTTGACACTGGATCCAGTAAAAACGAATATTCTCGCATTCAATAATGAATTACTATCGCTATGTCGCTCACATGCTGGTACAGATGTCGTATGTCAGACAGATAATGTGTATAGAAGAAGCAAGAGACTGTTTATATTTGATATGGACTCGACATTGATACGGCAGGAAGTTATTGATGAGATTGCTAGATATGCTGGCGTTATGGATCATGTTGCTGTGAGTGTTGAGAGAAAAGTGGTGCTTGTGATGTCCTAATAATTGTCTTTTTTGCCATTAGAAAATCACAGAGGCAGCTATGAATGGTGAAATCGACTTCAAGGAATCATTGAAAAGACGAGTAGCTCTACTTGCTGGATGTGAAACGAGTGTGCTGGATCGCGTTCGTGCTGATTTGATTTTCACGGATGGAGCTCATGATATGTGTCGTGTGTTGAAGAAGCTGGGGTGTAAATTGGCTGTTATATCAGGTGTGAACATCTTGGATCTATCGAGTTTGCATTAGCATGCTGCAAGGTTGCAATATTCAGCTTTCCTGACAGCCTTTCTTTTGCAGGTGGTTTCATGCCCGTAGCAATACGAGTCAAAAACGAACTAGCCCTAGACTACATGTATGCCAACCAACTAGCGACATCACCAGACGGAAAGACATTGACGGGTATTACAATCGGACCAATAGTAGATGGTCTTCGTAAAGCAGAATTGTTGGATGTTATAGCGCAATCTGAACATGTCACTAAGGAACAGATTGTAGCTGTTGGTGATGGTGCCAATGATTTATGGATGCTGGCTGAAGCTGGATTGGGTGTTGCGTTTAATGCTAAAGCTAAAGTGCAAGAGAAGGTATGCCTCGACTGGATTCTTTTTTGCACTAGCTAATTACAACCTCACAAATACGGACTAGGCACAAGCTCGAATAAACCAAAAGAGTCTTCGAAACATTCTATATTTGTTGGGACTCTCAGACGAAGACATTGCTCTGTTGCTGATATGAGAGGACAACATTCTGTTTTCTTGTATTTTGCTCAACCAGTACTTCCCAGAAAGCCAGAAATCTCAATATAGAATTGTTCTCAATAAGCTTTTAGAATAGAAGAGTATTGCGCTCATCGTCCTTGACTGATTCGAGACGTTCTTATAAAAAGGGCTTCCTCAACAGGCGTATTCTTATACCAACGCATGTCGTATACATCCGGAACTGGTCATATTGGACCACACAGCAGTTGACAAAACGACGTTGATCAATATTGTGGAGGAAAAAATTGAGACGTCAGCCCATTTATGAGACATCGAACCACACATCAAATCAAAACGATGAATTCTGCTAATGTCTCCAAAACGCAAATTGGAAGCGTTATAATGTCATGAAAAATTTCAGCATGCTCTCTTTACCGAATCATTATAAATAAATTCATCATGGCAATCAAGGCTTAAATATGCTGGTACAATTGTGCGTACGCCTTCTATCAATTTCACTTTGCCCAGGAATAAGGTCAAACATCGTACTCATTTAAAACAACAAGGTAAAACACTCGATTACTTATATGAGAGATGAACCTTCTATTTTTATTTTTGTTATGAAGACATATGCTCAACCTCTACTATCTGGCCTTTCTGTTCATCCAAAAAGACACAAACTCTCAAAGAGAGACTGATCAATAAACTTCTAGAATATAACGCTCCTCTTCCTTCAATGATTCAAGATGTTCAGGCGCTTTTTCAGTAGGCATAGTCTTTGAGAATGCCGATACCAATGCATCTCGTACATCGGGAACTGGCCATGTTGGACCACACTAGAGTTACCAAAGATATTATCAGCTTTGGGCAAAATAGGTACATAACATGTCACTCATGTTCTTACCAAGTAGAAAGAACCACCCTTCTGAACCATCAAATCACACATCAAATCCGAATCCTCCTGAATCAAATGCTGGATATATATCTTGTGCTTCTGATCTCTCGAGAAGGCACATCGGAGCGTTACAAGGCCATCAGCAGCATACGCTTCCAGTTCTTCTCCGTACAGGTACTCCATGCCTCTGCTACGACTACCAAAGTAAAGCACCATGGGTCCTACAGAATGTCCAAGGCTACGGAGATATGCACGTTCCTCGATAAAGGCTCGGAAGGGGGCCATGCCGGTACCTAGACCTGCCATGATGACGGGTGCGGTGTGTGCAGGTGGGAGCTTCATGACGGATGGCTTTATGGATACGGCCATCGTTGCATTTGGTTTTATATTCATGAGGTATCGGGTACATTGTCCGTATCGGGATTCACCAGATGGAGTCTTCCAGTCCACAAGCACGACTAATAAGTGCACCGAGTTTGGATGCATGTGTTGGGATGATGCGATAGAGTAGTGACGGGGTTTAATATAAGGGATCATGGTAAGCAAGTCCGTTATAGAAGGATGAGCAGATGGGAATCGTTTCAATAAATCTACATATGTGACTGTCTCGACATTCGTCAAGTGATCAAATGCTTCTTGACCTTCTGATGATGCTAGGATGTTCAATTGCTCGGTTTCCTTCAAGGCGGTAGCATAGGTAGCCAAGCTCTGATAGAATTTACGTCCTGGTTTACCAAACAAGTCCAATAGTTGAGTCAGCACCTGATCTATAGTACGTAATTCAGTCTTGCCCTCTGTTTTACGTTCAATAAAGATGAGATCATCAGGGTTTAGACCATAGAATTTGATGAAGTCAGCTACTTCTTCAGCATCATTATGTCCATGAACTCCTAGAGCTTCACCAATATCATATTTGAGATCGGTACCAGTTGTATCGAATTCCATGTGGAAGACGTTACGATCATACGAGTCGGGTGTAATACGACGGTTTTCATCTACTCGTACTACAAAGCTCTTTTCAATATCGGGTCGCAAATCCTTCTTGAGTCCATATGCTTCAGCAAACATGACTGCCCAAGCTGCATGGTATGATTTAACTTGGGTTTGGATGAGAGATTCTTCGTCTTCTTCTGCTAGTACCTGCTTTTCCAAGGCAATGGTACCTGATACATTTACGGGTAATTCGCGGTCTACTGGTAGTTTAGCCCATGATGCAGGAGTAGCGATTTCTGTTAATGCAGCTACTGCTTTTTGAATAGCCATCAATTTCGTCTGGATTATATTATTGTTGGTCTCGGTAGCAGACACAGTGTGTTTCAAGATGGACAAGTAAATAGGAGCATTTTCAGCTGCGACTAGTTGGAAGTATACAGTCTGTAAGATGAGTCCAACAAAGTCGGGTATATCAGATGGTCGGAAGACTGTCAAGCTCTTCGCAATCTTGTCGGCATCGATGGCATATACTTTGGCATGTCGTTTACCAATACTAGCTTTAACACAGTTGGGTAACTCCTTGTCTAGATCCTTTTCAGAAGACCATGGAGCATTAAAGACGATAATAGCACCATCCTTGAGAGATCCAGCTACATTATAACTAGATGCGATAGAGGCAGTATGTACTGATACATAATCTGCAGACCTGACTGCATGATGGACACCAATGACTTCATCAACACCCATACGGATATGAGTAGCATGTACAGGCTCGACTTGTACAGCATCATGAGCAGTAAATGCCTGTACAGTAGTAAACCCGCTATCATGCATGGTTTTAACTATAGTAGCACTAGCTGGCAGTGTTTTAGCTTCAGCCAAATCCCAGAATACGGCCTGATGGATTTGTTGAGGGATATATCCTTCATCGGATTCAGCTTGTGGTAGAGACTCTTGAGCGATTACATAGTCGAATGTTGGTTTTGACGATTCGAGATCTTTAAATAGAGTTTCGATTGCTGATGGATGTAAGTCGTTGGTTTCTACACGAGCTTTGAGTAATATTGGGTTGGATCCAATCTTGTTGCCGCTGTAGAGTGAGCCAGCAACGTCCAAGTATAATTGGCCGTGGCATACCGTAGAGACGGTAGATTGATCCACGACCTATGAAATGCAGGAAATCGGTTATTTGGTTGAGAACCGAGGGCAAACAAAACTGAAGCAGATTCAAAATTATGAATTACCGAAATTCGCTTCACCGAAGCTGGCACAGCTTCAGCGAATAGTTTATCCGACCATGGTCTCCATACTCTAACTTTGACGACACCAACACGGTGGCCACCTAATACTAAAGCATTTACAGCCGTCTCAGCAATCAAAGCAGCTGGTCCAACAGCCACAACAATGCTTTCAGCTTTAGCATGTCCAACGTACTCAAATACATGGTATTGGTGACCAAATATTGGGGCTAGAGAAGTCATAATGTTTTCTACCGATGCAGGTACATCGTGATGTCCACTCTTGGAAGTAGCAGCTGTATGCTTAACAGCAAGAGCCAGTTCTTGAGCAGACAAGACATGAGCGCTAGACAATTCAGTAGCGACTCGAGCTCCATCATAGAAATGAAGCATGGGAGTCTTGTTTACCACTGCAGCGATATGCGTAATTACACCTAAATCATGAGCTTCCTGTACAGAGGCAGAAGACACCATTCCAAATCCAGTATGAGTTACAGCTGCTACATCCGAGAATGAAGTCGATACTTTAAAGGTATTTGCAGTGTCCACTGCTTGTGCAGATACGTGGAAGACGGTGGGCAAGTGTTCAGCAACCATATGATGCATTGCTGGAACCATGAGCTGTAATGCTTCAGACGACAAGAGAGCCGACACGGCCAATCCATGAGCTGCTGCTCCGTGGACGGCAGATCCGGCACCAATACGAGTTGACATGTCAAACACTTGAGGAATCGAGCCTTTAATGTTTAGCGCTGATGATTCGACTAGATGGTGGACGTGATCTGCTACTGATGAGATTGGAGTGACTGGATATACAAAGGACATATCTGATAGTTTATATGCTACTTCGGCAGCAACTGATTGTCCATTGATGACTTCCAGGGCACCTTGACGTTCATTTACCATTGATACATGGTGGAATTCATCTTCATGTTCGTGTTCATGTCCACAACCACATGATTGTTGAACCTTCTTGGTGAGAGCGTGGTCATGTTCTGCTGCTCTTGACTTTACTACTGGTTTTTGATTGACCAAGTCCACTACACGACCAATAACGATGGATTCGATATTCAAGTTTGCGTCTGTCTTGGCCAAGATGGCAGAGTCAGCTAGAGTAGTCTTTAGCACTTGGTGAGCTCCGTCAACGACATGGATGACTGCCACAGGTACAGTTGCTGGATAGTCTAGTTTGGTAATAGCATCCCAAGATAATTTACCACCGCTAACTACAACAGTTCGAGATTCATTATAAGCGGGTACTGAGGCAAAAGTACCATCGCGACGAGTAGCAGGAGTGACCAAGACCTGTTCAGATACACCTGGATATACCAGAGGAATACCAGCAACAGTAGAAGGCACTACAGAAGGATGTACACCGACCAAGTTTTGTGCCTTGTATCCGTGACTGGAAAAGAATTCCAAGTCGTGTACTATATTGTGTCCATTTTCTGCAGCTACGAGACGGACTACTTGAAGACCTCGCTTCAATGCTGGTAGAGCATGGACGGTCAATTCGAGAGGAATATCCGATTCGTTCAAGAGTTGTACTTGACCAGTGATGATTGATAGAATCGAGTTTGGAATATCGTGGTCTGCTAATACGAGATCGGCATTGATGAGCGCCTTATGAGCAGCTACAGTCAAGGTATCGACATCGCCAGTTCCAGCGGACATGATACGAATGGTTCCAGTGGTGTGGCTTGAAGATTGGACTGTTTCGGCGCCACGTTTGAAGGCTTCAACCAACTATTAAGAGAAAGAAAGTAAAAGTATCAGCACTTAAGGCTCCTTTTGAGATATAGGATTGTGAAGTTTGTTTGACATCACAAGCAAAAAAAAACGTCACCAACAGACTATACTCACTCCTTCAATGTCACTCTCAGTCAAACCAGCGAGCGCTTCCATAGGCCATTCATCAGCAATACGGTTTACAAACGCAAACCTCTTTTTAGAGTCAGAATCATCAGCAGCCCTAAGTTTTTGTCTCAACAACCCGACATTGTGTACAGCACGTCCAGCATGTTGAGGAAGAGTAGCCGATATATGTTTACGGATACGATTAGCCAAGCTAGGACCATTCCCGTTGGTAGATACAGATACTTGGAGCTCGTGATCACGGAATGAGCTCATGAGCCAGAAATCCGACAAGTCAGATTCTGTGCTCAAGTTGACTGGCACTTTACGTTGTTTGGCAGCCATTGCAACGTTGCGAGCAGCAGCAGAGTCTTGTAGGGTCACGAATACAATGGATTTGCCATCTATATCGCGGGGCTCAAAGCCTCTGTCAATGTGGATGACTTCACCACGATGGATGCGAGTTAGGAGAGATTGGCACAGCTCCGATTCGTTTGCTACTACAGTAACGTAGGCATCTGCTTCCAGGCAGAATAAGACTCTGGAATCGTCAGTGCCACCGACCACTAGAGCGTTTCGACCTAAGACATGAAAATTGGCTGTTTAGCATGTGTCGGACGTCGTTTTGAACGATCAAGCTTTAGAGTGCTGCAATAGATCTTACCGGCTAGTGCCCAAGAGACCATGAGCGAGCCTCCTCCTCTTGCCAAAGTTGCCATTTTGTTCTAGTTCTCAAAGGTTGAACTTGAAACTTTTTTTACCTTGTCAATGGTCGCAAGTCCAAATTATGACGCCTTACGTTTGTCAGCAAAAAAGCACACAGCAAGACGGCGAGGAGGGATCAATACCAATCTGTTAAGGGTTAGAAACATTTGTAAAATATATAAACGTGAAATTCGCCCTTGATCCCACTTGTTCCCAAGAAACCGTTGTAGCTCAAAATTCCTCTTTCTTGTGCATCCCTATAAACAACCATGCGGCATCCAATCGTTCTATTTCTCACCATAATATGCACTGTATGCTTATCATTGGCTGCTCCAGACGATCAGGAACGTGCCGTGTTGATGGAGTAATGTATATTTTAAGAATTGTCGGTTAACACAATCACACATTCTACTACATAGGACTCCAAATCAAAGATCCAAGTGCTTCACAATATTGACGACAGTGGATTTACTCCACGTGGCATTATCTCCTTCGACACCAAAAAGCTGAAGGCAGGATATACATCCACCTCAGAATCCACATCATTTGCTCCAGACGCCGATTTGATATACAGAATCAAGCTCGTGACACCTGGAGGTGGCGAAATAAAAACTGGTATTAGAAGAGTACGTTCTGTTGGTTAGTCGTGGGAAAGGAGTTGCCGATCTGTGTGTTTGCCGAAGAGTCTCTTGTAAATTGCTCACAATTCTGATTTCACTCTAGTGTTTACTCGTCGCTGCTGGATTCCAGGAAACATTTACAATACATCTAGATCAATCTGGTATGTATGGCCGCGCATTCGATGAGGAGGAGCAAAACAAGCTGGTACCTGCTGCAAAATTATTGTCTTGACACCTTTCTCGCTAGGCAAACCATTCCACGTGGACTATACAGTTCCAGCAAACTCATGCAACAAGAACTCAACCAGCAAATCCAGACGAGAAACCGCTGTATTCAAACCACAAGTCAATATCGTGCAACCTGCAGATGGGGCTAGACCTAGTTATACACCAATGTATGGCATCCACGATGGTGGCAAAGCAGCAGAACAGAACTTTTTGCAAAAGTACTGGATGTACATTATACCAGGTTGGTATTGATATGAGCTTGGGGGTTTTGCCGTACTGACCTTCCTTGCTCTAAATAGCTGTCGCATTGATGTTGCTAACTGGAGGCGCCGCTGAAGAGCCCGCAGCAGCTGGTGGTGCACGGCCTAGGGTGGCGCGATAATATGTACATACATGTGGTTGCTTTTTAAATATAAAATATCACACTGATCTCGATCAATGAGCCATGAGGCTTCTTCACATGGGTACACGTGTATAGACGCGTAACGAAGCTCAAATCAAGGTTATTGTATTTCCTGGCGCAAAACAAAGCTGTGAAGCAGATCTAGTGAAAAGCTTGACCATCGACAAACACTTTTATTGATTTCACAGATCCAATCTGAAATTATGACGTTGCCGTCATATGCCCTCCTACCGACACCTGGAATCTACGTCCAATGTCACTGTGAGCTAGATCCAACGAGCCAACAACAATCCATTCCTAGCTCCAAACATCAGCAGGAAGAACAAATTCATCAAGCCTCAAATACAGAAGATCAGATCCCGAATCCACCTATAAATGCAGATAGTTACAAGCTACAAACTCTACCTAATCTGTATTGGTGTGATTCGTGTCATCAAATCAAATGTTGGAAGTGCACATTGGATCAAGTAGCTTGTTATTTCTGCCCGAATTGTCTGTTTGAGGTGCCGAGTGCTAGTGTTAAGGCTGATCGGAATATGTAAGTTAATGATATTATTCTATTCTTGTACGTCTAAACTGAGTCTTTTTTTGGTCGTTACTGTACATCTTGGTGGGATTTCGCACGCACGCTGACTTTTTGGTATCAATTTAGGTGCGCCCGTAACTGCTTCTCTTGTCCAATATGTGAAACTACTCTAGCGGTGGTAGCATCTATAGAAATAACCGAAGGATCTACACGAGAGTCAACTACAACTCCACCCACACAATCAACCACCACGACAGAACCAGCGCCTCCAGTAACCCACTACTTATCATGTCCAACATGTCACTGGGACTCTCGCCAAGTAAACATCCAATTCGAGAAGCCAACAGGTCTAGCCATGCAACTACGAAAAGGCGAAGACGAACGACCAGACATTAAAGAATTTGATGCTTTAAAGGAATACTTTGATCGTATTATCAAGATATCGGCTGATGCTTCTGCTGCTGCCGCTGCTACGATGAGTAAGAGTATGCGTAGTGGTGGGAGGGGTACTAAAGCCAGGACTAGTATGGGCTGGGCGTCTCTTACCGGTCGTAAATCAGAACGGGCTGAGACTGTCGAGCCGTATAAGACTGGGGTGGTTGATATGCAGCATCATCATGTGGATGAACTTGATATTGCCCAAGGTAGATAATCAGCGTGATCCTCCTGTATTTTTTTTGCACCAACAAAGAAAGGACAATGATACTGATTTCATGATTCTCCTTCAAAATTTTAGTTTCTACACTCCATCAAAGATTACTGCAACCAGAGCATCAACCTAGAGACGTCACGTAAGCGCTTAAGAGTACCTCTAGCCAAAAAAAAAAGCACAAGACAGAAGGTCAATAATGATGCTTCCAACGTAGACAACTTGGACCACGACGAATAAAGCTACGAACAAAACTCACCAGACGGTGTCGTACCTGTGAACATATTCTCATCAAACCAGAGCAGAAAGCCTCAGTCAACAAACTCACAGTGAAGCTCACGGCAAGGTAACAAAACAAAATCCCCGCAAATGCTTGCCTTATTTTGTCGAATCAATCATTTAAACTTACTCGCTGTGTTGGCTTGTGTGTAATAGTGATTTCTTGCCAACCATAACGATTGCTCCTCCGTTTCCATCAACACCCATACTCGAAACCCAACCTGTCCGCTTTGTATTACGATTTGCCAATCCTACAATTCAAGAAATCAGTGTTTCACTTGCTACTGCATCTGCCAATTCGGAAAGTTGTGATGTGCGTTTGAATGTAATGCGGCGGCCAAGCATGTTAGTTGTTTTTTGTTCCTGATTCACACTATTCTTTATTGATCCAGGTGACTATACTAGCTCCAAGCTTTACTATACCCGCTTACAACGAATTGTGGGAATATGATGATGATCCACCTATGCCATCTTCCTACTCTATTGAGCGAGCTCTGCAAGGGTTGAATTCACCTACAGGAATCTATGAGAAGAGAAGGAACTCTACTTGTATTATCGTACAGGTTGTACCTCATGGTGGTCGTATAGAGGTATATGTAGTTGCAGAACCAACATTGGGCAAGTGAAGAGTTCACTTTCTTTCTTTCTCATTTAGTTTCCAGTCATGGTATCCATTACTCGGAATGTTGCGATTGTGACAGCAGATAGTGAAGTGACTGAAAGTACTGGTACGAGTACAACCAAACAGACGACATCGTATTGGGCATGGGTGGCGTTGGGACGTACTGAAGCGTCTGAATCATGATGTTAGAATTTATAACATATTGTATTCGCATAATAAGACATTGTGATATTGCAATCACACTGCGCTTGACGCGTTGCATTCCTCCTCCATTGCTAAAAAAACCATGACAAAGATAATTTGATGACAGAGTAACGACCACACCATGGGTCTTTTTAGATGTTACGTTTATTGCAATCTACATTTATAGAGTGAGGTCGAGGGCCAAAATCACTACTTGTCACACTCTTTTTTCTTATGCTGTGGCAGTAGCAGCCTTCTCTCGTCTCTTGTCACGTTCCTCAGCAATGGTCAATTTCACACCACGACCACGTGGCAATGAAATCCACGAATCCTTTCCATGACCAATGATAAACACGTTCGTCATCCTAGTAGCAAATGATCGATCCATGGCATCCTTGACATGAATAATATCAAATCCTCCAACGTGACGTTCACGATGTGTAACCATTCCAATACGACCTTGATTGCGACCACCAGTAACATATGCGAGATTTCCAATATCGAATTTAAGGAATTCAGTGACTTTGCCAGATTCAACGTCGAGCTTTACAGTGTCGTTTACTTTTACGAGTGGGTCTGGGTAGCGGATTGTTCGGCCATCGTGGGTTACGATGAAGGGGATGCCTTTGCTGCCTACTGTGAGTTTTTTGACTTTGCAGAGCTTGTACTAGGAGATAGGTTGAGTGTGAATTTAGAGGTGACAAAAAGGGGATAATTGATGGTGTATCATGTGTGAAATAAACCAACCTTGGCTTCTTCAGCAGTGATACGGTGAATGGCGAATCGACCCTTGACGTCGTATACAAGACGGAAGTATTCTCCAGTCTTGTCAATAGAGATAACATCTGCAAAACACATAAACATTAGCACCAGCAAAAAAAAGTCCATCGCTTCAAATTCAAGTATGACTGCTTACCCATAAATCCAGCAGGGAATGTCATATCAGTACGGACCTTTCCATCAACCTTGATCAACCTTTGCATGACAATGGCATTGGTTTCCTTGTTTGTCAAGGCATACTTTAATCGATTTCTCAAAAAGACAATGAGGGGGAGACATTCTCGTAGTTTGTGTGGACCGGTTGATGGACGTGGTGCCTGTAAAGTTCATTACATGTGTGTAAGATGACTCTGATGCTTGATGTATTTCCAGCTTTCAGATTGTTCCATACCCAAGTTCCAGTCAGCTTGTCAAGCATCCAATGCTTTGGAGCCGCCAATCGCTTCAAGTGCTTTTTTGGTCCTCTGGCCTGTTATGGTTATTGTCATTTTATATGTTGGTTGTCGTAAAATGGGCAGTTGGATTTGGTGAAGGAGTATGAGGAAATGGAGAATAGGAGAGAGAGAAGAGTTAAATAAGGTCAATACAACGGTGGAATTCAATGTGAAAATGAGCATGTACGCACCATATTTGACTATTGTCTAATGGGAAGAGATGGATGTGTTGGATGTTTTGTCAAGGTGCTTGCCAACAACTTTCTTGCTTTGAGAAAATCACGACACATGAATATGAGAATTTAGAACGACGAGAAGGAGAAGAGACGTGACTCTGAATAATTAAATGAGTGCGTAAAATACATGCTCAGCGGTCCCTCTCTAACTTCTGCGATTCACGAAAAAGATAAAGATTCAACACTGCCACGTTCAGCGCGAACTGTACACGAACAGGGGAGACCAGACATCCATTTAAGCCCCTACCATCAGTGCTAATTGAATTTACAATCGACATCAGTGCTTCAGATCCCACCGATCGCTATGAAAGTTGGACCAAAAACCAAGACAACCATACAAAACACGATACTCCAATTTGCTTTTTAGCATCAAGTATACAATTTTATTCCTTCTGTATTAATATTTTAGACCTTTTCATTACGTGACAGTTGCTCTGTTCCTCCAGTTTAATTGGTTTCGGCGTCATTGGTATCCTTGCGCTCCTCGAATCCTTAGAAATTTGAGCTCTAGAGATATTTCTTCTCATCCGGTATGCTCTTATATTATATTCTATACATGTTCAATTAATTAAAGAGGTTCAACGCACTATGGATAGCAACTGTCTACGACGTTGCGACAAGCAAATTCCTTCCCAACACGGCACAATAAGCAACAAACGCTGCCAACCAAACAAACCCAACAACACCCGACCAAATTCTGTTCCAAGGTAGTCTTTTCCAAAGGCTTCTCCAAGGCTGTCGTTTCCTGTTCATTCCATCAATTACCACGGTAGAAGGTTGAAATTGCTTCTTGTCATTCTCCCGTGTTTCACGATTAACGGTATCTACTTTTACAGTTCGAGTTTGCTTCGCAATAAGCATTTCAGGCACGTCAGCGCAAATTCCTGACACTCTACATAGGTAATTGTTGGTTGAGTCAGAGGTATTTGCGCAAAACTATTTGACCAAGCTTGGGACTTACAGCCAAGACACTGCAACAATACCAAGCTCCGAGTATGTGAAACTGGTGTGCCATGCAGATAAGAGAATCCACAATAATATGACGGGAAATCCTAAAAGTCAAAATATCAGCAAACCGATTCGTATAACCGAGTTCAGCAGCCCTTCGAGCACTAAGACACTCACCGACAAAGACAGCATACAGAAATTCTAATTCTTCCCTCTCTGTTAAACTGCTATTAGACGTTCTGGGAGAACGAGACTGTTTCGGGCTTTCAGGCCATCCCACCAACCGAGGAAACCACTTGAAATACAAAATATTCTTAACAAATTTCACCACCTTTGCAATTCTTCTAGAAGTGTCATCTACGTTTGTTCGTTCGTGCCTCTTTGGGAGATCGTGAAGGACCACAACTCCTTGCGTGTCTAGCCAACAGACACCTATCAACAGATTTACACAAGAGGCTACTGCATATACGGCGACGATATACGGTGCTTCATCCAAGGTTGGAAAGCCCTTTGGCAGAGATGAAATAGAAGATGATGAAGTCGTATTGGAGAAGGCGTAAGCTGATGATACGACTGTCTGGATTCCACTAGTAGCAAGAACAATCCACGATCCAGATACCAAGCCTGCAAATCGTACCCCAGACGACTTTGATAGTGCTCTGTCCGTTTTAATTATATGCTTGATATCAGCAAAGGTTGCGCGTCGGTAGCCTCCTAGCATTTCATTTCGGCTCAGAGCCTTTTGGCCTCGAGGCAGACTGTCCAGTATTAACTTTCGCTCGTCTACTGACACTACTGATACTACTCTGTCTGCGTCTACCATGACTTTGACCCAAGTCTCATCGTCCGGTTCGTCTAAAGCGAGTTGGAAGTGAACCTTGAGTAATCTTCAAAATCGTCATTTTGGTGATATTCCCTGTGAAGTTACCTGATACCAGGATATTATAGTCTACACAAGCACATGCAAGTTGCCAGCTTGAGTCAAACTCCAATTCATCATCAGATTCCCGATCCTTTACAATTCTCCGGATTACAGAAAAGTAATAAAGGGCTTCACCAAACTCCCTTATCGACCGACATGCAGTCCAGATTGGCGACATCATGGCTCGGGCATAACACAAGATGCCTCTAAAAATACTGGCGTTTTTGGGAACACGTACAGTAAATATATGGGAAAGAACCAAAGCTAATGGTGATTTTGAAAGAGCCGTCAAGATTGCTAGAATACTGGGCCCTCCATTGAGAATTACACCTAGCAATACAAATACTCCAGCAAGAGATAAGACCCTGGGTAGCAGGAAGCTCAACACACCTCCAAATTTCTTCCCAACTAGATGCCACTGTCTGCCATCAGTTTCCTTCTTTTTCCGTTCCTTCTCCTTCTGTTTGAGCTCATTGTCTTCCTTCCGTTTCTGCCTTCGTGCTTCTTTATCCTTCTTCTTTTGAGCCTTCCGCTCCTGGCGCAACTGTTTCTGATACTCTCTGTTCTGATCATTCAGCTCTGAATCTACTTTATCTCGTCGTTGCCCCCAAAGCTTCCAAACTGATTGTTCTGGTTCTGGCTTATGGATTACTGGTTGAAATGTCACTGGCCGAGAGGATAATCCATCAGGCTGATAATTCAAGTTCCCAAAGACCGAATGCTGATGTTCCTGACTCTGCCGTTGGTTTCGACTGTGCTGTAATTGGGTTTGCGTTACCACACGGTTGTCGCGATTGCCACTCTGATGGAGAGAATATGCTCGTTTAGGTGGTATCGGAGGATTCTGTTCGTAATTTCGAGACTGAATATTACTTTGGGCTGGCTGATGACGTGTTTGCTGTATGTATAGTGGTTGTCCTAAATGTTGCTGCATCAATTCTGGCGATGACATTCCTCGTCGTGGAGGAATAGGACCGCCATGAGAAGGATAAGGCCGATATTCATGATTATCATCGTGATGGTGGTGACCTGCTTGGTGATTTACAGAGTGTCCATTCGGCACGTTTGAGTACTGGCTAAAGTTACCAAAACCGTTGGAATGAACCGGAAGGTTATAATCAGCTTGCGATGCATGTTCGTAGAGGTCCATTTAGAGAGCTCCAAGTCGATGAATGTTCGGCATTACCGGCGCCTTCTGCCTCTAGCTTGTGTGTTCCGTGTTACCTAGCCAGCCAAACATCATGCTTGCAGTTTTACCTTAGCCCACCCATTAAAACAACGCATACAACGGCCGATACACTACTGATTTAACCTGTTCTGTATGTCTAGACAACCGATGAATCCATACCGAGGTGAGTGGTCGTTCTTGAATACCCTTCCGTCGTTGTTTTCAAATGCTTTTGGTACTCACAGCACCTCATCGTAACTGACAATCTCCCAAAAAAATCGGATTGTTATAGCGGCCAGTCCAACCTATGCTGATCCATACCAGCCCAATGATTACCAGATGAATCAGTATCGCCAACAACCACAGCAAGGACGCAATCGTCGTTACGAAGACTATTACGGTGACGACGAGCCTCAATACTCTCAGTATCCTCCAAATCAGAATGTGCAACCTCAAAGTTACTACGGTCAAGGAGACTACTACCACGATTCTCCTCGCGAGCAACAACAACGTCATGGTCAGCAACCCACACAAATCTATGCCGCAGAGCCAGAAATGTATATAAAACAGCAACCTAGAGCTCAACGAATGCCTGAAGCGCCAAAAACATCAAGGAAATATGCTGATGAAGATGAGCCAAAGTACGCTCCCAATAATGTTGTTGTTGTGACAAGTAACAACAATAATAATAACAATAACGGAAACGGTGACACTAAACAGAGTGCCGGAGATGGACGGTGGAGCAGTGGACTGTTTGACTGTTGTAATGATTGTGGAGGATTCTGTTTCGCTTGCTGTTTGCCGTGTGTGGTGTATGGAGAGGTTAAATCAAAACTTGGCTCTGGATCATGTTGCGCGTAAGTCATTCGAACAGAGCACAAGCTCATAAGACCAATATCTCAGACCTCTCACAAATATAGATGGGCCTGTTTGTTCGTGCTAGTTCCGTTTCCTGGATGTCTAGGAGGATGTCTGCGTGGTAATGTCAGAGAGAGATTCAGCATTAATGGCAACTGTGAGTTTTGAATTTCGCTTTGGATGATCATAAATCGTGAAAGATCCCTAACACAACTTTACAAACTCAGGTTTCAATGATTGTTGTGCTCACTGTTGTTGTGGACCATGTGCACTATCTCAGGAAGCACGAGAAATGAACAGAAGAGCTAAACAATAAAAGCAAAGTATCCTTGGGAATACCTGGGGGGATTAAAGAACATTCACAAAAAATCAAGATTTGCTGGTCAAATTTACAATTTCATTCTTAATATATACAATTTCAAAAGGTAAATTCATCTCTACATATCTGGTTCTATGTCAGCGTAAATTGGCACCTTTTGTTGCATCGTATGATAGCACCATGACCTTGTTTACTTCGAACTGATATACCGGCCAAGTGGTGAGCTCAAACAAGACGCCTACAAGGATTAGCGCGATGCTTCAGTTTCAGAAGAGCAGAAGTAAGAGAACACAGCGTTCCCACTCACATCAAAAGATCCATCTGGATTGGGATGTTTCTCAAAGAGATGATTCAGCACATCAGTTCCTTTAGCTCTACTGCATCCAACACACTTGATGCAGCTAAATGCGAGCATATTAAGCTGCTTAGCGTTGAGTTGATGCCGTTCCGATATATACATATACACCAAATCTCGCTGTCGACAATAGTCAGTATACAACTCCTTGACCACTACATTCCAACCACTGGCATCACTGATACGAGGTACGTTAACAGCCTGTTTTATCAGTATCATTGTGGGATAATAGCCCAACAGACAACGTCTGTCTTTTTGGGACGGTACTATTGAGTTGACTATTTTTGTCACGAGTTCACGACGAGCTTCCTGAACTTCCGAAAAAAGAAGTGGCTTGTATGGCATGAGACCTCCTTGAGGTGGCATCAAAAGAGACAATCCGGTCTAGATGATGTTTAAATAGTGAGTGAGATTGTAGGAGCTCGCCAAAGTGAACACAAATAGACAGCAAACTTACAAAATCAGCATGATGACGATTCAAAAAGTGAGCTGTAACGTCGTCTAGACTCGTTCCTGCTGCAGCTCCATAATTACATTTGCCACATTTGAAAGCCAACATCGAGACATCTGTTACATCGGTATTTAATAATCGAGTCAATGCCACTCGTCGAGCGCTATGTAGCTTATCACTCTGACTTTGAATCAAAGCAATCATTCTTGTCCTCCACTCTTCCGACATGGCATCAGCACTCGTTGGAATAATGATTCTGGGATCCTGATCACGAATCCAGGCCTGCACTTCTGCTAAGTTTAGAAATCCAGGTGTAGTCAAGAAGAGACCAGAAGCAAACGACGGTTGGGATCCTAAGCGAGCTACAAGTCTAGGATAGAAGTTCTCTAATTGACGTTGTCTCGTCTTGCTAAACACTCTGGCGACTTCAGGCTGAAGCTTTGCCAGGAGCAACATCCAATCTGATTCTGTGAGCAATGCAGGTTCCGTTATGGCTCTTTGATAGCTTGTGCAGTTTTCTATAAGATCCTCCGACCATCCTTGAAGATGTCTGGCTCTATATATTATATCTCTTTTGCGTTGCAGTTGTAGATGTCGATTGTGCTCGTCAATAAAGCACAAGCCATGTGCCTCCATTCCGGATAAGCGGGTCACTTCGTCGTTGTCATGAATATCGCCACGTATTTTGGCACTGCGCGACGAAAGATATTTGAGTTCAGCCAAACATGCAGCGAAAAGCATTGATCCACTCACCAGGCCGTTCTGCAGAAAGAACAGACACGCAGCCGTACGCACCAACTGACTTGATCAACGACACATGCGCGGCACTTCATACACTTTCGACCAAATATTAGGTGCAAGACATCCTTCCTCGAGAGATCGAAAACCGTTGAGCCTACGGCAATCATACATTAGCTTTGTTCGTTCGAACGTTTTACGAACTGAAACAAACCAGTAATCTGAGAAGGGCCAACATGACTCCACATTTTGTACTCAGAAATCACCTGCGAAAAGCGCAAGGTGGCCATTTCCAATCTTCCAAGCGTAAAAATGTCCACTCTAGTAGAAGGAACGAAAGGGTTTGGAATCAGCGATGGATATTTCGTTGAGTTTGTAAAGCTATAACAAAACACGTACAGCTCAAAGATTTGATGGAGTAGCTCAAACGGCAGAGCATTCAGAGTCACTAGAGCGGTTTCAGTAACTGACATGCTCGCTTGATCTTGCAAAACCCCAAGCGTTTGAGCTTGATCCAGTTTTTGTCTTTGATTCCCACATTGAATTTTGACACCTTGATCTACAAGTCTTCCCAGCGGAGAGTCCTCATGAATTTTGAAGCTCATCATAAAGAGATCTGCCCCCAAAGTTTATGCGTTTGTCTCTCCTATGAATGCTAAAAAGCTTAAAACATGTGAGGAAAACTGGTCAAACGTGGAAATTTTGTCAAAAGAGGAGGATGGACAAGGATTGTTTCGATGTTAAGACTTGCCCTACCTCGCACAGACCCAGACTAGCAGTTCCTTCGAGCAGAATCGTATGATGTAAATGTTGTAAGATTTGCTAGAATCGAGAGAACTACAGACTACTGACGAGAAATGAATTAGAATCTGCCGTGTTCTACCAGTCCAAAGGATCTACAAAGGAAGCTGAGGCACTGAAACCACGCGTGTTCTCTAGACAATTTCTATAGTGGTTGGTCGAACACAGTTAGACGATGTGGCGATAGCGGTGATGCCACAAGATGTACAATTATCAAACATTTGTCTATATTCGGTCCCTCTGAGAACCTGGTCGCTAATGTTGAAACTCTAAAAGGCGCCGCCTGCTTTTCGACTCTAATCAACTCGACAAGGAATTTACAGCAAAACAACCAGGAAGCTTTCTTATCAAGTAATGCGTGTTTATTCTGCTATTACATTTATACTTCAAGCAACCTTTCAAAAGCACTCATAATAAGCACTCTTCGCCCTCCCTATTTGAATAGATGCCAAACACCACACCACATCAATACTTGGAATAGCGTCTTTCGTGGCATGGTACCTAAATTCCAGGTTTTGCTTCAATGCCCCAGTCACAACCTTCACATTTGAAGGCTACCATATGTGATGCCCTCAATATGTCATCACTTTATCGTTCCTGTAATACAAGTTGCCGAGCATCATATGACTCTTGATGCGACAATAGACTTTAAGCGTTCCCTCCATTCTACTGACATGGTTTCGACACTCTCAGGGAAGTCGATACTTCCAGTTTCGTTTCCAGTGCATATCTGCACTTCTGGCAAATCGATAAAGCGGGATTTGTACGGAGCAAGGGAAGAGTCAAGTGGATGATCGATTGACAAGGTATTCAAAAAGTCGGGATATAGGTTTAGGAGTTTCTCTTTGCGTTCAGCCATCAATATTTTGATCATCTCGGGCCTGAGATTTTCCTTAAGAACACTCCATTCCTCTTTTCGCGAGACACCTGTCACTCTTTGTACCCCAAATAACTTATATGTAGCTTTCGCACTTGGAAAGCATATCGTAGACCAGCCTAACGGGGCGGCGTTGCGAAGGATTGCTCATTTGAGACGTTCTCGTGCCCGCTGCCCCTCCGTGTGAAGAAGTGACCAAGTAGAGTTATCCACAGAAGAAAAACGCCAGTCTTCATCGTTCACGAGCCTTCCACGCTCCTTCTAGTCTCTACATAAGGGAAAGTATACGTTGCGGACACAATCATGTGCTTGGTTTATGATGACCTACAGAAGCCATTGATCGTAATTGCCCTTTTCAATGGCAACATTGCGAGCTTGCATAGCCACTGTTACGTCTTCATTGAGGTAGGTATCAGCACCAAGATCGTCAAAATCATAGGACCAGCTTGCTTGGAATGGCAGGCCGTTCAAGACTTCTTCTGGAACACCTTCTTCGTAGAGCTGAAGAACAGTCTTCGCGCTAGAGAAACAATTCAACAAAGTGATTTAGTGATTTAGGCGTAGATACAAGTGCCAAAAACCAATACGACCAAGTACCAATTTCGGAGGCAAATTGAACAGAGACGAACTCACAAAGCCCATGTTGTATAGCAGCGGAATAGGTACATTGGATCATCACCAACGCGATCACTGCACTTCGTACAGCTTCGACCAAGCGCCAATTTGAAGACATCCTTTCGAGAGAGTCCCAGATTCTTGGATTCTGATTTCCCAGGAGTCAGTCCAAAGTACGCTTGCAACAAAGTTCCTTGAACCGCATCCCCTACAAGTGATTTCAGACGGCCCAATCTTTCCCCCCCGCAACTTCTACCAAAGCATGGAGGTCTTTACAAGTAATCTCCAGTTGACCGATAGAATAGATATCCAATCTAACGAAATCGAGCAATTGGGTAAGAATGCATGAGGTTGACTTTTGACACTTTGTTGATGCACTCACAAATCAATAATCAGAAGCTTCAATTTAGGTGCCAAATCCATCAATTATGGTTCAACAGAAACACTGATATCTTCAACCTTACTTGACGACTCCCTCTGTTCTTCAAATGTTGGAGCTTCTTTCTTGACGGGTTGATGTTGACGACCAGAGACAATATTCATAGAAGGAAACTTGGTTTCGGATTCCACAATCATATGATCCAGGTGGACGTACGATTTACCAGCGGCGACCGCTATATTCCTTGCTGTTGCATTCGTGATTTGATTGACTTCAAGCTCAAGAGTCAAACAAGCGTTGACGATGTTGAGAGAGTGTTTCTCTCGAGCCTACAGCTATATATAAGAAAGTAAACTGACAAATGGTGCTGCTTATGCGTATCCTTTGGGAGCGATCGTTTTCATTGAATTGCAAAATGGTGCCAGTCAACCGCCATACAGTCAGGTCAGAAGAGGCGAGTAAATATTTTGTTGGACTTACGAGACGTACAGAGTACAGAGCAAAGATATAGCGCGTCTAACACGAAAATTCAGTGCATCGAAAAGCGATGCTATCATCGCAGCGCATTAGCACAAAACACACGAGGTTCTAACGCGAAAACCGAGAACCAGTAGCATAGATTTTGGCCTAATCCCATTTGATAATGGAGGTACCAAACGAATATCAAGTACTAGATGCATCCATTTGAGGTGTTTTTCAACCAATCGTATCCGTAATATTTTACCGTTGACTCACATCGAGACTTCACGCCGATTTCTCACGGTGAGCGAATTTCAAACCTACAAAGACCCACACAATCAACCTTCAATAAGGAACAATTTGCAATTATTAAAACTCTAGACACGTAAGTTGTGCTTCTAATCTCACCTCTTTGAAAAAGCAATTTTTCAAGCAATTTTTGAACACAACTTTTTCACCAACAGACGCACGTAGACCGCACACTATACAATGGAACACTACTCATACAATACAGACAAGGAAAATGCTCACAAAAAGCGAGAACTCCTTCGTAGAGAGCAAGATTCTTATGTCTATACTCAGGGGTAAGTTTGGTTTGCTGCAGATGTCAGATCGAGAAAAAACCACACCGCGTGACGGTTGATGAATTTGTCCTTGTCTACCTATTAAACTTGCTTCGAATTTGAATTGGAACTGCCCCGCTAACTGTTCCATACTCACGTTTAGAGGAAAAGCTGCTGCATTATTCGGATCAGGAGCTGTAGCTGCATCGTTTTTACTCGAACGCATCTCGCCCTTCTACCATCGATTGAGGATCCCCGCTAAAGCTTTCCTCTTTGCTGGTGTCGTCACCGTAAGTGCCCTTGTTGATATCGTTGCATGTACCCTCAAAGTTCTTGTGTTTTTTTTACTTGTCACCAAACTCACCCTCAAACCTTCAAAAAGGCATCCTTCTTCACAGCCGCAGACCGTGCGGCAATCGAAGTTGACCAGAAATTCGCAAAGCAATACTCTCACGTCGACGTGGAACAAATAGAACAAATCCTCGAGGCTCGTAAAAACGCTAAAACGTTTAAATGGACCACAGATGATCTTTCGGAGCAAATAAAACTTCACCGGTACAAGTTGGTGGGTGGATTATGGTCTGGTGCTATGATCGGTACCTTGTGGTACAACTGGAGGAGGTATGATTGCAACACCCGAAAGGTTTTTTGTCACGGTTTTTGCTAAATTGCTATCCTGACTACCTTTAGAGGTGATATTACAACGGCCCAGAAAGTTATCAATGCTCGTATGATGTCACAGTCGTTCGCTCTCGCGGCTTTCACAGGCTTCGGCAAGTTGCATTAGGCATTGTGAACCATAGGTTTTTTTGCTTACGATGTCTACTAACACACACAACCTACTTTCTTTAGCTCTCGCATCAACAGTCACCGAACCAGAAGAAGCCCATGATCCGCATTACGATCTCATTGTATATGGTACCTCTGATGTAGCAAAGATCCACGAAATGAAGGCCAAAGCCATGATTCTGCCTCAATAAGCAATGAGCTTCGACATCCTACAGAACAATAAACAATATCACACCCTCTCTCGCCATTTGTACATCAAGTACAAAAACCCCACTCTTACCCACGTCTTTTGTATCATAATTTGGCCTGTCTGAAATAAAGCAAACTCCCTGTTACATTCAAACAATGTTGTCTGCCTTCTAAGTGGTTCCTCTTTATCATTTTACTTCAATCACTCGCGTTATTGCTGACTGCAAGAAAGGAAAGAATTAGATGTGATCATGACAACTGCGACTCGTAGTGTCTGTTGGCTCTTTCACTTGAAACAATTTGCTCTTATTGGCGTATCAAAAAAGAAACTTCATATATTAAACATACGATGCCAAATCAAATAAAACAAGCAATAACTACAAATTGGGTTGAGTAGATGGTTTACCATTCCCAGGCTCGTCAAAGTCTCCTCGTGGTAATCGTGGTCTACTTTTCACTGGTCTGCTTAATGGCTGAAGACGAGATGGATTACTACCCAGAGTTGATAAGGCATCAGAGCTCATTCTGATATTGTGCTGTGAGAAAGATGTGAATTGTAAGCAACTCGTCCGGGAAACCATCTAGTTGTTCTTTTTGCTAAAGTACCAACCTCTTGAACAAGCTGCTTCAAGTCCTCCAACCTCTTTTGAAGTTTAGGAGCCTCAATCAATTTCTGCTCTAAAGTATTCTTCTCTTCCTGCAACGCTAAGCGTCTCTTTGCATCCAGTTTCGTAAACACATATCCACCTTGACCATCATATTGCAAAATCCAGTTATGGTATTGCCAGAGCGATGGTCGATGCGATACAGTTAAGAGTGAAATGCCAAGCTTTTGTGCATGTGTATACATGATTCGTTCAATGTCCATCGAGACAGAAGATGTGCATTCGTCGAGAATTGCATATCTTGGTGTATGATACTAGTGAAAGGTTTAACAAGGTTTGAAAAAAGAGGCACTGATAGTAGTACCAAACCACAAGCAACGAACTTACAAACAATCGAGATATAGCAACACGTTGTTTGTCACCACCTAAATTAGTTTAAAAGCTCGAGTGTGAGAAAAAAAAGTAATTACACGATGAAAATAAAGGCTTCTGACCAGCTAGGATATCCTTCCAATCTTTTTCAGCATCAAACCCTCCTTCACGTTCTACTATATGAGATATTTCCACTACTTTCATCAGTTCAAGCAATTGGACATCGGTGACACCTTTTGCTTGCATTTCTTGTAGTGTATCAGGATAGATTATTTGATCTCGTAATGTTCCAAGTGATAAACTACGAGAAAGAGAGAGATTGGCTATTTGTTACCAAAAAAGCCCCATAAACGTGATTTTACGTACTATGGCCGTTGCGGAATGTAAAAGATATTCTTTGGATCGGGCTTTGCTACGATGCCTCCGTACATCGGCCATAAGCCTCCAAGGATTCGAAAGAGTGAGGACTAGTAATTGAGTTATAAAAGCCGGTGAGGCAACACCCCCAAAAAAAGACCACATTGGATCAAGACCTCAAACGACAGCTTTGCTCCATTAAAACACATAATCCTGAATACCACCTTCGGTTTTCCTTACCTTTCCCGATCCATTTGGTCCAACAATAAGTAGATGCATGCCCTTCTTCACATTGAAACTCAAACTACTAACCAATAAATCCCCATTCGGACTAACAATAGGCACATTCTTGAATTCAATGATATCAGATTCAATAAATTCACCACGTTGTTGCAACAGGTCTGTATTGGCATTAGACACCAATCGTTTTTGAAAGACTCCCTGTTCGATATCTTCGAAAACATCAAGTAGTTCGGAGACTCGAGCAGTGTATCCAGCAAGCTCTGAGACTTCTTTATAACTGTACATAATACGACCGACGGCGTCTGATGATGATAGGAGTAACCTCCTGTTGGTTACAAATCCTTGTGTTCGGCTGCCCAAGTCTCCAACTTTGGCTTCTGTGCCTGGGACTTCAAAGAATACTGAAAAGGGTAGAAGACAAGGTGAGCAAAAAAATATCCCAATGAACTTCAAATTCCAGATATTTACCAGGGACGGCACACATCACCTATTGATAGAGGGTGTTAGTATGACTGAAAGCATTCAGGCAGACACCGGAATGAACGACAATATTACCATTCCCATAGCGCCCCAGAAGTATCTTGATTAAAAAAACTGTGTCAGATTTTACCTATGGCTCTATGTAAAAAAGCAGGGTCGTACTTGATCAGGAAGTCCTCCAACATTGTATGCCATATCCTGGTCCGACTAATCCGATTAATATGCTTGATCAACCCTTTTGTTGTGTGGACAAGGGTGAGAGAGAATTCAGTAATTCTGACAACGCCTAAAAACCCGAACTTCATGTACACGCATACCTTCATATCCACGATCCAATATACTCTTCTCAACATCATGACCAGCATACAACGCAATCTCCTCAGCATTCTCAATCAATCGACTATGTGCAAATCTAAACTCCCCCTCCAATCGTGCTTCTTCAGCAGCATATTTCCCAAATGGTGGAGTCATGACTCGTAATATATATGCTGAGTAATTGACGATTATAAATGAAGCGAATACGGATTCGAATCCGACATTGTTTGATAGTTGGATGTTGTATAGGATGGTATCGAGGATTGGTTTGGCGAGGTTTGAGTAGATTTCGGAAACTTTTTGAGAGAATTGTGCCACGTCTTGCGTTATGATTTGATCTGCGTTCTTTATTCTGTCGTCCAGATTCCCAACCTAGGCAAAAACGAGGATATAGACACGACAAGACGATAACAAGGACGCTCCCCTCATACCGCAATCTTTCATACCTTATAAAAAGTCATATTCTCAAGATACTTGTCATGTAAGAAATTCGTAATCCTCGTCCTAAACAGAATCGCCAGCTTGTTTTGAAACCACGTCAACATTGAGTTCGTATACGTAGCAGGTATAGCAACAGCCATCCAGCTAATAATCCCAATAACAAATCCTCTGCCTTGTCTCCTCACAAGTGCTGACACGATTTCACCATCAAGTTGAGCGACGTATAAAGATAATACAGTTCGAAGGATCAAGAACCCAGAGAAGGCATTCAAGAGCCAGAATTCTTTAGACTGGACTCCTGGAATCAATATAGGGATGAGACGGGCCATGCGGCCAAAGAACACGGCGTCGACATCCGCACGTGGGCCATCTCCCTTCTTCTTTCCTTTACCACCAGTAGTAGCAGCTACATTATCTACTTGCTGCAATGGAGATTCTGATGTAGACACTTTCTGCGATGATGATGGTGGTAAAGATGGCAATGGTTTCTCACTTCCAACTGCCGGTTTCTTCTTCATACTCGAATCAGATACGCCACCGCCACCAGCAGCACTAGATCCTTTAATCAATTGATCTTTTAGCGACAGTCTACGTACAGATCCCTGCTTCTTGCCAGCGACAATGACGCTCCTTACTCTCCAGATTAGACTTGCAATCAACCATGCGAGGAATCCATTTGAGAAGAAGGAGCGATAGGACCAGTAGACAGAGACTATTTTACTGAGTATCGGAGGGAGATGGATCTGAATTTTTTGCTTGTTTACGGTTGGAGTCGACATTGTTTTGTCGTTGTTTGAATTTAAATCCAACCCTGTTTTGTTGTCGATTCCGTTGGTATATGTGGATCTAAGCGGGCTGCCGGATATAAGATGTACCTATAAATACACAGGTTAAGTGTGATCTAGCTCGAAATTAGAAAGTTTTCCTCTATGTTCTGCCGAAGTTGAATTATCACGTTCCGAAAAATCAGAGAGCGCAAACCACATGTACAAGGACGACGACGAACAGCAAAATTAAATTGAGACATCGAGTTACGCGTTCCTGCTGGATTGAATGATTGGACTTTCAGAGCACGATCCGTGCTGGCAAAACAGTACTAAACTGGCAAAGATTCCTTCTTACAGACACGACTCCTTTATATTGTTCTTCCTCTCTTCTTCTCTTCTACAATAGCATGGTCATAGGCTTTTCCAAATACGACTTAAACTTTTGTAGCCATTGTGCACTCACTGCACCATCAACAACACGATGGTCTGAGGATAGAGTCACATACATAACATTGACAACTGCAAACCCTTTCTCTGATGTTTCGTCAGGAATAACTTTCTTGTCCGAGGCTCCAACTGCCAAAATGGCTGCATGTGGAGGGTTGATGATGGCTGTAAAGTCATGGATGCCATACATTCCAAGATTTGAGATGGTGAATGTTCCTCCCTAAGAGTGAAAAGAGAGGAGATGATTAGATATAAAAGCGGTGTTCATAATGCATCGAAACAAACGAATTTAGATTCAGAATTCATTCTAGGAAGATAAGAGGAAATTTTTTCGTCCATCGTACTTGATATTCATGAGGTGCCAGCTTGTTGGCTCTTGCACGAGTAGCTAGCTCCTTCATAGAATTCGATATCGTGGAAAGACCTTTAGTTTCAGCAGCAGGTATAATAGGTGTAATGAGACCATTGTCTAAAAGTGAAAAAAGGTAAGAACGAAAAAAAAAAAAATGATTTCGACAAATCATCTCAATAATGCACCTGTAGCAACAGCCACAGCGATATCAGACGACACAAATCTATAAAGTAATCGAAATGCGAATCAGTATTTCTGTCCAACAAAACGAAAAATTGGTTCTCAAACAGGATACGTTACCGTCTGATGTAGGTATCTTGCCAAGAGCTATTCACATCTGGTACATCCTTCAAGGCCAAACTAGCTGCCTTGACAACAAAGTCATTGATTGACAGTTTGAACTTGCCATCAGCACCACCATTCAGTTTTTCCCTCAATCTGAGAAGCAAAGATTGGTTATTTCTCTGTGGTTCTTTTCCTTTTTGTTACGAGAAATTGATAACAAGTTTACTTGAGGACTTCATCCACTTTGACTTCCATGGTTTCATAATAATGAGGAATAAATTGCTTTGATTGTTGTAGTCGAGAGGCAATAACCTGACAGATGTAAATATTTGGTTAGAGGGCAAAGAGGAGTTAAGCACGGGGGTATAATCGTTCACCTTTCGAACATTTGTCAATGGAATATCGACAAAGCTTGCACCAGGGGCTGGTGTTGGCGGTGGTAGAGTAGCCTTTGGTGGTGCTGAAGCAGCAGCTGGTGCTGCTGGAGTAGCTGCTTGTGTAGGAGCTGGAGCGACAGCAGGAACTGTTTGTGCAAAAACACATGAATTTGCATGCGTTCATCGAACAACTCGCAAAACTCCACACAACTTTACCATACGATTCCACATCAGACTTGAGAATACGACCACCTGGACCTGTTCCAATAACCTTTTCAAGAGAGATACCTCGTGAAGCAGCAATAATTTTGGCAGCCGGACTAGCCATCACACGATCAGAGACTTTGAATGGATCTGAAGGAGGAGTAGCTGGTGCAGTTGATGGAGCAGGAGCAGCTGCGGCAGCTGGTGGTGGAGATGATGGTGCTTCTGGTGCTGGTGGTGGTGGTGAAGACGATTCTGGTTGACCCGACGGAGGTGATTTTGGTGGTTCGGTAGAAGGACCCGCTTCAGGTGTATATGTTGCAAACTTTTCTATATCTGACTTGTTTTCCACCAATACAGCGATGGCCTATAATAGCGTAATAACAGAAGGGGCGTTTTAGCTATAAGAGACAGCCAAAAAAGTGGATTGCGTATGGCTTTATGTATGGCACTTTGCTACCTTGTTGACAGGAACATCCTTTTCACCACCAGCAATCAGAATCTTTGCCAAGAAACCTTCATCTTGACATTCAAAATCCATTTGAGCCTTGTCTGTTTCAATCTCTACAAGTACATCACCAGGAGATATCTGATCTCCAATCTTCTTTTGCCATTGACCAAGGTTTCCTATACAAACGTTGCAAGATCAAGATCTGGAAACCTTCCATCGTTCAATGCGTGTACATTGAATTACCCATGGTCATAGTAGGTGAAAGTGCAGGCATATTCACCACAGTGTGTGGAGGATAGGCTATTTGAAGTTTTGACAGATGTCAAGTTTTTGGAAAACAATCACGAGAAGGAGCGATAGCAATCATGTCGTTGAAATAGTTCGTTATCAATAACCGTACCAGACGCGTAACCTCTCTTTTGTTGTGCTCGATATAGCACATCTTGCGAAGTGACAGGAATGTACTGTATCCTAGTATGAAATCAAAATCAATGTCAGCCAACTTAACGTAATGCGACAGCGATTAAATCAGAAAGAACTCAATCTAAATTCTTCTTCGTTGTAAAAACAAACATGTTCACCTTGCTCTCTGTATGGCAAATGTTCCAACCTTGTTCAAATGAAGAGTTCGAGAGCATGCCAAAGCTGCACTGCTTTCTCCGGTAGCTCGTAGTGCAATCTGTAATGCATTGCGAGGCACTCTGGAATTCCTTAAACACGTCGCCATTTGTTGATTATTGAACTATCTTGAAAGTGTGCGATTGAGCAAATCTTCAAGTCTGTAGCTTGAACTTTCAAGCTATCAAACCACCCTTAACAGACAGAGAGAAGAAAACTACGTGTATAATCATTATACTAAATTACATTTTCTATTTAAAACACGTAACTCGTTTATATATAGCCCAAAACTCCTCTCTTCAAACCAAAAAAGGCTTCTCGATCGTCTAGGATCTTGCCAAGTGCTTCAACACACAATCTTACATCCTCAAACGTATTATACAATGGAGCAGGTGATATCCTAATCACATCAGGCTTCCTCTCATCACACACAATCCCCTGCTGCAAAAGAGCATGATGAACTGCCTCCATATTCCTTCCTTGTAACAACACAGACAGCTGACATCCACGTTGCAATGGATCTCGTGGCGTTATAATCTTGATATACGGTGATGACAACTTGTCCAACAAGTGTTCTAGATATCCTGTCAGCAACAGGGATTTGGCTCGTAGTTCCGCCATCGATGTCTTGTCAAACACTGACAAGGAGCCCATAAGTGCTACTGTTGTCAGCACTGCTGGATTCGAGACACGGTATTGATTGGCACCATTTATAGGTTTAAAATCATGAGACATAGCAAACTTGGTGGTTGGATCTGTTCCCCACCAACCCAGGAACTTCGGTAGTGTCGAGTCTGATGCATGTCGTTCATGTACAAACGCACCGCCTTGATTTTAAAGGAAAAATCGTCAGTGAGTTTGAAATGTCAAAATGTCATGCAAAAAAACCAATCAACAAGAGCTTACCTATGCCACCAGCTCCTGAATTCAGATACTTGTATGTACACTATGAGCAAGACAAATAAGATTCCATGCGATACCGACCGTATTCAGTTGCTCATACCCAAGCTGCGAAATCAACATTCCAATCGTGTAATTGTAACGGCACATTTCCAACAGCATGTGCTAAATCAAATCCGACGACACATCCCTACAAGAAATAACATCAATTGACCATCACCTTACTCCATGATTTATACGGATGCAAAAGGCAAACCTTTTCATGTCCAGCTCTCGTAATAGCTTGCATGTCAAACAATTGACCTGTATAATACTGAACTCCACCAAACAAGACCAAAGCAATAGAATCACCATCCTTGTCTATAGCCTGTAAAATATCGTCTGTGCTGATGTTCGATTCTCCATCTCGTAGATTCACCGTTATGATAGATGGCAATGGGTCGTAGCCATGGAATTTGATTTGAGATTCAATCGCAAACTAACACGAGAGTGTTATAAAGAATTCTGAATTGCTGTAAAAGACACGGCATGGTAATTTACGTGATCAGAAGGAAAGCATTTGGGTTCCATGAGTATCTTGTGCCTTGTTGATGTTGGTCGATAAAACGATACCATGAGGAAATGTAGGTTGGCTGTTAAGCTGTTCATGACAGCAACTTCAGATTCCTTGGCACCTATTAGAGAGTTTGAGTAATTGCAGAAACAGAGGCTGACGATTCTTTAACCGTTTTACCAACAATCTTTGCGGTTGACTGGACGACGTGATCATCGATCAAAGCCCATGGACGATTATGAGGATGATCAAAGTGACCATTCACACCTCTGCAAAAGAAGGATATTCAGTCAGCGAGCCTTTCTAATCCAGACCAACACGAAAGTCGATGCTGACCTATCAGCCCAGACATGTAACTCCTCACTAATCAATTCACGAGTTCGTTTAGGCTGTAAGCCCAACGAGTTACCACAAAGATATATACAGTCTTTTTGTAAGAAACCTTCATCTTTCCTCCCTGTATTGAAAACAGTGTCAAATAATATGACTTCACACAAATGTTTGCAGTCAGCACTTTCCTGGAGCATCATCAGGCACTACTCCACGTTTCTTTGGTATCAGAAACTCGTTTCGCAAATGATTTAACGGGTCCTTTTGGTCTAGAATTGCTGCGAATTTGGGTGATCTGGCATCGAGTTTGGATTCATCCAACAAACTTTGGAGAGACTCTAGAGTGGATTGGAAGTTATAAAGAGGTTTCGTAATCTGAAGAGCCAGAATGGTCATTGCTTCTCTTGACTCACCAGCCATTGCTTTTGTCATTAGAACACTGTCTGTCAAAATAGGACTTTCAAAATCCTACAAGCTGACAGACGTGCCAAAGCTTCGAGACTCGGCACTAATGACTCTGCCAAGCTATATTCCTACATCCTTAACGACTATTCCGACGTGTTTCTCGCGTCCGAAATCAGAACTTTGGGCCGATAGCCGTCCAACATCAACACGACTTGTAGTAATTCGTTTTTAATGAGGAAGGCGATCTATATTGCTACTACATCTATGAAATTCTATGTGTGTGTTACTTTTAAGTTGACTGTGCTCTATGTGGATGATGCTACCCATGATGAGCTATTGTTTGCCACTTGCACGTTTGGCTTGCTGGATATCAGAGAGGATCCGAGACGTTACAGCTAACAGGTGTTTACATTTCCGACAAACATCGCGGTCACTGAGAATTGAGGAGAGGCAGTCTTCACAAATAGTGGATCCTTCTCCGTCATCCTTGCATTTATACTGTGGTATATCGTAAACCGGTTGGACGTATGTCATAGATTGATCATGCGTCAACCAACTATGCATGCTGTTGTTTGACATCATGAAACCGTTTGGATTATAAGGTGTCGTGCCACTCAATTCACTTCCTGGGTGAGAATGAGTAGTAGATGGCGTGTTAGATTGTTGTGACGATGTTGAGATTGACATATTAGTGCGGTAATCATTCAAATGATCCCACTCGGTGTCGCTGTCCTCAGACTCTTGTTTCACTGGCGCTTTTAGGGATTGTTTACGTGGCTTTTGGGAGGCGATTTGGTCAAGGAAGCTATTTATTTCGTTAAGAGATCGTTCAGCACTCATAGTGGGATGGTTTTACGTTGTTTATAGAAGAGATGGAACTACTTATGGTCTTGGGTGAAGGGTGGAGGATTTTGAAGGCGTTGAGTGTGTGAGTGTTTCTGATGAGGTTGTACGCACAGCTGTTGTGTACAGACACTTGAGCACATATGTGCGCACACTTGAACCTGAAAGATCTCTGGACGCGTCTCTTGTACGAAGGTTCTTATTTGGAATATGAACTCGATGGAGTTGCCAAACCTGCAACTTGTCATCAACAGTTGTTCATAAATCTCTCATTTCAAAAGTTTTATAGTTATTAGATTTCGAATATAATTTATCTTACAAATACGCGCTTCCAATCATCAACGGTTCGCGTTGGTACATCACGCTAAACCTTGGTCGCAAACTCCCAGAACAAGCTAAAGTTTCTTCAAATTAAGACCCAAAGGCGTTCAGGATATATCTAGCTGTTATGACAGTCGATTCAATCAGTAAGCACAACCTATTACACCATTTCCTCCGTTGAACGAATCATGACCAGACTTTTTTTTCTGCAAAGATTCAATCCCAGCTGACGACGTAGACGATGTCGATGGAGAGGAAGATGAAGATGAGGATCAATGGGATGATTGGCAAGATGATGAAGTAGAGGACGCTCAATGTTTGTTTTGCAGTAAGATGGCCAAACCAAAGGACATTTTAGAACATTGTCGAGTCGGCCATGCCTTTGATTTGAGGCTTGTAAAGCAGGCATTAGGTACAGTAATCGTCGCTTTAAGTGTCAATTTAAAGGCTCTTTGTTCAATTGGGGTTTGCATTGAAGTGTTATGACTGCAACGAGCTTTACGTTACTGTGACTTCTGACTTTCTTTTTGCATTGCTGATCCAACTAGATCTAGACATTTATGGAACAATCAAGCTAGTGAATTATGTCAGAACTCTAGCCCAGCGCGACTCCCACCTAACAATTCACGACTTCTCTGAAACGCTGATACCGGACGCGTCCTGGCTAAACGGCGAAACCTACCTAAAGCCCGTAATCGAAAACGACCCCATGCTCTACGTCGCCCAGGACGATGACGATTTCGATCAAGACAGTGATCCAGTAACTGGAACCGACCTGCAACAAACATCACCACCTGAGATACATTCTGCTACATTGACGCCGCATCAACAGGGCCGTAGACCTTCCAATGCTGGTAGTATCCTCGCGGATTCACAGACGGTGCTACAGGATGCGTTGCTTGAAGCTCAGAAACGGGCTGAAGCTGCTGAAGCTAGAGCGAGAGATGTGCTTAATGCGTGGAAGGAGTATAGGGAGGAGGTGACGAGGACTGTTTTGGGGACTGACAGAGCTGATATTGCGCTGCCTGCTGATGAGGAAGTTGATTATTACTTTGGCTCGTGAGTATCCCATGACTGTCGTTTTGTTTTTGTTGAGCTTGTGTGAGCCTGATCATTGTATTCGTTGTGATTTCTCATACACGTCCGCGCTAGGTACGCAGAGACGGAGATACACGAATCCATGCTCAAAGACCGCGTCAGAACAGAATCCTATCGAGATTTCATGTATGATAACAAGGACTTGTTTAAAGACAAGATTGTACTTGATGTCGGATGTGGAACTGGGATTCTAAGCATGTTTGCTGCTAGAGCAGGAGCTCGTCAAGGTACTGTTAATCACTGGTTCGGATCAATCCACGAATTTTTTTTTTGACCTCCTTTCATCTCAACAACAGTCTTTGCAATCGACAACAGTCCCATCATTGAAAAGGCCAAGAAGATCGTAGCTGAGAACGGGCTTGAGAATATCATTACGTGTATTCGAGGCAAGGCTGAAGAAATCTTGTTGCCTGGAGTGGACAAAGTTGATATACTAATAAGCGAGTGGATGGGGTACTTTTTGTTATTCGAGGGCATGTTGGATTCAGTGTTCAAGGCTAGAGATCGGTGGTTGAAACCAAGTGGATTGAGTATGCCTCGCCAAATACGAATGCTTTTTTTTTCGCCCTGCTCACTCTCCTCCTTTTTGTTTTAGTGGTTCCAAATGTAGCTAGAATGTATATGGCTGGAATAGAAGATGAAGACTGGGTTAATGACAAGGTATGTCTTGTTATCTTCTGCTCTCTTCTGTATAACTAAACGACACATCATTGTAGTATCACTTTTGGAATGACGTTTATGGTATCGTCACGCTTTATTGCTACTTTTTTGCTATGCTCGCTTATTCGATTGTTGTAGGATTCAAGATGACTCTGATGAAGGAGACCTTCATGACGAATGCCCATGTCGATATAACAGCCCCCGACACTGTCATAACAGATGCATGTGAATTCAAGGTATGTCCGTCATCTTATTCAATAACCTGAACAAAAAAATCTCAGAATATATTTGGTTTGTACAGGAAATCGACCTTGAAGAAGCAACATGTGAATCCCTCGACTTTGCCTCCACGTTCACAATGGCCGCCACGCGACCCGGACGCATCCACGCTATATGTGGATGGTTTGACATTGATTTTGAAGGTGAAAAGCAGGGACTCGCCTTGACATCCTTCTCGACATCACCGACAGCTACGGCGACACATTGGAAGCAAACCCTGTTCGCGTTAGATAACCCTATCGATGTTGTTGCTGGACAGCGTGTTGAAGGAGATATACGCGTCTCGAAACGTGCTGAGAATGAGAGAGAGTTGGATGTTGTCTTGAAGATTAGGAGTGGCAGTGATGAGGTCAGAACGTGTGTGTATGTAGTAAAGTAAGGCGGATGACACGAGTCATAAAAGACATGATATTCTCGTTGGGAATCTATGTTTTGCGTTGTTGTTTTGGTTCGTAGTCTCGAAAATCTTGCAACCTCGCTGCCTGACCGCTTTGATTTCCTCAAGACGAAACCTCATTTGCGAATTCGACGAGGAAGACACAGTGAAAGGTACAGAAATTTGTACGTTCTAAGTAGAGGATATCTGATGTACCTAACGCCTTATTCTCCTCTCCAACTAGTTTATTACTACCCGAAACAAAACGACATACACACCCTTTCTATATAACAAACAGAAACAAGAATGTCGTGGCAGGCATACGTTGATAACTCCATGGTTGGCACCAAATCGCTATCTCGTGGAGCCATTGTTGGACTGAATGGAGGCATTTGGGCAATCAGCCCCAACCTCAAGGTAAATCAAACTAATTTTGGTGGTCATTTTTTTGGTGGCAACGATAAATAGCACAAGAGAGACAAAAGCCGACGAACGATGTCTGTATACGGTTGAGATATTTATACTGTAATTTCTGGCCTCTGTCTTTTCGCTCAGAGACGGAGTTTGATGAGAGAGAGACGGCTCCCCGTTCACAAGTAGTTGGTGATTTTAGAGAATTGTCGGTTTGCCTAACCATTATCATATGGGTTGACTAGATTTCACCTGTGGAAGCTACCGCCTTGGTCAACTCTTTCAAAGATGCTTCAGCTGCACGTGGTTCTGGATTGTACTTGAATGGTCAAAAATACTTCTTCTTGGGTGGTGATGATCGAACCGTTCGTGGCAAACTGGTATGTTGCTTTCATTGCATGCTTCACTGGAGTGTATCGCAATGATATTACTATCGATATTCGCCTTTACTTGTTGGCGCCAAGTCAAACCGTAATCGCGATGTTTCTGACTCCGAGTTGTTTTTTAGGGTGCTGGTGGTTGCCATTGTGTCAAGACAAAACAAGCTGTGTTGGTTGGTATTTACGATGAGGGTATTGCTCCTGGTGCTGCTTCCAACGTTATGGAGAAACTGGCCGATTACTTGATTTCCACTGGTTATGTATGTGTTTTTGTGTTGAGAAACTGCATCAGTTGTTTGTATGAGAACAACATGTGAACAGAGATACTTATACTAATCATCTAATCTCTTTTTTCGACATAATAGTAAAGCATCTTTTTAGAATAAGGAGTGTCATTTTTCTTTTGCCCCCACACAACCAACAATAAAAAATCAATAAACCGTCGTGCATTTATTAAGAACGTGTTGATTACAATGACCGCGTAGAGCGTGTTTCAATGCTTGTTTGTTTGGTAGCCTCGATGTCGTCTTCACACTTGTCTCAACAACTCCCAACTTTTAGGATTCTCAGTTTTATATCGTAATGGTAAGTGTAGAGTGAACCCGCATCGTATACAGAGGCACGAGATATGAACAGGAGCCCTCTCTACTCTTTCCTTTTATATTATATCTTCTCATTGCTTGAATGTGAAAAAGTTGCGAAAAAACAACCGAATACAAACAGCATATCCAACATATAGGGACACGGCAAATGGTGGGGCACGCCTCAAGTGCACACATCAGGATTCTACGAATACGGAGTGTCTCCCTTCCAACAGAAGCTGTTTAAGGGATTCCTCGCCCCAGGAATATTCAAATGGGCATCACGATGGAGTAGAGCTGCTTTGTTTATTGGACCTCCTTTCCTATTCTTTTATTCTCTCAAGCAATGGGCTGATTCAAAGGTAGGCTGAATGAAGTGACTTATGTGGTTATGGTGGTTGCTCAATCATATGTGTTGACGCTCTTCCTTTGCCGTCTCTAGTTTGAATTCTACAACAGGAAGGTGTACTTGCACTCAGATGCTGCCAAGGAGCACCATTAAGCAAGTTCACACTTTTACGCTAAGATAGTTTCAGGGCAATAAAACATAGTAGAAGCTTTACATCATATTTTGTGCTGTTGATACAAGGTTTGCATGGGGCGCGTGGAATTTCATAGCAATTCACGTAACAGTACGCGTCGAATTCCCAGTTTCATATTTTGCTTTCTCACGTACAAGTCAAAACTTCAAAACTTGAACAAGACAACGACCAGCAATCTTCAAGGTGATAAAACACATAATGACCAACTTTTCAAATCAAGGAACGGCTCCTTCTGGAGGCGCATCTGCCCTAACCGTAGCTCTAGTATCTAATAATCGCCAACGCTTTCCGCCTACAATACCACCATCATCAAATCCAACAAACGCAACAACATCAACACTCCATTCTTCTGATCCAACTTCAACAAGGCCTATGCGAGCACACATGTTGAAACCACCGCATGTGCCCTCTTACTTGACTGATTCACCCATCGCTTCGAACGTGGTTATCGAAGGAGACTTGAGCATCTTGGAATTCCAGTTGCCAACTGTTTGGAGTGTGAAAGAGAGAAATTCAATGCTCGAGTTGGAACGTGGCAATTTGAGGGTTGCTTATAAAGGTAATGTGGGTCGTTTGAGACTCGCGTGTGTGTGGTTGTTGTGTCTATCGCAGGACGTGCAACAAAGAACATTCTGATTGTGATCAAGCATGACGAATCTATCTCAGCGAGATGCTAACACATTCGAACTTACCAGGATCGGGCAAATCGGATAGTGACGCAGCTGCAATCCGATCAAACTACCCAATGCCACCACAATCAGGCATATTCTACTACGAAATCGAAATAATAAACAAGGGTCGAGATGGATATATTGGAATTGGATTTAGTATAGCTGATGTATCAACTCAACGACTTCCAGGATGGGAAAAAAATTCATGGGGGTTTGTGTTTTGTGGGTGATTTGTGGTTTCTGCCTTGAAGCTTTGCTAATCACACCCCATTTTCAATTATACATCTACAGCTATCATGGTGACGACGGACATTCCTTCTCATGTTCTGGAACGGGAAAGAGCTATGGTCCCACATTCACTACTGGAGATGTGATTGGATGTGGAGTTAATTTCACCAATATGACGGCCTTCTTCACAAAGAATGGAGTTGCGTTGGGTACTGCTTTTACTGGTTTGAAAGGCCAGTTATATCCTTCGGTTGGGTTGAGGACGCCTGGTGAGATTGTGGAGGCTAATTTTGGAGGACAGCCATTCAAGTTTGATATTGATCATTACTACAAGGTACAGCCTGTTCTGTATATATTAAGTCAGCTTACAATGACGATGGCAGTCCATTAACACTCTCGGTGCTTGGGGTTTTTTTTGCTCAATTAGGAGGAAAAGTCAAGGTTATGGTCGTCCATAAATAGTCTGCCTATGCCACCTGTATCTCTATCACCGAATGATTCGGCAACAAACGGAGCATCATCTGCAATGGACGAGGACAAGGATGATGGTAAACCTAGTACAAGCTCAAAACCTAAGACTCTTCCCTCTACACCAGCGTCACCAAATGATCTCATTCTACAGTATCTCATACATCATGGATTTGCTGAGACTGCTCAGGTACGGACCAGTGAAAAATTTAGCAGTCAGCATTGCGTCACTCTCTGGTAGTATCGTTTTTGCGTAATTCCATCTCTTGACATCCCTTTTTTTCTGAATCAATTCAGGCATTCCATTCATCAGCATATGCAGGAAGACAATCCGCATCCATACCACCACCTAGCTCATCTCTACAACCAACCACACCTCTAATACCAACAAATATAACACCAACCCCACTGCAAGATGACACACATATGAAGGATCGATCTCGTATTCGCGATGCAGTCTTGTCTGGAAACCTGGATGTGGCATCAGAACTAGTGACGAGTCTGTTTCCCAAAGCATGGGTAGTAGGTGATCGAGATATAGGATTTAAAGTCAGGTTACGTAAATTTATGGAGGTTGTTAGAGCTGCTTTGCCACCTCCAAGTAATACGACAATAGCAGTCGCAGCAACGAGTGATGATACTACGACACACATGTCCGTAGATGACGATATAGATGATTCGATGGATGATAGGATGGATATTGATGATGATAATAGTGTTGGTGTAGTACAACAGCAGCAGGAAACGAGTAATGGGCATATGAATGGGAATAGTAAAGGGAAGGAACGAGCTGCTGACAAGAGTCCATCTACCACTCAAAGGGGTAAATGGAGACAAGTTTTGCGACTGGGACAGGAATTACAGGCTGAATTTGGAGAATCTGGTGGGCAAGAACGTATTGAAGCTTTACAGGTAAGGCACTTTATGATGAGCAAAGAAAACAACATGTCAACTATCAGAATGTTTGGTAAACTATTTCCCATTCTTCTTGTCCAAACACACATCTCTAGGAAGCATATTCTTTGGTGGCGTATCCAGATCCATATCACTCGCCGGTATCCCATCTACTTGACCCTATGGGAAGAGTGCCCGTTGCTAATGCATTGAATTCAGCCATTCTTGGTAAGGCATTCGTCAGTAAAGGCGTATTCTTTTGGCCGTTATCGGTGCGTGTTGTTACGTCCTTGGTATCATCACTCACACCTCTCCTCAAATTAAAATCATATAGCATCACTCGGTCAACCAGCAGTCCCATCCCTCGAAACACTATATCGACAAGCTGAAGTTGTCGTGGATACACTAGTACACTCTGGAGTTGGAGCTGCAGCTTTCATCAATGTGGAGAAGGATTGTCTGTGATGATAATTTTTAATTGGGCATCATTTTGTAGAGTATTTTGAGGTGGAAGAGGAGGACTCTCACGACACACATATTTCTCTCATTTTGTTGTAGCGGTCTTTGTATAAAGGAAGATAGAAATATAAAGAAGTGGGATTGCTTGTAGGTATTGTGTTCGATGCTTGTTTTTGTGTGTGTTCTTAGAAACTTCGAAAGATAAGCAAAGGAAACCCACTCACGGTGAAGAAAATAATCGTCTACGACGTGTTGATGGCGGTACATCAACTTCACTCCATCATCACTTGAACTCGACTCTTTTCATAGTTTATAGATTGGGAATGTTTATTGTTTTTTGTTTATAACCTACTCATTTCAACTTGGGTCTTTGGCGTGCTTTACGGGTCTACGAAAATATATGATTTTACTTGCATTTTCAGAGGCTTCCTCCTATTTACCAGCCAACTATGAAGGAAACAAACGATGCGTTAGAGATGCAAAAAAGCTGTACACTCTATTCAAGAGTCACGACACTCAAATTCAATTCACATACCAGCAGGAGCCATAGCAGCTCTTATTCTTTGATAATCTTGTAACCCATCAATTGGTCCATACCCAACAACACAAACTTCCTGATCATAGAGATATTCTTGAGCAACCTTCATAACATCAGCAGCAGTAACTTGCTCAATCAATTGATCCACTTCCCAAGGAGTGAGTCTCTTGCCATATACCAGCATTTGTCGCCCAATATCTTCAGCTACGGGAGTAGTTCCATCCAAAGCCAACAATAACGAAGTCTTTAACTGGTTTTTGGCACGGAATACTTCACCATCCGTCAAGTTGATGGCGAGACGATGCCATTCGGTTTGGATGTAGTGGATCAAGTCATCCAGACCTGTAAAGTTCTCGCTAATGGCATATACACCAAATAAGCCGGTATCTGAATATGAAGTATTAAAAGACATGAAGGAGTTGGCTAGGTCCCATTTATGGACGTTTTGTGCCAAGTTGGACGATACGTGGCCTGCTGCTCCTAATGATCGATCCCAGGATCCAATTACGGCTTGAGCTACCAACAATGCCCAGTAGTCGGGTGAAGTCCATGATGCACCTTGTACTGCTAGAGCTAAATGAGCAGTAGGGTGGTCGTCGAAACGGGCTCGGAGATCTGAACCTACGAATGGGGCCTTTCCTAGAGCTTTAGGTCGAGACAACCCAGCGGCAAGACTTCCAAAGTGTTTTTCGGCTAATTTTACTAACGAGTCGTGGTCGACACCACCAGCAGCAGCTAATACCATACGATCAGGAGTATAATTGGTGGTGATGTAATCAGTCAAGTCTTTACGGGTGATTGATTTTATGTTTTCAGTTGGTCCCAAGATGGTACGACCTAGAGCGTTTCCTTGGAAGGCAGAAGCATGCAAGTGATCGAATACTACTTCTTCCTTGTTCTTGTCTACTTCTTCGGCTTCTCTCAATATGACTTTACGTTCTCGTTCGATAGAGTCTTCGCTGTAAGTCGAGTTTTGTAGGATATCAGAGAGGATTTCGACTGCTACAGGGGCATCTGATGCCAATGATTTGGCATAGTATACGGTTTGTTCTCGGGAAGTGTATGCGTTCAAGTGACCACCCATGTTTTCGATTTGGGTTTCTAGTTGTGTTTGTGTCCTTGACTTTGTTCCCTATTTGAATGTGATTTGAATTAGTAAGAGTACGGAGTGAGTAGAGTAGGACGAGTTGTCGGTGAATGTATAACAGGGTCATTTTCATCGCGCAAAACGAATTGTGCAGTGGTCCTACGACTGCCTCTCATGACAGTTTTATCACAACTTCCTTCTTTACTTACCTTGAAGGCCATATGCTCTAAAAAGTGAGCTGTACCGTTCGTCTTTGCAGTTTCGGATCTAGAACCAGCATCAATCCAAACACCGACAGTTGCAGTTTGGTAGTTTGGGTTCGATTCAGTAGCGATAGTGAAACCATTGGATAGCTTTGTGACTCTAGTTTCAGGGACATTACGCAATGATTGTGGGTATGTGTATGAGAGGGTTGAGTTGGATGGATTAGGGGCGACTTGAGTAGCAGCAGTTGCCAGAGTTCTGTTTGTGTTGTTGCGGAGCTATGGGAACGAGACAAAGAGGGTCAGCAATTACAAATATGAAACATTTAAGAGAGTATCGACTGCTTTGATTTAATAGCAGACATTGACGATGCTGTGTTGCAGACGACTGTGATGTAAAATGTTTGATGCATTTTGTCACATCTGCCCAACTGGCAACGAGAGTGCCCGTTAATTGACAAGTAGCAGCACAGTATCCAAAAGAATATGATTATTCGATGCATTGTTTATCCTTATGGGTTCCCAATCCTCTCTCCTCGTTGCAACTTTTTCACCAATTTGAAAAACACTCGACTACACCAGTTTCATCCATTAAGGTAAAACTTACAGTAGGTGGAGCTCTCTTTGCAGCCTCGCCTAGTATTCGCGATGACCTTGCAAGGCTTCCCATCGTTGCTCTCTCTACGTATTATTCGACAAGGAGGTTTTGAAGGAAGAATTTGGCGAACAATGAATGTGAAAAACAAGCGTGTTGCATAATAAACACGGCTATTAGAACGTGTAGTGGCATGCAATACATTGTAGTGCATCCCATATACAGTGTCGATACTACTATTTTGTACTTGATGTCACGAAAAAGAATCACGAAGTCCGTCGTTCTGACTCAACCGAGACAGTAGGTAGAGAAGGAGCGCTTGGAATCCACTTTACACGCCGTGTATACGTACTTTGATATTCTGTAAGCTCGGTATCAAAGTGAGGCTTGGTTGTAAGCCTCGATTGCATTGTTCGAGAAGCAGCTTTGTCAATTGTTGACAACCTTCAACCGCGAAGATTGAAATTAAGATATTATATGATATAAACATTGCATTAAACCCCTTTCTGATCAACATCAACCTCCATCGCCTGATGCTCTCCTAATGCTCACAAACCACATATAAATCAGGCAACAAGCAAGGATGAGGCCAGGAACTCGAAGTCGTAGTAACAGTCCATTCGCAAACAAGAATCCATTAGCTACTAAACGGGACCGTCAATCTATTGGCAAGAAGCCATTCCTACCAGCGTCTGCAGCAACAGCAGCTCCCAAATCCCAAACTATTCGCGATTTTGCTGACGATGACATTCCTACAAGATCGACCGTAGATCTACGTTCATCATTGACTACTCGAGTCTTGGTCAATCAAGCCTGTATGTACATCTGCTCGAGATCTATCACACGCCTCAAAGCATCCATCTGTTGATTACAATGCTGATACATTCATACATCACCTAGGGGAGCAAGGAAGATACTCAGATCTATCCATTCAAATGCTCGGCAAAATCTATAATCTGCACAAGATTGTCCTGGTCCAGTCTCCCTTCTTTGTAAGGCTCCTCTCTGATGACTGCACCGACTTGTCCTTTGATTATCATGATGATCGCTGGACTGTCGCTGCAATGGATATAGTACTTCGGGACTTGTATGATCTCGTCACCGTGGACAAGCATCATAGGAACGCCACTAGAATCAGTATGATAGCTCCTGATAATGTCCTACCCGTCCTCTCAGCCGCATGCTTTATCGAATGGCCAGACATGATTGAATACTGCACCAACCTGTTTCTGGATAGCCTATCGCTGGACACTGTAATATTATACGCTCGTGGCCTCGACGTATTAAAGCCACCTCCTCCACCTGATATGATGACACCCTACCGGGATCATGGCTATGCCACCCAATTACATACCGTATACAAGACGCTCCATGCCTCCTTGCTATCCTATGTATGTCAGCTGATGAACCAGTCTAGTATTGGTGCTGTGCTGAGCTCAGATGATGCATTGAACGAGAATGAAGATGGCAGTATAAACCAAACAGGTCTTCCCGAAACTGCTATAAAGATAATGACCCAGCTCCCTCTACACTGGCTGCGTCGGATTCTGGAATCTGATGCGCTATGTGTATTGAATGAGTTTGTAAGATATAGGATGGTAGTCTTATCTTGGAGACTTCGCACTGGCAGTCCTGGACCAAAAGTCAAAGTAGAAGAAGAGGAAGGAGGAGAGCAGCAGCAGCAGGAAGCTGGAGAGACAGCTGATACCGAACATGTACCACCATCTCGTATGACTCCTCCGGAAACACCATTAGTACCCTCGGTATCAGTAGACGATCTAGGTCCAACCGACAACGTAAATCACGACACTGTCCCAATACAGACTGAAGTCATGGATATTGATGAAGCAGACGATGAAGATGTAGTAGAAACTAGGACCAGCTACAACAACCAGACCGGTTCTAGCAGTGCTGCCACTACACCTACAAAGAGTAAACTCGAACCTATATCCAACAAGTTTGGATACTTGACCTCCCTCATTGGGAGTGTAGTAGATACCATGACACGTAAACCGACTGTAAATCCAGCCAAACTCGAGCCACCAGCTGAACGATCCACAGATATGGAAAAGGACATCGAAGCTCAACAATCTGCACTCATCAATGACGGTGATGAAGATGCTGCATTTTTGGATTTGTTGCAGGGTGGAATCATTTATACGTAAGTGTCTTACATTCGGGGTTAAATGTGACTAGGGGCTGATTTGTATGGCAAAAAACATCGTGAGTTCACTGAAAATTGTTTAACATCCCTCTCACACTACTTAGATACATGACTTTTGATCAACTGCAGCTGGTTCGCCGAGACTGTATTGTCCCTGAGCAAGAACTCTTCCAGTCATTGTGGCTCCAAACAGCCTTGACAAACCAACCTGGTGCATCTAGCCATCAGCTACCCTCCATTCGACTAGCGGACTCTACCCTACTTGGCAAAAGAAAGATACCGCCTTTTAGATTTAGCGTCGTATTCAGGAATGTAATCAAGTCCTTCCAAGAAGGGGCTCTTGAAGGACATTGGAATGTATCCTCGGATCCTGTACAATGTGCAGGTATACAATATCGTGTAGTATTGTCTATGGTCGAACTCGCTCCACCTGCTAAAGCCGATAAGGATGACGACGTCGAGGTGGTCATAGGATCTCCTACTAAATTAGGTCGTAAATCTGAAGAACGTCAAGCAACTCCAGTAGCAGCAGGAGCAACTACCAATGATATGGATGTCGAATCATTAGAAAGGGAGGGACAGCAACAGGAAGGAGCAGATCACAAGGAGGCTGGACAATCTAATGAAGAGCCTGTTGCAGCACCTCGTGAATTGAGAGTTATGTTGCAGAGAAAGTCCACTTCTGCAAATAAACGCAAGAATGATTTGGCTCCTATTGATTACCGAATCTATGTGTTTGATAAGACCAATTTTGAGGTGAAAAGGGATTGGTGGAGGTGAGTCTTTGAGTTGAAGGAAGAGACGTTAAAGCTATAAAAAAACTGGCCACGGTGCAAGAATGCTTTCTCTATGGCTCTCATCTCTCGTATCGCTCACGACATTATACTCTCCGTTCCAATACAGGAAGTTCCATCAAGCTGTAACTGTATGCGACAAGGAAGGATATGGACATACCTCTCGATTGTCTGTTGGCGATTGGAATGGTAGTAGTGAGACGCTGGCTGATGTAAATGTTGATGAAGACAATGAGGATTTAGTGTGGTGTTGTATTGTCGTATCGACATCGTAGAGTGGTCTTTTTGGTTGAGGCAAATTATGAGGACATGTTAAATTTGTACTTTGTAATTGTTTTTGGAATCTTTTTCTTGATTAAAGTATCTCAAACTAAGCGCTTAAAGCATCTTGAAGTCCCCCGCTTGAGTTGTTTTGGAAGCTTCGCGTCTCAAACTTTCCCAACGTTATTGACCGATTGTTCGTTGAGAGAACAACCACGAACTAGACTGACAACAGCGCCAGTCGTAAACACAGGTATGCTGCTTCATATTTCCGCCTATCTCTTCCCAAGTGCACCTTCTTTACGAGCAGAAAATTGCCATGTTTTGTGTTTGCAGAAGGGTTGAATTTTCGAACTTACAAGCTTCATTACCTTACATTAGACTACAACAAGCGCATTCTCGTCATACACTATTACATCGTGAGTTCTCACAGTTTCGGCCGTCAGATGTCCGTTGGTAACCTTGTCATGGTATAATTTTACTTTTATACGCTAGAGATTTGGCTTTCTTAGGGTGTCTTGTTGGTTAATATAAGTTTTAGTTCTTAGTTCCCATAATGGTTGTGATGGTAAGCTTCTTGATGTCGGTACTGATTGTCCTGAGTTTTTAAAACGTCTGGGAAGACTGGAAGTGGGTGCTGAGGAGCTATCATTGGTATTAACGGCATCATAGGGGTATTAGCCTCATGTATCTCGTTCTCCAAGTACATAATACGTAGGTCCTTGTTCGCCAGCGCTATATAAGCTTCAGCGATACCGGTACGCTTGGTGAAGAGTCTAGTAGCAGCTATTATAGTAGCTTTATCCTTGAAGTCGATTTGGACGACTTTGATCGCCTTGGTAATTGTTGATTCCGGAGCTTTATACATGGCACTAGCAAGACTTGCTCCTAGCCTATCTAATGCATGGGCATGCGTAGCAGCAGCAGAGTTTCTAGCGGTTTCTCGACGACGTTTGTTGCTAGTTGTTTTCGGAATGACTCCTAGGAGACATATATGTTGCATTGTTAGCGGACAAGGTAGATGTCATATTGCAAATCATTCTTACCGTCTTCCTGCTTGGCCTGTTTGATGGTGGAATTGAGTACACTCGGTTCAGTAGGAGACTTGGCATCATCAATTTCCTCCAATTCTTCCTCTCCAGAGTCAGCGTCATCATCAGAGGCATTTGAAAACACTTGGTGTTCACCAGTAGCATAAGTTCCTTCGAATGCGGCCTTGCACTTATGATACAAAGGCCAGCCATCCTGAAGCGTGTGCAAAAGAACGCCATGTTTCTTGATCTATAAAAGATTATCCGCAGTCAGGAACGTTTCATTATACATGAAAACAAACCGCATTCATTATACATGAAAGCAAACCGCACTTACGTTTTCATCTTTCATCGCCTTCCACCTTGCATCGTCAAAGTTGCCAAAAGTTACTAGGTTCTCTTCGCCATCCCAACCACCCCCAGTCAATTCGAGTAGATAATCAAAAGCCTTGACTCGATTCCTTACCTATATAAGTAAGTGAAATAAATGTCAGATCAATGCTGTGAGTGATTTTTTGACAAGGACTGCGCACACGTTTGATCTTTTCTTGAACTTGCTTCAAAGATGGATTGAAATTTGGACGATTGCCAGACTTAAACTCAGTATATAGAGCATTCCACTCAGCAGATTTCAAGTTGCCTTCGGCAGTACAAGTGTTTCTAGTGGTTTGAAAAATATCAACCAATCTTTCAGTTGCTTCGTCAGACCAAGTTAATCTGACTGATCTCTTGTTCGATTCTTTTGCAGTGGGAGTGGCAGCATCTTCCATCATTGCTTTTCTCTTTCCTACGTTGCTCTTGAGGTTGGCTCTATTCGCTGAAGCTTTCAAAGGAAGAATGGAATGATGCTGTAGCTTCGATTTGCACTATGTTTGATATGTGAACATTTTCGATTGATGGAGGATACTGTTTGCTATTGCTATTTAGAAAACAAGGTTACGATAACAAGGATAATCTAAAGATGAAAAAAACTCACAAAAAAATAGGAGAAGGAGGTGTTGTGAACGATTTTTCTACAAGAGTAGAATTTGTAGTGTAGAAGCAGCAAGAAACATATCAACCATAGCAACAAGAATTAAAAGACCTCTTTTGGTATGCGATTCCTAATTCCTGATATTGGATTTTGGTAGATGATTTATATGTATACAATGCGATTCTCAGAGTGACCACATTCCACCAAAGGAATGGAAAAATGCATGCCCTTTGGCTAACTGCACGTAGCCTCTCCCATTGGGTCCAGACTTGAACCACCACGTCTTTTCCACAGACAGTCGACGACCATCTTCCACCCAAGCAGTGAATGGAAAGATCAAGACTTCCCCTGAATGTTCACCAGCATCAGGATTATGGAGACCCGCTGGTAGGGGATATGTACGGAATTCTAAGATTTGAATAAATCCACGAATGAGAACACACTTGAAAACTTCATGAATGAGAACACACAAAGCAATAGCAAAAAAGAAATACAAGGCCACACGTCATACCTACGACTAAGTCTACTAGCATTTCCGGATTAGCTAATGGCATAACAGCACCTTTATCCGCAACTTCTATAGGTGTCGTATTGGTATACTTGAACACAAGTCCATACGACCGTTTCTCCCAGTCCATCTTGGGCAGACTCTTCATACTAGCTGCTACACATATCGAGAAAGTTAATGGTCCCGGTGCTGAGCAGTTCGTTCCACTTGGTAATACAGCTAATCTGGAGCTACGAGATGGTGGATTCGTGTAGATTGCTCGAGGATCAGTAGGGAGTATAGTAGAGCCAGAAAGCTCTCGTTCTGCATATCGTTTTTTTACAATGTCGCGGAGTCGTTTGCGACATGGTTCTGGAGTTAGACCCCATTTTGAGGTACATACGGCCAACATCTTTGAGTAAGCCATTGCTAATATTGGTTGATTGGATTCGTCGGTGCTCAGTGGCAGAAGTGATATTCTCATTAAAGGATGCGTGACTATTTAGAAAAAGAGAATGACAGATGAGTAATTGGGAAGTTGGAATCCATGGAAGTGACAGATGCAACGCGAAAAAAGCTAGACACGGCAACTTGGATGCGCCACTTGAACATCACTACAAACCCTGGTACTTAGGTACTTACAGACGCCAAACGAGAAGCAGCCCTCAACCAGTGACAGATTTGTTGTCTTTGCGAATGTAACTATAAGATTCTCGATGCTAGAATATGCTTCACATCTCTTCCATAGCGATGTGATGATTTCTGCATGGCGAGCATACGAAAATACCGTGAACGGTGATCTCAAATAAGCCTGCCACAGACTTCCACTAGTTCCAATAGTCACTACATCTGATTTCAGAGTGCCCATAGGATGATCCAACCATCGTTCCAGATCACCGACCATAACACTTAAATCACTCCAACCCCATGCCCCACACATATCTGGGTTGATCCATCTTGCGAATATAATGGGCCATAAGCCTCGTAGCTGTGTTATAGGTGGCAGAGCTCCTGAGACTCTATAATTACGTAAACGTTCTTCTAATGTCCGGCAGCTTTCAGAAGCTTTGGGATGTGAGAAGTGTTGGCAAAGCGTGTCTGTAATTAGACCAGCAAAACCACGTTGCCGGTATGAGTCGTCTATAAGCGATAATGGAATGATGCGGACATTCCGTGATGGTGATGGGATGCTACTGACAGCCTTTGTGTTGTGTACAAAGATGTAAGACCTGACATATCTAAGGTTTCAAGGGGGTTGGAAGTCAATCAAATCTCATTAAAATGAATAGAATAAGTGAAAAACAAGCTTACGGTGCGTTATTAGCCATAGTTTCTATAAAGACATCTGACCAATTTGGCAAATCACCAGTTTGCCAAGTCGATACCATACACAGCGGTGCCTTCTTCCGCCTATGAGCATTTCCAGTACTATCTATCAGCACCTGCTTGTCTTCTCCACTAGCTACTTTATCAGCTGGTATGGCTCCAGCACCATCAACCACAACACGTTGAAAATCCGGCGACTCTACTTCAGCCAGATTCAGATTAAACTCTGGCTCTGAGGTCATATACTTGTATACAAGGTAGATGCAAACCAATAGGGCCAGGACGAAGGCCCTGGGCAGGTTGAACTTGCAGATCCTCATGTTTGGATGGTTGAGACAAGAAAACCCAAAAGTTCCTACGAATTGGGGTGTTGGTCACATATAAAAGCATGAATAAAATGTATCCAGACACGTACTTTTTGGTCCACGAACGTGCTTTTATATAGCTTCTATTCTATAATACGATTCGCAAACATGTTCACACTAGTTAACAGCGCACCACCCGTCCTTTATCAATTCTGGGCGGTGGAGGGCCAAATAAACGCGATTTCCGCGTCAATTATTGTATAATTATAATGATATTTGAATACATTGCTCATTCAGAGCCTTCTATGACGCGTCTCAACTCGTCCTCACTTGATCGACATTAACCAGCAATATAGACACAGGGAAAGGAGCTCCAAGGATATCAAGAGTGTATCATTATAGCATCAGAACGCAGTTGCTTGATAATCAAGTAAGTGTCATCCTCCTATTACTATCTTTCTTACGTCCTTCAAGCTGCTTTGGACAACACATATCCAGTCTCATCAATTCCGTTTTCATTCTCAATGTAGAAAGACGAGTCGGCAGCTCATCGATAATATCGCTCTGGCCATCATCAAATGCCAACAAGCCCTGAAAGCTCATCAATACCTATACCTTCATCACCTCGTACTTCATCAAAACGCTCATCGCAAGCCCTCTCTCCAAACCCAGAACAACCTCCTATAAAAAGTTCCAGCTTCCCTCGTCTGGCCGGCTCAAATTCAAGTGAATCTTCGGTAGTAGCTGTGCTTCCATCACCATCATATCAATCTCCTATTCAAGAGATGACATGGTCAGCTTCAAGTACCAGCGTCAATGGCACGACTGGTATGTGGATAAAGCAGCGTCTTTCCTTGTACCACTTTCTATAGTTGATGAAATAATCTTCGTTTGAATACTGCATGTATTGATCATGATCACGTATTAGACGACGCACCATTGACTCGAGAGGAAGAACTGGATTTGTTGGCCCAAGGAATGCGAAACCCTCAAAGCTTAGATACAGATTATGTCCTTGTTGGGACCACCTGGAACAGAAAATGGAAGAATCACTTACTACAAAACTCGGAGCCTCCTGGCCCAATAGACAACACGACACTTTTTACAGACACCACCCTAAATCAGCTCAAGCCATCCTTATTCTTTCCACTGGACTTCCTGTTAGTTCCAGATACCCAATTTACTAGACTCGTTGCCAAGTATGGTTCTCAAAGTTGGTCCTATCGTTTGTCTGCAAAATGACTAAAACTCACATCAAACCCCTTAGATATGATATTCTTCAGCCAAAACACAAAGTGAAACGGCGTGGTATAGTCAGGAATAATTCACCCATTTACGAAATCGAGATGTATTTACAAGTTGTACAAGTCGTATACTTGAACCCACCATCGGATCAGCTTCAGCAATCTCCATCTATAACACTACAAGACATCTCCCAAACCATCACAGTCGCAGAGCTCAAACTAAAAATATGTGCAGCATTCGATCTCAAGATATCCTATCCTGAACAAGCGTCTCGACTCTGGTTGATGCATTATGGTGCTAAGAATACTGTTTTAGACGATAGCAAGAAATTATACGAAGTAATGCATCAAAACGTACAATCAGCGTTCCATGTTGGATTAGAAACAAGAGAAACGACATTGAAACCATGGCCAGATGTCGATCGTGACGTGATCATGGTCGATTCTTCATTGAATGGACCTATACAAAACAGGCATGAGAAGTTGTTTGAGATATTGTCTGTTGCTTAACACAGTGCTTATATCATTTATGTCTTTAGATCAACATACAATTCGTCATCATTGCTGTTTGAAAATACTGGAAATGATATAGACAGTGCAGACCGAACTCCTGTCAAGGGATCCATAGCAGAAAAACGAGATAGAGCCCGCAGAATACAAAATGGAGAGCTTGAGTTTGAACCTAAAGCAACCACTAAAGTACTTGGATTGGTAGAATATTCACCACACGATTCCCCATCGACGACGGCTCAAGACCTGGGTCTGACTGTAACTCCAACAGCCCCACCATTACCATCTGCTTCGACTACAACAACCCCGACCGCATCTCGATTCTCCTCCAACAATTATAGCAGCTTCAATCGTAGTCGTGCTGACTTCCCTGTTGGTGCTACGGGTCTAAATAATCTCGGAAACACCTGCTATATGAACTCTGCTTTACAATGTTTATCGAACGTAACACCCTTGACCCTGTACTTTGCTACAGGTCGCTGGGAACGTGAGTTAAATCGTGATAATCCATTGGGTAAAGGTGGTGAGGTGGCAGAAGCATATGCTGATGTCATCTCTCATGTTTGGCAAGCAGCTGAACCACGATCAAACTCTTTTGCTCCTCGCGACTTCAAAGGAGCCATTGGAAAGGCGTCTACTCAGTTTGTAGGATATCAGCAGCAGGATTCACAAGAATTACTAGGATTCTTGTTGGATGGATTGCACGAAGACCTCAATCGTATTATTAAAAAACCATATACAGAGCTTCCGGACTACAATGGTGAACCAGATGAAGAGGTCGCAACTAGCTCCTGGAAACTATATTTGATGAGGAATGATTCAATTATTGTTGATTTATTCCAGGTATGTGTCGCAGAGATGGATATATTGCATTTGGACGTTCGGGGGGTGTGTCTCCTTTACTCAAATGTTTATTTGACGACTGAGAATACTATTCTTGTTTCACCAGGGCCAGTATAAGTCGAGGGTCGAATGCACAGAATGTCAGCAATGGTCCATCAAGTTTGATCCATACATGTTTTTATCAGTACCCATCCCAGACCGCCGTGAAATCACCCTTAGTGTAATAGTCTTGCCCAAAGCACTCCGAGACAGGTCAAAGGCAGATATGGCACCCGTCAAGATACAGATTACTGCCCCAAAGGATGCAAACATACAGACGCTCAAACGAAAAGTGTCTGATAGGATGCTTTTGTCACCATACAATATGACAGTCATCGAAATTCATAGTTCCAAGATCTGGAAGGTCTTTGCCGATGACGAACGTCTGGACACAATCCTAGCCAGCGATCTTATATATGTAGCAGAAGGTGGTGACCCAGATTGGGACTTGTATGAAGTTCCAGAACACGAACGAAACGTAGGCAATGTTGTAAATATCCCTGTATACCTCACTGAAGTCTCTGACCCAACTCAATATTCCTCATCGAATGGCTCTTCAAGGGGAAGTAACTATGTACCTCGTTACTCATCCAAGATATTTGGTGTGCCCGTTATGGTATCTTTGCCGGGTAAAATCTACATATCGCCTCCCGTAACCCATACACCATTGACAGAAAAGGAAATGATAGCGTATTACTCCAAGACTATGGGTGAACGCATATATCTAGATGTAGTACGTAGTCTTAGGCGATATGCTGTAGCACCACTCTTCAAAAGAGCAATATCTCGACCTCGTCTAGACCAGGTCGTGGTGGTAGAACGTGGTGATGTAGACGATGCTATGGTACCAGCAATCGCCACTCCCGCATCACTCATGTCAACTGATGAAGATGGACAAGTGAATGGTACATCAGAACGAATGGAATATACCATGGATTCTGATGAGACTCTTCTCAGTAAATCAACTGATGGCATACTACCCTCAAATTCCACAAGCCATCAACCACAACAACCACAACCCACATACGAGTATGGCCAAACAGATATTGACGACGGGTGGCTCCCAATATCCAACTTGTTCAAATTGCATCTGGCTACATCACCTGTTAAGACGACTACAGCTTCATCTTCATATGGATATGGAGGAACCAACACAGACTCCCTATTAGACAAGTATAATACCTTTTTACGTAATGAGTATAATGACAAGGACAAGTTTCCACTCTATCCCTTCAAACCAACGCCACCTGCAAATGGGAAAAGTCGTGAGACAGAATTAAATGGTGATGTAGAGCCCAAAAAATCATCTGACGATGATGATGATTATAAAACTGATGCTTTTCCTATTGATCAAACAAAGCCTTATATTGTGGAGTTTGATCCCATGAAACTGCATCATGCGTTTATGACCGAATGGCTCACATCCAAGGCCAATGCGTTTTTGCGGAAGAATGACAAAGCCTTTGAGGTAAGCTTTTGTAGTCATGCAGATAGTTTAGCGATGATGAATGTTTCCACGATCTATACTGTTGTTGCTTTTTGCCATCTGTTCATTGCATTTTCTCATCTACGTTTTTTACCCCATTTCCTTAGGTTACATTGCATCCCGACTTTCCGAAATCGTATAATAAGACTATCGAAGTATCGAATCATGGCAAGCCAATTCGTTTGGAGGACTGTTTACGAGAATTTATGAAGGAGGAAGTCATGGGTGAAGAAGATACTTGGTACTGTCCTAAATGCAAAAAGCACCAACGGATCAAGAAGAAGTTGGACATCTGGAGTGCCCCAGAGGTATGCATCCTGTAGTGCATATTGTCTTTTGGCTTGGCGCAACTCTAAAGGACACTTTGCTCAACAGGTACTCGTCTTCCACCTGAAACGATTCTCCAGTGGTCGAGGATACAGCTGGAGGTCTATGGGTGGTGACAAGATTGATTGCTTGGTTGATTTCCCAAAGACAGGGTTGGATATCACAGATTTTGTGATAGGTCGGGAATCTTCAAACCGTCGCCGTCCACCTCGTCGACGACCTGCACAAGCTGAAGAAGAAAAGACAGCAACAGCAACATCAATGGAAATAGAACCAATTCCATCAGTATCAGAACCAGTTGTTGATGTACCTATAAGTGATTGGCCAGTGGTAGATGCTGAACCCAAACTCGGGTCAGGAGTAGATCATAAGCTCACTAGTGGTGAGGATGCTGCTTCAAAGCCCTCTCGACCTAATAATGAGGATTTGTGGTTTGATGAAGAGATGTGGGATGAAAATATGGCTATAGATAATGACGGGAATAATAAGGAAGGAGATGAGAGGTTGATTTATGATCTGTGTGGGGTATCCAACCATTTCGGGGGTATGGGCGGCGGACATTGTAAGTTCGGTGTTTCAGAAATGGTTGTTGGAATTGACAATCGCTCTTATTCTGATTTACGGTTGTTTGGTCCTTAGATACTGCTTATGCCAAGAATTCCATTGATGGCCAATGGTACAACTTTGATGACTCAAGTGTGAGCAAGGCCAATGAGGACAATGTAGTGGTATGTGTGCTGTCCAGTCTCTACACGTTGGATTTGGTGTAGTGGTATTTTTACGCGCCGTTTTTCTAATCTCTACAAATCAAATAGTCATCTGCAGCATACCTGTTATTCTATCAACGTCGTCGTAATGGAGACCGTACTGCAGACCATCTATCACAACTAGTAACTCGACAAAAGACCCAACCTCCACCCTCCGAACCGAAAACTTTCTCTGCATTCAATAGTTGGAGCAGCAGTGGAGGTTTCCGTCTCGGAGGAGCTACATCGTCTCTCAAAGGATCTCTTCCATTTAGTAGTATTGGACCATCATTGCCACCACTCACAACCGACAACAATAACACAGCAGCCAATACCCCAGCTCGACCTAGTTCACCCGTCGAATCAGGAGCCGATCCGATAGATGTATTACCATCATTCAATGATGCTGTTGATAAAGGCAAAGGTGCTGCAACGTCATATGATAGTGGGGTTGACCAGTCACCAACGACTAGCTCTACAGGTGCTGATATTGGAGATAATATAGAACCATTGCTTGGAAGTGGTGCCGAAGACGATGAATTGCCTGGTTATGAACCTGTCGAAGTCAAAGATGATGAGGATATTGTGAAGAGTGAATACTTTGGTGGTAACGATGCTTCGCGATGAAGTGTGTTGATTCTGTTATTATATTATAAGCTGAAAACGCGGGTTGTTTCCCTTGTATTTGATGGTGGTAAAAAAATTTAAAAATATACAGTTGAAAGTTAGCATCATACCCTACCTTCGCTGGTTTTTTCGTAATGACAAGCGGCAGCCGAAAAACTATCAGGCGCATGAACATCAACAACCCAACATGCTCTCAGCACAAGCGACGTAGTAGTTGAAACCACCATCAGCTTCAGACATATCGCCTCAAGACTATTGAAGTATGTGCAATGATATCGCTTTCGAGACGTTTGAAGTATGTGCAATGTTATTTGTATTTGATAAGAAGCAGCGTCTATTCAGCCTTGCCTTAAAAAGTGAAAATATACAAGTCAATTCGAAGCGTCCCAAAGACAGCCAAAACGAAAACAACCAGCAACTATCCAGGTATTACTCACGAGCCAAGTATTCCTTTTTCTTCTCAGCAACACGTTCTTGTCGTTGTTCCAAAGTCAATCTTTGAGCCTTGTATGCCTTTAGTTTGCTCTTGGCTTCTGGGGTCAATTGCCATTTGGGTTTTGGTGTGGCAGCAGGGTCTGGAGGTAGAAAAAGGGTTAAGTGAGATACAGTACAAAGAAAACCCTGGCGAATCTTTGAAAAATGAACTCCTCATATGTTACCTGCACGAATCTTCTTGTGAGCCTCAGCATAAATCTCTTCCAAATCATCAGGTCCAATCTCCTCTTCCAAATAACTGGCAAAATGCTTCTTGTACTCTTCTTCATCATCCTCTTGCAGCATTTCCATATACTCGCCGACATGGCCACCAAATATATATTTACGCAACACACTGGGCTCCAATTTCTTGGCATCAGCATCATATCCTGGGAATCGGTTTTCACCGTGTGGGATTGCGATTCCTCCGTCTGCTGCACCTTTGAGGACACCGAATACACGGGCACCAGTTGTGGTGCGACGTAATCCGACGTCGAGGTATGCTTTGAAGGGTCGTGGGCCGTCTTCGACTGGTTCGACGTCGAATTTGGCACCGTCGATTTCTTGGTTGCCGGCGTATTGAGAGTCGAGGCCGAGCTTTTTGAGGACTCGACGGGCGGCGAGGAGGCCGACTGCGTAGGCTGTTTGGAGATAAAGAAAAGAGTGTTGGTACAGTGAGAACTTCATCATGTGAATTGGCAAAAATGAACCACGAGTAGATGTTTGCATCAGACAACCAACATACCAGCAGACCAGTTGGTCAAACCAACTTTGATACCATAGTTGGGCAATTCATGAGCATATGCAGCAGTCAATACGTAATCACCATTGAGTTTCGAGTAGATGACTTGAACGATGATATCCTTGTTTGTGAATCGTACAACCAAACGGTATTTGGGAGTGTTGTACTTGTTTTTGGCTTGAGTTACCAATCGCTTTCGTGCATAGTAGTCGGTTTTACCCTCTTTTGAGAAAGGAGAAATGAATGGTGAGTTGCCAGCAAACCAAAAACGTCACACTAGGTTGCAACAGATAATCTTGTTTGTTGAAGGGCGAGACGTCATATGCTTATGCTCATGTCCACACCAAGCTATGGAATGCTCATTGTTGTGTGCTTCCATCAAGATATGTGTGTGTCAGATAGGAGCGAAAGATGTGTTTTGCTTATCGTCATATTTAGTAGTATCCGTTGAACTATGCATATGGTTGTTCATCATCATCCACACACATGAGATGGAGGGGTGTTGGTAGAGCTTGATGGTCTGAGCTAGGAGCAGTTTGACTGGTCTCTCCCTTCAACAACAAAAACGGGAATCTTCATACATCAGATGGTATCCAACCACCTATTTGCGCATTCTATCTAATCTATATGTCAGTAACTAACCTCTACGACGACGGTATTTGACTTGGTATCGCTTAAAGTAAGCTTTGGTCTTTTGGGTTTTGATGAAGGGCTAGTAAAGAAAAGTTATGGGTCAAAAGGGTGGCGAGAGAAAGTTTACATATGCAACGAAAGGTGAAAATGAGATCCAAATCATTGTTTCTCTTCTCCTTGCTCTTCAAGATTTCCAAATCAAGCTATGAATATACAGAAGGTGACATTGCACCCAAACTCGGCCGATTGGATAGCAATCGCTGTGTAGTCAACGATTGCACGTGTACTGTATGCGATAATAAAATGAGTCTTTCATAGCTTACCATATTGCAGAAGTGTCTCCTTTCGATGGATGCGTCGATGGATGTTTTTGAGAAATCAAGTCTGTGCTTTTACATAAGCAGATGTACACCCTCTTTTCACTCAACGAATTCAAACAAGTAGAGGACAATACATAAAGATGGTAAGTGACTCAGCTACGTTGTTATGCTGCTATTACAGGGCTACTTTGCATCCTTCTTGAATTTTGATGGAGCTTGGATTTGTATTGAAGGCAGCAACAGCAACCAAAAAAACTCGAACAATGGGGAGAGAACAGGAGGACAACCTCGACGTCGACGATGAGATGCACTACTTAGGAATTCTGCAGTCCCTATTCAGCCGCTCTTTATTTAATCTTACGACGAGAAAAACAACAGGACATCAAACATTTGAACTAACTCCCAACTCCAACATCCAATAGTTTGAAAGATTCGTCGAAGTAGGCCGTGTAGTCCTCGTAAACTATGGACCAGACGCCGGTAAAATAGCAGTCATCGTAGACATTGTAGACCATTCCAGGGTCATGGTCGATGGCCCAACTACTGGCCTCCCCCGTCAAGTTCTCTCATTCAAACGCTTGACTCTGACTCCCATCAAACTGGACAAGGTCCCCCGTGCTGCTGGCGAAACCGTCCTAAAGGCAATTATTGAAAAGCAAGACTTGGTTGGCAAATGGAGCAACACTGCCTGGGCAAAGAGACTGGAAAAGAGGAAGGTGAGGGCTACCTTGTCCGACTTTGATCGTTTCAAGGTCATGTTGGCAAAAAAACAAGTAAGTTGAACGTATAGTGTGTATAGTGGTTGTTTGGTGGTGGTATGACTTGGTTGGCATGCGGCTGGAGAGAGTTGCTGTGTTTTTTACTTCACAACAAACTCACATATATGTCGTCGTTTATAGAAACGATCCATCATTGGCAAGGAGCTCGCAAAGGCCAAGAAGACTGCCTCTAAAAAGTAGAATCGCTGCTCTCTTTGTATAAAAATAAAGTCTATCTTAGCATCCCAGCAAAAACCGTCATTGTTAGCCATTTGGAGTGATTCCGAAAGTGGCCTGATACAAATTTACTCTCGCAAGGTCGCTATTCTTTGTGCTGTGATGACTGTGCTGGTTTACCAGTTTCGCTCACCAAGAATCCCTCAACGGTCATTCCGTTCCGACTGAAGGACAACATCTACCTGCTATACCTCTCGTCAAACTGGAAAATCTGGTCTTGTGATGCTGTTGATCTACTGTATTGCTAGCGAGTTCCTTCACAACTGACTTTGCAACATTTACACTATTGATACAAGAATACATTTTACTTTTGCTCCTAATTTTGGCATTTCAAGACCTCATGGCTCTATCAAGGAAGGTGCTGATGGTNNACCATCAGCACCTTCCTTGATACCAGTCAAGAGCTTCTCTTCTGGCATGGTCCTTCGAGCCGTGACCAGATAGCTGCAACAAAGCTCATAAAGAGAAAGATTGAGATTGCTAACATGGATTTGCTCAGTCGTTTCCAAAGCACTTTTTTGCTCACACTTGTACTCACTTTTCTGAAAAGTCAAGCATTTGAAGACCGTATCATCATTCAAGTCCGTCACGATCAAGCTTTGATGCAAAATGTGCCAAACCTTCCATACCATAGCAATCACCCCAACTATATAGCTGGCAGCTTTCATCCATTTCTGGTAAGTCAATAGTGATCGCAGTGGCTACAGCTCTCACGGCTGGTTCCTCGGCGTCGTTGATTTCGGTTGACTTCGAGGATGTGCCCCAGATTCAGCATATTCACCAGTAAACATCTTATGGAATATATGGCTGGCCGATGCCAATACGGTTTTGGATACGTGCATGTCAATGACTTTATCATCTTCCTTTGACGTTACGACCAAGACGGCATCAGATAGCTTTGCGTCAAACAAAGTGGATCTATTCCACTTGGGTGGTAGGTCGAGTTTCAGTAGTGCTGGTCGAACCCACGAATCGCGTTTTTACATCACAATTATTATCGGGAAGTGCATACGGCAACCGTCGAAAACGCCTTTACCCCAACTGTTTTTTGAACTATGCCAGACTGCGCGACAGTGACTACATGCGGCAAGAACAAAAACAAATCTCTCAAATTCATCACTCACATCAGTACACAACCCTCTAAGTTACAGGTGCATTTCTATTAAAATGTGTCGTCCAAGACGGTGCACACCACACATCAATTCTATAAAATACGAGGTTATCGAGCTGGGTTAAACTTTTTAGTGTCACCGATTTTCCCAGCAGCCACTCTCTTACGTGCGTCCTCCACCATCTGATACACTTCAGTCTTGGAGGCACGTCTCACGTCACCAGTAGACGTAATCTTTACTGGATGTTGAGCCATCTCGGGTATCTGGAAATATGTACGAACTTTTGGCTGCCTCAACAGTAGGACTGATCCCCATGTGAATGCGTTTGTAGCAATCCAATACATGAAAACGCCCTATGAAGATAAATTGCTGAGAAAGTGGGGTATGTCGCATTGATGGTGTTTGCTTTGCTTCAACTTACAGCGGGGAAGTTGGCTGTAAAAATACCACCGAGAATTAACATGATTCTCATTACGGTTTTCATTGTGGCGGCTTGTGCTGCGGGTTGAGATCCCTGTGCTTGCATGGTTGATATCTAGGATGTGCAAACATGTGAGCTTTTAGTTCGGCTGCAGTCAATCCAGATATGATAAGTTTTTTTGCGCCATCCCAAAGAACGCAACAGTCCACACTCCAGCTCACCTCTAAAACACCCATCATAGAAATGGTAGCAACAACAGGCAACACATAATACGGATCACACTGTGTCAAATCCGTAAACCACAAAATCCCTCCGACATCAAATCCAGGCACAGGCAACTCACTCATTGCCCTCAATGCGAAAAAGAAACTAATAAATATTGGAATCTGAGCTAGAGGTGGCCCCATCATTCCAAACGGATTGACATTATTTGCTTTAAACAAGTTTGCCGTTTCCTGTAATGCCTTTGACTTTTCCATTTCATCGCCATCCTGAGTAGCTTTATTCCGTCTAGCGGTTAACTCTTCTAACTGTGGTTTTATATTATTCATTTTGGCGGCATTGCGTTGTTGGTAGACGACGAGTGGGAAGAGAGCGAATCGGACTGCTAGAGTTGCAATCATGATGGTTCCCCACCATGGTACACCTGAATACACGTATATGGCTTCTAGGAATTGTTCGGCGAGGCCTATTGGTGTGCTGTGACATAGGCCTATGGATGCCAGATCGCCTATTTTTGTCACTGCAGCCAACCCAATCTCTTCTTTTGCTGCTTCTGGTATAAAGTCGACAATGGTTTCATCAATCAATGATGATGGCGGTGGTGTCGGCGTTGCTGCTACGGATTCTACTATTGGCGCTGGCTCTGGTATTGGGGCAGCAGTTTCTGCAACCAGCTTTTCAATCCCAGCTTGAGGTGCTTTTGGCGACGAACCCCAGATGGTCCATCCACCGATACTTAGATGGCGTATCTGGTGATGATGCACATTTGTAAATTGATGCCTTATTTTATTCAGCTAATTGACACGTTGGTGAAAAAGTGTTATTGTTAGCGTTCTTCAATTTTTTGTGATGTTGATGAGGTGAAGAGAGCCTGACAAACAGGGCTGGTACAACAAGATCGACTCAACGGGACGATTCTAATGTGCACTCACCTGCGTAGGGTTGATTGTATATAGCGTCCGGCATGTAGATTTTTGGCAAACTTTGGGATGACTACTAAAAAAAGGAAATGTTAGCTCTCTCAGTCATAAAGCAAAGAACAGATTTCAATCTAGCAGCCAATGCATTCATATTGCACATACCTATTGACTAGTCTTCTGACTTGAGATGCCAAAATCCTCCTGGTTGCCATCTTGCTCTTAGCGAAAAACTTGAAAAAACGTGTTGAGTGTCAGAACTGCGAATCGCACGATGGAACGGTCTACTAGTACATATTCTAATATAATATAACGCGTTTACAAGCGAAGAACTGAAGAACTAGTCATTGCAGGTGCATACAGCATCAGATCCAGCAGCTTAAAACGCTTCAAAGTCAGCCTCCTAATGTAACTCACAAGTCGACGTATGAAGGGCTGGCGACGCGTTCTGGTAATGCGCCCGTATGTTTATCACGTAAAGTTGCTCGGTTTCACGGTACAAAAGAACAGACCAAGAATTGGTCTGCAAGGCATCTGCCCACAAATCGCTGCGTACTGTTATGTGCAGTACCTTCCACATCTCTACATTCCATGAAATCCTTCAAACTTCCATGGCGTGGTGTCTCTTGATCACCCAATGCTCAATCCCTATTTCCCCTTTGTTGGATACCAAGCGTCTACCCAACCCCTTCAAAGGTGTAGAAACTATAGATATTCTAATATTAAATACCGGATATACAAATACAGAACTAGTCGAATTATTTGCATAGTATACAGAGCCAGATTAGAAGTTTTCTATGTGCAGGTTTCGAAGTCAGCCATTTCATCCAAATCAACCAATAGGCCGTATGAAGGTTCGAAGCGCGTCGTTGATAGCGCATCAACATACCTTTGTGATAGTAAAACCTTGTTCCATCAGTCTGCGTATACTTGTTACAGCAAGCATGTAGCATAGCATTCAATGGCTTGGGGCCACAGAAGAAGACTCCACAATCCGTGTGTGGATGTCTTTCTCCCAATGATTTGAAAATGGCATCGAGATTTGGTCTGCCAAACTTTGTAGCTGATTTAAGTCCGGTTAGACCATCTTTGATACCCTCTTCGTCATTCAGAATCACATTAAACACTTCGTTGGGTTTTAATGAACCCGTAATATACAGTTCGATTTCCAAGAATTTCCCGAGATCTTCTTCTTCTAGTGCTACTAGCAAATCTTGAAACCATTCAAATGCCTAGGCCGAATGGTGAGGGTGTGAGCAAAAAACGGTGGCCACAAGCGTCCAAACGGATGCTTACATCTTTGTCACGACAAATCCAATAGAAGTAAACCTTTCGCAGCGGTATGACTTTCGTAGGGTTTTTGACCTTATACCTAAGACAGTGGTGCGCAACTTAGTTAAGTCACCTGGTTGAATCGTGACCTTTGCCAGATCATTCGCCTACCATATCGACTTGAGCATAGAAGCGAAAGGCGTAACACCTATACCAGCACCAAAGCAGACTGAAACTTCATAGTTGAAGACATCCTCACTATGAATGATGGTGAATTAACGGGGCGCGCGGAGCCCTTTTTTGCTCAACAAAACAACCACTAATGGGCGTCGTCGTAAAGACCCTACCTGGCAGCACCATATGGACCATCCACCATAACACGTGGCAAAACCAGTCTGGCATCATTGCCTACAGCAGCTTCAAGTGTTTTTGACGGATTTCCTCTATCGTCCCATTGGCATCCTACTTGCTTCGCAAATGCTGTAGTCCAGTCTCCCGCGACTCGTATGTGTACTGATATGAAGTCTTCTTCAGGTGCTGATGTGAGTGTGAATGGATGCCACTATCAGATAACAACGGAATCAATTGGTGTTTTTTTGAGTTTTCTTTTCTCTGCTGCGTATTAATATCATACCTCATATCCAGCGACTTGGGGACAGCACAAGAAGATATACTGTCCAGATCGGATCTTGCAACTAGGTTTCCGGATCTGTACTTCACACACTCTACTCGGATGCATTACCACTTTACTGATATTCGTCGGTAGCCGTCCTCGTAGTTCACGCACAATCCTTTCCAGTAGATATAGTCCACCGAAGAAGACCCAGTACTTCCAAAACGCTGCTCCAGCACAAGAGCCATTATTCGTTTGTATGAAACAAAACGTGCCGTGTGTGAGCAGGATGGCAAAGAAGACGATAAATAGGTGATGGGTAAACCAAAAGATTTCAAAGAATTTCCTCCTGACGGTGTAGATTGATGCTGTCACGATGAGGAATAAGAGGACTACGAGGATTTGGCCTGTTGCTCCTGGCCCGGACGTTACAGCAACGGTCTCTATATATCGTCATGGATTTGAGTTAGTTCCCGTTTGCATACCCCAAAAACGATCAGGTCACTTTACAGCTTTTTTTCGCCGGGTTACGTACCAGGCTTGACAAGTCCAACCTGATACCTCGACAGATTCAACAAATTAAACATGTGCGCCACACTATGTACAAAACTCCACAGCACCACACTCCATCCCAAGAATCGATGAAAGTCAATATTCCGATCCACAGGCACATATCTCTGAATCGGCGTATTCCGTAACAGACTCAGCAAATTACGACATACAGGCAACAATATAATCCCAGCACTTAAATCAATACATGATGCTGCTCCTCTTGCTAATGGTAGTGTAATCCCCAACATTGTTCGGAAGTTTGAAAAGCTTGGATTTGAATTGTAGAAATTGAATGTGTATCCGAATTGTGCCACGTTTCCGGCAATCCAGAGTCCGAGGAATATGTAAGATGGTCCTAAGTGTGGTTGGTTAGGTAAATATCGAGTTGATTTGTTGTCGTTGCCAAAACGGTTTGTTGATGTTTCGTTGTTTTGGAGCAGTTCTATCGACGAACAGAGTAGATCTCCTCTTGCAACGCATTGTTTCAAGAACAAAGTTATGGAAATTTCCATAATCCATTGGATCTCGCCCCGTTCTTAACCATTTGATCTTGGGTCAAAATACTTGCCATCGTTCGTCAACCAATTCTCAAAGTTCACCTGCCATTTGCCCTTCTTTCTGCGTACACGGACGACTGGCAGATTCAAAACGTCCGTAGATCTCGCTCCTCCCACTGTATCTGTGGATCCGACGTTCATTGCTACTGGTGGCAGTAATTTGTTGGATGAAACATAAGAAGGTGAGGGCCATGACATCGTAGTGAATTCCTGGGTGAATTCGCAGGAAACAGCATCGCAAAGTCATCTACAATATTTAGGTATGCCTGATCTTCGTTAATTTACACGTGCTATATACCCTGATGCTATTATTGTTAAACAAGAGTCTCAGAGTGCCCTCCTAGACAGCTCTGTAAACTCATGAGGTTCTGAAACCACCGTACTAGCTTTATCACGTCTATAATACACCACATCCCACCTCGCATCCTCTGGCTCATCAAATGTCACCACATTCTTCGCCAACTCATACCGTGCATCCGACATTTCAGGAAACAACACACGTTCTTGAAGCTTATATCCACCATACGACAGCGACAAGTGATCGCCTCGTTTCACTCTCACATTCCATTGTGGGAATCGGGCAGCAAATTCGTTCACAGCTTCTCGAACAGTGTTCCCGACATCGAGGTCAACTAGGATGGTGTCTGGCTTTGGCCTTATAATAGATTTCACCACTGGCGCATCATAGTGTCGCTTGGAGGATAGTATCGAGTCTAAAACTGGTTGGAGTTTTTACAAACACGATGATGGAGTTTGCTACAAGTCCCTACAATCTTACCTTCACAAGAAAGAGCTTCCTCCGTAGCTGGCAAGGTAAAAAATCCAGTTAGCGAACAATGAGGAGGATACTGGTTGGCTTCCGTAAATCCAAACTGTTTGGCAGATTGTATTAGGAATTCTTGCGCTGTAGAATACAAAAGCGTGTCCTTTCTTGGCATCAGATATATGATGCATTCAGCACTCATTTCTGAAATAGCTCTGGCTCTGTCCTAGCCTTCACGTGTTTTTCAGTTCATTCTTTCCATATCGCAGACATAGACACTAAAAACACGGTCTTCTCAAAAAGAAACAGCGGTCGCTGCAAGTTGGACAGAAGGTGAAGCTCTCATCATACGAAACAGGTATATAGCGTCAATCCCAGAGCTTCTTCCTTATTCCAATCTGCCCTCCTTTCGATCCGCTACCAAAACAACTGAACTTTAATTTTTAGCTTTTCATTAAAATGGGCGCATGCACATCATCTCGCCGGGAATCGACGAGTAGGAGGCGAGAAACTGGGCGTCAGCCTTCCTATAATGGTATGCTACAATATCTTACCGCTTGCTTCGGTGCCTTCGTCGCAACAATATGAACACGAGGCATTGCAGGCACTGGATATGCATGAGCAGTCAAAGAAGGTTTAGAGAAACTGAAATTTTGGAGTTATATAGGAGGAAACACTCCATTGAAGCCTAAAAAGGCACTCGCTGAATGGTCTCATACAACCCCACTCACCAAAATCCAATTAACGTCTATGAGGAATCAGTTTTGGGATACCCAGCCATCGTACTGTGCGTCTCGTACCGGTATCGGGATTCGCAGCCCAGTCTGACTTTCAACTTACAATTAGCTGGAAGGATTGAGATCTGGCAAGCACTACGAGCAGCTGCTGAAGCCTCAAACCTGGAACTGGCGCAAGCGATTGTGGACTCTGCTTCGATATCTGTTCCTTCTGGGTCGCTTGAAGATGGAGCTTGTAGGTTTCTTGTCAATTTGGCACAAGATCAACGTAGAACGCACATGTAACTCTGCAAAATTCTCAGACGACGAATTAGGAAACCTATACGTCATTCCAAACTATTGCATAACAGACCCCACCAATCTCCTACGGGAGGACAACAATCCGTCGTCACAGACTAAACTGAGGTTTAGTAAATCCCAACGAGTGGTATGTCGCCTAGTTTCTCCTCGCTCACTCATCCTCTAACAACTTCGTAAACTAGGGGGAAGACACATTCATAGATGGAAGCAACGATACTGTGACACCCGATCCGTCAAAGGGATCACCATCAAGAGAAACGTCGTCACCAACAAAGATGAAAGTCATTGCCCGATTATCCACAAACCAGGACGTCACATTGAATCTGTCACCCGAAGATACGTTTGAGACTATTGAGCAGGGTGTCCGCTCATCACCACAAGTGAATGGAACGAGTATAACTAGAGTGAGGTTCTTCTTTATGGGAAAGCCCATTTCTCCAACAACGATTCTGAGTGCTGCAAAAGTGGGGAACAATTCGGTTGTGCAAGTTATGATTGCTTGAAGAGTTTACAGATACCAAACTACGACTTTTATTTTCTTATATGATAATTTTGCACAATTTCTCTTGTTTTTTACTGTTTGACCTCTATGCATATAATTCTTTGTCTTATACTACATCATCGTGCGGGTTTGGAATAGTTTCAACGAGATGGGACATGTTTATCACGAGTAGCAGTATCTCTAGCCTGAATTCTGGCCTTCCTTGTCGCTTCCAAAGTAATTGCGTGGTTCCATGCATTTTCCATAAGCTGGGTCTTGCCAACTGACAATGTTACAAGCCGAGCAAGAGCGAGCAATCTCATAAGCTCTGCTTGACCTGTCAGAGGTTGTCTGTTGCGGTGCTCTTCAGCTCTCACATTGGCAAAGTAGTTTTGAATAGTCTGGGAGCAACTGATTGGGTTAGCTTCTTTTCCCTCAAAATCAAGGTCTAATGAGAAGCGTTTACCAATTCCATTGGTTCAGGAATGCTGTATTCTTCATTCTTGTAGACTGCAATGAATTTGCGAGCAGTTTCAAGCAAATCTTTCGAGAAGTCGCTTGGAGATGGGCCGTCAGCACTGGCCACCATAGGGACTTCTACATCTACCTACAACAAACATAGCGTTAGTCCTTTTGCAACACCAAACACCACAGAAACAATCCCGTTTTACCGAAAACATGCAACTTGAGTTACTCAATATCACCACACCAACATTCATGGCAACGTCTATATGTTGTGTACCAAGAGCATACGGCACCATTCCGTATCGTAACAGGTTCTCTACACTAGCCAAGTTGGCAATCCCTCGCTCCTCGAGCTTCCCAGCTTCCATCCGCGTTTCATCAAGTAGAAGCAACGTTCCATCTGCTACTTGCAGTTCTCCGGCAGAGAGACCTGTGGCTCCAGGGTTTGTACCCGATGCAAAGTACTGTTTGTTCAAATACTCGAGCGACAATGGAATATACGATACTTGAGGAAGGAGCAATGAAAAAAGGCGTTTAATATCCAACGTTTGTTCGGTTAATGTAGCATATCCCGTCAGATTTAATGGCTGCATTAGACGGTTTTGATCAGATCTGTTTCGAAGTGTGAGTAAGTGCTTGCAACAAAAAAACTACAAAGAACGATTTACGACAATTTAGTCTTACAGTCTCGTGGAAAACATGTACAGCCAAAGATATTCAGCAGCCAAACGGTCTCCCAATACAAAAGTCGATATGGATTCAATCATGGCGTTTCTCAAAGCAGTGGCATCAACGCTAGACACTTTAAGATTAAAAAATATGCTTCAGTATATCTGCGAAAATGAACATGAAACTTTTCTTTTACCTTGAGACGCAATGGCTGCCCAATCGTCAACACACGACAAATCAACCACTTTGCGAGCAACCAGAGCATTAATGATTGGCACTGATGAGAAATCATCTTCATCAAATGCCAGAGAATCTTCCATATTCTCTGATGGTTGAGGATACTCGACAATCCCAATAACATCAAGCACCTGATTGAGCTTCAAGTCACTCAAATCTGGAATGGATGGATACACCTTCAGTATAGCAGCTGCTTGCCTGTTGACTGAGCTAGAGATCTTCTTGGCGATATGATCGGGCAGAGTCTTTCGAGGTGTGTCGAGAGATAACCCTTCCAGTTTGCTCTCGAGTTCCTCTGTCTCAGACGACTGTGATTGAGTCCAGGCGCTTAAAGCAGGAACTCCAACAGCAAAGTATGGTTGTTTGTCTACGTATGATCCGAAAGGAGACACTTCGCTCCATCCTTGTCCTTCAGGGAGTGGTGGTTCATCGACAAACCAGGTGTTTACACATGTCTATGTGGAGCGTGTATCAGACAATGCGATAACGGAGCCACAATTCCTCACTTTGCGAGACGTACCTGTTCCTTTGTAATGACATTCGTGATTTGCATCTGCTGAAGATGCACTTGTGGCGAAAGTCCATTGTCCTGTATCATGCATCTGAATCTCACGAGCGAATATGGAGCGTGCTGACCAATTCCATAACCAATAAAGCTTGGGATCTATTGGAAAGGCGTGTGTAAAGTTGTTAAACGTTTGATGACAAGATGATGGCTGGGCAACCACAAGTACTTGATGAAGCAAATCAGGATCTTGTAGTAATTTCTCGAAATGATTTGATATAGCTTCAGCCGTTATGTTTGGCTCTAAAAAGAATGCGAAGCTTAGTGACAAAACATTTGTTTTCGAGCTTGGCGAATACCTTTCGCGAGGAGCTCTTGAATGATCCTCAATGGCTGCCTGATTATTGATGATATTTCTTCCATGTTTTACTCGTTTTGAAGCCCGAACAGTGAATTGAACGATGTTTGCATTTCTGAAAAATGTATGGATTTGGGGCACTATGAATGAAAGTGCAAACACCGCCATCGCTCAAAAATCATTTGAAATCACGTAAATACGAGGCTAGCTGGCTTATTTATCTGAGAGAAGAGATAACGCGTCCGGCAAAGGAAAAGGTCGCATCAAGAGCTCTAGCAAGAGTTTCAATGTATGAGGCTTTGGGATATTTTATTATTACGATGTTCAAAAGTAAATGATTCAGAATTAGACGTTAGTTTATACTGAAGAGCTCCCCGTAGACACCGTGAACTCTGGATACAGACCCCACGACTCCATCATGCCCATTACAAGACCCAATAAAGACCCACGTAAACCTTTTTTGACCCTTCTATCAACAAGTCCAGTCACACGTATCCGTGACTCGCCGTGGAATGCATCAGCCTGCACTTCAATGGATCCTTGAGAGTTCATCCACCACATGTTTCCGTGACCTACAGACTTCACAGAAGCTGCAGAGTGCATTTCCTCTGGAAGCCATGTCCTGAAGTTGACTGAGAGAAAAGATGACGATCTGAAATTGATGCCTTAGACACCCAGTGTTTTGACTTACATAGGGCATGAGACCGGAATCGGTTGATTTGTTTTCGAGTGGGAGTCTCCTGCAGCGGCATTAGATATGTCGCACGTGCTTCGAATGCCTTCAGCGCTTGCTGCCTGTTTAGACCATGTCCTCCATTTGGCACGGTGACAGACGTATATGTGTCCAATAAGCCGTTCCCACTAAGAAATCCAATTTGAGCAAAAACCACATTTCATACTCAACGGTGGTCGTCGCTCACCTATATCCCTCTGCCTGTATGATCGAGAGACCACACCAACCAACCTCAATATCAACATTCACAGGTTTCCTTTGCCAAAGTTGATGAGCCGCGACTATGATTGCCATGGCCAAAAGCCCTGTACCTTCATCGATGTTGTCGGTGTGTAGATTCATCGTAAAAGAATCCACCAACGTGAAGGGATATATTGCATCAGTGAGTCGGAAAATGGGATGGTCTTCAGGTAATATCGGCAGACGAGCCATTGCTTCTTTTACGACAATAGTGTTGTCGAGAGGCCGGTGAATGCGGATAGAAGTGGCATACGTATCGTAGTTCTGATATAGATCAGTCAAGTGCTGCAGATACACTTGAGTTGTGTGTACGTCGAAATAGGCATGCGACAGGTACAGGTAGACCTTATTGAGCTCTTGACAAGTGACTATAACTGCATTTCGCTTCCCAGACAGCAAATGTTTTGACACTATTGGTGCTAGTTTCTTGACTGGTGACAGGATTTGTACTTTTGCGGCTTCTATTATGACATAGCTGCTTCGCACCTACAGCAATAAAAGGAATGAGCAACAATGAAGACATCGAGTCACGACATGAAAGCATTCAGTCACTCACACTCCCAATTGTTGCCTTCGCTGACGGTTTCCTCAGAAATGCTGAAACGCGAGACGAAGCAGATGTGCGAGTCCGTAGCACAGGATGCAGTTCCATTAGGCGCTGTACTGCTCTTTCAAGCTTTTCAACATCAAGTTTATCGGTTCCAATATTGAGATTCCAAGGGCGTCGGCTGTCCAGACCTAAAATCTCCGAGAATTAGTTAGAAGTTGAGCCTGCCAATAACCTTTAAATCACGACTTACTAGCCATCTCATGAAGCAACATTCCTCTTCCAACAGTTGTAATGTCCGCCGCCATCCAAAAGAAGAGATGTTTTCTTGATGCAGGTGATAGATCATACGCGGTATCGAGTTCCATTGTTTTGAAAGAAGGAGTTTTTAAGTTCGAGTCAGCTCTCGACTCCAGATATTTCGCCAACGATCGAGGTGATGTGCCAGCGACTAGTAATTGATGCCCGTCCGTCGTCATTTGGAACACGTGCTGGAGACGATGAGCAAGTCTAGCACTTGCAAACGACGTCATGCCAGAAGCCTAACCAGCCCGGAACCATTGTGAGTTTCCACCACTAAACAAGGCAAGTGATTCACAATGAATACCTTAAAATCAAAGTTCAGTCCTTTCAGCTCGGGTTTGTTCATCACGTCTGCCGCAATTTCAGATATTCTGAACGCCTCAGATTCCGTATTTGGGATACAGCTAAAAGCAAGGTATCCAACGTCATTCCTCAACGCCTCCTCAGCAATCCCCTGAATTTTTATAAACCATTTCTTGTTGTTGGGGCTTAATGGCAGTTTGTCGAACGGAATTGCTATTCTGAGGTTAACGTTATTTATCGAGTCAGCTTCGATAGCAGCCTGAGCACTTGTCATAATATTCACTGAATCCTTTGTTGTTCCAGATCGCAACGTGTAAGCCAGGACAAAGAAATCGTCCTTCGTCTTGACGACACAACAATCATTAATAACTGTGCTGAGAGACTGTCGAACGATGGTATCTAGATACTACAGCAATGAATTTGTTCGGTTAAATGCAACCAACAAAAATGCTGATGGATGCACGTACATCAAGGTCTACATAGACACCAGCCATTTTAACCTTGCGACTCTCCCGTCCCAAAACAGTAAATCCATGCTTCTTTATCTGGACAAGATCGTTTGTGAATACCAATCTACGTCCGTCAGGAAGTCGCCTGAAAGTTTCAGACGAATCGTGTCCACGGTAACCTATACATGAGTATTCACCGATAATTCCTAGAACTCCTACAGCGTCTTCCACTACTGGAATCTCGACGCCGGTGTCACGTTCGAATAAAGCTACTCCCTGAATGTTGCCCTCCGCGAATCTGTAAACAGGCTCGGCGTCTGTCCCAGGAGGTACAGATCCAAAAGCAGCAAATGCCCATAGCTTTCGACATGAACTATTAGTATTTGGTATGACGCTGAAACTCCATAAACACGTTTCTGCTTACCTCGCTTTGGCCATACGAAGGATTTATAGATGCATTCGGAAATCGTCGTTGCATCCGTCTCAGGAGATGTGCCGGATTTAGCTCTCCGCCCATCGTCACAAGCTTGACATTCAGCCATACTTTGTCCGGATCAACGTAATCTTCAAATAGCAAAAACGTTGACGGTGTCATTGATATACTCATGGCTCCCAGATCGAGAGCCTTTGCAGCGGAGACTGCCGCAGTTGTTTTGACAGTACCAGCAGCTGTTTCCTGTGGGAGAACACAGCAGCCTCTTGATACTGGGATGACTCCTGTGAAGGCAGGTGTTGGCAGGTACCTGAAAATGGAACGTTAGAAGCGAACACTCTGGAGAAGTTCACAGCTTGAAGAACTTACGTTGGAGGACTCGACATGTCTCGCACAGCGTACGCGTCTTGGTTGTAAATAGATCGGCCAACGGGAATGCTGAGGACTACAGCTCGCATACTCACAAGCAGGCTCTTTGGCACTCCTAATACGAATATTTCAGACATCAAATCAGCGAAAACAGGACAAAAGCAACCAACCTGTTGTGCCTGACGAATGATGAACCCACGCAATCCTCGGTGCCATTGTAACTTCAAACGCCTGGATCCTGCACTCATCAACACTACTTTCATCCACCACACTGGTATCAAAGCACGTCACTCCCGCAGGGAACACACCAACCTCCAAACGGTTGCGTAAGAATAGCGATATGTTATTGCGTTTAGCAATCGTATCCTGTATAGCCAAACTCCAGTTTGGAGAAAGAGCAAGCGGCGTCCTCCCACGAGTCCATAGCGCATATGCGCACATGACAAAATCCGGCTCTGACTCCATCATTAGACCTACAGTAGCATCATCACTTTTGCCTAATGTTGCCAATTTCGACTCTATAAAGTCTGCAAGGGCGATGATTCGTCGCCATGCGGTTGCATACGTCCATTTGGAAGCTCCTGATACGATAAACGGTAGATCGGGCTCTTCTTTTGCTGTTTTGATCAGGGCACTTGTGGGATAGTCTTCTCCAAAGTTGTCAAAAGGTGGACGGGTCTTGTAGAAAAGTCCTTCCATGATGAGTAGCGACGAGCACGTTGAGATCTGGTAGGACCCTTCAGGGTGTCCCCTATCTATACGTCGCTAAGTGATAGAAAGGGTTGAAAATGTAGGTGCTACTCAAACGATGTTCGGAGTCTGATTTCGGCTATGACTAGAGTACTCCTTCGATCCATTGAAAGAATGTCATTAAAAACTGAAATTCCTACTATTTCAATTGTCCCCTCTGCGTTGAGAGGATCCAAAACGTGTGCATTAACGTCAATTCACAAAACAGTCGTTGGATGGATACAAAAACTTTGCGTAGCGATCGCTATGATCTGAGACCATTTTCCCATTCCAAACAGTTTTTACATGAGACTTTTGAGCCTGAGCCGCGTTTGTGCCAAGACGCCAAACTTCAACTGGCAAAACAGAACAAATTGACACGTTCAAGGTTTCTGAAAATGCTTCAGTTACACATTGAAAGCACACGAATCATAAATATATTCTCATACAGACGAGTTCCCCGTGGAAACTGTAAACTCTGGATGTAAACGCCATGACTCCATCAGGTTCATGACAAGACCCAAGAAAGGTCCGCGTAGACCTCCCTTCAGCCTTCAATCCACGAGTCCAGTTGCACGGATACGTGATTCGGCGTGGAACGCATCAGCATGCATCTCAATGAATACTTGAGAGTTCATCCACCATTTGTTTCCATGACCTATAGACTTTACTGAAGCTGAAGAGCGATTTTCTTCTGGTAGCCATGTCCTAAATTTGACTGAGAAAAAGTGATCAAGACCCGATATTGCTGCACTTGACGCACAGTGCGCTGCTGACTTACATAGAGCTTAGACCGGAATCGGTTGATTTGTTTCCGAGTTATTGGAGTCTCCTGCAAAGGCATGAGATACGTAGAACGAGCTTCGAATGCTTCCAGAGCCTCTCCTCTAGTTAAATTCAGTCCTCCATTTGGCACGATCACGGACGTGTATGTGTCCAACAAACCATTTCCACTATGAATCAACTATGAGGAAGCCATGCTTCGATTTCTGAGTCAAAATTCAATCATGACTCACCTGTATCCTTCTGCCTGTATGATGGAGAGACCGCACCAACCGACCTCTACGTCAGCATTGACTAACTTCTTCTGTCGCAGCTGTAGCGGTAGGAGTATGTCGGAGCCTGATACCGCCTCACAAGAACCAGGCCTAAAAACAACTCTTGAATGCCGGAGGCGTGGCATCCATCACTAGCATAAACAACTTGACAATCGGCGATAAATGACGTGTCAAACCAATTTCCACCAAATAACTTAATTTGCAAATCTATCTATCTATCGCGTCATCTCGCTCACGCCCACTCTGAATTTCTTAAGAACCAGATATTTCATCAAAAAGCTTGTCCAAATACAAAAATTGGGTATTTATCTATCTACGTACTGCCTTCTTCAAACACAAGGCACCTCAGAACAAGCTGCTGGAACTTTCACCCAGCTCTCCCAACGACAATGCTGACTGGATGCCACGAGACTCGTATAAAGGATTGTAAGATTCTTGGTTGGTGCCCTTGTATGATGGATTCATGACAGAAGTAAATCCAACAGAGCTACCAGCTTCGGTCATATCAGCGCCACCTTGAGCGAGTTTCTTCCTGCGGTACATGAAACCGGCTGCGACGGCGGCTCCGACACCGGCTGCAGCACCTGTTCAATGGATGTGGAAATGATAGTGAGCAAGAGGTATTTGAAAACCATCCAACTTGAATAAACACAACCAACATACCAACACCAATAATAATTGGCTGTGTTGACGAACCAGCTCCATCAGATGGGGTGTCAGAAGGAGATGGACTTGAAGCAGGGGTTAAAATAGCTCCAATTTCACCGGCACCAGTTTGTGGTCCTGATACAGTTGTAGTTGAGGGCATGGAAGGGATTGCAAATGTGGCAGTTGGTGTAGCGGTAGGAGTAGGTGTTGCGGTGGTTGAAGGTGCTGCAGATGGAGCAGCCTAAAAGGATGGGATTGATTGAGTCAGTTATAAAGCACGTTTGAAATAAGTTTCCCAAGACGTTTTTGGCGGACTCAGAAATCATACTTACAGAACTTTGAACTGACGGTGCTACCGACGAAGCAGGAGAAGCAGCAGCGGTAGTAGATGGAGCAGCTGAGGGGGCGACGGTTGTGGATGGAGCGGCTGAAGCCGCAATTGTGGTAGATGGAGCAGGTGAAGCGGCAATAGTAGTCGATGGAGCAGCTGATGCCTTAATGGTGGTAGAGGGAACAGCTGAAGGCGCGAGAGATGTGGCAGTCTATTCAAACGGATTCATGTTAGATTTTTTAGCTTTCCAAAAATCTGGAGAGCAACACATACCGATCCAGTTCCGAAATTGGTTTGCGTAATATTTAAGCTGACTGTCAACCTCCAGTATACTCGATCAACAGTACCAGATCCAGTAACACATCCAGTTGGCCATTGCATATACGTAGGAACTCCAGCAGCAGCTTGTAAATAGTCTGTCATATTCTTCCAGTTAGACATGGCAGCGATACATGACTGAATATTAGCGACGTTTTGTCCATTAGTCCAATTCGAGTCGTCATATGTCAAGTTTGTCATCTTGCTCCAATAGTCTCCAATATTAGATTGTGGCTGAATGTAGGATAGGTAGCTCCATGGGCTGTTGCGTCCATTGGTTCCAAGGAGGTTTACGGTTGCGTTGGGCGATGGGGCGATTTGCATCTTCCATGGAGAACCAAGGGAACCCGAAACACCGACAGGCGAACCGTCTAAGAATACAGCAGCGTCTATTCCTGCATAGGATCCGATATCCAAGGTGTCAAGACCAATCAACCATGGCCCGTCACCGGTAACGTTAAATTGTAACGTGTTTATCTGCATCCATGCATATTGGGTGACACCATCACCATCGTGAGCTAAACGAAAGCGTACCGTCAGCACCAGTCTTTTTACATCATCTCAAGAGACAGTCAAAGTATACGTACGTCCTGCCCAAATCGTCTGATTTGCGACGTACATCTGAAAGAAGTTATCAACAGCTACATCATGACAGAAGACGTTTAGCAACAAACACAAATCAAGCTGCGGCCTCGATGGGCCATAGACCATATTCCAAGTGGCCGGATCACTCACATATAACAATCGTCAAATTGTGTATAGCAGGAGCGGAAGGGATTGCCAATGCATTCCCAAACAAGCTGGCAGCAAGAAGGCCCAAAGCCAAGGCCATTTCTAAAATGCTCGTTACAGGCTTGTCTCAGTGGTTTGTTAAAGTTGGGCAGCGGAAGCGTTATCTTTAGGACATAGGATGTGGGTTTGGTAGAGGGTGATGTTGGGCCATAGCTTCGGGCACTCCAGCCACACGACGTGTAGTAATTTCATGCAGCAACAAAGTCCTATTGACAGTTCCATCCTCTTTGGTTCCTTGTCAACGCTCTTGGATACGGATTCTTTTCCTGCGTTTAATGTTTGCGACTTTAGCTACGACCAGCTATTGAAGAACTATAAGAGCAAGAGGTCTAGCTCATAGATGCAATAGTGCTACTTGTTTGAACGTGCGTTTCGAGCACCGATCCATACTTGAAATGGACGTTTAAAGAGAGCAGCGTTGCGAAAACAAGTTTTGGTATTGCTTGAAGCAACATGGCGTACTTGAGTAGATGCACGCGGTTACCAGCCTCCATCATGCTTCCGATGCGCGTACGAGTACGTTCTCTTCCTTAACGCTTGAGCTGTCAAGCTTCGCTGCAATGGCTCCTAAAAGCCTTTGACAAAAATCCGTCCATCAAATCAACGCATTATCAGGCACACACAAGTTGAATTCAGGCTCAGAACAGAGGAAATGAAGACTCAGATAGCAATAGTTGGAGCTGGCCCGGCAGGCATGGCCGCTGCTCTCAGCATCAAGAACTTTTGTGGAGATTGGTGTGATATTACAATCTACGAACGAAATTCAAATGTGACAGAGCACGTTGGCGTTCAATGTAAGCTACGCTTGCATGTAGTCAGCTTCAGTGTTGCATTCTTCCTTTGAAGCTTTGTTCTTGATGTCTTCAAGTCGAACTCATCAAACATCTCATTGAATATTAGACAACTTGGGCCTAGGAGACGAAAAACGTTGGTCACAATGCTTTGGCGCCGAAGGAATGAATATTGCCCCCGCCGTAGAGAAACTGATCCGGCCTTCTCAAAACATTATATACATGCACGGAAAGACTGGTCAGATCTTTTGGTCACGTAAACCTGGTCCTGCTGGCAAAGTACGTTTTAATCGTTCCCTTGTGGGTGTAAATTCAAGGCTTACGCGGTTTTTCCTCCTAGTACGTCCCACAAGTCAAACGAACAGCACTCCTTGAAACAATCCACGACGCACTGCCAAAAGGCATAATCACGTATAAGAAGTTTGTTGAGTCGTGGAGCCAGGATACCGAGTGTGTGAGGATCAAGTTTGCGGATGGGAGTCAGGTGCAGGCTGATTATGTTATTGCCTCTGGTACGCTTGTTTATTTTGCCTCTTGGTGTCAAGTACCACGAATTTGACATGTGTTTCACTAGATGGTGTATTCTCACCTTTCAGACTCCAAATATACCCCGTAAGTATCCTCCTAATTATCATGGACGACCACAAAAAAATGCTAGGAGTGAGTTACTCAATTACTAATTAGTTACTCAATAACACGTCAACCAACATATAGCACTCACAGCCCAAACTCTCAAACATTGTCGCCATATATTTGCTTTGCACTGTGCCAGATGATGCCAAGGACTCCTTATCTGAAGAACTAAAGAGGAATGCTAATAACGGAGTTAGCGTCACATCGTTGTCTACACTCTCACAGGTATGTTAGTAGATGCATGAAGTCTTTTTCGGCGTTCGCCAAACGTTATTCATATTTCTCTTCTCAATCTTGCGTGTAGTGTGGTTTGTTCCCACTCGGAAACAACGAATTATGTGCATTCTGTGATTTGCTAAGTAAGCTCAACGGAAGTTTGAGTTCTTTACAGATCGGTGCATTTATGCTCTTTTCTTCGTTCTGTCTCAGCCGACTATGAAAAGCACCAAACCCCAACTGGCTCACTCGATACACTCACCCCCTCCCAACTAATCGCCCTTGCAATTCAACGCGCCGAGCTCGACCACCCAGCACTACCCATCCTCGCACGAGCCTTCCAACACACGACAACAGTGAAGACCGTGCCGATATGGCGAATCAAGGATATTGATCCAATTGAAAGCTACGCGCATGGGAGGGTGCTGCTTATTGGAGATGCTGCTCATGCTAGTAAGTGCAAAAAAAAACATCGAAGAACCAATGGCTTACAAGTCTGATGGAACATAGTGAGACCATACTTGGGACGTGGAGCGGTCATGGCGATGCAGGATGGTGCGTGTTTGGGGAGGATACTGGCAAAGGCTCGCAAGCAATCAACGAGCATACAGCAAACGTTCCAGTCTGCGTTTGTGAATTTTGAGCGTGAAAGGCTTGAACAGGCTAACGCGACTGTAAAAACATGTCGTGTTGAGTCTGATGCGTGGTGGGCTGTGGGTAATCAAGTGCCTGGAGCAGAGCTGGTTATATCACAGATGGATAAATCACGAACGAAAAAGGCTGGTAAACTGTGAGAATAGATTTGAGAATAACAATATATTAGTAGTAAGTAATAATAAATCACATATGTTTACAAGATGCAAAAGAGTTCATATGTTTACAAAATATGTGCAATGAAGGGTTGCTTGTACTTGGCGAAAAAAATCATCAACCAATCATGTCAAATCTGTTGACCAGCCATCCACGCCCTCAATGTCTCATCATCATCAACACCCCTCCTTGATGACTGTCCATTGTTACTACTACGAGACATATTCTTGAGTTCAGTAGATGCTTCAGATGTACGTCCGGCACGACACAATGCCACAATATATGCTCGTTTGGCATTCGAATCGGTTTCCACGAACGGTTGTAACAAGGTGGCAGCTTCATCTGCTCGATCCAAGTCCAGTAGTGCACGTGCAGCATACAGTCGTGCCATATGTCTACGGTTGGCGCATATTTGTTGGTGTGAGCGCTAACAAAAAAAACCAAATTCTCAACACTACATACGTATGCTGATGGATAAAACTCTTCTCGGACTCATCCGTAGCCGCATCTTCTTCCTTTTCCGCAACATCCATAGCGAGAATAGCCAATCCATACGCTTCTGAAGCAATACCACACATAAGAGTCGAGTATGTCCATCCACTGAGCGCAGCAACCATAACAAGTTTCACACCAGAATCAGCTTGTTGCTTCACCTGACCATCAGTCAGCACATATGCGTTTTTGAAGCATTGGATGGCGTATGAATATGATAGCGGTGACTCGTCTCTGCCAAGTTTAAACAAATGATAAGGATAAAAATATTGCAAAACAGCAACAATACAGACGAACTCACTCTGTATCTTCACTCATCGGCGGTCTACGAGGAGCTAACACAGCTATTCGAAATCCTCCGACACGGACAGATCGCGTTGATGGTGTGGTTTCTACTTGATCCTGCAAACGAGAAAAAGGAGCAATTACGAACCACACACTGCGGCAACACAAGCCAACCGCTTACTCACTTTAACATTCTCCTGATGTATCAAACAACAATCACCAGCTCGCAGCCACACTTTGGCTAAAGGCACACTAGGATCCTCTTGTCCTTGTAAGAGTCTAATCACTGTACTAAAGCATTCAGAAGCTTGTGTTGTTTTTCGAGCAGCGAGTAATTCAATCCCAGCGTTGTATATAATGCTCGGCGAGTCGTCCAAGTATGATGGCACTGGAAGCGTGGTAGAAAAGAACGATGTCAGTGAGAACCAAAGTGAGGGAACGAAAGAGAGAGTTAACCCCGAACACTGGACTCACGTAATGGGTCAGTAATAGCATTCACATGCTCAGTATTCCTTCCATGAGCACGAACAAAACTCAACAATGACAATGCTTTCGCACCACCCTCTTCAGCCAACACACCCATCGCATTCCACCAATACTTGTCACTCCAAGGTCGAGCATCATGATTCAAATGCTCTGTTTCTTTAAACTCGTGTTGTCTCGGCATCATAGATTTAACCTGATCAAGTTTACTCATGGCTTTATCAGGATGATGCAGCAACCATTCCCCTTTCGCATGATAATGCCATGGTGATAGATCATCTATAACCAGAGATTCTGGCTCGTTATCACGAGATTCAAAATGTTTTTGATGATGATATAAGTATTGTTGTTGTAAGCGCTTCGCTTGTCTGAATTCATTGTTGGCGGCTTTTGGGCGATTTGAAATGAGGAGAGCACGGCCTCGTAGCATATGTACAGTATATCTAAATGACACGTGGTATGATGGGAGTGCGTCGTCTGCACTTGGTCGATATAAAGGATCACGATCTGGAGATGGGATTGGGAGGAGAGGCATTATTGGTGTTGTGGGTGATAGTGCTCCTGTATCAGATCCTTCAGAGTCGTTTGCTGTCATTGGTGTTGCTGATCTGATTAATCCTCCTGCAGCACCAATAGGTGATGTTGGGATATTATTGGCATCAAATGTGGTAACATTATGCAGACCTATACTATCTGCTGTATCTTCATCAGCAAACTTGATAGAGTTTGGCTCGAATTGAGATCCACCAGCTTTAGCAAGCACTGAGCCATAAGCACTCGCATCATCGTCATCTAAATATACATCCTCTTCGATATCTTCATCGTCAGAGAATTGGACTGGCTTGTTATGACTATTCGTTGTAGTATCGTCCGTAGCCTCTTCACCATTATTTACAAACAGACGACGAGCAGCATTCCCAGCACCAGCATTATCACGATCACGAGCATATTTACGTTCTAGATACCCAGCAATCCTAAGTACACCTTGTGGGTTGTCTAAACGCAGCCATACATCCGCCAGCAACAATAACACCCGTATAGCGATATAGTCATCAAGTGCCTCGACATGTAGCTCATATAACGGGGTCAATAGCTCGGCAGCAGCGGATATTTGCCCTGAGTAAAACAAGAGACCTGCTCGATTATAACGCGTCCAAGCGGAATCCGAAGCTGGAGGTGGTAGAGCCGGAAGTTTTGTAGGATCCAGATCTTCGTCATCGTCTGTATTACCAGCCTCATGATCAGCAGTTTCATCTGTAGCAGTATTGGATACAGCCCAGTCATCGTCCAATGATTTCCGTGGTGGTGATGATGTGAGCGGTACTCCAGCACTGGTAGATTGAATGTTCAGATCACGAGCTTTATGAGATTCCAGAGCATCGGATATGGTAGCTTGAAGTGCAGCTAGGGAAGATGGAGTAGCAGATCGTGATTGTATTGCAGAATAGTATTCGGCAATGGCTAGATTGGTGATGACCCGAGTGTCATTCGAGGATTGGAGTAGGGTCTTTAGGACGGAGACGGCAGTCGCATAGTCCTTCTTTCTGAATGCTTGAGTTGACTCTTTGCCTAGAGCTTCGTCCATTTCTATTGATGATGCAGAGTCAGTGAATAAGCTTTGAATTGCAGCGAACTAATGCATTTCGAATATAGATTACTGGTCGAGGCCTCTTTAAGTTACTCCTTCCTGACCTGAAAGCTGATACGTGTCGTCATTGTGTCGTTTGGTGAAGTACGCTGTAATCATCAATAAATGTCAAAGGATTGCCAGTACAGAAAACGTCAGGAGAAAACAATACCATTGAAACCATTGAAATGGCTAAGAAGAGCATCGTCGTAAAGGAGGCAAAGGAGGAAGAACAGGACGACGACGAATAAACACCACAATATATTGAAGTCTGACCGAGCGGAAGGAAAACGTAGGGCATGACATACGACATCCTAAATTTTGACGCGTCATCAACACTTAGCGAGGCGAAAACACGTTGGTTTGGCCTCAGAGTCGCTCTCATCATTCGCCCTTGCAAACTCACAAACCAAGATGGCAGGAAACAGGCAAGTTTTGTTCAAATCTACAGCGGTCATCTTGTGCATATCATCGAACTAATCTTAAGTCATCCTATTCATAGCTACTTTGTAATCGTCGGCCACAGGCAAGGCTTGAATCACATTTGATAGACGTTGCGATGCTTACCAACTACAATATCATTGCAGAGATAATCCCGTCTATGAAGCTGAATTCGGTCCTCAAACTCGTGCCGATACAGCCAAAGTACGTGTTTGGCGTCGTGTTTGGGCAAGTCAATCACACATTTGATGCTCAATGTAGAAAGAAGACCATCGACACTTAAACCAATTCATTGTTCATGCTGCGCTGGATATTGTGGAAGATTCTATGTGGGGTACTAGTTCTATGTAGGCTCATTCCTGCTTACAATTGAGGGTTGACTCGGATCTCACAGTCTTGACTCACAAGGTACCTCAAAGTCATTGACAAGTACAATGAATGGCTAGTGTCTGCTTACGTCTCTGCTAGTGGTGAGATAATGGTCATATTTGTTATGTCGCAGAAGGATCTAGCTTACACGTAATAAATGTCCACCTAGGAGTGAAATTCATGTTGCTTCACGATACTCCAAACGTGGACGGCATAAGAAATTTCTTTGTAGAATCGCATGAAATGTTTGTAAAGGTATGTTACGTATCCATTTGAAGCTCTCCCGTTGTTGTAAGTCAACTTGGATCTAACTTCATCTATCAACTTTGTAGATCTTGATGAATCCGTTCTATGAACTGAACGCACCAATAACCTCTCCGTCGTTCGATACTAAAGTGCGGGCATCTGCACGCAAATACCTGTAAATAACATGTTTGGTATGAAGATATATATTTGCATTGGTTTCGAATGACCGATAGATCTGGACTTGACATGGTTTTGGGTGGGCAATGCGCAAGCGGTGACATGTTGAATACGTGATTTGGTGTGGGATCCACTAAGAAAATAGAAATTCGTCTCCTTCTCTGAATGTGAAATCTATCAAGCCGTGATTTGTCCGTGATTCGGGGTGAAGCGTGAAAAGAAGACACGATACGCATGTTCAACTCCACCCTACAACGATTAAAGCGTGTTTGATCTATTTTATATTATTTATTTGAACGTCCTATATCATCAGAGCGTCGTCGGTCGATTTGGTCTGGAGTCTTCTGTTGTATGGGTCAATTCCACAATCTGATTCCAAACCATCGTTCCGAAAGTGAGGAGAGATTGAGTCAAGTTTGTTTGTAGACGATAGGAGGAAGCTGTTGATTTGACAGCCATGATTCTAGGAGAGAGTCCTCATCAACGTAAGTCAAGTTCTCCCCACATCAAGTCAAATATTGCAACTTGTCAAATGTCGAGAAAAAAAGGATTCGAGATGACGATTGGAGGCCGATGAGACGATAATAGGGACAGATTACAAGCAGTCCCAATACTGGATTCATTCATCATATCCCTCCGATTATTACCGAACTAATCATCTCCTTATTTTTCGTTTGCAACAGATATTCCACATCAGATGCAAAACATGAACATTGGACAACATTCTGTAGTAGTAAACAACAAGTACAAGACATCTATATGTAGATACTATAGAGAAGGGACCTGCGTCTATGGTCATTTTTGCAAATTTGCTCATTCCGTATCGGAAATCAGGACTCCTTCAAATATGCCTAGACAACTCTCCCACAACCACTATGCAAACAACAACAATATGCACCCGCACCATCATCACAGTAGTCATCATTCATCATCCAATTCGTCCGTTCATTCTGCTTCTCCTACTCCTATGGATGAACCTGCTAGAATGGCATCTCCATTCGTGGTTCAACACCGATTCGCTGATCCACAGGTATTTAGTGCATACAGCAATGATCGTAGTACATATACTAACTATAGTTCGTAGTCTGCTCCTCCATACGAGTACGAAGGAGATGACTCGGAGGGTGTCCCTAACGGAACAAATGTCCATTCACAAAAGGTACAAACGCAAACTTTGTACATTTATCAAACATATCTAACCATACACTCTACATCGATCTAGCTCAAAACACACTATGAAGAGTTATCCGAATCGCCAACACCACCCAGTATAGCAATCCACTACAAGACTCGATGGTGTCGGTCAATCCGAGAAAATGGGTTTTGCAAATACGGAGACGCATGCTCGTTCGCCCACGCTGAATCAGAACTACGAGCATTCGGTGGTAAAGATAGTATTTTTGGTAGACAGTTTGCTGATTTAGATGATCAAGCTGTCCAAGCATTTTTGGAAAAAAAGAGATTAAAACGGGGGATGATGGATGCTGATCGTGATATCACTTCACATCCATTATACAAGACTAGAATGTGTAGTAAAATTGATAGAGCTGAAGGTTGTGATCTCGGTGATGCATGTCGGTACGTTTCTTCTTGGCCTTTTTTTTTTGACATGTGAAAATTGTGGCTCGTGTTAATTTTTGATTGGATGGGCTTTGAGCGAGTGGGGATTATAAGGAATGACGGGGAGGAATATGCATCGAACTCATTGCCTTTTTACACTTAGATACGCACATAGTACGAGTGAATTAAGACCACTGCCACCATCATCAATGATGGGTGATGACCATCGACAAACGAACTCCTCACCATGGTATGGCCACTCCTCAGTCCCATCACCAATATCAAATGGATCACCGCCACTAGCTCCACATCCAAACCCATCCATGCCACCATCTCTACTCAACGGAAGCCTCCTATCATCCCCAGTCTTGTTGTCATCCTCATCATCATCAGCCTTCCCAACTCCACCACGCAGTGTCCAGCAATTATCAAGTAGTGCTAGTAACAGCAGTAGTGGTAACAGCAGCAGTTCGAGTAGAATGCATCCAGATGTATATCATCCAGCAACATACAAGACTCAATTATGTCCTGATCATGATACAGTCACTGGATGTCCACTGGGTAAACGATGCATGCTGGCTCATGGCATTAAAGATTTACGTCGAGATCCTACTGTTGTGCAATATTCGGGAAAGAAGTGTACGGAATATACTATGAATGGAAGTTGTATTCGTGGAGATTTGTGTGGGATGGCTCATGGGGATAATGAAAGGACATACCAGTAAGTTGCCCATCATCCGGGAGATAAGGCAGTCTTTTCGCTTTACGGACGTTGAGTTTCAATCTGACTCGTTTCTTCCTTTTCCTAGTCCTGACAACTACAAGACAAAGATATGTATGCGAGGTGTCGATTGCGAGAAATGGAGATACGGAACCTGTCCATACATTCATAAGGAGGACTCCTATCTTGATAATCCCAAACACCTATCGTCAGTATCTGCCGTAGCATCGACACCACCGACAACTCCTCCACCAGTCGGGCAATCATCTGTAAAAGCCATTCTCAGAACATTGGGACTAGAGAAATACGAATCCGTCTTTACCGAAAACGAAATCGACGCCGAAGCATTCAGTCTCTTGAACAAAGATGCATTAAAAGATTTAGGCATTCCATATGGGCCGTCATTGAAAATCCTCAATTATGTCCGAGGTGTAGGAATCAATCCACAGGATGTACAGCAATCATCAGCGTCGTCATTAGGTCTTATTGGTCTTGGAGGACCATTATCAGCACCACTGCCAACCTTATCCCATTCGGCCTCAACTCTGTCATTAAACGGACTGTCGAGTTTGAGTGGACCAGTAGGACAGGCTCGAGATAGTAGTAGTTTAAGAGCTTCGCTATCCAGCAGCAATCTACTGGCTCTATCAGATTCTATTTGGTCTCCTACATCACTGCATAGTGACGTCGGAGTAGGACGTGGTGGTGACTCTGTTAATACGCTAAAGGGTATTGAGGCAGGAATTGCTGGCTTGAACCTCTAAAGCATGGAATCAAAGATTGAATTGGAAATGAATTGGATGGGTTTGCAGGGGGGTGTATGGTTTGCACCGTTATTATTAGAGGAGGAAGAGGGATTATTTGGAAAAAATGTTAGTCTCGTTATTTCTATTAAAAGTTTTTTAGTAAAGAAGTGGTGGAGTTTGCTGTTTAAGAGGTGGTGGTTAAATAATAGAAACGGAAGTTCTCAAGGTGGAGGAGAGTGGTGGTAGTACGAAAAGAAATCGTTGGTTATATAAGAACTTGGACGTTGTTATGCATTTGGTAAAATAGTCATTCAAAACCTTCTTAGATGTATAAAAAACGCAGTATAAAAGAAGTTGCTTCAACACGCACAAAAACAAAAAGAACCCTTTTTTTACTTTAATGTTAACTCTACAGTATATGCAGTGTGTTCTTTGACTCAGGTTCTGCACAATGAGAAAAAAACGGAAAAGAATGTTTGAATGTGTTTGTTGATTCACCCAAAAGTATATTTCTGAATGCTGTCTCCCTCTCTATAGATTATATCCCTGTGTTAACTAGTGGGCCTCATCACAATGAGCAGTATATGCCTTTTCATCCATGAGGGAATCAAATTCACTTGGTTTGCTGATTTTTATCTTTGCAATCCAGCCTATTGTCATGTAGAGTTATGTGTGAGCAAAAAAGGTAACTACATCATGACCATTGTAGAGCTATCACAGTTCAACCACAAAGTCTTTACCTTCTTCATAAGGCGAATTGTTGAGTAACGTAGGTTCCTTTTCCAATGCCTTGTTTGCTTCGACGACAGTTCCAGATACGGGAGCGTAAATGTCGGATGCTGCTTTTACTGATTCTACAGCGCCCATTTGGTCTGGTTTGTGAGGGTGAGAAGGAGGGTTTGGTTAGATCGAGATTCAAATGCAACGAACAATAGTGATCAATATGCTGTAGCACGAGCAAGGGACGAGCAAGGGCTCTTGACCAACACAACAAAAGTGGTTGCGTGCAGTATCGACAAAAGTCTCGTTCTTCTTGACACCAACCACCATTAACTACACCGACACTACTAGTACGACATCATATAGTAGATTGCAACCACCAAGCAAAGAGTTACCGTTTATAGCTTTTTCACGGAACCACGTCCTTCTGCCACACCCCACCATACTCCAAACATCGAGTCCACCCAGTCTTCATATCTGCATACCTTTTTCAGCGTATACTTTGCCGACACCCGGTAATTCACAGTATACGACATCGCCCAGGGCCTTTTGAGCGTAATCGGTGATTCCAACAGTCGCGACATCTCCAGATATAGTCACCCATTCATGGTCGGGTGTGTATTTGCGAGCTGATTGCAAAAGAAGGAGACCGAAAATGTGAATTAGATGAGATTGAATAAAATCGATTTGCGTAATTCCAACACTAAGCGACATCTTGTTTTCTTAACTGCAATGTCAAATGTGCAAGTTTTTTCACTACTTACTGGCCATAAACCTCTGTTGTGAGAATGCGACAGATAATGGACGCATGGCTAGTGTATTCCTTTGTGCGAGACATGGAGTCCATAGTAGGCTTATTGCTCTTCGACTGGCCATCTTGTTGATTGCTGAAAAAATGTTATGGTCAAGATAGAAGATGTATGGAGATAACAGAATCACACTGTTTTATGTCAGGGAAAAGGGTCATTTAGTTGAAATTCACGTGTTTTAGATTCGAAATGCATACTCAAGTCACGTCTAGGACTAGCTGTTATAGCGGTTATGGCAGCATTTTGCACAAAGTCGGTTTTTGCTGTTTCGGACATAGTAAAGGAAGCTGCAGACAATATTGACGCCTATTTTAAACGAAAACACACGTTCTCATGCTCTCTCTGCCACCATCAACCACATGATTGGAGTTTCGACAGTCCTTCGACACCTGGAAATGACGAGCTGCCCATATATAAATAGGTATATCTCTGTTAGGATGGCCGCACCACGTATAGCATCTCGAGCTATGAGGAGGCTCGTATTATCCGGAGCAGTCTTACGTACCAGTCCGATGCGATTGCCTGTCCTAGCAACTGCAACAAGGACACTGTCATCTACTCCATCCCGGCTATCTGACAAACTCATGCTGGTAAGCCATTGTTGTATTGAATATGGGTGTTGAATGTGGTTTGATTTTGTATGAGCTGTCTCCGTTTGTTGTTTACTTGGGGCATCTAACTTTGAACTCTTGTGTGCAAAACATCACATACACACATCACGTTGCGACCTATATACTAACCACATGTCATTCACTACAGCATCGAGACACACCCGAAAACAATGACGCAATCCCATTCGAATACACTCCGGAAAACATGGACCGTGCAAAAGAAATCATATCTCGCTACCCACCTCAATACAAAAAAGCTGCCGTCATGCCCTTACTAGATCTAGGTCAACGCCAACTAGGCTGGACATCCATATCCGTAATGAACTATGTCGCTAAACTACTCGAAATGCCTCCCATGCGTGTCTACGAAGTAGCCACCTTCTACACAATGTACAACCGTGAACCAGTCGGCAAATACTTTCTCCAAGTATGCACCACGTCGCCATGTGAATTACGTAACGCCAGTAAGATTGTCGAGACTATTGCCAAGCACTTGGATATCAAGGTTGGGGAAACCACTGCTGACAAGATGTTCACGCTGGTTGAAGTAGAGTGTGCTGGCGCATGTGTTAATGCACCCGTGTTGGCGGTGAATGATGATTATTATGAGGATTTGACGCCTAAGGATACAGTGTGGATTTTGGACGAGTTGAAGGCTGGAAGGGTGCCTAAGCCGGGGCCGTATAGTGGAAGGGCGTCGTGCGAGCCAAAGGGAACATTGACTACGTTGGCGGGTGAGTTGCCGGGGCCGGGACATGGTGTGAGAGCTGATTTATAAGCATGGGTAGAGGGGTGTAAGCGGTGTGGTTTATAAACAGGTGCGATGAAGATACAAAAGAACAAAGTGGCAATCCAATATCATATATCAATACCCTTATAAACAGATATCATGGGTTAGTAAAGGAACGATTGCTGGTGGAAGACGTGAAACAAATATATTCAATCAGACAACAACACAATGAACCTTGATTTGTTTTTGCTGGAGTTTTAAGTTACAGATGATACAGATGCAAATACATGCCATTGAGCAAAAGCACTTGTTGATGCTAGATAACATTCTACAAGTAGCTTCGAACGAGATCAACCACCACACAAGCAATGTACACAATGACAGACAGCACAAACAAAGCCTTCCACCCATTCCTAGTCTTCTGAGCCTCATATCTCATAATAGGGCGTACACCATACTTTGCATCCGGCGTAGCCCCTTCAAATAAAAGCACTGCTTCAACTAGTGATAACAAACGTCCACAACCCTGTCGACATTCACATTGACATCCATGTCAATATGAATAATGGTACCAATTATATGGTCGGCGTCTTTAATGGGAGTGACTCTGTCTGCAGATGATACGATGTCGACTGTGGTTTGGCCTTTGAGTTTTGACAGGCCTGATGTTATGATGGGCATGACTTTAGCTCTGAATTCGTTGCAGATGTGGCTCTTTGCGATGGTCATAGTGACGCGGACAAAGTCTTGTAGGAAGGCACCTGGGATCTGTTTGTGATATAAAAGTGGAGTCAGAGAGTGGAACCGAGGTGTGGGGAGGCGATGTTTCATGTGTCCAATACCCAATACCACAAAAAAAGGAGGTGAAGCGACACAAAAATGCCTCATAACTCACAGCAGGATCTGTATAGGTGGTCTTTGTTTTCATGGTTCAAGGGTGAATGTCAAATGTCAGACTCAAGATTGCAGAAGTGGAATTGTAAGAAGATAAAGCTGTCCTCAACAAGTGGGAACGATTGCTCTTTTCAGATTTACTCACATCTTGCAGTATAGGCATATTAGGTTATATGCAATAGATGCCAAAAAGGACGTACGTCTCCGGCACAAGACGATTTCCAACTTGAATCAATTCGTCAGGTCTTCTGCAGCTTGAGAGCGAGGACAAAAACGCCGGAGAACGTCATGATATATCTGTACAAAGTTGCCATCCTTGACCTAACGTTCTCATTTTTCAGAACATCATCTGCACTTGGAGTATGTAGCGGGCTTTAACGTCTTTTTGTTTGCCGTAACTTTGATAATCTATCGAGAAGCAGCGAACGGTCAGATTGCGTCCCGCTTATGTCAACAGAATGAATGCCCTCACTTATTGTGAACCTTCTCTTCAACCTTCGAATATGGAACCTCATAATCACCTCATTCTCATCACATCCAAAACGCCATCACCTGCACTTTGCCTCCTCTTCTCTACCACACTTTCTTGAAACAATTCATTTCCCAAACGACACAGGGAACCACAATGAGACCCAAATCATCAAACGAAAGAAAAAAATAATACATTCTGTGCGACAAGCAAATCTAAATACAAATCGTCAAAACAAATCCCCTATACACATCCCACCAGCTATACAAAAAAACAACACACTACTCTTCAAAGTTCCCATCCAACTTGAGAGTCAGCACTTTTGACGAGTTGTTTATCGAATCACGATATATCCCAACAAGTGCTTGGGCTTTTTCATAGAAGGTGTTTTTCAATGAGATGACGATGAATTGGAAGTCATCGTTGGCGTGAGCACGGATATAGTTTGCTACTCGAGCTACATTGGCATTGTCAAGTGCTGCGTCGACCTCGTCCAAGACAAAGAAAGGTGCTGGTTTATAACTATGGATGGTGGGTATGAATAGTGAGTTTTTGTTGACAAACAATGTGGTAATGTCAACAGCGATTTTTCTTCGCTCGTACCTATGAATAGCCAGAAGCAAAGCCAAAGCAGCAACAGTCTTTTCACCACCAGACAATTGATCCATATCTCGGAATCGTTTCATGGGAGGCATCACATTGTACTTGACACCATTAGTGTATGGCTCTTCATCATCTTCAACCGCGAGATATGCAGTCCCTCCCATTGGGAATGTCTTTGATTTAGTAAGTTCCTTGTATACTTTGTCAATGTGCTTCTCGATATGTGCAAACGCAGCCTGGAATCGTTCAGCCCTGCAGGACGGTTGAGATCTAGCGACGCATTAAAAAACCAGGGAGTAATGGAAGGCATACCTGTCCTTCTTGATGGTTTCAAACGCCCTGGCGGCAGCAGTAGCATGCTTCCTAGCATCATCAAAATCAGCTACAGTAGCTCTCAACTTGTCTTGAACCCTTTCCAGGCTAAAACGAGAATATGTGTAACAAGTATGCCAAAAATACACCAAGTATGGAGCATTATACACACTTGTCAGCAGCACGAAGATTAGGCGCCATCTTCTCAATCTCGTCTACAATATTCCTGATATCGTCCTGCAGCTTGGCATCCATCTCTTCGGTGCCATTATTTCGCTGCTCCTTCTTGAGACCAGAGTAATCAACCTCAATCTCCTCCATCCATGGATGTCGATTCTCGTTATCGACTTGCATTCGATCATCGTTTAATGTCTCTGGCGCCTGTTTAACCAGTAGTGAAGAGTCAGCTTGATTGAGTCAAATAAACACACAGATAAAACTATACCTCTGCAAGAGGAACATCATCCAACGAACCCATAGCCAATGGCAAATCAATCTCCTCCAATTTGCATCGTCTCAGAATCGAAAAGGTTTCGGAAAGCAACTTTTCAATTTGAGCTTCCTGTCAACGGACAGATAAAGTTGAGCCCCGTTGACCACAGAATGCCCAAAAATGGTATTCAAGAAGGAGTCCGTACCTTCTGAGTAACACCCTTATTCCTCCCCTCAATGTCCTTGGTGACTCTCTGCACCTCCTTCTTGAGACGAGCCACGGCGACAGCAGTGTCGTCACTCCGTTCCTTAGAAGCCTTCAATTCTTCCTTGAAAGTTCTTATTTCTTCTGCTAGGCCATGCGCTATGTTTTCTAGGCCATCCTTTTCTCCTTGTAATTTAGCAAGGAGGGTTGTATCGGTTTCGATACTGGCTTCAACGCGTCGAATACGTTCAACAACTTCTGCTACTGATTGATTTCGATGCTTGATTCTATAGACAGATGTGATGGTCAGCAAAAGATATCATATCATAAAAACGGATTACGTACTCAGTATCCAATTGTGCCTTCTGTCTAGTATGCTCCAATCGTTTACGTTCGAAATCTTGACCAAGCCTTGTTTCGTGTGCCTAAACAAAGCAGAAAATGAGAACCACTCGCCAAAAAACGAGAGTAACAAGATCGTCTTACTTCGTAATCACGAATATTAGGCACTTTGATTCGTCTACAAAAGTCTGCAAAGATCTCGTCTTCAGCTTCATGAATGATGGTCTCCAAATCTGTTCGTTGAGCTTCCAAGGTTTCAACGGTAGCTTTGGACTAAGACACGCGTGTATCAGATCAAAGTGGAACAAATCCAAAAAAGGCAAGGCGCAAAGTGGACCGATACCTTCTGGAATTGAGGTTGCAATTTAGCCAGCTCAACCTGACCATGCTGCATCTGTTGATCTACAGCAGCAAGTCTACGATCAATTGTGTTCTAAACCCAAAAGAAGGTTAGCGTCCATCACTCAAGGTATTGCAACTAAAGCCCCTTACTATCTCATCATTCAGCGAAGTAAGCTTTGCTTGCAATGTAGCCAATTGAGCTTGAACGGGTTCAACGTGTCTGACTTTATACAATTCCTTTGACACCTCTCGGAGTTCAGCTGAATGACCTTCTTTTGCTTGCTTGAATGCTAGCAACAAGAGAAAAAAATAAGTACCAGCATCTATCAATATGCGAAACGGAGTTCAACACAAACCATCAAGATCCTTCTCCTCCCATCGACGCGCTGCATTTGAATTCTGAGTGGCACCGCCAGTGATATTGGCATTCTTGTGAATGATTGTTCCATCCAAGACCACAGCTAAAGGCAAACAGCTTATCAAATTGTGAACTTATTTGATACCGAGTCAAACACATCACAAACCTTTAACCTCCTGATTCCTCTCATAACAGATATGCCTGGCAACATCCATAGTATCACACACAATAGCATTATTACATGCGAATTGGACTGCTCGTTCATATTGCGCATCGAATTGAATCACATCAATGACAAGTCGTGCTCCTTTATGGAATTCACGATACTTTTCATTGATGGGTTTTACTAAGAGTGAGTCCATTGGTAGGAAGGTGACTTTACCAGCTCGTTGCTCTTTCAAATACTAGGAATGGGCAACAAAAGGGTGAGTAAAAAAGAAATTGTCAAGATTTACGAAAGTGTACCTGAATGCACTCCAAAGCCGTCTTCTGATCATCAACAACCACAGCATCCATATTCTTTCCAAGCACAACCGTAACTGCCAAATCGTATTTACGTTGTGTGGGTTTACATATATCAACAAGGCGCCCGTGAACACCATTGAATGTCTGCCGCAGTGTTTTCAGACAGTCTTTCAGTTTGGCTTCCTTTTCTGTGGCATGGCGATCTGATCGTGCTTGTGATAATCGATTCGACATTTCGGTTATCTTTTCATTCAATTCAAGCTCTTGCTGACTGGGAAAGAAAAGTGTCAACCCAAAATCTCGACAGCGTAGGAATCTGACGTGTTGCTGTTTTTAGCTTACCTGAGACGACGGGCATCTGCCTCCATAGTTCTCAATTCGGCTTGAACAGTATCACGAGATACTAATGTTTCAGCGCGATTTCCTTCAAACTACACACGAGCCAAAAAAAACCAGTATTAGATCTTGGAGATAAACGGCTGCCACTTAACATGCCTTTTCACGACGCTGCTTCAAATCCTCTCGCTCCTTAACCAACGATTCGTGCTTTGTCTCAAATATACGACACTTTTCTTCTAGTCGATTCTTGGTTTCAACTTCAGTGGTGAGACCACGTTGAACATGTCCCAATTTTTGGGTCTCTGGAGCTATTCGACCATTCAGTTCTGCCTTCCTATAATATAGTCATAAGAGAGCATGAAGGATGAGTAAGAGACCAAAACAAGCTGGAGGGTAAATGAGTGATCATACTTCTGACGGTATTCACTCAAATCATTCTCAGTCAAAACAGCTCCAGCACGACTCTTTAACTCTTTTCTCATATCATCTGAATACAGAAGCCAGATTGTTAGAGGAAAAAAACTGCTCCAGATTCTTCCACAATGACTTACTCTCAAACTTCTCAAAAGCCTTTTGCACAGCCTGAACCTTCGCTTCAAGCTTCTCAATCTCTTGATTCTGCTTGTCTCGTTCAATTTCAGCAGCTGCTTTGCTATTTTCAGCAGTGGTGATTTTTCGAGTACTATGTGATATCTTTTCGTCGAGTTTCATGGTCTCGGGTTTCTAAAGAAGTGGGACAAGAGTCACTCAGGTATCCAAATACTTTCATTTCAAGCGTCTTAACATACTCGACGATCAATCTCCTTAGTCTTGTCCTTGATCTTCTTCTCAACACGTATTACTTCCTTGTTGGTGTTTGATTGTGTCACCTTTTCTTCCCTCAACTCAGCTTCTAGACCCGCCTAGAGTAACAATTGGAAGCCTGATATTTACTGATACGATCTTCAATTTGTACTAATTGATCAAATTCTTACCAACTCCTTAGTCAAATCAGCAAAACCATCTTTGGCTTCTGTGACTTCACCTCGCAGGCCTTCAACACTGGCTTGCAAATGATAAAGCTTCCACGCCAAGTATGTTACAGTTGCTTTGGCCTGAATAGACAAAAAAAACTATCAGAATACGATTACGAGAAAGTCTTGTCTCAGGAATAAAACCTACTCTCTGACGTTGCAGCTTGGCAAAACGATCAGCTTCCTCCTTTTGTTCTTTGACTTGCTTCATCTCTGCATTAATACCGCGCTTCTTGTTGAAATTGAGCGTTGAAGTTTCGGTAGCTTGTTCTTGTAGTGCTTTCAGTCGATCATATTCAGCTTTGAGTTCCAGCGACCTGTTCATAGAGAATGCCGTTAGTCGACACATGCGAAAAAATTGCACTAGTGAATAATACTTGCCCACTGATTTGCTCAATCAATTTGGTCAAGTCCTTCGGAGATTGAGAAGCTATTGCCTCTATGTCACCCTTAAAAGCACAACGAGGGTGAGCGAGAACGAAACCAAAAAGACGGCTGCTGAAAGTCGATATACCTGAAAGACCAGAAAGTTGCGAGCCTTGACTAGGATATTCTCATCTTTCAGAGTATCATTGTACTTGGAATAGGTGACTGTTTTGTCGTTGATCTTGTATTCACTAGTTCCTGTAGCTGTGACACTACGCGTACAAAATAGAAACGTGAAGAACAATCGTATGAGTGGGCTTCCAGATGATGCTCTCCACAACACTTACGTCCTAGTGAAACGAATTTCCCTTCCTTCAGATGTACGATATATAGCAGCAACCCAAGCTTTCGTAGGATCAGCTGGGTTTTTGACTTGTCCGTCTTCGTCTGCATCGTCATCCTCTTGATCTTCATCATCATCTCCTTGAGCTTCTTCAACATCATCGTCCTCATCGTCTTCTTCGTCATCATCTTTATGAGGTCTCTTCTTTCCCTTGCCCTTTATCTTGATTGGCTGTTTGACCTTCTTTTTCGTTGCGATTCTTGCGCCCCGATAGATCAATTCCTTTAACTGGTTGCTCCTCAGTTGAGTAGATTTCACACCCAGTACGAAACTTATTGCATCCATTAGATTACTCTTGCCTAGTGTAGATAAATATTTGATTTAATATAATAGTGTGATATACATTGATTGAGCTTCTTGAACTGCTGAAACTCGAGCTGCAACAGACTGCCACATCATCGTTCACTTTACCAGAGCCATTTGGACCAATAACAGCGACAAAGTTGTGTAGAGGACCAATGACTTGATGGCCTCTGTAGGACTTGAAGTCTTTGAGCTCGATGCGGATCAATCTGCCGCCTTCAGGGTCCTCTAAAGGAGTCTCTCTCGCCATTGCTCTTTGTTGTTTAATGTGTTGTGAGTGAGTGACTTGAGCTCGCAGCAGATATTGGAACGAGAGCTTGGAGCATATATTCCACCTTAATACGTGTAAAATCACGTAATGACGGTGCCTGAAGCCTCCTTTGGTTGCCTGATCGTGCGATAGTGGGGAAGTCGAATCACGTTCAAAACATCGTTCAGTGGCTTTCGATGATCTAAGGGTTATAAGCGTTCCTGAAATACTGAAATCTTACATATTCAATACACACAAGATCTATCAATTCATTCAAGCCAGTTCGTGGCATTCAAGTCAGTTCGTGATCAAGTGCCCTTCGAGCTGAGTTTTTCTTCGCATCAACAATAATCGCAAATAACCAAGATGAAGACCAAGGAGGAAGCTGTCCGAGGAAGACCCGTGTCTGGAAGGTCATGGAAGAAAGTAGAGACCTCGCGGAAATCGTCAATGATTGACAATAAGATGCTCAAGCCTGGTTGGGCAAAGCAACAGGAACTCAGAAAAGAACGTCAGATCGTCAAGACTATGGAATCGGAAATAAAGGTATGCTGACCAAACTGTACTTGCTAGTAGCAAGCTGTCCTTTGCATTGAGAAGTCCCAAACGAACTTGACCTAATTTGCTCACATCGACTATGTTTGGATCAGGCTCGGAAAACTGCAGAAAAGGAAGCTCTAAAGGTTCAAAGAGCTGCTAATATCAAACGAAAGGAGGTGAGAAATGTCGCAGTTGGTGCTGAATGCCGGCCTGAGTGGTTTGAAAAGTCCTAACTGTCTGGTTTTGCAGGAAAACAATCGAAGGGCTGAGATACTAGTGCAAGTATCAGCTTCCAAGATAAAGCATCTCAGTAAGAAGAAGCTTCGAGGCATCAGAAAGGTGTCTGCTGCTTCTATTGCCAAGAAGTAGATGGACGTGTAGCTCGAGACGAGAGGTTGACGACGCACTTTAGGTTGTTTTTTTGTACAGGATTTCCATTCAACCAGTAAATATATGAAAACTCGCTATTGAGAAGTCAAGCATGTTTTCTTTGGAGTGTGACGTTGTGAGATGCATGGTCTCGTAGATGTTCGCTTTTGCTCCACATCACCATAGACTGATCACTAGATTCATACCGAAGAACTTGTTCTTTACAGCCATGTCACGAACGTACGCACTCGATAGAGCTCTACAATTGGAGGAAGAGTCAAGTTCAACCGCCAATGTCAAAGCTTTTACCCTACAGCTGCACATTTCGCAGACAAACACGCGCGGAGGTGTTTATGGGGGATATTTGGCTTCAATATTGCTGAAAGCTTCAATCTTAGCTCTTAATCAAGATCTTTATCCAGACCCATTGTCAATTCAGGTATGTGTTATGTTGACCATCATCAAATGTCGTGGATCTAAATGTGATGTTTTGAACTAGATCATCTTTGTTAACGGCGCAAAAGGAGGTGATGCATGCTCAATTAAGTGTGAAATATTAAAGACAGGCAAAAGTAAGTCAACAATGTGGGTCAAGTGTTGAATGTTCTGTTAATGACGTTTGTTCTTTTTTTGCCTTGAACGCTCTACTCGTATATTAGACGCAGCCTACGTTTCCACTCGCATGCAAAACACCAAAACCGGCCAGCTTATCTGCCAATCCCAAACAACACATGGCAACATGTCCCAAAACAATGCTTCATTCGACGCATCGCTCCCACCATGTCCAAACCTTCCTCCGATCAACGAATGCATCGACATTAAAGATACGATTGCCGTGGAATTCTCTGAGAAAACTCAAGTGGCGATATGGGCTACATCTCAGGTTGAAAAGTCGCGACACTTCCTCTTTACGAGGTCTGGTATACAAGCGTGGATTGATACGATGACGGCATATCCCGACTTTGAAAAGATACGGAAGGAGTCACCATCACAGCATGCGTCGTGGTCTGGTGCGCTGGATGGGAGGCCGCATGATTATGTTAGTGTGATGTATTCGATAGGTGAGTCGCCAAAAAAAAAAGCCGGCAGTATGAACAGAAAAAGGCTGAACTTTACCGCTAATCATCTCTACAAACAGATATGATCAATGATGCCGAAATATGGCTACACGCTAATCGAAAATTCGGTGCCAGGAACATGATGTACAGTGGTACTATGAGCATGACCGTTCATTTCCATAATCTGATCAACAGTGCTTCCAAGTATCCTCATCTGTTTCAAGTATGTCTGAAGCAAAAAAACGCTGAGGTTTTGGCTGTATGTTTAACCAATCTTGTTAGGCCAAGGACGATAACTTTGTTACTGACGGCCGACAAGACTGTAAAATGTATCTCTGGGACGCTGAAGGAAGGATTATAGCAAGTGGGAAACAATCAAGTGCAGTGTGGATGGTGGTGCCAAACAAATTGTGACTGGAGTCATAGAGCTTTCGCCCGTAGACTTGTTTTTCGCACGCAACGGCTGGACTCTACCCTACCAGCTTACTTTAATTGATAGATCTAGATAGACTATATATCAATAGTATGTTTGAATGTTTTTACAAAAAACAGAATGTTTCTCTTGTCGAACATGCTTGCGTGCGGAAGCTGGAAGATGGACATACCTGGACGCATAAGCAGTACGCTTATAAGTGGTGATACAATTTCTTCCTTCGTCTAAGATACATACTTCGTACGGGAGATTGGGTTGTTCCGAAAGCCTCCTTCACAGCAATAAACGTGTTCTGTCCACACAATACGCAGCTCAAAATCCAAAAGTAGCAAAACAACATGTAGTGAATGTGATACTCGTCCCGTTGCCGTTACTCTCGCTGCCTTGAGATCAGCAGTATCGTGTCTCTCGCCAGTCGTTTTGTTCAAAAGGAAGGCGCAACGGTTGCGATTGACAGTGAGGTGAAGAGAGGTATAAAGAGGAGCGACGAGAAGCAATACATACAGCGGCATGGCATATGGCAATGTACACTGCCCTTTGGTGAGTTGCAACAACATTCTTGATATTATTGTTGAAATCCTGTTTCAAGTGAGCGAAAAGACGTAGAAGACAAGAATCAACAACAAGACTTGCAGGCGCTGCACGTCATCTGAATCCTATACGCTGAGTCTGGGCTGACATTGCTCCCTCTCTATCTCTAGGTGGCCGACATTGCTGGTTTACTCTCGACATTAACGTCAACGACATGCCGTCAACCAGAAAAGGTACACAAATTGCTATTGTACAGCTTCCGAACATCTCTTCTCTGATAAATACTCACTCACATATATGTACACTGTAATAACGGTACTGCTGCCCCGTCTCTTCTCTCATTGTTGGGGTGGGTGTATCGTTTTTGACGTTTGTTTCTTGTGACCTTTTCACGGATTGTCGTCTTTTGTTTTCAAGTAATAGTCCTACAGCAATGTGGGTTGGTCTCGGGCCCAGAGACTGGAAAACATGTGGAACTGAGGGAGACGTGCCTCGCCTGTGGATGGGCTCTCAGGGAAGAGCGGTCAACAGCACCTCGAACTCATCTCAAGAGTGGTCGCCTATTTGTTGAGCATCCTTCGAGACAGCTCAATTGAGAAAGCAATTACCCCGAGATAGAGGGCCTTAGTGACTAACTGTTTTGTCATTGATTTGGCCAAGGTAATGTACTCGCTTCTTCTAGTTTTGGTAGCACAGATTCTAATAGCTTTAATGGTTTCTAGCGTCTTGTTTCCATTCTCTCTAAGACTTGGACCGCAGGTCTGCTACTCTCCTTGTTGCTGCATAGTATCTCTGCCGTGTATCGAGTCTCTTGTTTGAGCATCCTTCGAGACAACCCAGCGCCAGAGCAGAGGTACATTCATGTGTAGAGTTGTGGGTACCCCTCCTAGACAAGGTACTTGAACTTCTTTTTTCAATTTTCGTTTTGGCGAAGCATGCCCTAGAAACAGGACTCAATTCTCTCAAACATTTGTTTGTCGTTTGAATTCAGGAAGTGGAGAAGCAACTACTATTCCCCTTGTTGCCATGGACTCTTCCTTGAGGTCTCGTGTTCTTGCTTGAGCATCCTTCATCCTTCGGGACAGCCCAATGTAACGTAAGAGCAGGAAATGCTCTCTTGTGTAGAGATACGAACTCTGAAGTCTCGTTTTGGACAAGTTATGGCGTACAGAGAATCTCTTGACTAGATTGGCAACTGAGCAACATTTCCTGCGAGTAGTGGTATGGCCAGCAGGAGAACAGTAGCCATGAGACGGCTCTCCTGGTGTACCACCATCACTGCATGGACTGCTATGAGGACAATGTGGCACTGGATAGCACCTGTAATCCCATCTGCCATACATATCTATTGCATATCTAGAAACACTGTAATAACGCCATGTTATCACATTATTACAATATAATCTTTAACAAGGATCCGCTTGAAACCATTAGATCGTCAACAATACGCGTGCTTATGCGTCTCGGCTAAGAGCAGACTTCGACTGGTCGGTACGACGAGCACAAAGAACGGTTTACTTTAATTGATAGATCAGTATAGGCTTGTATACATAAAGTACGTTTGAATGCGTTTTTAAGCCCACCACATAGTTGTTTTTCTCGTTGAACTCTGTTTGCGGAACTTTTCTCCAAAAGCGTAGCAACCATCACTTGGCAGAAAACACAAGCTTCTAAAGGCAAAACAGCATACAGCGATACTAGCTTTTTACATAATTGTTGATAGATCTCCAATTCTCCGTTTCATACCTTTTGGAGGCTGTAGAGAGAAGCACGAACACGAATATGAGGCCGCTTACCACTCTGAAGAAAAATCCCATACAACCGACACCATCGAATGCCAACCTCATCTCATCTGAAACTGCTTTGAATGACACGTATGTTGAGCCGCGTATGGAATATTTATATGCAGTGTGCATTGGGTCGTTATCAAGCATTAAAACATTAGATCGTGACAACCACATTTTCAGCAGCAGACCTAGTATTGACACAGTTTTATCATACTAGGAAAGGCAAAAGGAAATTCTTCTTGCCAATATGGGGACTATTAGTTTGTAATTAAGCATGATGTCTACGTTTAGTGACACTCATAAGAATCGTTGTTGATGGACTTTTTTGCTGCATAGCTGAAACGATGCTGGTCGTGACTCTATTGGGACTATCAATTGGTCTTGTTTCATACGCCGGAACTAGTGCATCTCTCGGGACGGTCGCAACACAATTAAGATCAAATGCTTTAGCTGGAGCTATTGAGAATGGTACTGAGAAAAATGTGCTCTTGGAAGAAGATACTCCATTACCGCGACTACGTTTTTGGCTTCCTCAACTCTCACACCTCAATTGCACGTGTAGTAACAAACTCCATAATCTCAATCGAGAACGGCCTATACGAATTGACAGACAACACGTACTTCAACAATCTCGCAAACTCGGATGCCGGAATTCAGAATACTGGATACAGTGCGCTCGTATTGACCACATCACCTGCGACTCAAGCATTGGCCCATATGTACAAGATTTGTAACTCGATATCTGTGTGTCAGGGGATTGGGTGTTATTTTGGAGGTAATGTGTTAGGTTTCAAAAATCCCTTCCTGCCTGTACTTGAATAAATCCTCATACCTGTTTGTATAGACAATGGCTTCCTGTCGTACTTGGCAACTTACTGTAAGGAATGAGAACAGTTATCATTTGACGATACCGAGTATATGTTTGTTTAAACCTTCGAACCTTTAGTCACCATCCAAGACCAAACTATGTACAATGGAGCTGGAGGATCACCATACTATGGCCAATACAACGCGTCTCTATACACACCACAAATTGACGCTACTTATACAGCCGTCATCGTAAGTCAACCAGCAAAACCTATCTTTTACACGGTCTTACATCAGTCTGTTTTTTCCTTATGTTGTCTCCAAAAACGCAAAACAGACTCCATCTACACTCTCCCAAAATTTCAACGTCTCCTCCTTCAACGGCACAAACGCAATCTCCCAACAAGGAGGCACAGCATCCACCGCGTCCGGGTTCTGGGGCTCCAATCTCCAAGTTACTCAATACGTTGCATCTTCAAACTCATACGTAAAAGCAGCCTACTTTTATCGTATTGGGTACTACAATTTACCGTATGGACAGATTGATAATGCGCATCATGTCAATCATATTCCATTTGCGGCATTGTCGACGACTGCTTTGGAGGCGTTGCTGAGTACTGCTGCTCCGACTGCTAATTCGATTGTTTACGTGATGGATGGCATTGGTAATATGGGTATGTGTTCTGCTTCGTACCATGCTCCCAGGACAGCCGTTTCGATTTTTTGCTGTTCAAGGTGAACTGACATGTTCCTGTTTGCTTAGTCGCTGCCTCACTCCCAAACATTTCACAAATTTCTTATGGACTGACCAATTACAAGGCTGTATCAAATCCAAACAGTCTTGTTTCGGTAAAGCTCGTACCAAATCAAACACACATAGAAACGTATTAACAAACAAACATATAGGACACTGCTAACTTCATCTCAAACACATACAACGGCATATCAAACCTCCCAACAGCAGGCATATCAACTGCGTTATCATCCGGAAGTTACGGAAACGTGTTGATTGATGCTAAATGGGTCGTTCGTTCGAACCTTGCGTGAGTGCCTGCTATATTCCACCTGATCCGTGCCTGTCTTACTGCTTTTTCGTTTCTATTAGCTGGATTGTCGTCGTAGCAACACCAAGATCCGACATATGGTCGCAATACGATAACGGACAGCGACTCGTTGCTATCATCTCATCTGTCATTGGAGTCATTGGACTTGCTGCTACTATCTTGACTGCGTGGGGTGTATGTGCATTACTTTGTGAATCAGCAATCACAATGGACATCCTTCTTTTTGCTTTTTTTCTCAAAGTCACATTGTCGTATTGTAGATTGCACGTCTGATTCGTAACCTAGAAGTACAAATGATTATGGCACGAAACTACAATTTCAGTGCTTTGCTTGAACAGCCTGCGAATCGTAAGAGGACTATCTATTCAGAGGTGAGTTGAATCTCGCGATTGATGATTGTATGGATATGGAAATGTACTTAATTTTTTCTTTTGTCACGTCCATTTTTAGATATCGACCATTCAAGGTAAACAACAAAAGGACACGGTACAATGGTTTGATGAGCAACCCTTTACTGATTTCACCTTCTCACCTCTCTTCTCAGATATGTTACTGCTACTCGTCCAAAAGGTCTCTGCCTTGATTGTCCTACCAGACAAGAAACCAAGACTCCAATAAATGAACACTCTCTTTGTGGTTTCTCGTTCAAACAATGTTGAACTACCAAACTCTTTAATGTTCGCGGCCGTGTTTTACACGAGATTATCCACAAGTGTAGCGGGAGGTGCCAGGAGGTTTGCCACACGTGGCTGAACGAAATGAAACATCAGTGCTGACGAAACTTGGAGGGCTATCGTGGCGTCCTCCAATTTCTTTTCGCTCTATAGTCTCAATACCAAACATCTCACGAATTTCGTTTGGGATCATCACCCACAATACTGTATCACCGACAAGGATTCTTGTTTTCTTAAACTCGTAGCTCTCAAAGAATGGAACAAAACAAATGCTAGTGCAATTTCCTGTTACTCCGGACAATGTCTTCCACACACGTACAACGACGCAACAAATCTCCCATCATCTAGATGGTCACAATACGATAACGGAAAACTCTCGTTGACTATTGGTTTGCCTGTTTTTGGAGATATTGGACTTAGTGCTGCTATTTTGACGGCTTGGGTTGTACGTGCATTACTGTGTCAGAAATCGCAATTGAATGGTAGTCTTATGTGCGTTTATGCTCACGTTTACGTCTTGTGGATCACACGTCTCATTCGATTTCCCAAAGTCCAAATGATTGTATGGCTCGAAACGACAATTTTAGTGTTTTGCTGAACATCCTGCGAATTGGGGTTTCAAGGGTGACTTGTATTTGATGGTGTTTGAACGCATAGCATGACAGGAATAAGCGATTTTTAGCTTAGTCGCTTGTCTAGATCTCAACTATTCAAGGACTAAAAAAACATTTCCAAAGATGAACGTTCCCGCTCACTGCCAACACCCCTTCTCACGTCTCAACTTTAGACATCTTACTACTGCTAGTCCACAAAGTCTTTAATCCTGCTCTCAGACAAGATACCATGTCACTCCAGAAATCAACACTACGCGATTTCCCCAACAAACAGCCACATTCGCCACTTTTTGATCTTTTGTTTTAATCTTAAAACAGTGTTGATATATACACAATTTCAATTAATTGCAAGGGTATATACTTTGAAGATGCGAGGATGTCATAATGTGCGTGAGGCGTTCGTGAAGCTGAAATTAGTGACGAATTTGAATAACTTAAGGGTATCATGCCATGACACGAATCAGTCATTGTCTTCTTCATTCCGCTTCACACGACCTCGACCAGTTTCGTTCCCTCTTATGTGTATTCGGAGACCTTGTTTTGCAAAGCATTTAGACAGTTCTGTTGAGTCTATTCGGCAGTTGTTTTTATGTTAGCTTCTTTGTCCCTATCGCATTTCCAAGATTTCATAAAATCATTCAATACCTTTAGCCATTCCCGGGAATTCTTTTGGATGCCATACAGTAAAAGGGTCTGATAATATTGTTCCTCGGCATGGTGAACAGCTTTTCGATCGATCCCTAAAATGTTGCAAAGGTAGTATTAGAGTTTGTCAGCAAAAAAATACAAAGGTCTACCAAGCAATTACCATTTAAGATTAAATATACTAAACTTTAACCGATACGTCCCACTAATCCTCACATTCACATCGGGAAACACGAAAAACATTCCTCGTACCCCAGACACATCGTTCAGGATATAGCATGGCGAGACCAAGTTACCGACAAGTACCTGTGCAAGAGCCGAAGCCGGGATTTCCGTATGTAGTATTTCACCAGCACCGAGCTGTTTGGCTGATGGTGCGGAAGGGTGGAAGGGGTTGACAACTACAGATCGAGAGTCTCGACCATCTGCAGACCATATTGAGACGTGACAAATCATGTTTGCTGCTTCTGAATATGATAGTCTGCCGGTTCCACTTCCGTCGTATACACGGACTTCGACTATTGGTGGTGGATCTAGTGTGGAGGGGAAACATCAGGTTAGAGAAATGCGGACGGTTAAAAAAACGTATCTGAAGGACTAATGTCATTTTTATGCCTGACAACACACAACACATACCTATCGGCCTACGATCCTTCTCACCAAACCCAATCATCCTAGCACGTAACGGATTCTGTCTCATCTGTAAATCCATTCTCCCATCCTCAACATCCGCATCCTGAAACAGAGAAGCCAAATCAAATGCTCCATATTTCCGTCTCGGTGATTCTCCATTCAAGAACCCATTCTGCTGTAATTCTTTACCGGTACTACTACTACTACTACTATTTTCGTAATTAACTTGCGGTATCGTCGGCATCGGTTTGGAAAAGTATGGTGCATGTCTGGTACTGTGATTTCGATGTGCTATATGAGGATGCATATGAGGATGTGATGTGCTATTACTTGCGTTATTGTGATGGTGGTATTGTTTCGGTGCTGTTGATGATGGTGATGTATGTGGTGGTAGTGGGAGTGATGGTGGACCCGGTGATCCTTCCGCATCATAGTATCGGTGGTTGCGATGTGGGATGTGTGCGAAGGGGACGCCATACGGGATAGAGTCTGGATGGTTTACGATGGCTGGTTCAAAGTGATGTAGTGGGATTGGCTGTTGTTGTTGCTGTTGTTGGAGGGTATGGATGTTACTACTGTTAATAGCTGTATGGTATTGTTGTTGCTGCGGGTGTATATGGTGGTGCTGTTGATGTATGTGGTGTGTTGGGTAGTAGTTTGGCAAGTCGGTTGTTGATGACGTGTCACAACCACCGTGATGATGTTGAGTATATGGAATCGTAACTGTGGTAGCAGATACAGGGATGGTACTACTACCGGTGTGTATACGTGACGAGAGTTTTGTAGTTGACGATCCATTATTAGACCCATATCCCGAATCTCTTCCAGACCTCAGAGATCCACCACTTGAAAAACCCGACCTGTTACTGTTAGGTCCGTCACCATCTGATCCAGATCCAGAGCCAGAGCCGGTGCCAGACCCAGACGATGTCTTTAATTTGCTTAGACTCGTGCTACTATCTTCAGGATTGACACCATTATCTTCTGACGAGCCATTGTCGGAACTGTTTTCTTGACGATCCGGAGACCATGAGTCTTCTTTCGAAGATGCTTGTGTCCGCGATGGAGTATCGTCACGTTCAGGTTCCCTATATGCAGAGGATGCAGTGGTACCGTTCCCAGCCACGACATTTGGTATTCCATATAGTGGTTGTTGTTGCTCTGGCAGAGACCCGACAAACAGATGCGATACATCATAACCCTGTTGAGACATTATAACGCACAATATCTGTTTATATTGGGTTTGGTAGTGGTTTTGTGCTATATTCTAATATGAAAAGGTGTGAATCGGAATGTGCGATTCCCATGCAAACTATTCGACAAATGTCGACGACCATGATCGATCTCTGATGAATGATGATAAATAAGGCTTAAATGCCTTATAAACATGTATTCATTGATGGTTTTCAGCATTAAAGCTTCAATCGTTAGGGATGCAATATGCGAATTTCGTGTTGGAGGCAGTTTGTCGAAAAAGTGATATTTATCATGAGCGTACCTCTTACTCGACATCCTTTGCTAGATTTATAATCCAAGCTTTTTAATGTTGATCAACGTGTTTTGAAACTTGGTTGCTTTGTCCTTGATTTTATAAAGTGTCTGTGTGAGGTGTTAAAGTGGTTTTCGCGAAAAAGAGTAGAGTATGAAAAACGTCGCTACAGATCTAAATGGTGTAGAAGAAACGACGCCAATAACTTGATATATATTTATTCAAGCTTTAAAACTCGTCTGACATACGTACAGAAGCCTCGATCTCTTTCACTGCAAGTGGGCGTCCGGCATCGTTGCAGATCACTTTCTGTGTGACCGTCAAATGCGAAGTTGAAGATCCAGTCTGTGGGATCTGAGTCATTAGGATGATTTTCATTGCATATACGACCACTGACATACGCAGATCCCCATGCAGCTCCCTGTAAATCTCTTCTTATGCTCCAACACACTGCACGATTTTCACACACACAACCATCTTTCGACTATACCGGTCGGTTACCTCCCACATCCTGTACAGCTCAAAATGCAGTAGAAATACAAGTCATTGGTGTCAGCTATAGATCGCTCAAGTTGCCAGCCTTCGGAATTGCAGATCGTCACATTTTCACACGGCGAATGACATAAATGCATCTTATGAGAAGCTTCCATGTGGAGAAGGACTGGAATGAGATACCGAAACTATTTGACGCGTCGTCTGGTACAGTGCCTTTGTTGACAGAGCTCAACAAAAACAAGACTGTTTGCGGTTTGACCCATCACAGCAAATACCAGACCAATACAGAGGATGCAGTAACGGAGTAACGCGTCAAAACACGTACAATATGCAAAATACACAACCAGAAACCAGAGAATCCAAAATCCAGACGCGCTTAGCAGCCAGGAGCAAGTTCAAAGCACTTTCCAGCGTCTTCCACTTACTTTTCCAACAAAAGGCATACAACGTAGATACCGATCGATCGTAGCCGAAATCGCGTTTCGGAACTTGCTCGAAGAGAGTTCAGACTGATATTTCATTCATTGATGGCTTTCAAAATGTAATACTACAAGTGGGTGGTTTTTGTTATAGTTGCTTGTTTTAAAGAAAATATAGTTTTCGGTTGTCTGGCCTCGCAATCTCTCTTCGGGCTTGTTCAAGTACTAGGCGAACCTGCTGGTGCGATATGGCCCTTAATCTTACTCTTAAAGTCCATACCAGCATGCGCCACCTTCGCGTGGTATTTCAGGCCGTTCAAGTTCTTGTATCTAAGTTACAAACGTTTGATGAGGAAGTGATGTTTTGTCAAGGCCAAAAAAAGCCAGCAGTTCAAATAACCAGAACGATACACACCGTTTCCCACATCCATCAGCTCTACAATAGTACGGCCTAACAGCAACTCGCACATCATCCGGCAAATCACTCTCAACATCCGAATTATCAGCTTCACATTGTCCTCTTTCCAAATGATATTTCAGACCATTTGAGTTCTTGTAGACTTTAGAGCAGAATGGTTTTGGGCACTTGTATAATCGTTTAGGTGAAGAGCTTGTTTTGTGACTGCTACTAGAACCACCAGCCATCCTATCTTCAGAATCCATTCTACCACTGGCACTTCCAGGCGACAATGATCGTCCCATCGCATGCGTACCCTTCTTGACTCGTTCCACAGCTCGTCCTCGTTCTTCTCTCATAATGACATTACTACTATTTGTGCCGGTATTACCATTATTATTCGATGATGCGGATGATGATACTGGTGGCGCACTGCCAGCTCGTACAGGTGGAGCATGTTGATTCGTCCATTCGTCTTCATCTAATTCACCTAATGCATCGTCTTCTCTACCATCTGGATCATCCATGTGGCGTGGAGATGGGGTTGTCATGTCGCTGAAATTGGGTGATAATATAGATGGGACTGTTGATAAGGCTGATGGGGCCATCATGGTGGATTGGTAGTGCGGTGTGTGCAGATTTGATGGTGACATTGTTGTAGCAGCCGATTGAGAATCATATAATAAAGATGAAGGTGGTGCAGATGTTGATGGCGGTATTTGCTGCATTCCGTATTGCTAAAAAAGAGGCAAGATTCTCAGACCCATCTTCAAATCAACAACCCAAAACCACTTCAACTTACACTAGACATGAGCAACTGAGCAGCTCTAGCCCGTGCAGCGGCCATTTGCTGTTGATGATGTATAAACGAAGCTGGATTGTAGGCCTCTGGAACACCAGAAGGCATCAACATAGCTCGATCCATAACCATATCATCACGAGATCCGACCATACCTCCCATACTAGTATGACTCATCGATTTATTATTACTATTATTGTTTGTAGCATTAGTTATTGTGCCAGGTAGCCATTCTCCTTTTGGCCTCTTGTTTTCGAGGACGATTATGGAGGCTTCTCTTGGTCGTTTAGATACAGGAGGTGTATATCCCTCATCGTCATCGTCAGAAGGGCTAGATGGTGGGGTGGTCAATGTTTCACGAGTACTGCTACCATTGTTGGATTCGAGTTTGATGGTAACAGGTGGTGACATGTTTGATGAATCATCGTCCTCATCGGAGTCAAATACATGTTCAAGGAATTGATCACGACGGTGTGGATCCTGTAATGGTGACCTAGCATTACTATTATCGGATGTAGTTGCTGGTGCTGGTCTGTTTAGTCTCATTGATTCGAATTGAGCAGACATTCGTCGTATATAAGATGGTTCTCCATGCGGCCTGACTACTGGAAGAGACGTTTCATCATCATTTATGATATTCACTAATAATCGGTTCCACGTCTTTTCAGATTTGACTTCATGGCCATCACTCTCGTCGTCATCTACACCATCAATTCCTAATGTATCAACATGTTGTGATGTTGAGTTTTGATATTGTGGATGCTGTTGGTTGATGTGTTGGAAGTACTCTACTACAGTTGCAAATGTCGTATTGCAGCATGTTACGGGTTGCTGCTCATCTTGGCCCGATGATTGAGTTTCAACGGGAGTTGGAGGCATGGTAGTTGAGCTACTATATGAAGCCTTGGTCCCCGGTCGGTATGTTACAGTTTTGAATGGTTCGATTGGTGAAGTGGCTGAAGTTGGTGTTGTTGATGTACTGCTAGTATATGTACTGCTGCTAGCATTCGTGGGTTGTGAGGCTCCGTCAAAGGACCATAATGAGCTGCTGCTATTATTATTGTTTCCATATTGAGCCGACGTTGTGGTCTGTATCATTGGTTCGTCTAATGATCCTAGGCCCCATAGTCCTAAACTAAATGAGCTTCTCCTCCTGCTAGCGAGTAACGTTGAGAAATCGAACGGGCTGTGAAGCGGTATAGGAGCTAAAGACGGTCTTCTATCGGGAGGAGGTAGCATGACTCCATAATCGGACGATGAGCCTCCAGACATTGGCATGACTTGAAGATCCAGCTTGTTACTGTAATGTCTAACTGGTGTTGTGAAACAACCACCTCCAGCCCTCTCAATGTCCTGTCCTTTGGAGCGTTTGCTGGTTGCCGACTAAGTATTTAGCAAGAATGATGTCTTGATACAAACCTACTAAATCAATCGAGGACCCACAATTAGTAGGTTGTATAGTCTCTAAGGTCGTCACAGCGGTTTCGAGAACCTTGTTTTTGAAGTCGACAATTAGTGTCAAATGGATAGAGGAAGATAGAACTAGGCGTACTTTGAATACTACAACTGCGCTTTCAACTAATAGATACCCTCCTCTCTCGTTTCTCTCCTCGCAAGCAACTTGTCTCTGTTCCTTTGCTTGAAAGGCAAGATGTTGTAAGCGATTATACAGCACACATGACATGTCGGACATTGATCTATGGGCATACAGAAGCTATGGAGCGGAAGCTAGACGTCGATGTATATCGTTAAATATAGCCGCATCAAATCTATACCGGACGACACGAATTTCGACGCCCAGATCGCAAACCATTCCACTCTCCACGAAAACCAATAACAATGGAAGGACTAGCAACTTTCCCACAACATTTTTGTTTTCAACCCGATATGTACAAAAAGCAAATATTACATTTGGGATTATGTACGACAACAAGCTCGGTGATCCTCATTGGTTTTGCGGATTTTGCAGTACGATGAGAATATACTCCTTGTCTAATAGATGATATAGATCAGTAACGAGATATAAACTTTACATGATATTCAAATCATTCGCATACCTGGTGCCACCATAATCTCATGTTTCTTCGAGCGTATCCTCAAAAACGTGAGATCGTTCTAATAAAGAGACGAGGGAAGATCCATGAATATAGCAGTAACCGTAAATGGTTGAAGAGGTAACGATACACATCACAAAGCAATATACTCTTTCTTCGGTCGTTCATACACGTTACATACCTGCGGATCTAAATCTCGTACAACACTTCTTGCTTTGGCAGTCAACTGAGTTATAAGAGCAGCGTGCTGAACCGTCTTTTCAGCATCCAGAGTAGTTCTAATTGGGATGCCTTCCATGTTGACAATAACGACACCTAGTTCAAAAAGTGCGAGGAAATTTTGATCAATGCAAATGCAATGCAATGCAACAAGGTACATGCAATGTGTCCCACCCTCAACTCCCTTATGCGAGGTCAAGCGCTTAATTGTTTCCTCGACTTCAGACTAATTGTTCATGGTTGATGTGCGGAAGACAGTTAGATCTGAAATGCAATACAGTTGATCCAACAATTTGAGGCCCTTAGATCTGGAGTGGATATGATGCAATGCAACTGATCCGTAAATTTAGGCGCTGCAGGACGTACCATCTTTAGTTTGTTCTTCTACAAAACCTCGTCAATTGTTGTGAAGTTGAACCTTGAATTTTTGATTTTCTCAAAATTATCCCTTACGTTATGGCTTACTCACACTTTTCTTCTGTGACAAGTCCCTAAGAGAAACAGAGCTTAGAACTACTAAGAAACAATAGTAAGAGAGCTAACATGGCGAAATCCCGACGAGAGAAAAAAGGTAAACGTCTATCTTGGTGCATCAGAGGTGCTGTAGTGTTTCTTCCTGATTTTACATTTTTTTCGATCCTAGTGTCTCTTACCAGAACTACCAAGAAGGGCCGTGGAGCAAAAGAGAATCTGTTTCAACAAGTCAGTAGCATTTGGGATCTTTCATTCCTTGCCTCCAAATACACCCTCTGTATGCAACGTACTCACCAACATTCCCAAACATACAGATTCGAGATTGTTTGGAAAAGCACCATGACGTTTACGTCCTATCTGTGCATAACATGCGAGCCAACGTACTAAAAGACGTACGAGCCCAACTACCTGAAAGCAGACTGTTTTTTGGAAGGAATAAAGTCATGGCTAAAGCTTTGGGAACTACCGAAGCTGAAGAGTATCGAGTTGGTTTGAGACATGTGGCTGAGGTATATTGTGGAATTGCATGTTGCAGTATCTAGAGATTCCAAACTTATTGTCTCTTTTCGTCTAGAACTTGGTGGGACAAGTTGGTTTACTCTTTACATCTGAGAAACCTGAACGTATAAAGGAATTCTTTGATTCATTTTCGGAAATCGCTTATGCCAGATCTGGGGCTCTTGCTGTGAACACTGTCACTGTGCCAGCTGGAACACTTACTCTTCCTCATTCTGAAGCCAAGGTCTGTAGTGAAAAAGTCGATTCGATTCATGCATGTCTTTTATTGCTATCTTCCGCCCTGCTCACTTAACTCACAACATCCACTTTCACTCAGATCCCACACTCTCTCGAACCCCAATTCCGCAAACTAGGTCTCCCAACAGCAATGGTAAACGGCCTAGTCACTCTGACCCAAGAATACCGAATCTGCGAAGGTGGCAAACCATTAACTCCCGAAGCAGCTCAATTATTAAAGCATTTGCAAATACCTATGGCCGAATTTCGTGTCACCTTGTTGGCTAGATGGAATGATGGTGCGTTTGAACAAATGGTTTCTCTTGATGAGGCTATGGCTGAACCTGTAGAAGAAGAAGGGGCTGCTGCCGAAGGTGATGAAGAGATAGAAGAGGAGGAGGAAGTTGAAGAATAGTGGAGGAATTAGTGTTTGCATGTTTGCATATGCGGTTGCATTTGTATCATTTTGGTTTTTAAACGTTTTCAAGGCAAACATAAAGACAGGATGTTTTTTCAGAATCATTTTACAAACGCGTTGAGTGGGTCTTGACGCGAAACACCGCTGTACTAGGGTTAGTAGTTCCTCGCTCACTCCTCCAAATGCTTTATTATTATCGGCGAATCAGGCCACTGTAAAGGAGGGATGACTTCCAGTTAAGGGATCCAAGTCTTGGAGTCAAGAATCATGTCCAACAGAGAACCTATAACAAACAGTAAGTTTATAGTCGTCAACGCCTTCCTCATTTTGTGGTTGCAGTTCAGTCGTCATATCGTTGGATTGATTGTTGGTAGTGCATTGGAGCGCATTGCAGATTATAAAATAGCAATATGATAGCACTCGAACATGCTTGCGGACTGACTGCATCGTCCACCCTAGAATTCGAAGAGGCCAAGTACTTTAAAGACAATCATTTCACGACTTGGACACTGTACGGGTTCTCTCGACATGCTCTGATTCATCTTTTGAAGCCAACTACACGCAAGATTGAAGAAATCAAATTGGCAGTATCGAGTGATTATATGAAAATGCTATTCCAACTCATGACCGACCCATCAGACCCAGTCAAGGCTACGAAAGCTGCTAGTTTGGTTGGACGCTTCAATGTACGAGTGGAGATCTAGGTGTAGCAATGTAGTTTTCTAATGAACGGTTCTGTTTTGCTGCAGATTGACAAGGAGTCTACTGTGGTTGCGAATCTGTACCTCGAGTACCAAGAATCGCTCCCTATATTGCCCGAAGAAGCAGATTTGGTCCACAAGATGGCTGGAATGTCGACATGAATGCTTATATTTGCCAGTAAAAGCAGGTACGGCCCACAAGATGGCTGGAATGTCGACGTAAAAGCTGGAAAGTGAGTTTTGAACAAATGTGAAATAGAAAACTGTACACGCGACCAGCTCGTAGCAGATTGTCAATAAAAATTCCTCAATATTCAAAATGCACGAGAATCCTTCATCGCATCCATCCATGCTCAGTTTCGAGTCGACTTCCGACAGCACACAAACACATCAAGCAACAAGAAACAACGTTATATGGAAGAGCCGACACTGACAAACAATCATGGCATCATCAATGGAGAGCTTATACTTCCTTCTACGTCACCAGATAGTCCAGGACCAAGTATTCTGAAGGGCTTATCCTCGAAACAAAAACTCAATATCGCAAAGAGACAGGCATCAGCAGTCTCCTTCCTATCATCTATATCACTAGGCGTACCAGATCCCATACCACCACCTGATATAGAAAACAGTCTGATAAGTGGTTATCCACCATTAACTCCTCGTCCTCAACTATCGCATTCCATCACCCAATATTCAGCCAATGCGCTCCTGCAGGGCACAAAGAGACGGCCAAGCACTGTATCGTATACAGACGTGAGGGCTGCTGGACTGGGTCTAGATGATGGTGATGTGATACTCAACAGCAATACTGCAGCAAATGCAAGTTGCAGTGTGCCCTCACAGATATCGGGAATGATACCACGTCATGAATCGTCTGGAAGTAATTCAGACCCGGCTAATGAGAGTGGACTGCCTGCCTTGTTTAGTACACCTGCTAATAGCTCACCGAGAGGAACTCCACGCAGCATGTTACGAAACACGACAAATAATGACATCAACCCGCTTACGCTTGACTTGCCAATGGAACATGCGTCGTCACCAACAACGAGGAAACAACGTAGGAATCAGCAGCAGCAGCAACAACAGCAGCAAGCTGCTCAAAACCGACAGGATGATACATCGCCACGCCACGTACTCCGTCCAGCCGATCTTTTAACTGGTGGTGCAAACAGTAATGATATTGCAGGAAGATTCGGATTCGTCGAATCGCCTAATGGCGATCCGTTTATCAATACCCTGCCAAGAAGTATCTCGAATCATAACAATTTACGTGCTAGTAGTAATACAAACAATGCGGGGCCCACGCCGCTAGGAACCTATTATAGTAGTCGGGATCTTGTTGCTGATTCGAATGGTGGTGGGAGCTCACAGTTGGGACATCGAAGGAGTAGTGGGAGTATTAATTCTGTGTCGGGGCGGCAGCAGGAGACGCAAGTAAGTGTTCAAGTGTGTGAAAGGCATGGAGCTGTTGGTACTGATTTTTTTTGTTTTTTAGATTGGAGCAGTTACCAAGTTCTTTGGGAAGAAGAAGGATAAAAAGAATAAGAAGAGAGATCGTGTCAAGAGTATTGGTGATCGAGTCATGTAAGAAATATGGTTCGAAAATACGTCAATTGTATGTTTTGACTCAACTGCTACTTTCGCATTTTGCAGGGACAAGATTGGAATTGGGTTGAGTATGGACAAACGGAAAAAGGCAGAATCGTTCGCTATAAATCTAGAGTCGGCAGGATCGTTACAGTAAGTGAATGACATTGATGATGGGATGATACTGCTCTCTTGATCTGCTTTTTTGCTCACTCAACCTCCCTTTTCAGATCCGAACCAGATCAAAGTATGGTACCGTATGATCCGTTCTTTTTCGAAGATCCAGAGATTGTGCCGCCTGATTTGGATCATCTTACGAATGCTACAAAGGCCTACTTTATGGTGAGTGCTTTCTTGGGATTAGCAAGAAACAGCAGTGTCCTGTTGCCTATAGACTCATGGCTCTTCACCGTCCTTTGCTAGGGCTCTCTGGTAGATAAGCGTGCAGAGAATGTAAAACGAGAAATGAATGAACATTTCAGGGAAGCTCATCCTGAAATCGATCAATCTTTGACCCTCAGTCAAGTACGAAACTTGAAACGAGTCATGTTGGATGTTGGGCGAATGCAAGATATGGAAGTATCTAGTGTTGCTTGTGCTTATGTGTATTTGGAGAAGCTCATTTTGAAGGTGTGTTACGTTTGAGTTTCAAAACTTTTGGAGCAAAAAAGCGGAGGAAATGAACCGACTACCGACTATCCCAGCAGCTACATGCTCACACGACCTCCCTCCTCTTTCTGATAGAACCACGTCAGCAAACTGAATCGTAAACTGATTGCAGCATGCTGTCTACTATTAGCAGCCAAAGTCAATGATCCCAAAGAGTTTGATTATGCTGAATTGCTGGAAGCTGTTGACAAGGAAATGGATATATCACCACGAGAAGTTTATGCACATGAGTTTCAAGTGTATGCAGCTCTGGAATTCAATTTGTTTTTGCCTGCTTGGGAGATATATCCCCACATGCAGAGGATTTTGCAGTTGATGGGTAAGCTTCGTTGAAAGAAATTTCAGATGTTTATTGTTCGATTGCTAATTTGCTCGTTTTTGGTTGTAGAAATGGGAATTGATGAGTATCTGCATGGGCGCAAGTTTTTCCTTGGTAACTCTTAAGCTATTTATTTCGGTCGCGTTGTAACATACCTCTTCTTGTAAATATATATATATTGCAAGTTACAAGTCAACGTGATCAACTTGGCTGATATGAAGCTGTGAGCGCGTTACCATCTGCTATATGTCCTCGTTTGCGTAGCGATTTTTCCGCAGAGTTTTAAAAGTAAAGCGTCTGAGAATAAAACCACGAAGATCTTACATGTTGCTTGAATAAAGAAGCTACAATGGCGACTCGGTAGGTCGTAAGAGAAGTTAAAATGGTGTATTTATCCCATTGTAACAATTGTTGTTAATAGATTAGAGCGACTGATTTCCTTGCTTGATGTTGGCTCAACGCCTGTTGTTCGAGCAACAGCAGCTCAACAAATAGGAGACATTCAGCGTCAGCATCCTGAAGATCTATACAATCTACTTGCTAGAGTATGTCGGCATCACCACCATGTTGCAACATCAAAAAATCAACATTATGAGTTTTGTTGCAAGCACATTCAAAGAACAAGAAAGGCTGATCTATTCTTTAATTTATACAGGTACTAGTCCATCTCCGCAGCTCATCATGGGAAACCCGCGTCGCAGCATCTCAAGCAATACACGCTATAGCTCGTAACGTCCCGTCTTGGGAACCTCCTGAAGTCATCCAACCTCAAACCAACACCACCTCAGACGATGATTCATATGACGATTTCCTCAAATTCGAAACTGTAGATCTCGACATTGTAATCCGCAATGGCGCTACACTTGTTTCGTCCGCTGGATCAGAGTTTGATCGTGATGAAGAAGCATTGGGGAATATGGATCCGAAAGAACGAATTGCATTACAGAAGAGACAGTTGATGGATAAGTTGGGGTTGGGAGCGGGGTTTATGGATGGTGAGTTTGTGGGAGATGGGATTTCTCGCCAAAAATAGTAAAGATGACGCTGAAGCTTTTCTGGTTTGTATTTATTAGTGGATCTTTTTGATGAGACTGATATAGGTGGGAGATCTGCTGTAAGGAAGGGTATGAATCCGAAAGAGATGCTGCAAGCTAGTGTGAAGGCTCAACCAAAGTAGGTTTGGTGTTTCTTGCTAACTAGGAGTCTCTTTTGCGCTGTCGTTGTACTCATTCAGCTTAATCGTGTGAATTTTATAGAGACAGTCTGGCAGATGTTGACACTAGCACGTTGAGCAAACGTGAGCTTCTTGCTCTCAAGAGGAAGGCTAAGGTTGAAGCTAAGACAGGTTCTAAACGAAAGTCAGTGGACGTAATTGCAGTTGCGAATTCCCTTTTTTGCTTGCATCTCATCTTTAAACTGATTTCTCTCACCACACCTCATAGGGTGACTGCTACAGATCTTGTAGGATCATCATCCTCAGCCAACAAGAAACGAAGTGAAATAAACCGAAATGGACCATCGCATCAAGTCAGAGTCAAAGGCGAAGACTATGATGACAACACTGATAACAATGATGGCAGTAAAGTAATCATTGCTCACAAACCACCCAAAGAAGAAACCGACGAAGACATTGCAACCTTCAGCCAAGTCTTTTCATCAGGTGATGAATGGCCTTTTGAAGGTGTATGTGAACAATTATTCCTAGACGTGTTTGATAACGCATGGGAAATCAGACATGGAGCCGCTATGGCGCTACGAGATATAATCAAGATCTCGGGTGCTGGAGCTGGTATGATAATAGGTGTTGACAAGCATCAAAATCAGAAGAGACATTTAAGATGGCTTGAAGATGCGAGCATTAGATTGTTGTGTGTGCTTGCTCTAGACAAGTTTGCAGATTTTGTTGGAGAGCTGGTCGTGTTGCCTATTGTAGAAACTGTAGCTCAGACGCTTGCTGCTCTTGTGCAGCTGTGTCAGCCTGATTTGGCAATCAAGATTGTGGAGCGTGGGTTGATTGTGTTGGCTGATGGTAGTACTAGTGTGCCTGCGGATGGGAAGGCACTTAGTAGTGATTATGAGATGAAGAAGTGGCAGGTTCGACATGCTGGATTGATTGGACTTAAATATTTGATGGCGGTACGGCAGGATTTGGTGGGAGATTTGTTGATTGATAAGAGTACGAATAGTCAGTCGAGGGTGTTTCGTGCCATCTTGAAAGGGTGGGTTCTGCTGTGTTTCATATTTTTTGCGTGGACTTATTTTTCATTTGCTTTAGGCTACGAGATCAAGAAGATGACGTACGAGCTGTATCATCGTCAACATTACTTCCCATCGCCACCACTTTATTCCAACTATTACCTCCAGCCATCATATATCAAAACATTGTGTTGTCGCTATGGGATTCATTGACGCATCTAGATGACATAGCAGCAGCGACAGCTCCCATAATGGCGTTACTAGCTCGTCTGTTGTCTGAAAACGCTGTCATGGATGTAATGCAAGAATCCACGACTACCAATCTGAGTGTCGTGACACCTCGACTTTATCCTTTTTTCCGTCATAATATTGCATCTGTACGGATTGCTGTATTGAATACTTTGAGTACTTTGGCTCAAACCCCGGAAAAGGGAGTAGGACGAGGGGATGCATCTTGGATTTCGATTGATTTGATGAGACTTGTGTTTCAGAATTTTGTTTTGGAGACACATTCTGAAGTTGTGGAATTGAGTTATGGTGTGTGGAGGCAGTTGATTGTGTGCCTAAAGGTAATCGACCAGTCACATAAGCATTTTTACATCATCATAACACTATTGTTTCTTCAGAACCATCATCTGCTTGTCAAGATCTTGATGCCGCTGGTACCGACGCTATTGAGTATAGCCATGTCTCCAATCGGAACGGCATATGATTTACGTCTCCTGTTACTTCCAAAGGAAGACATGAATAGACAAAGACCAGGCATCGTATCAGATCAAGATAAAGCCATAGCAATGCAAGATCTGACTGTTGCCCGATACTCTGATATATTATATGGTAAGATCAAGGCCCTCAAAGCTTTAGGCAATGTCATCGATGCTCTTGCATGTGACGTTCCTGAATCGCATTTATTGCTTCAAGAGCATTTACCAGCTTATGCATCCAGTGGGATGGCTGCACATCGTATATATACTTGTATTATGGTTGAAGAATGGGCGTCATTGTATCATAGTAGACAAGCCACCCGAGTTGGTGAATCGACAATACCGGTAGCAAGCAATCTGCATCAAATCTTGTCGCAGCATTTGGCTGTAGCTGATTCTGGACAACAAGTATTGTATACAGAAGTTATGACACTGTTAGAAGGTGTATGGTCGGCTTGTGCATCGATAGGTGCTGGAAGTCGATTGTTGCCACCTCTACCACCGTTGCCGAATCGCCCTCCACTTGCTACACCATCACCGCTAGGACCGATATTTACAACTTTGGTTGCTGCACAATATTTAGAACAGGCTTCTCGTCAGCCCTTGAATCCTGCTCAGATGGCAGCTCTAGCACCTCGATTAGCAAATGCTAAGCAGTTGATTGAGGCATGTCAATCCCAAACTAGTGTCATCGATACTAGAGTATTGGCTTGTGCTGCAGCTGCTGTGCTGGTAGTGAGTGCGTTACCAAGTAAAGTGAATCCAATAGTTAGGTCTCTAATGTCGTCTGTCAAGACAGAAGCTGAAGAATTGTTGCAGCAACAATCAGGTTGTGCTGTTGCCAATTTGATTTCGTCTTGTCTTGGAAATTCCAAAAGCGCTAATGTCGCTGATAGAGTGCTAAAGAATCTATTACTCATGGTTGCGGTTGGTTTGGATGTTGGGTTGCTTAGTCAAGTAGATGAAATTATATCCTTGATGGTACTGGAATCCCAAGCCGCTGTAGCTGATTCTAAAAAGAAGATTAAGAAAAAGAATGCTGATATGCCTATTGATGGTGTTACTTCCAACATTGTGAACGATGCTACGGTTGAGAGTCTTGGTGATACAGCTGAATCTCTATCGCGACGTGGAGCCGAATATGGATTACGAGCAATGTGTAATGTATTTGGGGCGAATCTATTCGATGCTCTTCCACGTATATGGGATACCATGGCTCAACCATTTGCAACTGCAAATACATCTATCGACGCTATAGCACGACTCGGTAACGATGAAGAGTATGCCAAGGATGTGTTTAGAGCTATCCGAACCATGGGAGTTTTAATTCCGTATATACACTCCGAGCTAAGAGGTCGATTGTCGACTTTATTGCCATCTATTGTGCAAACGTTGAGATCACCATTAGCTAAAGTGAGGCATGCTGCTGCTACGTGTCTGTCTGCTGTGGCTTCTGTTATGCCGCCTGTTGCTATGAGGACAGTGGTCGATGGTGTTTTGCCGTTGTTTGGGGAAGCACAGCATGTTTCTAGTCGGCAGGGAGCTGTTGTGAGTGTCTGACAACATCTATTGTTTGAGGGCAATCTTTTTTCTTCCCGCTTAACTTGTTCCGTTATTTCTCTCCAGGAATGCGTCTTCTTCCTAATTGACAAGCTCGAAATCAATCTTCTACCATACATTACCTTCTTAATTGTCCCCACTCTTGGTCGAATGTCTGATCAAGATGCAGGAGTGCGTCATCTAGCTTCTCAGAGTTTCGCCCAGCTAGTGCGACTAATCCCACTCGAAGCTGGAGTCCCTGATCCAGAAGGGTTCCCACAAGACATGATACTGCAACGAAATCAAGAACGACGATTTGTCGCACAGCTTGTTGGAGCTGAGAAGGTTGAAGAGTATCAGTTTCCTGATGGGTTGGTGATTAAAGCTGATTTGAGACCGTATCAGCGGGAAGGGGTTAGTTGGTTGGCGTTTTTGAGTCGGTTTGGACTTCATGGGATTTTATGTGATGGTAAGCGACGCAATAATGCTCATTATTGAATGTGGTCTAAATGACTGATTTTTCCCATCTAGATATGGGACTTGGCAAAACTCTTCAAACAATATGTGCTATTGCATCAGAGCATTTCACAAGGCGGCAACGGTATTCCAAGACGGGCTTACCAGCTGATGCACATTTATCAAGTTTGGTAGTGTGCCCTCCGACTCTTACTGCTCATTGGTTTTATGAGATTCAGCAATTTGCGGATTCTTTGAAGCCTATTTTGTATGTGGGGTCTTCGTCTGAACGCGCTAGGTATGTGCTATCTTGATGGAGCAAAAACCATTCGTGGTTACAATTGGATTATAAGCTCTTTTCGCGCAGGCTACGAGGACAACTACAACAACATGATATAGTAATCACGTCATATGAAGTCTTACGTAACGATATTGAAGATCTGTCATCTATATGGTGGAATTACTGTGTATTGGATGAAGGCCACATTATTCGAAATTCCAAGGCCAAATTGACGCAGGCAGTTAAAAGAGTTCGTGCTCAGCATCGTTTAATCTTGTCTGGCACACCAATTCAAAATCGAGTATTGGAGTTATGGTCTCTTTTCGATTTTTTGATGCCTGGATTCTTGGGTAGTGAGAGGTAAGAGACGTTTTGATCCTTCTTGGATATCCAAGCTGATTTTTTTATCATAGACGTTTCAATGAAGTATTCAGCAAACCGATTCAATCATCTCGTGACGCCAAATCAACGTCTCGAGAACAAGAAGCTGGTGCGCTTGCATTAGCATCACTGCATCGACAAGTTTTGCCATTCTTGCTTCGACGAATGAAGGAGGATGTGTTGCATGATTTGCCACCAAAGATCATTCAGGTATTTTGTGGAAAGAATCCCAGCACATTGCGTGGCGTAAGTTGATCCTCTTTTTGGATCTGCAGGATTACTACTGTGAATTATCACCAATCCAAAAAATGTTGTATGAAGAGTTCTCTGGAACTCAAGCACGTGTAGATGCTGAATCTGATTTGACTGATGATGCTACCAAAACCGGTAGTAAAGGTCAACATGTGTTTCAAGCACTACAATATCTTCGTAAATTGTGTGATCATCCTGCTTTGGTGTTGAGTCCAGAGCATCCAAAGTATAATCTGGTTATGAGCAAGTTGCAACAGGAAGGATCGCAATTGAGAGAAGTGAAACATGCTCCCAAGTTGGAGAGCTTAAGGTAGTATTGATATATATATTTTGTGCATCGTGAATCAACCTCTGTCGTCGAGTGGGTTAACAAAATCATATTCATCTTCACCAGGCAAATATTATTGGAATGCGGTATCGGAGCTTCATCGCCCACTACAGAATCCAACGCTGCATCCAACGATACTGAAGCTGTAGCACCACATCGTGCTCTCATCTTTTGCCAATTGAAAGCCATGCTGGATTTAATTGAAGAAGATGTCTTGCGTAAACTGATGCCCACAGTCACTTATCTTCGCATGGATGGAAGTGTCGAAGCGTCTAAACGACACGAGATTGTGACTCGCTTCAACAAGGATCCGTCTATAGATCTCTTACTTTTGACAACCCATGTTGGAGGACTTGGACTGAATCTTACTGGAGCTGATACAGTGATATTTGTTGAACATGATTGGAATCCGATGAAGGATTTGCAAGCCATGGATCGTGCACATCGAATTGGACAAAAGAGGGTCGTTAATGTGTATCGGTTGATTACCAGGGGGACGCTAGAGGAGAAGATTATGGGGTACGTTGTGACGAGTATGTTTTGTGGGAGAATACGAATGAACGTTCGGTTAACAGCTTCATATTCCTTTTTTTTTGCATAGCTTACAAAAGTTCAAGCTCAACATTGCATCATCAGTTGTCAATGAAGAGAATGTCGGGATACGATCTATTGGTGAAGGAGAACAAGTTCTTGATTTGTTCAAGGTTGATTCTGGAGATGGTGGTAGTGGAGCAGGAGGAAAAGGAAAGGGTACTACTACGAGTAAAGAAGTACTCGAGAACTTGCAAGAGTTGTGGAAGGAGAGTGATTATGATGATTTGGATGTTGGATCGTTCTTGAAGGGCCTCAAATAGTCTAGATTGCACGTTGCATTGTTTGTATAAAGAAGATAAGCTGTAAATTATAGATTATTTGTAAAACGCGTTCAGTGATAGCTTACGAATCTTGAAGCTTTGACGTACTCGCATTCTGATATTTTTCGCATCCCAAGCCAGCTCATCACACCGTAGGTTTTCAGCAAAGGTATGGCCATAGAATTAGAAGAGCCTCGAGTATTCCCAGTGACGACTCGCCAAGCAGCTCGTACTCTTTCCGATGGAGGACATTTGGAAATCTTGATGTGTGAATATACAGACAAGATTTTGCTGATTGTAACAGAGCTAGGCAAACTAGGATCACTCGTACGTCTTAATATTTATTATACTTTTGTAAATTTGGGTGATTTCTATCTTGTCTACTCCCTTTAAAGTCATCAAACGGACCAACATTTTCATGTCAGTTGTTAGCGACACTCGAGTCACCACCAACACAACCATCAGCCCTCCCAGACATGAACGGCGACATCCCACCGCAAAATGAAGCAGACATACAACCTCCAACAACAGTGAAAACCTTGTTAGGGACTCGAGATGATCCAGCATCGCAAGTACTTGCAAGTCAATTAGTGATTAAATTGATGGGTGCACGACCTGCGGGAACTCGAAAGCCAGTGCTTGTGGGACTTGCGTTGAAGAGGACGGAGGATTTGGATGTTGAGCTGGCTAGGATGCAGGATGTTATGGCGTTGTTGGAACAGGTTTTATAACAAAACGTAGTGTACATGTGTATATAGAGTAGGAGAGGGACTATCTAATTCCTCATGAAGAGTATGAACACGTTGTAGTCGCTTAGTTGGGAGTGTGGTGAATGGCTTTCCGTGCGAAGGATGGTGGGAATGTTTAAATCACGTTCAGTACACACGAGTCTATTGGAGCGTCGCGTCTCTGCTACTCGACGCGTGAATATCGCCTGATCAACCCGCAGAGCTTCTCCGACGTAGCATTTTATTCTTCATGTGAAACTTGAAAAGCTTGCATCGTTTCTCCTAGAAACACAGGTTTGTGCCATTCTCGACGAGGACGACTTAAAGTGAAGACTCTTTCGGTAAGCACATTATGCGCGCGTATGTAGACACACCATGAGCTCCCTAGAACCGCTCAATTCGAAGCTTTAAAATCAAAATGGCTCTGGACTCAAGGCGCAGATTCTTCGGAATTCACCTATGTTTTGACGGTTACGAGATAATGAAATTATGCTAATTCCAAATATACTTCTGCAGTCCTGTGGCCCAATTCCACCTATGGACGTTCAAGAACCTGAGCATCAAATTGAGGCTGGTAAAGCCAATATCTTGAACGTCAACAACGAGGCCTTCAGACTTAATGACTTGCCAGATGAGCTTCTCGCGCTGGTTCTTGAAGTGTAATATCTTGTTTCAGTTGGTACAATTGCATATCAAGTCGATCGAGCTCACCTTCTTGCTTGGATTGTGCAGCTTGGGTATCCTCGGTGTGGGAAAAGTGGAACGTGTTTCCAAGCATTTCAAAGAAGTCATTGACTTTTATCTTTGGGCTCGAATGGGACCCCCTCTGATTCAAGGTCTGTTTTCGCATATTGCCCAACATTGATTGAAAACTTGGCACAAAGAGCGCCCTCGTTTAAACCACATCCATTTAGGATCCAATTTGCTTGGTATCTCTCGAAAGAACGTCCTTGCTCTTGTGTTTGCTTCAAGGTGTTCGTTTTGCCATGCGTTCAACGAAACCGTTGCTCCTCGATGCCGTTTTCGCTTTCGATCTTGTCAGTCGTGTCTTAGAACTCAGTAGGTGTTTTCCAGAGTGTCATGCTTCGTTATGGCCTACGAACATGTGGTCAATTCGCTTCTTTGACCCCGAACAATTAGATGTAAGAGACAAGACCAATTTATGGACGAAGGTGCTCATGAGGAAGTCTTTATCGGGTTGCCGGCGTTGGGTACCTTGTATCTCACTACTGATGTCGTCGCTGCAATGAAGGCTCGAAGCGATGCAATAGCTGCGGGAACTTATGAACGATGGATCATGTGAGTACATCATCGCCTCAAAGCGCTACCAAATCAATTTGCTGACTCTAGAGCACCAGGGACTGGCGCCAACGAGGTGATGTGATCGAGGAGGAAGTCCTGTCGCTGCAACGAGCTGTCAACCGTTATGTGCAGTATTTGCGAGAGAGCCGTCGAATGGCCATAATTGAAAGGTCAGCAGCCGTTGGATGGCAGGAAGAGACACTTGTACAAACTGTCTGGTACAGGCTCGATATCTTAGTCACTAGACCGTTATCCGACGATCAATGGATTGCTCTACGTACCAGGCTGGATGAGGAAATCCCTCGGGTCTTGAGCCCACCTAGGCGAGAGAATCTGTCAAGACTGTACCCTGATCTGGTAGCAACTCTGACTGACGTAGATTTGCTGACTCTCGATACGGCTGGGTTTTTGGACTTGCCAGAGGTTAAGGCATGGTTGTCCAATCCCCATGCTACATTTACCATTCCTCAAAATCTCGATGCCTTGACGCCGGAATGGCGAAAACGCCTGATGGACGTGATAGAGGATACATCGCAACAGTTATATACAGCACGAGAAACTCTCTTGGTAGAACAACTAGGGCATCCACTATCTCCTGAACTGTTATTGTATTGGTGCGCCAAATGTACTTTAGAAGGAGTCAATCTCCACGGCAGGAAGCCTCCAGCGAATTTTAGTTGGCGCGATATCACTACCCATGTCTTGCTCTCTCATTCGGATGGGCCTTCGTGCCTGGTAGGTGATTTTTCAACATTTGATATGTTGGCCGTGTCCTAACTTCTTACCATTTGAAATAGAATCATATCCGTGTTCATAAGGCCGAAATAAAGGATGGACAGATTTGCATTGCAGGCTATCCCCTTGTCTCCCCGGATCTCCAGTTGGGTCGTCGTTTAACAGTAGAAGAAATTGTCAACGAATTGGTACTTGACCAATATGAACGACAAGATATAATGGCTTATACACCTACAGTTCTCTGTATCAGTCACTCGGCCAACGTTCCAACCGACGTTGAAGGCTGGACTGTATTTGCCAAACAGATGATCAGCGACTGTAACACGCAACGAGACCGAGTTTATTTCGGAGCAGTAGAACGATTCAACCTGGAGCAAGAACAATTTAATAGATTAGGGTTTGATTGTAGAAAATGTGGAAACGTCAAGCATCGAAAGTGGAATCAGATTGTGAATCATTTGTTTGGACTTCATTGCAGCCTAGATGGAATCATTGATGTAAGAAGGCAACATTTTTTACCTGTTTGTTTCTGTTTGATCGTCATCGAGCTCATTCCCTACGTAATTCCATCACACAACCGACTTTAGACATCTCCTTTATGGTTGCCAGAATCACACCCTGTCTATGAGATGGCATATCAGACTCGCTATGAGCGTATGCTCAGAATCATCAGCGATGAGACTGGTCTTGACCCATCTGCATGTGATGCGCTTGCAAAGCTACTACCCACCAACTTGGTTGGGCAATTGTACCGCTCAGATGTGTCATTTAGGGAGCCTGAACACTTTGAGTTTATAAGGCCTATCGTTGGGCCATATACCGGAATTAAGGCCTTTGACTGTCGTAGATGCTTCCGCACGAATCTCAGTCTTCCAACCTTGCAACAACATTTGGAAGTCATTCATGGCAATGAGCCTGAACGCCCATGTCTGGACGATCTCGTACCACATACTTAAGTGGCAGCTTGAAGGGGTCGCTCGTCGCCAACCCATATGGGAGAGCAAATTAATAAAGTAATAAAGTATAATCGCTCGATCGGTCATATGAACATGAGAGCCTTTATGTGCAGTTGTGAATGTGTGGTCGTCACAATGATGTGCAAACCGAAACACGTTTGGAATACTTGAATCACGCATACGCTACTCATTCCTTAGGGAATTTTTACAGTGCCTGCCAAGAAGATATGTTTTAAACGTAACTGCGGCTTTACCTAATTGCAGATCTTCGAACAAGGTGCATTGTAGGGCCTGTATATCAAATGTCCTATGTGAGACGCTATGACCGCATGCTCGAAGGCATCAACGATGAAACTGGCCTCGACGAATTAACATGTGAAGCTCTTGCAAAACTATTGCCCACCAGCTTACTCGAACGATTGTACTGCTCATACACAATTTATACGGATCCTCACCACTTCGATTTCAACATACCTATCGTCAAACTATATAACGACATGAAGAAATTCGACTGAGATACTACCGTAAAATCCTCAGTCTTGGAGCATTACAACAACATCTGGAAGTCACTCATGGGTCCGAGTCTGAACGTCCAAGTTTGGAGGATCTCGTAGCACATACTTGAACAGTTGGGAATATATTAGTTAGGGAAGGATGGCCTTGATTATTTGATTATGAGGGGAGGAGAGGAAGAGCAGGTCGAAGATGTGGTTGGAGTGCGGAAAGGGAATGGGAGGGTTCCATGAGTATATTTTACATCGCAAAATAAATGTAACAGTGCTAAAACGAGATATAAGCCCACAAGGTGAAAATACTGAATCAGTACTTTTGGGATATCTAGCTAGTTCTGAGAATTTCGACGCAGAATTCTATGCGGTCGCTGTCAACCAGCGCAGTCTATAAGCAGAAATGCCATCACCAAAATACGGATGAGTAGCTTCCAAAAACTCATCAGCAGCCCTGCAGGCGTTACGATGCCGGCGATTCTGCTTTTGTCCGCTTTTTGTGGCAAGTGTTGGACAACACCAGTTTTCGGGGTTTCATAGCTAAAATGGTAGAGTTGGAGGAGACAGATACGCTTAAAAATCCAGAACTAGTAGCTTTGACTATCGATGCTGGCTCCAAACCGTTGGTTGAACCAACAATCGACTCTCAGTCTCTTCATTGGTACAATCGTCTGCCAGTTCCTTCCACAGCTAGGTACAACAAGGACACATACCAGTTGTCTCTTTCTATGAACCTGCTGCTCGGTTTAATTGTGGCTATCTTTGCGGTCAGTATAGCGGGTCAGTTTCAACATCATCACATTTTTTTCGGTTGCTGACAATTACATTCGCTGCACTGTTTATCATAGTCAAATCAGGTGAGCATTGATCTTCCAATGAGCTGGATCTCAAGTCTGGACTATAAGAATGTTGTATTCGCATGTGGATCCACGAACTGTTTTCTGGCCCCACGAGAGTTGACAAATACGCAAACCTCATATGTTGTCTTCACGTGCTACGTACAAACCTCATAAGAGCCTCATACGTGGAAATGATCATCTCATATTGGTCCCATGCCTTTACGTCTGACATACGTATCTCATACCTTGTATTATCTGCTAGAACTTGGCTCAACCGATATTGAATGTGCTGGCTGTTGATTTCAATGCTCCTCTGAACGAAGTCGGCTCAATCAACACAATTGCATTGGTTGGCTATGCAGCCGCTCTGTTCTTCTTGGCGCCGCTGGGAGATCTCTTTCCAAGGAGGCTTATGATACTGCTCTTCGCACTTTTAGTGATTGGTGTAAATGTCGGATTGGCACTATCCAAGAACCTAGCGACTTTCCAAGCATTGAGTTTCTGTGGTGGACTGGCTGCTGTTGGGTAAGTTGCAAAAGGCACTTTGATTCCAACGCCTTGTTTTCCAATGAAGGTTAACTTTTGCTTAATTTAGACCACAATTCATCACGCCTTTATTGGCTGATATTTCACCACCAGAGAGAATGGGATCTGCGATTGGAATAGCGATCGCTGGGCTTCTCGCTGGACAGCTGTTAGGAAGAGTGCTATCAGGAATCATTGCAGAGAACCTGGGCTGGCAGGCTACATTTTGGATATGGGCGGGCCTAATGGGCTTCGTCTTTATCGCGAGCTTTCTCTTCGTACCCGATGTTCCGCCAAAGAGTGCCAACAAGAGTTACATAAACCAGCTCGGAAGTATGTTGATGCTCCCTGTCAAGTATCCCAAGTTTACGTCTGTAAGTCGCTTTTGTTTAAACGGTTCACATATCATGTAAAAGAGCCTAATCCATCAAATCGAAATAGTTGTTGGTAATGGCCTTTTTCGTTTTCAGTCTCTTCAACAGCTTCAACTTGGCATCAGTATTCATCCTTGGACAGCAGTATGGGTTCAATCCGCAACAAATCGGGCTCATGGGATTGATAGGAGTTGCCGGTATTCTCGGGTATGTGCCCATGCAGTCTCGGTCCCCGTTTTGACTAGTACAAAATCACATTCTCATACTTGGTTATTGCTTAGTGCACCACTTATGGGATCGGTTGTTGATAGACTAGGAAGCTTCTGGTCAACTTTCGCTGGCACCGTGCTCTTAACGCTGTCGGGGATATTGGCATTGGCTGCTGGAGACAAGAGTGTTATTGCCGTGGGAGTCTCTATGTTTGTGCTTGATTTGAGTACCCAGATAGGCGGCAATGGCATGCAAGCTCGTAGTTACGAGATTGATCCTGCAATGAGATCGAGGTTGGTGAACTTGTGGTTGTGTTGATGTAGGAAAATGAAGCTGATTTGTGTACGGTTTTCTAGTATATCTGGACTCAATTTCCTTGTGGGAGTGCTTGGTGGCGTAATGGTGAGTAAATAACTACAATCCGCGCTCGTATTGCTGCTCTAAGATTTTCATATTGTTAGGGATCTTATGTTACCACAGACTTGTATGTTTTTCATGGATGGCAACCTGCCATGATTTTCATGGTGGCCTGTGGGTTTGGATCCATAATAGCAATCATAGTTCCGGGACCTAATACCGATTGTTGGGGGCTATTCAAAGGCAAACAACAGACAACTGAAATGCAGCCAGTCGTGTCGGAACCTGAGACAACTACTTCGTTGTGATTGCTGAAATGCTAAAGTAAATGCAAAGCCGCAACAGAATACCTTATATAATGATGTCTGAATCTAGTCTGGATTCTAGCCTGGACCTAGTGCTGATCCAAACGATACTTCTGATAGACTGATAGACTATAGTATGTAAACACGACTGAACACGGTTTAAAATGATATCTGATGATATACCTATTAAATGAACGACTTTAATCCACAAAATGTCGTGTTCTTATAGCTGTGCAATTCCAGTGACTCTTTTGACTTGGTGAAACTGTACATACAAAAGACGCATCACGTCAAGACACCTTTAGAAGCTCATTAGAGGCTTGATACAAGCTATATATATTCGTTCAGAGGATGGCCGGTCATGGAGATACCGTGATGCAGCTGATTGTCGACACTCTTGCCAAAGAAGGAAACATACAAAACACTGCAAATCTGAAATTACCTGATGGAGTCGACCAGCTGACACTATTAGGCTTCATCAACAGTTTAAATAGTAGAGAGGTCAGTGCAACTTGCTTGTCTCTAGTTCCTAGGTGGCATTTGAAGCTATAGTCGCAACATTAGATTTTTTGTAGTAAAAAGTGAACACTTTGACAAGACCAACACATCAAACTAGTAGAGCTAACTCGATCAAATTTCTTTTTTAAATTGTCTAGATTGTCACATATACGACGATAGAACGTGATGTTTTGGTGCTGACCGATGAAGGACTGGATATTGCTGAACAAGGAAGTTGGGAAGCTCGTTTGTTTCATCACGTTCAGCAGCACCCAGGCGTAGGTCCATCTGAAGTCTCGGTAAACAAACTTTGATTAATGATCTGTGTGCCATTCAAGTCAAATGCTTAACATCATTCCATGGTGCTCAGAAACAACTTGGAGATACAATGATCAAAGTTGGTCAAGGACAAGCCATGAAGGCAAAGTGGCTGAAGCTTGAAGACAAGAAGCTATATCCAAATGTAACGTTCTCCATGTTTAGTCCTGATCGAGGAGTTAGAACGAATTGTAACGTCTTTTTTTTGCTAGGTCGAAACAATTGTGGATCAAGTCCAGATAGAGTTGAGATCAATACAGCGGGATGGTGCTCATCCAGATCAAATGAAAGTGAAGGAACTCATCAAACGAAAGCTAGCGAAAACAAAGTGAGACAAGACATTTGGCATGTGTTGATCAGAGCGATGGACTAAAGTACTTGTCACGAACTAGAACACTGGCCTCATATTGTCTTGAAAAGGGACCCAAGTTTACAACCAAGTTAGAGAAGGAAGCCACCGAAATTACTGATGAGATGATCAAATCGTATGCTTTCAAGTTATGGTCGATCTCTGGCACAATGGTTTTTGCTCACACCGCTTTCACATTCAGAGGGTCATGGAAGACACAAACCTTCAAAAAGTACAATTTCAATGCATTGGGTGTCTTGCCGACTGGTGGTCACCTACATCCACTGCTGAAAGTCCGTCAAGAATACCGTGAGATCTTCTTTGAGTTGGGGTGAGTTTTTTTTTTGGCTCCTTCCTCCTTAAAGTCCTGTTATCTATCCAGGAGAATGAGCGATGACTGACACATTGCCCTCCTCACATACAGGTTCACTGAAATGCCAACAAACCGTTTTGTTGACTCGTCATTCTGGAACTTTGATGCCCTCTTTGTTCCACAAAGACACGCAGCCCGTGATTTACAAGATACCTTTTACGTCAAAGATCCAGCTACAGCTGGTTCTCCCCCTCCGGATCTGGTGGAACGTGTTCGACAAGTGCACTCGGAAGGTGGTTATGGATCAATAGGGTATCAAGTGCCATGGAATATAGAAGAGTCGCAAAAGCTATTACTGAGAACACATACTACTGCCATCACGTCGTCTATGCTGTATGCTCTGGCTCAAGAGGTTCGTTCACATAAGCTTCACCTTTTTTTGCTATCTGAGTCAGGCGACACTGACAACCACAAATCCTTATGCTGCATCTACAGAAAGAGTTCAGGCCCGTCAAATACTTTTCAATTGATCGTGTCTTCCGTAATGAAGCACTGGATGCTACACATTTAGCAGAATTCCATCAGATAGAAGGTGTGGCAGCTGATAGGAATATTCGTCTGGGAGATCTGATAGGAACAATCAATCTCTTCTTCAAAAAGCTTGGTGAGTGTAGAGACTACAGCTGTGAGATAATGCTGTTTGAAGACAATGGCCGTAATTGTTCTGAGCTTTTTTGCTGTGCCGGAATCAGTAACTTTGTGTTGACACCTCCATGGAATCCCAGGCATCGAAAAGATCCGCTTCAAGCCAGCATACAATCCATACACCGAGCCATCCATGGAAATCTTTTCATGGCACGACGGGCTCAACAAGTGGGTAGAAATCGGAAACTCTGGCATGTTTAGACCTGAACTGTTACGACCGCTTGGGCTACCTGAAGATGTCCGTTGCTTCGGATTTGGATTGTCGCTGGAACGACCCACCATGATCAAATACAAGCTCAACAATATTCGAGATTTGGTTGGACACAAAGTTGATTTGGCAGGTGTCCAGGTTAATCCCATTGCTCGGTACGCAGCTTCATATGCTGTCACGTTTTGTATTATGACTATGGAAGTTTTTTCTGGTTTTCGCTAAATCTTATCTCTTTTCAGGATGGACAAGAACTGAGTTTTGTTTAACATCATAGTATAAAAGTGGCGTTACTTTTGAAAATATCACCCATGCATCTTTGTGTCTTCCAAAAGCCCGGTTTATTTGTTAAGTGGAATGGAGTAGACGCCTTCATTGGTTTCTTGTGATTTCATGGTGGTGGTGCAAATGAGTGCAAACGATTTGTTGTCGAAGACTAAAAGTTCCTGGAGGTAAGCATCTAGGGCCAATAGAACATCAACGTATTACCCCGTTGGAAGCCTAGGCCTCCCTCTCCTCTTCTCTGAAGTAATCGATATGGGGCATCTGGATACAACATCAAAACCTGATTGTGAGTCTTGAAACTGAGAAAAGGGAAGCCAGCACCAACGTCTTACTTAAAATACGCAAATGTTGAAGCAATCAGGACTTCTGGTTTCGGGATGGTTCACGCTGACGCTTCGTTAGCACCCATACCCTAAAACACCACGATTAATGCATCCCACAGTTTGGCATCTGGTGCCCACCAATAGCTGCATTACATCTTTTGTAGTAATGCAAGAGACCTCTGGCTATGAACAACCGCAAAAGTGATTCTGGCCCAGAAGAAGTCATCGGCTACGTCACACAATAGCTTGCAAGTTATGGTACCCGTGGCGATATCGAATATTGTTTCGGCCTAGAGACCAGGATTCAGCTAGGCAACTCCTCAGAGGCACTGTTGCTCCAAAACCCCTTTCGTCTTCAATTTCACAGTAGTCATCTTGTCCACATCAGTAAAATATTGCTGTAGCTACTCACTTTGAGAATACCATACCCCAGACTTCAGGAGGCAGGAGTAGAGCTAATGGTGCTTATTGAATCACGTTGAGGGGCGACGATGTTTTCCTGTTGCTGTTGTTGAGCTTCCATAACTGGATTCATATCCATGCTAGAGTATTCAAATGGTATTAGCATACAGTGGTTTGTTGTGAGAGCTGTGAAAATCAAAATGAAAATGTCGATAATCAGAAAGGGAAGATAGCGAAAGAGTGCCCATGTAATGGAGGCAGACAAGCTCCCAGCATGTTTTACTTGTGCCATACATAGAGTTTAATACTATGGAATGTATTCGTCAGGCCCTTCAGGGAAGATCTCTATCTCACACAATGATTTATTGAAAGTTAGGAAGACAAGAGTCCATCCTGTCGCGTTTGGAATCAAAAAATGGCGATCAGAGACGAGAATCAGGCATGGATGACTATGGCAATTGTGATTTCATGTTTAATACTTACATCTCTACCGATGTTTCGCCTCAAATAGTCGTCTTGCGTGCAATTCCCGATCTTTACTTGGTCGTTTTCTTACATCTGAGACAGCAAATATCAAGCGAACAAGGTTCATAATTCAATTTGACTGTTCAATCACGTTGCTGTCCTAGTACGATACACGATAATGACCAAACACGCCATTGATCCCAGAATTCGTAAAATCCAAGAAAAACAACCCTTGTCGCTTTCAAACACTGTCACAAGCACATAGTGGCCTTACAAAGATTGTGGGTCGAGTATCAGCCACTTTCTCGCTCAGAAATCAGTTCTCTCTGACAGCTTGTGAAGCTTTAACGCCGACACATATTCTCTGTAAGCGAGATTGGGTTGTAGGCAAACAAAGCTCTGAAAAATCGATTTTAATATCTCATGTTGTGGTGAATCTCAGGATCTGGAGCTGGGAATCGAAGGGGAAGTCGCCAAACAGAAACAACATCAATTCTCTGTGAATGAAGGCGCAGCTTTAAACATGGTGCTCAAAACGCAAATGACTCCTCTCATCTCTTCCTTGGAGGGGTTACCAGTCGAATTGCTTTACTTTATCTTACTCTAGTATGTCCGACGCATTGTTATGTCTTTGCTAGGGCAATTTGCAGTAATTTGCTAAACCATTTTCCTCATTGACCAAACAGCTTGGACATTTACACGATCGGAAAGCTTGAAATTGCATCCAAATTCCTTCTGGAAGTCATTGTTGAGCATGATATTCGAACCAAGATTGGACCGTCCGAAATAAAAGGTTGGTGTCGCTGCCTGACCCAAGACGTATTGTTGAATGCTGAAGACACTTCTTTCCGACTAGCATCACCGTTCTTTGAGCTATCTCGAGCCAGGGTTCTAAAGATAGCTATCGGTAGAGCATGTGAAACTTGCAATCGACCGGTTATCGAACCGTGTTGGGCGTTTCGAGCTTGTCTGTGTGATCGTTGTATTGAGAATTGGTAAGACTTGATCACAGAATTCAGGCATGAGCGATAATCCAACCCATTTTCTCAATGTGAATAGCTCGAAACCGATTCATGAGCTCGAAAAGGACCACACCGCAGAAGTCTTGAAAGAAATCGTGATTGGGCTACCTGCAATGAACAGTTGGCTTATAGGGCAGCCAAGTCGACATAAAAGATATCTCAATGCTGACTTAGATGCAGCTATAAAGGCTCGAAACGATTCTCTCAAAGATTGTAGTCATGTCATATGGCTCGCGTAAGTTTTTAAGTTTATCACATTGTGTATATTTAAGTACTAAGTTTATAATCAATTAGACAATGGCGTGAGCGTGGAGTCCTTGCCAAAGCAGAAGTCGACCGACTACTAGATACAGATGAAGCCGTCGCGCTATTCTACCGTCGACTCAACGAGCAACGTCAAAGGCACCGTCGTGAAACCATTCTACGAAAAGCAAAAGTCGGTGGCTGGCCAGAGGAAGTAGTCTCTAAATGTGCAAGCTTTAAATCCGCCGTTACTGCCTCTTATAAACTGACTGAAGAGGTATGGCTGTCTCTTTACGAAAGACTGAAGCCAGAGACTAAGAGTGTCTTGAAAGAAATGTTTGAGAACAACCTAGTTGAATTATACAGCAGGCTCAAACCTGCACCTCCGTCCACATCTCTAGCCTGGAGTGTCTCACGGTTTATGAAACTGCCAGTAGTGCAATCTTGGGTAAACGACCAGGAAATATCGTTTCATAGCATCGGTGTCTCGTCATATAGAGCACGTATTGAAACCATTATCGAGGAAGAAGCACAGATATTATATAGTGCTCGACAAACCATGTTGGATGAGAAACTGGGTAGTGCTGCACCATCAGCAGCGCTGTTTGCATTCGCTTGTGATAGCTGCAAAGGGTATTATGATAGAGTCCCAAAGACACTTAAGGCAGTTACGGAACACGTCCTGAATCAGCACGGACACGACCGCAACCCTTTCGTAAGTTAATGGTTTTTTATGTTCGCTCGTTGCAAGTCTTTGACCAGTTTCCGTCTTTCACAGGAGAAAGTCGATGTGGTCATGCCTCCGCCTTCTCATGTGCCATGGACGCCAATCATACATTCCTCCTTTAAAGACGCTCGTTTGCGTGTTGTAAAGGAACTTTTGCCATCTGTATTCGAGTCTGAGACTACGCAGCAAGCCTTTCTCGCTTATAAAGAGCTATTAGTGACTGTAGGACAACAAATCAAAGTGCCTGATCTCAACGACAAAGATGCTTGGATGGCAGTGATCAAAGATTTGGGACATGCCTTTACCTTCCATAGAGGTGTCGCCGAGGACGAACTCATGGATAAATATACGTTTGAAGAAGGCCAGCTACAAATAGTCGCAATGAAGTGTATCAAATGTAAGTCGCCCCTAGGTAGCGCAGCATCTAAACGTGCAGTTATGATGTGGCCCGAAATGTTTCGGCACCTTGTCGAGCAACACTCTCATGACAATGGATCTGTCGATGTAAGACTAGATGGATTTACTCTATTCTCTTGGAGCGATTACTAACAAGTCCACCCTCTTGTAGGCTACATGTGTACGCATCCCAAAAAGCCAACAAGCTCACGAAACAGTATGTGACGAACGACGTAACTACTTGATCAAAATCGTACACGACCTTACAGGGCCTGACAATATCGAAAGCAAGGCAGTGGAACGTCGTATATCAGAGGCCACCAACCAACGATTGTTGTCTTCTGATGTGATGTTGGCAGAACATTGGGAGCCAATCGTCGACGAAGTTACTTCTATCGCCAAAGATGTACGGCACATCCGTGAACTCCTTGGTATCCCTCACGACACTGTATCTGTACCACGTTGGTCTTGCTCCAAGTGCCAACGCGCATATATAAACAAGACGTATAGTCCTATTGTACATGTCCTGGATACGCATCGGAAAGTCAGGGACAAGTGTCACGAGTATATAGTCTTTGGTGAAATGGTTGTGCGTGAAGTCGAGTGAAAAGACGTTGAAGTATACAAGCCCTGCTGAGGTGACGCGGGAAGCCCCAAATGATGCTGAAGGCAATCTGGAAAATAGTGAAGCTGGTGGAGCAGTAAAGGTAGAAGTGTTTGATATAGATGAATGGGTGAATTTCAACTAGCACGAGAATGAGCGATGTGAGAATGATGAGGGTCTATACGAGGAGCATTAACAATAAGAAATAGTTTGTATTCATATCGCTTTCGATGGTCTGAACTAGGTATCCAAACCAAACTCCCTACGACGCTTGTTACGATTACTTTGTCAGTTCCCGTACGACCATGGCAGAAGAGAAGCTCTTGGCTGGTATGGAAGAGAGTGGCGTTGGTGTACTACGAGCAGCTGTCAAAGTCATGAGGTCTTAAAAGTAAAGTCCCCAGCAAAATTAGAAAAGTGAAGAGTAGTCTTGTACAGAGTCGGTCGCAAAGTCCCATGTAACGAAGTAGCTAGCAGTATAATCAATGAGCAATACCAAAGAATTGAATTTAATATAAGAATGATGCTATATGTCCAACGAAAGGTACTAGTTCACGTTGCAACGCTACATTCATTGCTTGATGTTGGCGACTCCCAGGATCAATAGACGAATTTCTAATCAAGATAGTCATTGAAGACACGTAAACTAACATACAATTAGCAAATCCATCCACTATCTGGCCCTTGTGAACTGAAAATGTGAACGTGATCGATCGTAAATCCAAACTCTGATCCAATCCAAATCAACAGTCCAACAGAAGAAGAGCAGGCCTCAGATGGAGCTGGAGCTTGTCGGAGACATTGGTAGTGCGGCATTGGCCTCGACTTTTGTCAGCGTAAGTCTTGATGGTCTTTTTCTTGCCAAAACTTGATTTTTGGAGCTCTGAATTGATTGTGGAAGTCGTTTATTGAAGCATAGCAAACAAGGACCCTTTCCAATGGTATCGTGTCCTAACGCCATTTCCTTCTTAGCCATTCGTGACGCTGGTTGATCGAGCTGTCATACAATCTGTAAATCGTCATTTTTGGCAGCCGCATCGCATCTGCTTCAGTCTCTTTAGCTGATTCGTTTACGATCGAATTCTAGGCTTCAGGAGCTCAGAAACTCGGTGCTGCCTTGCTTGTTGGAATTAAAGAACTAGCATTCAGACCTTGGGCTGTATATGGGCGACTAGAAACAAGGCTAGTTTGGGTCGTTTATCTGGGTACATATGGTGCTGCGAATACCATATCAACTGTCTCCAAGGTTAGCTGCTGCTATTTGCGATTCGGTCTCTTGGACAAATTCTGTCCAAGCATGTTGTTCCTCTTTTTCGCCTTTGAACGAGCTAACAGACCTTTTTCTTGCAGCGATATGATGTGAAGCCCGGTGCTCCTCAACTCGTCGGAACTACAGTCGCAAATATGACGCTTTCGATATGGAAGGATCAAGTAAAAATCCCAATCTTCCTTCACTCGAAAGTAGGGTGTTGATTTGCTCAACTCGTCTCCTTTCGCTTTAGGCTCTAACGAAAATGTTTGGAACGAGTGCTCCTCGACCATTACCAATGTCCTCTTACGCGTAAGCTTTGATGTCTCATCCGAAACGAACCACATGAACACGAACATGCTCATCTCAACTTCACTTCATTTCAGCTTTTTTGCTGGTCGAGACTTGATGACTATCGGCGCATCCTTCACAATACCACCAGTCGTTTCAGCATACCTGCAACGAGAAGCTGCATTCACCAAGCCCGTTAGCGATGTCACTGCTCAAATTCTATGTCCTATGGGAATACAGGCTTTGACGACACCAGTCCATCTGTGGGCACTTGATCTTTACAATAATCCAGCACGTTCCGTTGCTGAACGAGTGAGGTTTATTGGGACACAGTATGTTCCTGTGGTGTCTGTCAGGGCTATGAGGGTGTTGCCTGCCTTTGGTGAGTGTGAAGAAGAAAAAGTCTATCGAACCAAGTCTACATTTGGTTGTTGTGTTATTCGTATTGTCTCCGAATGTGTTTGGCATGAAAAATATTGGATTTACTTTTTTGTTCAGACGATCTGATAATCGAAATCAAACTAATGTTTTGATTTTGTCTATAGGCATTGGAGGTTTGGCCAATTCAAATTTCCGTCTCATGGCCAAACAGTATTTCGCTTCGAACTAGAAAAGATCCTCATGTTGTATAAAAACAGAATTTCTGACTCCAAAACAAATATAGATGCCTCTAAAGCTTTTGAAATGTGGTATTTGTTTGTTTCTTACAAGGTTTTGAATGACGGTTAGAATCGAACAAAAGCAAAACTACAACCTTTTAAACCACAACTTGAGACCGTTTCCAATACGTAAAGTAGGTGCCTACAATAAAACTGTCAGTTACGATCACATACAACCTATAACGCATCTAAAGTACCTGAATAAGGACTGGCTTGTAATTGTCAATGATTCCAAAGTCAAACGTTCGAATAACCTCAGCGGCTCCCAACCTTGTCTCAAACAACGCCAGCTTCTCACCCAGACACTTTCTTGGTCCGGCACCAAACGGTACGTACGCATACATGTTATAAGTTGGATTGTTTTCGAATCGCTCAGGAATGAATTCGCTGATGGGACGAAGAGTTGGTGATCAATTTTGAGTTTTGGCGAAAACCATGTAGTTGGCGACTTTTACGCGTCACGTACTCTGGATTTTCAAAATTTCGTGGATCCATGTGTGTAGCGTAAGCTGTCGTGTGCCTAAGCGTAGCAGAATGGTCGACTTAAACCGTGTCACGTAAAAGTTGTTTGCAACTTTTACGACGTACATTTCTTGACCCTTAGCAACAAACTGCTGTCTCAAAACTCCCGAATCATCAACCCACTCCAATGTTATATCCCGTCTCGGCGTTCTACCCATATTTGGGGCCGATGGGCGTAATCGCATCACTTCCTTGACACAACACTCGAGGTACGGCAACGTGAGCAATGTCTCGTATGTAAGCTGCTTCTTGCCACCAACGGCCTGGATTTCTTTACGGACACGTGCGAGCTTGTCTGGGTGCATGGCTAAGAATGCTAATGTCCATCCAACCTGAATTTTCAAGAAACAAAGTTTTTTTTTTGATGTTTGTCACCGACACATCGGTTCCGGGAGCGTAAAGCAGCAAGAAACTCACGCTAGATGCTGTAGTATCGTGACCCGCAAAGACCATCGTCATGAAGTGGCGCAAGAAGTTTTCACGGTCCGAAGTTAAATAGGATGGGATAGATTCCTTGTCAGTCTTAAGTTTACGGATGTACTGGGCGAGCAAGTCAACGGCATCTAGACGAAATTAATACGAGTTTGATTAGGCCGATGTAGACGTACACGGCCGAGACTGAAACGATAAAGAAAACAAGAATGTACCTTCAGGAACTCCATTATTCAAATACTCGTCGTATCGATTCATAACCAGACCCTGAAGCAGCTTGATATCCTTCTCGTATTTTAGGACTGCTGGCGTCTTCCACCATTTCCAGTAAAATGTTGACGCGAAGGGTACACGTGTGATGAGATGTCCAAGCCCTTCCTCCCACGCCTTCACATACACGGAATGGCCTCCACTATCGACACTCTTAGGATCAAATCCAAGCAGAATGTTTACGATGATATCGCTACCGAAAAAGAGGAACTTGTCAGCTTCGAAAACTGAGAAATCTCTGAATCAGACTTACAAAGTGAGACCATGTAAAGCAGGCTGAATATCAATTCCAGCGCCATCACGTCGATTTTCAGGATTGTCGAGCTCACTTTCCATGTATTTGATGAGTTTGCTGGTGGAAGACTGCACGATGGGACTGTAATTCTTGATGGATACGACACTGAATGCAGGATCAAAGAACTTGCGGACTTCTCTCCATTCGTCTCCGTTATCCTGCATGATAAGGCCACCAGCGATCTCACCGAACACGTCCACCATGGGTCCTCCTCGTCCAAAGGCTTCCATTTCGGTTTGGTAGATTCGTTTGTTGATCTGGTAAAGGGAAAAGAGGGTTTAGACTGAAATGGGGAAATTGGTTGTCCTAGGCAATCAAGGTGTTTAAATATGTCCAGGATGACATACCTCAGGGTCAGAAATCACAAAGAACTTCTTCCCTGCCAAATTCCAGGTTGAAACACGACCATATTTCCTGGCGAGCTCCTTCTGGTATTCAAACATTCGTTCAATGTTCTTCATATCAAGAAAATTGCCAATGATTGGATAGGCCTTGTCTCCTTTGGCATCATTTGGATGACGGGCTCCAACTAAGGTTTTGAACAATGCGTATCCGAGTACGGTGCCTCCAAGGGCGAGGGCCCATCTAAGAGTATGCGTGATGGAAGTAATTAAAATTCATTTAAGTTGAATGGTGAACGTGGACTGATTCATATTGATCTCAGGCTCCGTGAACGTTTTGATGCCCACATTTTACAACAGAATGAGGCATCATAAAGACGACCCAGCAACTCATGATTTCCAAAGACGTCATCGACAATTCAAGAATCTACAGGATTACTTACGGTGGAAGGGCCTTCATTCTCTCAACAACAACCTCGACAGAGGTTCTGACTTGCTCCATCATACTGCAACGGCTAACTCTATAAAGCAGGGAAACCGGATAAGATCAAGAAAGGGGACAATTTTAAGAAAGGGTCTCGCTGGTCTGAGTAGTCGACTTACTATAATCCTAATGCAGCGAATTGTATCCTTAAGATTACGATGATTAATGTCGCACACGTCGGGCAAAAAAAAAGATTATAAGCGAATACCATATAAGGAGGCCAGGCAGAAGGAAGGCCTATCGCCCAAAGCAATAAAAGCCCTTGCGAAAATAGTTGGTAGAATCCTACATGCTCCAACGCGTCTGATCCGTGAACAAATTGGTCTTTGCGGCAGGCCAGTTGTCGTTTTTGACGTCAGCACGTTGCTGTTTTTGGAGCGGGCCTCAATTTATCAACGAATGAGATTTTAAGTCCAATAATGACTGATTAAACGTCAGTATTTGCATGGTCTCATGGTCTTAAAGAACCGTGTTTGACCAGTACTCTAACAAGACAAATCATCTATTTTTGCAACAGATCTTTGTGGAAAGGGAAGACTAGCAACTATCAAGTATATTTTCGACGTGCTTATGCTTAGGACCATCGACACTTGAAAGATCGGCATCGACACTTGAAAGATCTGCAAATCCAATTTAGGATCTTGAAAATCACGCTACTGAGCGACGCACGAACTTGATGAAGGCTCGTTGGAATCTCGTTTGTGGGATTCCTTGCACTTACATGATACAAGCTGCTAATTGACAATCCTGATGGCAACGTGCATATCATTGGCCTGCGTTTGTGCGTTTTTGTGTTTTTGTCACCATGTTTGCTTCTCCATGTACCTTTGTACGTGCGTGGCATACATCAAGAAAATGACGATACAGACGATACAACACGATACAATTCTATTATGCGAACTCCACGGTTCCTCCGCTTAATTAGACGTGTAAAGATCGGTTTGTGGGGTCGACCAATTGTTTGCCACGTAAACGGCCTACAACACTGCAGGAGGAAGGTACGTCCGATTCAACAAACCCAATCGTACAAGTACCTAGAAGGCCATAAATATGTCCAAAGAAACAAAGAAAGTGTCGCCAAAGGGGCTGGGAGTCATTGGTGCAGGGCTGGGAAGGTACGTCATATACAAATAAAGCCTTGTTTTGCTTATTGGAACAATGAGGGCGACAAACGTCCAAATATGTGCTGGATCTGATTGGTATCGTGTTGATACAAAAGATGTGGTCGTTCTGTCGTCCGCTCGTCCTTCAGAACGACTGAATGGCGATTGGGTGTCCTACATTAAAACTCCAAACATTTCATGCCGTTTCGTGATTTTGTGACTATGCACTGCATGATCTAACATATTCTATTCATCTTTTGTCATTATTTAGAACTGGAACTAGCTCTCTCAAGCTTGCATTGGCCCAAATTGGATTTGGAGAATGGTCAGTGATGGTGAAACCATGTCTGATATCCCCCCACTCAAGAACTGGATAATTTGCTATTTAATTACGAGCATCACCCATTGGTCCTAATCCACATTCAACATGTCTAGTTACCACATGCAAGAAGTATTCAAGCATCCTGCAGATGCAAAGATATTCAACAAGGCCTACAACAAGGAACCCGTAGACTGGCACGCATTCTTTGAAGGACGTGGATTCCATTCAACAGTCGATTACCCAACTTGCCAATACTATGAAGAGTTGATGGCTTGCTATCCTGATGCAAAGGTATGTCAAGTTGCAAAATCGAATCGAAAGCGCAACTTACCCCACTATCATGAGTTAACCAACATCAATTCAAACCAATGTCATGAGTAACCAACTTGATTCTTCCCTATAGGTCTTGTTGTCTGTACGTGACGCTGAGAAATGGCACGACTCTGTGATGGCAACGATCTACCAGGTAGTGCTCGTAAGCGCATCTGAGGCTTTTGGTCGCACAGCAGTCACTTGTAAAAACAGATCTAATTTGGATTTGCCAACATTCTAAACTTTCTATCAGGCCAAGCCCCGAGGTTTCGATGCTGTTCTTCATCGTTGGTTCTCTCCACCTGGTATTGCCACTATGTGGTAAGTGAATCTGAGCACTTTTGCTCAATGTCTCGGGCAATCGCTCATCGACCTTCTCGTTATCAGGGACAACCCAGGGCTCGAAGATTTGGGGGTATGCATGATGAGCGACGCCTTTTTTTTCGCTTGTATTTAAGCTGATATATCTCTTCCAACGCGTCACATTTAGAACTTTATGCAAAGTGGAAAATCTGTGGCGGACAGAGAGAATGCCGTACGTCTATTCAATGAATGGACTGAACGTGTCAAGAAAACTGTTCCCAAAGACAAGCTACTTGTATTCGATGTCAAAGAAGGCAAGCAGTTGACGTCGCAATAAAAGCCATTTGAAAAATACTGCATGTACAACGACGTGTCTAACTCCTTTCCTCTCAGGCTGGGGACCACTCTGCAAATTCCTGAACGTCCCAATTCCTTCAACTCCCTTCCCACACGTGAATGACACCAAGAGTTTCCAGACAATGATATCCAGAATCAGAATCATCCAGAAAGCCATGGCTCTAGTCGTAGCAGCCTCAGTAGCGGGTTCTGTATATGCCGCTGTCAAATACGACGCACTTGGAATGCTTAAACGCTTTTTAGGCTTATAAGATAACTGTGTAACAATGACTGAAATAGTTGGCAAATTTGGTTTATATCACAGTTTCAAGAGGAACACAAAATGGATGTATGTGTAGTTACAGTGTTTGAATCAGATGCGCTGTGTGAGTTCATGATAGAGCCTTTTCTAAGCTTGCAGCTATTTGAAATAAGGCGTTTGCGTTGTCTCGAATGTCCTCGTACTAGCGAATGGCAAAGTGTAAGTGTAAACGCGTCTCTTCGTCCTCTGCGAGAATGACCAAATCTTTCTCTCAACCCACTCCTGCAAACACGAGCTCGTACGAATGTACCTTGATGTTGTCATTCCCAATATCAGCCAGCGCACGCCGTAATGCCTCAAAGAGTTCCTCCATGTAAGCATCAGAGAATTGCACCATACTTATCCCAAACTGTGACATGACTGATTCGACCAGTTCTTGATCTGGCATGTCATGTTGAGGCATCAGGAGACTCCGTATGTGTCCAATAAACCACTTTTCCTTTCTAGGTGAATATAAGTGGTGAGTGAATGATCATCCAAGCGCACGACGAAAGACTTGACCAGTGAGCTTCACCTGGTTGGTGGATGAGCAACCACATCAGCGAGCGATGCTCCAGCACCTGAGAACTCTGTAAAGAGTTTCATGACGTCCACTAGCTAATAACGACAGCAAACTTTAGCTAACCTATGTTAGTTTTGAATGTTGATGTTGATCTGCTCAACACACTGTTTTGGTGGTTTGTTTGTCCATTCTACACGAAATGTCTCGTGTCTTTTCATCCAGTGATATCATTGCTCGTTTCCAGTCTTCTTGGTCTAGTTCATGGTTTAGTATTCGTTGGTGAAGTGATTCCAGTTCGGTTTGGGCATCCGCCATTTGAGAGCGCTACAAGGAAAATGACAGCGTAAGTCAAGGAGAGCATTTACAGGCATTGTAATCAACAATATGACTTACTTTCGGATCTGTAAATATAGCGTACTGTACTTCCCAGATTATTCGCTATCCTCCAAGCTTTGGACAGAGCGATTATCGAAAGCTTCATCAACATTTACCTCGACGTGTCGCTTATTACGTGAAGTCAAAGTCAAGGGAAACTCAATTGCTGAAGGGTCAAAGTCTCTGTTCTTGTTCAGTTTCACGCATCATCCACAATCTTACTCAGTGCTGGTGAATGATGCCCAAACAATCATCATCAAAGGAAGTCGCCCGGAGCTGGAGAATATCATTATGAGGTATTTACATGATTTACATTAAGATCTGGTCGTATTTTGCAGTCAAAGCTCTTTACAACTTCACGACATTTGGCAATAACGCAACCTCGATGGTACCTAACCTTTGTTTCCAACAACCAACAGTTTGAAGAACATGTGGACTATTCGCCAGACGATCCTCGTTGAGGTTAGCCCCGAGTCAGCACTTTCAACTGCAAACTATATAATGCAGTATTTGGTCGCGTCTAACACCCAACGCGTAGGGCTCAATATACTCGCTAAACGACACGCCAATACACGTCGGAGCAACCATCATCGGCAACGCATCACGAGGAATGATAATGGAAGTCGATGCTCGTGATTTCGACCATGTCAAGAACGAACTACATGATATAGCTATACAGTGTGGTGTCACGTCCGAACAATGGAATGATGCGGTTGAACGGGCTTTTGAGGTTGATCTCGGAGCGCCGAACGAGACATTGTCGTTGCCGAGGCAGTATTATCGTATGTTTAGTAGGATACTTGCCACTCGGTGAATCGAAAAGTTGTATAAATTGGATTGTCGGAATGTAATTGTATATTGCCAACCTTAAGGTGTAAATACATGTCGGATGGATTTCACCTTGTCGACATGTTGATATCGTACTACGAGTTACAGGCATGTTGACGTTATATGTGGTTGCAATAAAAAAGATGTTCCTGCATTGGCTACATTCTGTAGCGGTTTGCCTTCATATGCGAATTACCTTGAACAATGCTACATTATGTAGCGGTTTGCCTTCCTGTTCGAATAATCTTGAACAAGCTACTCATCAATCAGTTCATGGAAGTACTACGCATATACACATTGTAACAACTGTGTTGCATCACCTCTTATTTGGTCATCTTTTTACACAACTACACAATTTCCTCCTTTTTTATAACTCTTCATGAAGAATCTCATCATCTTCCAACGCCGGTGGAATCATCTTGGCATTAGGCACACTATCATCGTCGCCTTCTTCATCCTTAGTACTACTACTAGCAGCATCTGTTTCAGCTTCTACTTCAGGTGCAGCTTTCACATCTACATTTGCAGTAGCTTCTAACGAGACACCCAAATTCGTTCGAATGACTCGTTCAACACGAGCTGCAAAGTCATTTGAGTTCTTCAAGTCCCATCCAGATCGAAGAAGTGTGGTTTCATATAATACATGTACCGTTTCGATGAGATGTGATACTTCATCGGGAGACATGGAGTCGATTTTTTCGACTTTGGCGAGTAACGAAGTGATCTGCCGAAAAAAGGAAAGAGATTGCTGGTGAGCTAACGTGCAAATATCATAGGCAATCGCGTAACGTACGATAGGATGTGTGGGATTAATCTCCAAAATCTTTTTTTGCTTGGAGTAGAAATCCTTCATAAAGTCATCACCAGATTGGAAGGCTTGAGCAGCCATAATCTTTTCCATTGTACCAGACATGCCATATTCAGTGGCTACAATCGCTGTGGGCGATTTGGTCAACTTGTTGGATACGACTACTTTTTCAATGAATTCTTCAAGTGCACCGACTAGCCATTTAGTTAATGGCTCGAATGTCGCAGTTTGATCAGATTCTTTGTCCTTGTCAACATCGTCTTCGTCTCCATACTAGTAGTTAGGGTGTTACCGAAATACTGCGGTTGCTGTAGTACATATATCCTTCAATATTTTTTTCGCATACCTTGAGACCAGCCTTCGCTACATTCTGTAGCTTTTTGCCTTCATATTCAAACAGTCCTTGGGCGAGGTACTCATCAATAGGTTCATGGAAGTACTAAAAGCGGTTGTAAGAGATCGCAAAACAAGGAACGTCCTCACCAAGACTCATTCTTACCAAGATTTCATAACCACGGGTTATGGGCTTTTCGATCAGTGGACTACGTTTGATTTCATCCAAAGAGATACCAGTGACAAAGTAGATTTGTTGTTGACCCTTCTTCATTCTCTTTATGTAGCCGTCCAAAGACGTCAAGTCGTCTGAAGCTGAGGATGAGAATCGAAGCAACTTGGTCAGCCGCTTCTTGTGCGTTTGATCTTCTATCGCACCAAGTTTGATTGCTGCGTAAAGGAGTATAAGTCAGGAAAGATATGCGAAATCAGAGAAAAGCAAAAAGGCAGGCAGCAGCAAACAAATTTCATTGCAATGACTCCTAACACATACCAGTTCCAAACTGCTTGAAGAACTCATTATACTTTTCATCATTCTTGGACAACTTTCTAAACATCTCCATAGCCTTGCCAATCAACTTTTTCTTAATGACTTTCAAAGCAGTCGAGTGTTGCAATTGTTCTCGAGAGACATTGAGAGGTATATCATCTGAATCTACCAAACCTTTAAGGAAGGATAAATATCGAGGCAAGAAGTCGACCAACTCGTCGGTAATAAAGACTCGCTTTACAAAGAGCTTAATGTTTCGAATAATTTCATCAGCTGATTGAAGGAATTTGGGAGGAGCTTTTTTAGGGATGTATAATATGGCTCTGAACTCCACTTCTCCTTCTGCTTTGAAGTGATTCCATGCTTGGGGATCTTCAGTATCTCTATAATTGGAGATGAAGGTAAGTTAGGCTGATGCCAAAAAGAAAGACATTCCTTTGATACATACTTTGAGAAAGCCTTGTAGAACTCATTGTACTCTTCATCAGTGATATCGCTAGGATTACGAGTCCAGATTGGCTTGTTTCCATTAGCCATTTCCCAGTCAAATAAGGTCTTTTCGACAGGCTTGGTCTTTGGAATATCGTCATCTGATACTTCAGCGTCAGAAGAAGAAGATTCAGAATCATCTCCTACTTCTTCAGTATCGTCTTTAGATGCCTTCTCTTCTTCCTTCTTCTTGATGAGCTCTTCTCGCTTTTCGGCAATTTCATCGTCCGTTAATGGTACTTCGACACGCTCAGTGCGAGATGTCCATACGTAGATGGGGAAGTTGATGTACAAGGAGTCTATGCAATGATAAAGACATGGGTCACTTTTCACCTTAAAATGATAATGATAACGTACACTTCTTGACTAAATCCTTTAGTTTAGTTTGGTCCAAGTATTCCATAGCTTCAGCCTTGAGATGCAAGATGATCTGAGTTCCACGACCCAAAGTATCACCACGAGGATCTTCAGTAATGGTAAAGTCTAAATGATTGAGGAGACATAATAATAAGATGGAGCGTCTTTGGACTGCCAACTCAGGCCAATGACCACTTTACCACTCTGAGAAGTTGATTCCCAAATATATTGCTTGTCCGAGTTGTGCTTTGATACAACCGTGACACGATCAGCGACTAGGAAGGCAGAGTAAAAGCCCACACCGAATTGGCCAATCAATGACTATCGAGGGGAAAAAAGTGCGTATCGAACCCATTAGTGGAGTACCATTCCAAATCATCAAGCACCATCAACGTGATCTTACCACATCAGCAGTAGCATTACTCTCCAAAGCAGATAGGAACTCTGAAGTACCAGACTTTGCAATAGTTCCTAGATTTTCACGTAAGTCCTTCTTGGTCATTCCAACACCAGTATCAGTGATTGTCAGAGTTCCACGATCCTTGTCAGCGACAATAGTAATCTTTAGATCAGGGTTAGAAGCTAGAGAATTCTTTTCGGTCAGCGACAAGAATCGAATCTTGTCAAGAGCGTCAGAGCCGTTCTATAAAGTGCAAAGGGCAGTCAGTACATCATCACGAGTATTCTCAATATAAAATCCAACCCAAAATTCAGGAAATACAACATAAAATGATACCCAACACTTACAGAGATGAGCTCGCGTAAGAAGATTTCCTTTGCTTTATATAGCGAATGGATTAGAAGGTGCATCAAGCGATTCACTTCCGTCTCAAAGACAAACTTTTCTCCATTTTTAAGAGCTTCGGCTTCTTGGGATTCACTTAAGATCTTGTCTGGATCTGGCATGCTGGCAGCATTGTCGTCTGCGGTTGATGCTCGACATACTGATGCAAACAAGAATATAGCTATGAGCAGCAATATTACAGTCTTCCTAACGGATCGCGCCATATCTGGATGCGACTTGGAATAGTTCCTGCTCGACAGCAGCCTCGTTAAAGTTAGGTGGAAGTGAAAGACGAAACTGTCAAAAAGATGGAATTTGATCGAATTTTTGGGAAACGAGACAACCCCATAATCATTCGCATGAATCACGTCCACTTTGCATTTATTGAATTATAGAACGCGTTCAGAACGAGAATATCAACTTGTAGTCAACTAAAAACAGAACTTGTCCTGGTTGTTGAAGTTCTAGCGACGTTCGCTTTACAACGAGGAGCACCAGGGCCTTTCAAGCCAAAACGCACTGAATGCGAATCCATTCTGAAAAGAGAGCATCGTGGATCATTAGAACTGCTGTGGAACTGGCGTAGAACAACTGTTTAGAGCAAACTCATTCCGTCAAAAGTTAATAGAGTGCGTCGTCTATGGGACCGATTGGCCGCTCTTGGATGCCTACACATGATGTCTGAAAAGGCGGAATTGCCAGAAAGATTGCAATCTGAGTGAAAATACTACGAACGTGACCTCCTCTTACATCCGCAGAACCGTTTTTATTTGACTGCTCCAGACGCACAACGATTTCACTCCAACCAGGTTGGCGAGACTTGCATACAATACAATTCATTGACATCGGTCTTTTCGTGAAGCTCGTGCTTTTCTATGAACTCTTCTTTAACGACATCTCGATGAAAGTTGACGTATTGGCCAAATCTTTGACTACAGCGATCCTACCATCCTTGTCGTTCATAGGCGGTACTTTTGGCTCTAGTGATATGATGACCATCAGTAGCACATAGGACATAAATGCTTGTCGATCCTCTATAGATTTGAAAACATGTCGTAAAACTGCGTCAATGAATCTACTTTGATATTGCTGAGAATCAGCGGCATCTGAGGCAATCGACTAGTATGAGGAGCCACCATCGGAGCAATAAGGTCCTAACAGAAGATAAAGTTAATTGTATGTAGTTTGAATGATGACAATCTGTTGGCTGGCTAACACCCCAACTTACTTATCATTGCCATGGTCATTCAGTACAAACTATTTCGCCGGTGTAGGAAGACATTTACGTGATTTTTTAAGATAACGAGCATATACCATCTGCTCATTCGAATTTCCCTAGAGGTTGGAACCGGTTGGAACCAATAAGAGGAGTCCGAGAGAATGAATTTGAACTACTTTATATTCACTGTGTACAACTTCATCGTAATCATATATACGTTTTACAAAATATCCTTGTTTTCGTCGTCTTCTTCATGATCTTCGTCTTCATCTTCATTATCTTCCTCATCTGCAAGGAAGTCAGGGCTTGAAAAGTCCTTGACGTCCAGCTTGACGGTCGTCTGCACTTCATGAGTTGTGGGAGGAATGCCTTCCTTGGGCGTGCCTGGACCAGAGTCGACATCCTTGAATAGTACATTCTTGTTACCACCGCTGCCAGGTGCAGCAGCATTTCTGAGCAGTCCAGTTTCAAGACTCATGTCATCGGATCTTGACGATGACGATGATTTCCGATTTTGGCGCGTTCTTAACCATGCGAGGAAAGCGCAGTATGCAATTTCGGTGACAGCCATACGGAGGAAGATGGAGAGGAAGAAGTACCCGACATATACAGCATAGACATAAACAGGGATGTCATATCCATCGACCAGAGCGTTGAAGGCAGACGCGAAAGAAATGATGAGCATCAGGAACCATAAGATTGAAAGCATCCAAGAGGGGAGCATCAGACCAGAAGACACGCTGGCCCGAGTGTTTAATGCGTCGGAACTAATAGTTAAATTGGCGGGTCGAGCACCAGGTACACCAAGTGCGGCAGATGGGCTTCCACGTAATGGATCCTCTTCTTCTGATGAGGTGAGAGATGGGTGCTTTACTCTTCGGAAGAGTACACCAAAGGCGAAAGTGATAAATTGGCCGACCACTAGAGCAAACACAGTAGAGCCAAAGCAGTGGCCGTATCCAGGTATACCTCTTTCAAAGAAGTCGAATGAAAGAGATACAATCACTAAAGTAGAGTTTGCAGAATTAGCAAACGTTAAGGTGTCTTGGTAAGAATACTGGACATTACATGCTAGCTGGACGAATAGTGCGGTGAAGATAGCAGACCATCTAGCCAATCGTGAGTAATTTGTTCCTGCAGGAGGGTATGATACAGAGACAGCAGAGTGCTAAAAATACAGGAGCCTGTAAGAAGACGTAGGTAGGCCAGAAAACGGAGCTAAGGGGGAACGTACCTCATCTCTCATGGTATACCAGAATACCGTCCGGAATGACAGCTCTTCAGTTGACTTTTGTGCGACTATTCATTGAAAGGGGAATGAGCATCTTCTGTGTTAGCTCAACGTGCCAACAGCAAACACCTGTAAGATATTGAACATGAGTCTGGGCGTCTGGGCCATCCGAGAACCAATTCGCCCCGTTGAAGGTAGCAAGCATCTTCTTTGATCCGACTTCGGCTACGGTAACTTTGTCGGGTATCCAGGAGACTTGCGATGATACTTCAAGTCGTACTCCAACTAGCTCACCCACCGGAGGAGCAGCTACCAGGAAATCGGCCCACCCATTTCCGAATTTGGGCGCATTCAGACGAATCAAGCCAGAGCTTCCACGACTACCATCAAGCTCGAGAGAAATGCTTGTAGGTGGAAGTCCTGTGGACTTTTTGGATGTTGAGATTCGAACCTACGAGATTTTACAAAGATGTCAGAGGACGTAACAGGCATTTCAACAAATTTCAGTCACTAATTCCTACTTGGAAGAGTGTTGGTGCCAATTTCTGCGTAAATCCACTTGGCTTGTCACGTTTGTTTGCATTGTCTCTCAAATACATTAATGGGAATCCAATGATGTATGAAGCAGCTGTTTTGAAAATGAACAAATAAGGTTGTAATTGCATAGTCACGAAGAAGAAATAAAATCGGGAACAAATCCGACACACGCAATGGTCAACATTTCTTCTTGTTGAAAGCAGTCAACGTACTGATGGCACCAATAACTCCTGCGGCAGCGGCGTCATATCCGTAAAACTCTGGCTGTATCATAAAAGTCATTATAGGCCCGATAATCTCTATCTAATGATAGATTCCACGTGTTTTTATCAATTGTCAGGAAAGGGTGGAGTAAAACAGACTCGAGATGTTCGTGACAGTAGATTGAAAATCCAAAAATTTAGCAGGTGATGATACGAGCGGAAACGGGTGCAAGAGCTGGCACAAACCAATCCTCAATCAGGTTTTGTTACTAACTTGGTGGCCGGAGATTTTGATCATTTTAGCAATTAGCACACTGAGCGAATAGCGTTTGCAAGCAGTTGGTGGTGCCGAGCACGATGCAGCCTCCTAAATATGGGTACTATCGTAAGTTGTGCTTGAGCTCTTACGTCCCATTTTCCAATTTACTGAAATTCTTACAATTTTGGCTTAGCTGGCGATGCACCTACGTCAGAAGCCAATTTGAAGAATAGGCCAGCTGAAGCTGCCAAAGTTAGCATAAATGACATCAAGAGAATCACTGAAAAGCTCTCTGGAACCAGTATCGAGGAGGAATTTAGGAAATCTCAAAAATTGGACGCAAGTTGATGAGGCAATGATTCGATAGCACTATTCTGCTAATTGTTGACACAATATCTCTCATGATTAGCGTGAGAACCAACAAAAGCTCTCTAAGGAACGAGTCAAGTCTTGGGACAACACTGTTGCAGGCAATTACCGCGATAAACACATCGACTCGTTGAAGGACGCTTCTAATTATCAATGTTAATAGGTCAACGCAGGAGAAGACTACAGGCTCGTACTCTGAGAAGGTAGAACGATTATAAATTGAATGGTGAATCTTTCAGCCTTTAACTCTTTGTAATTGTCTAATAGTGAAGCAGAGGAACTTGATCGTCTTCGTCTAGATGAGGAATTCAGGAAGGACGCTCAAGCTCGTCGTACTGCTGTCATCGAGCGAGCTCGACGAATGCAAGAGGGAGAGCGTGATGCTGTTAAACAACTGCACAGCCGATTGCTGTTGTACAATGTCCTCCAGGTATCTTCCAGGATCTCATTTGAGATGGGCGCGAATTCAGAATCTGAGCAAGTGTCCTTGAAATAGGTTCGAGATACTCAATTGGTGTTGAAGAAGGAACGACTTGGCCGCGAGACCCTAATGGATGACAAGTACAAGACTATTGCATCTGCTCGAAATGCTGAAGCTGAAGTCAAAGAAAAGATATCAGCTGAAAATGCGCGTTCTAAAAAGTATGCTCTGGCTGAAGAGCAACGTCGACAACATCAAGAAAAGATTGAAAAGGAAGCAGTCGAAGCTGATGTAAGTTACCCAATTGAGGGGAAATATCGCATTTAACCAAGAGACCGATGTACCAAGCTCTTACCTAGTTCTCTCGTAGGCTCTTATGGAACAAGGATTGGCTATACGTCGAGCAGCTGACGAGTATCGAGCAGAACAGCAAAAGCTTGAAACAGAACACCAAAAGAAACGAATCGTCATTCACCAAGAACTGTCGCAAATGAAGAGTGAAAACAATGCTCGACAAGAAAAGGCCAAGTTGAAGGAAGCAGATCAACAACACCGTAACGAAGCATGGGTTGCTCGAAAGGAACGACAAACTGCCATGAAGAAGGACTTTGAGCAGAAATGGTTCAAGTGAGTCTTTGATGGAAAAAAAGCCGTATCATATTCTCAGTGAATAAACTCTCATTTTTCCTTCCATTTAGTGAGGCCCTACGAGCTCGAGAACTGATGGGAGAACGTCAAGCCAAGGATGCAGGAGATGTTGAAGCCAAGCTGAATGAGCAAATTGCTAGAGCTGTTGCATTAAAGGATGAGATTGCTCGTCGTGATCAGGCAAAACGAGAAGAGATCAAGAAGAAGCAAGGAGAAGAAGTCAAGAAGTACTACTATGATTTCGTAAGTACTTTCCGGCTGGAATTCCATTTTGGGCAGCTTTTGCTCATCAATTTCCCTCGTCCTTGAATAGAAAACACGACGTGCCCAAGAACGCCAAACGACCAAAGAAGAGGATGCGGCCACTCTCCAACTCTTCTTACGACAACGTGACGAGTACTTGGAATCTGAACGACAAAAGAAGGCACATGCGTTAGAAAAGGGCCGTGAATTCCAAAAGATACATCAAGCTCAAATGGTAAGAAAAAAGGACGTCGACTTGTTCTTGTTTGAAATGATCTGATCAACCAAATCCAACTTTAGGAGGAATCACGACGTGTTGTCACGAATGCTAAAATGGAGCGTAAGAACGACAGCTCTGCCCGAGATGTTCAAGAAAGGGAAGCATCAGAGCTACAATCTTACATGAAAGGAATTGCTTCGGAGCCATGGGCCGTAAACAATCATCGCATTCAAGAATACCTCCAGAAAACACTTGCTCAGAAATCACATTCCTAGGCAATGCGGACAGCCACATAGATCGCTTTCGACTATGTTTGGAATGCCACGTAAAAATTGTACTTTTTAAACCTGTGTGCATAGAGTTTGTTGGTAGAATATCATCATTTTATAGTATAAAAATGTTGCCATGCAGTCTTTATCTAGGTTCGTGTCCCTGATCTGTCCGTGATTCACGCCTTGAAATCCAAACTTGCAAAACACAACATACACACAAGCACATCAGATATGATAATATATTGAATAGCAAAACTAGCAATGAGCCTCTTAGCTCGTGCCGTGCATTTCCTGCTCAAGCGAGCTATTGGGCAGTTCCTACTCAAGGAGATTGACTTGTCTGATTTGGACGTTCAGATTGGCAATGGCCATGTCGCACTACGAAACTTGGAGCTCAATGTCGATGTAAGTGTCGCCTGACTCCCATACCATTGTATTCCTCCTCTCTATTGTTTCATTCGGCCTGTTTGCCAGTTGCTCTCCAGCATTGGCAATGCTTTTCACAAGATTTGGTGATCTCGTGATAATAACAACTAAAACCAACGTACAGGTGCTGAATGAACTGGCTTCCAACCTGCCATTTGTTATCACTGAAGGCAGAGTCAGTCTGATATCCGCCACCGTGCCTTGGAATAATCTATGGTCGGGTCACTGCTCTGTTGAACTCGACGGCCTGCATGTCGTAGTCAAACCCACAACCCAGGAGCCTCCTCACCGTATATATCATCTCACCTTTATTCTCTCCATTTCACTGTTTCTAACTCTTGTTTTCACTCTCTAGAAACGGTTCGATCGCCCGTAGATGACTCGCCAGCAATTATGTCGTCTTCGCTTCACTTTGCCGACGACTTTTTGCATCATGAAGTAGTAGACGATGCAGAACTCGATCAGGCATTCAAGCCTCGAAAACAAACCAGTTCCGACGTACGATCTGCTGCACCTCCTCCACGTGTTGGAAGTGTGACCAGCACAGTTGAATCAGATTCTTCAGATGGGTTGCATGCAGTCGCAGGATTTATGGATGCCATACTGTCTCGAGTCGTAGTCACGGTCAAAAACGCCATGATCCGAGTCGTATTTAGGTCTTCTTCAAGTCTAGCACCCCCATCCACGTCGGCGACAAATGATTACCATTTGGATGTATGCTTGACTCAAGCCTCCTATGGAGGAGCTAGAGCTGATGATACCGTGACTGGTGTATTAGACAAGGTAGTTAGATTAGGACAGGCATCTATAAGTCTAAATCAACTACAGGAGCCCGCAATCACCAAGCGACAGTCACCGACTGAATCCGAGGATGTATTCGATATGGAAGGAGTCAATAACAGTCCATCTGCACCATCCGATAATACTGTATATAGTTATCAAAGCGTCATTATGATGATCGGATCTGATGTGAATTCGACAAGCACTTGGATGCACTTTGCCTCGAAAAGTCCAAACGATTCTGGTGCAAGCTTATATGCTAGTGCTAGTGAACATGCACCAGCTAAATCATCCATATCAAGCACACACCCAAAATATGACTTGGCTTGCTACATTCCAGGAGTCTGCTCATTGCTTTTTCCATGCCATTTTCCAGTCATAACGGAATTGGCCAGTGTAATTATAGATAGTACTCGACAATCTGCTTTGAATGGAGACTCTCAGAATGCCAGTAATGCTGCATCTCCTTCGCCATCATCGCCACCCGACACTACAAGTCGATATAGAAGTAGTGGACCATCCTCATACTCGTCTCCTCGTGATCGAGTTGTACCTCCAGGAGCATGGACATCACATCGTAGCTCGTATGATGATGTTTGGGGTGACGATCCAGCTCCCAATTTATTGGATGGTAGTTATCTCACTGGACATGGTGGTGATGGCATGTACACACCTGTATATGATGCACTCGTTCGAGTCGGACTGTATATACGTAAAGTCGGAATATTTATTGTCTTGAATACTGATAGCTTTAGTGAAGCAGATGTAAAATCCTTTTACAAGTCATTTGCTGAATCATGTGGTACCTTGAAACCTGATGTGGATTTGACCACTTTGGATCTTACATCCTTGACTGGTTTGTCTGGTGAAAAGTACTTTGCAGACAAGGGCATATCGCCAGATGCTGTTGGAGCGAGTCTCAAAGCCGGTCATCTCAAACTGGAAATATCGAGTGTGCTTGTACAGGGCCAACAAGAGACGGATGCATTCTTTAGCTCTAGATATCAGGAAACAGCACGTAGACTTATATTAGAGCTTGCAGTAGACACAGGAGCTGTCTGTGAATGGATTACAGATCGAAATATTGGTACGTCCGAGCTAGCAAGTCCTATTTTTGGTCTGTGACTAAATTAGGCACCATGATTCTAGATTCTGAATCACAAAGAAGTGTAGCTACTCCAGCATTCGATGCTTATAATGATATTGTCAGCTTTGATTTATACTCTGATCCAAGTCGTATTCCAACAATGCTGGCCCAACTCAATCACAAATATCAACCTGGCGCTACAGAATTCGCTCGATGGCCTAGTAGACATCGATTATCACAGCCAACTCATTCGCTTCGAAGTTTAAAAGATACTTCTCGCCCACAACGAGCCATATTTGCATCGTTTGAACAATCAATACCGCTTCCTGAAACACCAAATAGTGGTAGAAGACGCAGACATACACCGCCACAAATGTCCATGGCATCTCCGGTAATGTCAAATCATCTCTTGAATCAAGATTTGAAGATTGAATTGGGTGTTGTACATCTCAACTTGGATTTGAGACTACTGGATCGTGTATCTCCACTCTTGAAGAAGCTCAAGATACCGAAAAAACCTGTAGTCTCACCTTCTCAGCCATTGTCGCGTGCTCAGAATCAGTTCCAGTCTGATTTTATGTGAGTGATAATGTCTACGCGGCAATGATTCTGTATCATCTAACTGTCGCTTTTTCGCGCTCAGGCAACGAGATACCGTGGGATCAATTATACAAGATTTAGAACAACGGGACGTAAAAGATGTGAGTTGTGAGTTCTAGCGAAACTGTCATTCTATGCTCCTCAATATCTTTTGTTGGTCACTTAGGGTTCAAACGTGGTCAAGACAAACTTCACGCTCAAGATGCCTTTGGTGAGAATATGGTTGGCATCTCCTGATATGAGACATGTATATAAGCCTGCTTTGAGAGCTCGTGCAGATAGGTGAGCATGCAAGACTGGGATCATTTTTCCCTCTCAACATACATACCTTAAAATTACTCCTTCGTAGAGAATGTCATATACGACCACACATGCTGGTCTTGGATCTCATTGACTTGCATGCGTCAACATCAATGAGCACCAGAAAGTCGACGGGAGATGGTGCACGTCTCAACTCTGACCGTCGTCAATCTGAAATTGGACGTGAAGCTAGCACTGATGCTAAAGCTCAACTCTGGGAGTTAAAACTACGTGAAATTGGGTTGTCTTTGGCCAAGAATGCTGCAGCGAGGTTGCCAGGAGACTCGAAATGTGAGATCCATTTTGGCCGACATTGTTTTTTTGCCAGTGCCAACCTTCAATTTCTTCCTTTAGATTCTTTTGAACGTGTAGTCTCTGTAAAGCCTATTCTTCATATTGGTAGCAACTTGCAAGCTCGTACCACTGAACCAAGTCAGATGGACTCTTCACAGAATGTGCTTGTCAAACTCTATGTTCAGGATGTATCCCTATCTTCAGCATTTGAGCAACATAGTGTCTCATCTGCTATCGGCGAAGGCTTTCCACGTGTCAATGAAGAGACTGAAGAAGATTCTGGATGGGGTTTGAGAAGCTGGTATGATTTGGGCTCGAGTCGAAAGGCTCAGCAACCTGATGCCTCATTATATGGTCATCGAGATATGGATGATGAGCTGATGTGGTTTAAGCAGAGAGCTATTCGTGAATCGGTGGGTGATTCCAGCGTGACAGGTGTTATGAGTGCGTTATGTCTAACTCTTTTTGTTCTCCACAGAGAGTGTTTTTAAATTGTCAGCTACCTCCATTAGCCATAACCTTACCCAAAGCTGATTTCGATATAATCCAACTATTGGCTAACGAATTAACATTATGGCAACCACAAACAATCCAATCTTTTGAATTCAATATTCCATCAGATGATGATGATACATCTACCAATCAGCAAAGTGAAACCACGTATGCAACCGCTGATGATGATTTCTCAAATCCTGGTAAATTTTCGTATGCAAAGAGACCTACTGATTTTACTGCTGAAGTGATGTTTGAATCAAGTGAGTTGAATTTGGTGATCGGACAACGCATATTTTTTGCGAGTGCTCACCATTTGCATTGTTGTTAGTCACTGTCACCATACATCCAGAACGAGTTGCTCTCGATAGACCAGAGTGTTGTGCATATGAGCTGTATTTGCAATCCTTATCTGCATTTATTGTTCAAGGATATGATGGGAAGGTAAATTTTAGCTTTCTGCTTGACTGATTGATCTCCCCCATTAATCGAGTTTTTTAGCCAACAACTCATGGATGGTTGGACGTGGATGAGGTATCAATGACGTGTATAGACCCATTTGATGATGTACCCACTCGCAAAGTCTTGTTTCGTCGAACCTTACCTCCTACAGTAAAGGTAAAAGTCGAGTTTGAAAAGTGCCGAAGAAACGAAAAATGACCAAAGCCCCTTGCGTCGAATAGCTACATCAGACTTCATCCATGCTGGTCTCATCATTTGTGATTCACTCCGACAAGGACTTGAATCATAAGGACATGTCTGCGAATATTGAGATATCCAGGTTTACAGCATGGGCTCCACTTGACCCTTCAGTCGCACTCGATATTATGGCATTTGTTAAAGAAGCGCCTGAGGTGAGTATTGATAGCTGGACTAGCAGATTTTTTTTTGTCTCTGATCTAAACTCAAACGTGATAGTTGATTTTCGTGGACATTCCTACTCGATCTACAGCTCTATCTCTAGTCCTTGGGGACTTTTGCATTACTCACGATACACTAGATGCTCCACATAAAGTAGTCAGTGTCACAGACAATCTCAAAATCTCAACCAAGCTCATGCCACCAGGATTTCCTACCCAAACCATCAAAGTCGTCATGCACAATTCCTCAGTATATCTTTTATACGATGACTCGACTTCTGCTGCTGAATCAGCGGAGTATTTGTTGGCAAAAGCCGTTGATGCTGCTTCATTGGGTGGATATACTAATATTCGCAAGTATTGGACTACTTTGGGATATGTGGATGTGGCTGCTATTGATTTTTTGGATGTTTTGGTGCGAAAGAATGAGCAGGATATGCTTCCTAAAGTTGAGGTAACGGGCGAAGGTTGCAAAAAATCAAGTGTTTCGTGGATAGTCTAATCATTATTCTCCTTGATTGTTGACTGTCGTAGGTGGAAGTCACTGATCATCAAGTCACTATTGATTTGTGTGCTGATTCAGTTTCAACGCTTGTTGAACTGTTTCAGATCATTGGAGAAAAACTAGCATCTCACAAGTATGTGCATTTGTGTAATCGATGCTCCCTTTGTGCGCTAACACGATTTTCAATAGGCAAGTGCAACCTGAAACTCCGGAAGAGCCTCAAGAAGATGTTCCTGATAACGATACGATGGGTAAGTGAATTGGCTGTCTGAATGCAATCTTGGTAGGTCCTCATATCTTTGTCTTTTTCCCTCCTATAGCCAATGTCGACCAAGATGCATTCAGGCAGACTCAACCTCGAACATCAGATTACGATAATGTCATTGTCATGGATGACTTTTTCGGAGATGATTTACTAGAAGAGGACGATGAAGATATTGTCTCACCAGTACATAATCCACGAACAAACACTGCTAGTAGAGCTCGACCTGGAGTTAGTGGTGCTGGATCAGAAGATATCATCAGATGTTTGGATGAGCCAGAGTCCTTCAAGTTTATTGAGAATCACTTTGATATGATGATGTCACTTCGAGATCAGGAAACGCAGACTAAGAAGCAGTAAGTTTTGAATTCCGAATTTTCAATATTCTTAATGTGCTTAACGATTTTTTTGCAGGGTGGATCCAATACAAACACGAATCGTAGTCAGTGACTTTGATATCTGTCTACGAATTCATGATGGATTTGACTGGCCAGTAGTACGAGCCTATGTAGCTGAACAAGAAGAAATCGAAAAGAAACGACGTCGAGAATGGCGAAAGGGTAAATCACGTAGTAGTACTCGACCACCTGAAGGCGGTCAATCAACTGAGTCATTGGAGTCTGCTACAGATATGGACGATGATAATCATACTGCACCATCTGAATACAATCCCCCACCGTCGTCTCGAAGCACATCACGACCTAAATCAGCTGGAACGTATACTCCAATGGGTGATTCTATGTTTGATGATTCCGATAGTGTACATTCCGGTACAACATCCGGTCGACAGCATGCCCACTCTGCAAATGCAGCAGGACATGCAGCATCCTCATCAGCAGCAGGAAATGATGCCAACAGAAGCACTCGAATACAATCACTCGCTCGATCTGAATCAAGACTTGATTGTCGACTTGTGTCTGTACGTTTCGAGTATGATACGTACCCAGAGACACTGCAAAAGAGTTTCCGTGGCGTCTTGACGATTCGAGATTTCGAGATTATTGATAATGTACGAACGAGTCGATGGCGAAAATTCCTTAGTCGATTACGTGGTGAAGGAGCCGATCAATGGAGCTCTAGTGTGAATATGTTGAGAGTTGATGTGATGGGTGTGCGATCTGGTGGTAAAAAGTCGGAGGAGTTTAGGTTGAGGGTAAGCTGTCTGTTTCCTTGATGGCTGAGTATCATTCTTCGTGTTCGGCTTACCGGTTTGTTTTGGCATGTAGGTTCGAGTACTCCCAATGAGATTATTTGTGGATCAAGATGCTCTTACATGTTTGATACGGTTTGCTACATTTGCAAGTCCAATCAAACGTCCGAGCAATGGTGCTTCGAAGCCTGATACTACCTTCTTCCGTAAGCAAACGTAAAAAGACTTTGATCATCGGAATCACATGCTTACTGAACTTCGGTTTTTATTAGAACTGGTCGATATACAACCCATATCATTCAAAATCGATTACAAGCCCAAACATCTGGACTATTCCAACATTATCCGAGATGGGAAAGTTATCGAGTTTATGAACTTGTTCCATTTCGATAGTGCTGATATCACCTTACGGGCTGTTCGACTTACAGGGGTATATGAACTTCTTGCAGACCCTTTTTTGCACAGGTGCGAACATCTCGGCTCATATCATTTCAATTTCAATGTTAGATTCGTGGAGCAGAACGACTAGTAGAACGACTCATTAGTGAATGGCTTCCTCATGTACGAAATACGCAAGTCCCACGAATGATGTCTGGCCTGTCGACAGTTCGACCTATAGTCAATTTGGGTAATGGTATTGCAGACCTAGTTTTGTTGCCTATTGAGCAATTCAGAAAGGATGGGAGAATCATTCGAGGTAATGAATTGACGTAGAATTTCTTTTTTTTTCGCGTCTTGAAACTTCTCTCCCTGCCGATAGGACTTCAAAGAGGTGCCAAATCATTCGCCAAAGCAGCAACTTTAGAATCCATCAACTTGGGTGCCCGCCTAGCAGTCGGTACACAAGTACTACTAGAAGCAGCAGATGATGTCCTCTCATTTGAAGCAACTGGTGAAGAAGGAGAAGAAGGAGACATACTCTATTCATTCGATGATGATGGTGGATCAAGTACTTCAATTGGTACCAGTGGTAGTAGTAATTCTGTGTCGGGAGCATCAGCAACTCCATCCAAATTCTCCGATCAACCACGCAATGTACGAGAAGGAGTCGAGTCTGCTTATCGCTCTCTGCGACGCAATTTCGGAGATGCTGCACGAACTATATTGGCTATTCCGACTGAGATTCAAGAGAATCCTGGTGCTCAAGTGAGTGGTGACACCATGTCCAATGTCCTCTTTTAGCCTCCTGCAAATACTTACGCATTGCCTTCGTTTTTATAGGGAACAGCTGCAGCAGTTATACGTGCAGTACCAGTTCTAGTCTTAAAACCGATGATTGGTACTACGGAAGCTGTTTCCAAGACTCTACTCGGGTTGCGTAATCAAATTGATCCAAGTAAACATCAAGAAAGTGAATCAAAGTACAAGAATTAGTAGTAGTGGACTATCGTTTTGCACAGACATACATTTGCAAGAACATCTTAGCATACGACAAAAATCTTCAAAAAACACCTCATGCAGTGAAAATTGTTTTACTTCCTTTGTATTATATAAATCTTAAACATTTTAAACAAATGTGATTCACTTTCTTCTGCGTTTAATGCTGCTGCGATGGATAGATCTGAAAATGAAAAGAAAAACGAGTGAGTGCGGAATGAAGACGAGAAGACCACTTTTAAACTGTGTTCAAAATTTAGAAATTTGGTCCATTTAAAAGGAGAGAAAAAAACTGTGAGATCCAGAAACAATGGACTGACGTTGTTCCAAACACATCATCACCTTCGAACACATAACTCCTCTGAAGCAAAAATCACTTTAGAAACTCATCCTGAGCCAAGGCACATAAACAACCAGTTTGTGAACTGGAGGCTGGACTCAAAGGAGCTACATTCACCAGAGATTTGCCATCATACAAGAAGCTTCTCTTTAAATTCACGCCAACACCAGCCGAACTTCTGGATTGGTTTAAGCAAACAATGTCGCCTTTGCCCTTGAATCCATAACAGTGAAAGCAAAGAATTCACCATTAGGTGTCCATCAAACAGATTGTAGAAAACGGGTACTTTCCGAAGCAGCAACGGTACCACCAATTGTGGACGATTCTTGTCTTTTTCCGCCCTCACCAACGGCAAACCCCCGTTTACTTTCATAATCCCAGTATAAAACATACCCGACCACCAAGCACTCTAGCTTCAGTTTGGAGAACGTTCTGATCCTTCATGGTATCGTTATTTCCAACATTTCCAGATACATCTAAACACACAGGTTAGTTCAAAAGAAGTCAAGACAGTCAAACACGTCTATTTTCAAAGACTATATTTTTCAATCACAAAGACATACCAGTACTGGCGATTTCAAATCCAATTTGGCGAGATGCGCAGACATAACAAATTTGCAAAACAAATCGAAAAAGACCACACCTCATACGTCACGAATCAAGTCAAACATCTTATCTTTTTCATTTCAGTTTGTTTCGTTGTATCATATAAACTAAAACAAGCTTCCGTCTAAACAAAGCGTAGTACTCCCTGACTTTGGTCAATAATGTTTCAAGGACCAGGTCTGTGTAGTAAGATGATGGGAGGGTGTAAGTGTTGAAAGACTACATGGATAGATCCGAAAGAACTCTTTTTGCGTTACCTTGATCATAGCATCTTGACCAGCTGAAGCAATAGTATTGTTATCCAACCATACAACGCCATTCACAGACTCCGTATGTGCGCCTTTTAAGAAAAAATCGAAAAATGTCAATGTCGTTATTCAACGTAAAAGAAACAGCCCGAGCTGAGCGTAGGATCATCACCTTTGATGGAAATATGCTTCATGGGATTGTCTACACTCCATACTTCAACATTAGTATCCAAAGATCCCGAAGCGGCATGTAAACCATCAGGAGACCATGAAATACAATTGACTTTGGCATTGTGGAAGACCCATTCGTTGAGTTTCAGCTAGAGGCGGGATGACATGTGAGATCAAAGAAGAGAAAAAAAGGGCAAACCATCATGGACAAAATATCATGGACTCGACTTGCGACAAGACACTTCTCAACCCAACATACCGATTTGGATTTCACATCATACACCAGCACCTTTCGATCTGAATCACCAGCAGCCAACATGCTTCCATCAGGAGAGTAAGCCAAAGCTGTTATGGCACCTCGATTTGAATCCAAAACATGTTTTTGAGTGAGGGTACCACTTGAATTGTGGTAGACATACACTTTGCAGTCCTACAACCACGGCAAAAAAGTTCAGAAATCATCTGCGAAAGGTATATGTTGGTACTTACATCACCTCCAACAGAGACTTCACTACCATCAGGTGAAATCGCCACAGAGCCTGGCGTATAATTGGTTGTAAGAGACGACACTTTGGTGCCAGATTTCGTCACAATAACATCCTTGACGGTAGCGACAACAGCGTAATCGCCATGTGCAGCTACGTCTTTTGGTACAGATCCAGTAGCCAAAACGGCTCCACTGTTGCAAGACAATCAAGGATGTTGGAAACATCGAAAGAGTAAAAACCAAACTAGTGGTTTGACAATAGGTCTTACTCGAAACTCTTGCCCGACACGTCAATGCTTCTCACAGAATCATCCATTCCAACAGAGATAATCTTTCCACCATCTGCTGACATGGCGGATACTTGATTCGAATGTCCTGATCCAGATAAGGATGTACCACTGCCAGCACCCTCAACCCATGAATACACACGACCATCATAACTTCCACTGTATAGAGTCTTGTCGGATGCGACTTCTAATGCAGTGATGCCCTTTTGATGACCCTAGAAAGATGAATATGAGACATTAGTGTTAGACATGTGGTCATGTAGGAGGCTGATGTTTTGGCCCCACTAGGACAAAAAAAGTGGCTCATAGCCCAAAAGAGTGGCTCATCGCCCGCAAACGGCGAGTTTTACCTTGACGACTCTCAATGGCTTGGAAGAGCTCTTATCCAAATAATTGAGATCACCAGACAAAGACAAACTTATCATATGTTCTCCTTGCCACAAATTGCCCACTTGTTGATCATCTACACCTGATCCTGAGAATGCATATGTGCTAGACGCAAGAAACAGAGAAAACTAATGAGCGAAAACAATCTTCCTCTGTGCATTTTGCACGCCTAGCACGTACTTGACAACACTCTTACTACCAACATCCCAAAGCTTAGCAGTCATATCAGCAGACGACGTCAAGACATGTTTGCTATCTGGACTCCACGATAGGGCAAATATGCCACCAGTGTGAGAATTGGCAGCTGAACTCAATTCAGCTATCTTGTCTCCGGTTTTGCCATCATACAAGAATACCTAGAACGTGTAGGTTGAGAGAGTTGCAACATGCTGTAAAAATCATCACACAACGAGAGAGAAAAAACAAGATGCGGAATACGTATTTGTAGACAAACAATGAGGTTTTACCTTTGAATCCATACCAGCAGAAGCAAAGAATTCACCATTAGGTGAAAATCGAACCGCTTGTACGAAACGGGTATGGTCTGTTATGGATTTACCAAACTTGTATGGTACACCATTATAGAAGTTGACAGTCAGATCGTCTGAAGCAGTGACGGCCTTCATCGGTCGATCTTGTCGAATGGATACTGAATTGATTGCTTTGCTGTGTCCACTGATCTCTCCAACTGATGATGCGGTGTCGAATGCGAATGCGTGGCCGAATCTAGATTCATTCGATGATAAGAAGCGACGCCATTTTGGTCATTGTGTAGAGAGCGAGAGGAGGAGCGAGAAAAAAAGTTCCCAAAGAGTCGAGTAAGAATGAACTGCCAGTCTAGTTCTCCCACCCCCGACAACAGCCTCCTAACGACATCACTTACTTGTCTTTACCCTCTCCAACAGCAATAATACGTTTGCTCTCATGATCCCAGCACAAATCATTGACTCGACCACCAAATACCCTTGTTTCAGTTTTGAGAATGTTTTCAGCGTTTATGGTATCCCAGATTCGCACGTTTCCCGATATATCTACGTATATTCCGTATAGTTTAGATCAGTATTTGATATGTTAAAAGGTGTAAAGCCCGTGTAAGAGATATCAACAAATCGACACACACCAGCACTGGCGATATAAAATCCACTTGGAGAGTATCTGGCGACAGTAGTTTGGGTAGAGTGTCCTGTGTATTCAGTAGCGATAGCCGGATTCTATAGAGCAATGAATGGTGTCAATCTCATGTGTTGCGACATTTGGACTTGAACAAATCTCCAATTCTGGTAAGTCCTCTATTTTTTGCCCAAAGGGGACACGATGCAGGTATTTACGTACAGCTAGGTTCCTAATGATGACAGATCTGCCACATGTGTATATGAAGTTGACGCCCTTGGGATCTCCCGATAATTGCACTGCCTGTCCTCTTGATGTTGCGGGAGCTGGAGCATACGTTGCCTCTGAAATGACAATAGCAAAGCATTAGAAGTACCGTTTAAAATATGGAGATTGATGTAGCAGTTACTTACTTCTAGTGAATGACATCTTCTTTCTCAGTATCCGACTTGCGATTTGTTTGGATGAGCGAACGCCACTAAACGGTGATGTTGACTGAACGTGTTTTACGATAGATAATTAGGTGAGTAGATCACTCAAAACTATTCAATACCTATAGAACAGCGGGATCTATCATGAAATCGCGTAAATACAGGCAGAGTGCAACATCAGCATCAACAAAAAAAGGACTAGGACAGAGGATCTCATGATGATACTAATAAGTTTTATTTGTTCTATTTAGGACTAGTGGGAGGTACCATCCTCTTTCGTATCTCATATTTTAGCAGCTGGCATCATCCACGTAACTCCAAACTGTTCACTGGAAGCAACCAACTTCTTATTCGAATCCCATACTTGCACAACTGTTCTACCCCTTCCTCCACTAGTACTCAACAATTCTCTAAACACCAACAGGTCCTTGTTTGGCCCAGAGGGTTTTGAGTGAAAGTATACACTCATTGCGCATGATCCACTTCTAAACTTTCGTGACGAGTCCCACCCATTCTTTTGAGACTGGGCTTCTATATAGTTCCCTTCATCAATACCCAAATAAGAGTCACAGAATAGAGCTACAGACATCAAGTCGTGCGGCCTCTTGTCAGTGAAGCCCTGTAAAATGACGTGTCAGCGCTCTGTGACATTTGACCAATGCGGCCTCGTGTATTTTTGCTAACGTACAGTCCAAAATGGATGTTCGGTAGCTCTCATTCCTGAGATTTCCGCTGGATAGACACGTAATGCCTCCTCATGAGCTGCAAATCCTTTAGGTGAAATCAGCTTGACTCGAGCAGCTTCCACTGGTGCAAGTACAAACAAGGCGTTCGTTCTGGGATCCCTTCGATATAGATCAGACAATTCCATACACTGCTCTGGATTTGGTATAGCAGGACATCTATGCAAATACAATAGGTGTTTTAACAGATATACGACATAAAACCAACGCACTTCTGCACTTCTGCTACAAGAAAATGGAGCATGCGTACTTACGGATCAATCCTATAATCCACAGGCATAGCATTCCTCTCAAAGTCACCCAACGTAGCAGTCAGACTCAAAATAGGTGCTTGACTGGCGGCATCAACAACCATAGCAGTAGTAAACGCCAAGTTCCGTCCCTGCTTGATAACATTGACTAGTATCCTTATACGTTGATTTGCTTTTGAACTACTTATAAATTGACAGTGTGTTGCGAATGGATCAGGATGGCCTGACACGGATTTGATGCAAGCGGTCAGAGCTAGACACAAGATGTAGCCTCCAAAAGCAGATCCTCCACCACCGACACTTTCACCTATCGAAAATAAACGTGGAAGAGTGCATCATTTTACTCTAAAGTTCTCTAGTTTGGAAGTGGTCAAACTGCATTCCAGCATCAAGGTTGATGACACCACGATTTCAGACGTTGCAACACGCCATGCAGGGATTCAAAGGCAATGTGGCAATCAAATACTGTCTTAGCATATAGAATCTCTACTCCTTTTACCATCAGCGATGGCAAGAACACTAAACGACATTGCATGGAACTTACCCCCATATTCGCCATTGAAGAACTGTGGATGTAGAGTAGCCTCATACTCGTTCTTCTGAATAAACTTCAATTCTAATGCCTTGTCCAACAAGTAAGATGCCATGATACCAGTCGCCTTGGTCGAATGTCTAGTACTTGGTTCAATAAGTGAGTGTGACCATTCACGCAAACAGGAATGGTACGCGGTTTTTATGGTAAGAAACGCCAGATCTTCTAATCATATACTTATAAAATGCCAAATTCACGTTATTCACTACCTCTTACGTCTTACTTGAAGGATGCCAAATTTGCAAAACACGAAACTTTTGACATTGAAAATCCCACCGGTCGCTCTAGGAAACCAACCACCACGAGGTGAACAGAGACAGGGATGCATTATTATACCACATGATTACCAATCCTAACTAGTTTCAACCAACTTGTACTTAGTGTGACACCTCCGCATTTTACAAAACAGTTCCAATCATGGGAGCTCCTCCAAGTCCAAGTAACAGCAGCAAGAGTCTCGACAGACTCAAATCCCTCGCAATCCTCCCTCTTCTAATTCTCGTAATACGGAGATTCGATGTCGGGAAACTCGTACTCGGCATACTCGCATTAGGACTTGCGACAATTGGTTCCACTGGTTGTGGAATTCTAATGGCTCCCTACATATTCGCCACTGGAAACAAGAGACAGTTTACTGCATGGACTTGTAAAATATTCACATGGTTTGCTCCGCTCTGTGGTGTCAAAGTCACTGTCGAAAACAAGCACATACTCGATAATGCTACTTTGCCATGTGTGATTATGCTGAATCACCAGAGCAGCTTGGATTTGTTGACTTTGTAAGTGTCATGTTTTGTGATCTGGGGTCGCTTTTTTGGTTGGTGTGCGTGTTTTGATCTGAAATTTGCTTACTGTTCACGTGTTCCTGCTAGATCCCACGTTATGAGAGAAGGGAGTACTGTATTGGGTAAAAAGGATTTGTTCTATGTTCCTGTGCTGGGACCGTGGAGTGAGTACATGTTTATGAGAACACGTCGAACACATTAATGTCGGGACCAACACTCTTTTTTCGTATAGTGTGGTTATCAGACCAGGTATTCATCGATCGAAAAAATCACGACTCGGCCATGGTTACCATGAACAAAGTCGCCGATGTCTTGATCAAGAAGAAGGTAAAACATAAAATCGAAGCCCTTCATCTTTACCATGAACTAACTATCATCAATCTCCAGCAATGCTTGTACATATTCCCAGAAGGAACTCGCTCCTCACAAGAAGCCAACGAGCTCTTGCCCTTCAAGAAGGGTGGATTTCATGTCGCCCTCGCTGGCCAAATGCCCATTATACCAATAGTCATTTCAACATACGGAGACATTTATTCGTTACGGAAGAAAGTCTGGAAGGGTGGTGATATCCGTATAAGAGGTATCTTCAAAATCTCTATATTCTTTGTTGCGGCCAATCTCAATTTTTGTCTCTTACCCAACAGTATTGGATCCAATCGAAACAAAGGGCTATACCTCAAAAGACCTTAACGAATTAATGGACAAGACGCGTAATGTCATGCTAAGCACCTTGCACGAAATAAGTCCGCCTCCATTACCTGATGCTAAAAAGTTACCGACTCCTCGCAAGAGGCGGGCTGATGACGACGATGCGGATACGCATCATGTTACTACTAGTAAAGCTGTCGAACCTGATGCTGATACTGCTGCTGTTAGTATGAGTCTGAGAGGGAAGAATGACTCGTTGCCTAAACTATAGTGGATTGAACGAATCTGGAACGTTTTTGGTTGATATTTTTTGGGTGTGGATTAACGACTCTTATGTAAGCTATGATCTGATATGCTGTAGTAATGATGTGTGGTATTTTGTCAAAACTGTGAACAAACAATAAATAATTTTTGGGGTTTGAAGGACGAAACTGTCGTGTTTGTGGAAAAATGAGAGAGGAAGCGCAACAAAGCACGTCCAATGTCTACGCGTGACCGGATTTTGATTGAGAACTCGAAATCACAACTCGATAATACCGATGCCGGCAATGTCTTTGAAAATCTGGGTCATATGCAAACGAATCCTTCTTCCAAGCTTTCGACAGGTGCTCCACAACTAAAAAGGAATTGTATGTACTCTCGGCAATGAGGGCTGGATATCACAGTATGAAAATACTGATGTAAACAATGTATCTGAAAGCCTGGGTGTATCATATGCAAACGCAGCGTTCTTGCAAACTTCCAGTAGGTGCTCCAACTCAAGACTATGAGTGCAAACAATGTATTCCATCTCCAAGAAACAAAGATCAAATGTTTATGCAAAGGAAGCCTTCTTCCCGACTTCAACGGGAGCTCCACGTCCAGAAACGAATTCATCGTACACTCGATTTAATTTGGCTTGCTCTTCTCGAGCAAGAGATGGACGAGTAGATGATAGTGAAGATACCAAGTGTTTGTGCTTGATGACCGTTAGATGCTATTGGACAATACAACGTGAGAAATCAGGTTTTTTTGCGTTGCAACAGAAGAATGAGGCACGTACTACAACTGTATCCAATGACTTGTCTTTGGCCGATTTCGAGGCATCTGACGTGGTTGGGTATAGAACTTCAAGTTTATCTGAATAGTCTTTATGTATTGACTCGATCTAGAACGTGAAGCGTCAGAGAGTTGAGTTCATTAAGTGGGCTTGATATACATCTTTTTTTGCCCACAACGAAAGACCCAAACACAGCCTTACCCGTTGAGCCAACAAGCCCCTCTCAGCAGCAGTCATTCTCACAACACTACTAGCGTCCTTCCTATCAGCAATAACAAACTCAACAGCCGGTCCATCAGCAGCATTATTATGTTTAGCAACAACCCCATTCTGCTGACTACCATTAACATCATCTCTATGATGTCCAGCCATAGCTTCATCTCTCTCCCGATCCTGCTCATCAATCATCTCATGAACAGCTTCTAAGTGAGCATTATACATCATGGCTTGTAAATCAGCTCCACTGAATCCATCACTTTTGACTGCCAATTCCTGGTAATCGACTGTTGGATCCACATTAAGTTTTCTAGCTACAGCCTTCAAGATATCTTCTCGTTCAGATACGTCAGGCATACCACACAAAAGTGACTTGTCTAGACGACCAGGTCTTAATAATGCTGGATCTATTATATCGGGTCGTGATGTTGCTCCAAGCACGTAAACACCCTCGAGTCCTTCAGCACCGTCCATTTGCGTCAACATTTGATTGACGACTCGATCAGTGACGCCTGTATTATCGTGTCCTCGTCTTGGAGCTATAGCGTCAAATTCATCAAAGAATAAGACACATGGCCGAGCGGCTTGTGCTCGTGTAAACAAGTCTCGACATGCTTGTTCGGAAGCACCAATATACTTGTTCAATAGTTCTGGACCTTTCACGGAGATGAAGTTTAAGCCACATTCTTTGGCTACTGCTGATGCTAGCAGTGTCTTTCCACAGCCCGGGAAGCCGTAAAGTAAGAGACCTGACCGTAAACGAAGTGGTGAGGTGGCAAATATCGGAGCGTATTTGGTAGGCCATTCTAAGGTCTCTAATAAGACCTTTTTGGTCTCATACAGGCCTATGAATGGTGATGAAATAGAAATATGTGAGTGATGGCCTCATTTTATGTCGGGATGTGGGGTCAGGCTGGCCAGTTTTGTTTGGAGTCTCATCCGTAAAAATGGTGAATAAAAGACAAGATGTACGAAACGATTGAAGAGCCTACCTCCAATATCACTCCACGAGACGTCCGAAGTCTGCAACTTAACTCCTCGTAACGAACTCGGCACATATCCATCCTGAGCCTTTGTAAAATCAATCTGCAACAACCCTTCCTCATTACTACTTCCACTGGCACCATTCATACCATCAACCAACTCATTCAGTCCATTCGGCTTCGTTAACGAATTGATCAATGCCGTCGTGGCTTCAACGCTCCTCATAGCACTTTGGTATACAGCTCGTTCAACCAATACTTTTAAGTCAGCAGGCAAGTATCCTTCGGTAGATCCGGCAACGACCGCTACGTCTACATTTTTGGATTCTACAGCTGTACGGGTCATGTCTCCTGATGCTTGCATGAGTGCTTCGAGGATGAGTTTACGACCTGCTCGGGAAGGTGGTGGAACTTGTAGTGTTTCGGCGAGTGTGTGTGAGGAGAGGAGCGTTGGATGTAGAGCAGTAGCAGCTGTTGATGTACAGATCACACATATGCTGTGTCGGGTACGATAATATTGGCAAATGTCGAGAAAGAATTCGGAAAGTTGCTTTGTCTTGTCGTTAGAATCTCCTTGCTAATGTACTTATGTGCTTAGCAAAAAAATTATAAAATGTTTGACGAAAACCAACAGAGTCACCTCTTGCTCAACGGGTATCATTCTCTCTAAATCCTCGAACACGAGTATAGATGGAGCTCTCCAAGCAGCCAAATCAAATGCATTCCGAATCGCTTCTCGTATTTTGGGCACTGTTTCCGTACTCAATTCTGAACACTGCACCATGTGTGTATCTACAGCAAAAAATCTTGAATGGAACGGCTTGAATTATAAAACTAGAATACAGCTAACTCACGAGCTAAAGTATCAGGACTTCTGCTCAGCTCATAAGATACGGCATCAATTAAACTAGTTCGTCCAGACCCATGAGCTCCATGAATTAACAGGCCTCCAAGTGCTAACAGAATAAGACACAAATCAGGAGTGCGAAAATAGATATCGACTCCCCGACTGGATTGGGCATCACATACCAGGAGCACTCAGTTTCTTTCGAAGGGTTCTTCGACTTAAACTTGACTTGACGTACTGAGTAATGTTCTTTAATAAATCATCAACACCTCCTAAGATAGGCAGATGATCTTCTAGGTCCCTACTCGAGAGCAGGAAAAAAGGGACGTTAGACAGGACCTGGGATTCACACACGATTCAGTACTAACCAATCAGTATCGACAGGCCCTATTTCAGTCTCTTTACCCTCATCAACAACTACGGACTGTGCCGTTCTATCATTGTCTACAATCACATAGTTTTCTCCCACTCCTGAAGCAAGAGCAACGTCTTCCTTCATTCCAGATGGGATGAGACGAATGAAAAGAGTCAGGTATCGTTCTGATTGGGGTTGACTTGGTAATAGAGGGAATCGTAGCACACATCCATCTGTGATGATGAGTGGATATTGTTGTGCTCGTGTTGTCAACCAAGCTAAAAAGAGGGCGAAGACTAAGTTTGATTTATGAACCACGAAGGCTGTTGAAGCTTACATTTGACTGTCTCGATAACAATGGCCTTTTCCGAATTCTTTTGACTATGGGCGAAAGAAAACTCAACAATTATATTGATAGAATATGACGGCGATGTTCTTACTTGAGGACAACAGTTGTCGGACCAACACTCTTAACCACTCTTTGTACCAGTACCTTACATCCCTTCAGCGCATCTTTAGAAGCAGTTTCAATCTTGACTCTTGAAAATGGAGGCAACTTGAGCACCTCGACAGCATCCTTCCCAACACCCAAATGACCAGCAGGTATAAAAGTCGAGTGTTTCACAGTAGCGAATACACTTCGTAATAGACCTGTAGGAGGAGATCCCTTTTCATCCTTTTCATCCTTCATTTCTTCACCTGGCTTCTTCAATTCACGGCGAGTGACTTTTACTATGGAGCCATCTGTGAATTCTCCGTTGGCGTTTAGTGGATTTATATGCACGACTGATTCATCTGTTGTTGATTCGTCGAGCTCGGTTAGATGGGATTTGGGTAATAAGCGTAATAGTGTGGTGGCCTTCTTCTTTGATGGTGACGATGGAGTGATTTGTTGAGCTGGTGCATCAATGGGTATTAGATGTGATTTACGTTGTTTAGGTGCTACTATGACTTCTGCATCAATGTCTAGACGGACGCATTTGGCTGACGGAGTTGTCGACACTACAATTTGACCGGATTAAGTGGTGTTTTTTTGCGACTGTTTTGGGAAGCAAATGTACAAACTTACAGACTCGCAACCGTATACATGTCCTCTGATGAATCCAAACAGCAATGATCTGGTTTGTATAAACGACTCGTACTTGATTCAGCATCTGATCCTCCAAATATCCAGCATGTAGTTCCTATGCAATGGGTTCAAGATCTGGTCAAGCAGACCATCAAAATGACACTTGTCTATCACATTCATACCAATATTTCCCAATCATCTTCAGTAAGAGGCTCGACATCAACAGACTTGCCAGTCTCGACAGTCTTGACAAACTCGACATTAACTCGTTGCCCAGCAATTAGACCTAAGCCTTGACCAAACACAGTTTCCATCTCGATGGCATCAGTAGCAGACGATGCGTTTCCCGTGGCAGCTGACTGAGCACCGGGAAACTTGTTTGCATCCCTGTTTGAATTAGATGACGATCCTCCAGCCCAACCAACAAAGACGGAACGTTTGCGAGGACCTTGCTCTGTCTTTTCAGTCCATGAGAGCTCTAGAACTACACCTCCAGCTCGTAGTGCCTAAGTATAATATAGTGTTAAGACAGGGATGAACTTCAGTGACATCACTCAGCAACGAACTTGCCTTTGGTTGGTCTGTAAGAGCAGTAACCCATGACGGAGGTAAATTCACAAAGCATGACTTGACGTTGCCGAATGCTACAGTGAGTGTCGTGGCCGGTTTATTGCTCATCGCTTCGTTCGTTGTGTTTTGCTGACTTCAAATGTTAATGTTGGAGTAAGCTTGCACAAGCATAAAGAAACTGATGCAAATAGAAGTGAGTCTTGCATCAAAACTATTTATTAAGAGGTTTAGGATGTGATCATGAAGTTTTAATCCTCGCTATTGTCACGGCTTTAAATTTCAATGTTGTTTCTCGTTCTGCCGAATCGTTCCGACATCAAATATCAACGTTTACGCCTTTATACGGTATTTTACGCGTACGTATGCGTGATTTATCTTTTTAAAACTGTCGTTGGAAGGTTGGTACAACATTGTCACTTTCACGTTTCGAAAACTCCAAACATCAACCAAAAGTCATCGACACTTAATAATGCTGCAAACAGGCCGATTGTTAAAAGTAGTCAAGCCCGCTAGGATAAAGGGCCCTTTTCAGAGAGTATGCTCACTCCTTTCATCTTATAGTCGTGTTTCTGAAAATTTCGCACATTTCTGACACATACACAACATAGTTTGCCACTACAGATGCAACCAATGCCAAAAAGAAGGGCTTCCCTATAATCCGATATACATTTACTCTTACTCTATTGGCCGCTGGTGCTTACGGTGGAGCTGGCTACTATGCACTACATGCAAACGACAATGGCTCATTCCAAAAGCAGTTTGTCGATAATGTTCCCGGTGCATCCCTCGCTATCGACGCTGTCAAAAAGCTAGAAACTACTTCTATCGACGAAATCAAGGATACTACTGGTAAAGCTGTCGAAAATGTAGAAAAAGCTGTCCGTGATGTACGAGAAGGTAGTGGTAAAGCTATCGAGACGGTCACCAAAACATATGAAAATGCTGCCAAATCGGTCGGTGAAATGTCGGAATCTGCTGGAAAGACTATAGAGAGTGTCACGAGATCTGCTCAATCTGCCAAGGACAATGTGGTCAAACAAGTCACGTCCATTCAGCATACTGTCGAAGGGTGGACTGAAACTGTACAAGATCAATACGAGACTGCTAAAGCCATGGTCACTGGTCAGCCTAAGCCTGTAAAGGTCGAAAAGACAGTTCCTGTTACAACCACTACCGATAAAGATGGTGATTCTTGGAAGCCTGGTTCTGCTCCCAAACCACGAGATCCTATACCAGCTACAGCTGTAGCACCAGTAGTTAAGCCTGTCGAAAAGAAGGATGCTGTAGAGAAACCATCTGTAGAACAAGCCATTCCTGCTGTTGTCAAAGCTGTCGGAGAGGCTGCTACTCAAGTTAAGGAAGATGTAGAAAAGGTAGTTGCTCCTATAGTGAAAAAGGAGACAAAATCGTCTACCATTACGGAATCCTCGGTAGTGGTAGCAAAGAAGGACGAGGTGAAGCCTGTCAAACCTGTGAAGGTTGACGATATACCAGTAAAAGTAGAGGCAGCCACTAAAGAGCCTTCGAAAGTGCTTCTTGATGTAGTAGATACAGTGCCTGCTGTAGTTAATGCTGCTATACCTGTAGTGGAAGCCATCAAGGAAGATGTCAAAGACGTCGTAAAGGAAGCTGTCACTGTTGCCAAAGAAGTCATACCATCAGTAGTCACACCTCCTGGTCCAAATCTACCTCCTGTAGTAGATGAAACAATCAAAAAGGTAGAAGAAACTGTCACGAAGGTAGAAGAGTCTGCAAAGAAGGTAGTAGCTGCTCCGAAACCATCAAGTGATGGCTTCCTATCAACTGAAGAACTGAAGGCTCTTAAATCTGGAAAGACGCCGTCCGACGAAAAGGAAGAGTCCAAGAAGAAGGAAGTTGTCGAAAAACCATCAGCCCCAGCAATACCCGCAACGCCAACACCAAAACCAGTACCAGCAACAGCACCTTCAAACCCTCCCTCTACCACCCCAAAGAGCTTCAAGGATATTGAGGATGCCTTAAAGACCATTCCAGAGCAACCCATTGTTAAAAGCCTCACTCGTGTTGTAAACATATTGTCATCCTCCCTAAATTCTTCACCAACGGTCGTAAACGATGTCCGTGATGAACTGCATGCCATTGCTGAATATGTAAAGTCTCTAAGCATAGCAGAAGCAGCCAAGCTCAAACATCAACTAGAAGAACATGCTGATAAATACTCGGAAATATTAAGTGAACATGTTGTTGCTGCTGAAACAGCTCTCATCGAACAAGCTGCCTCATTCAAACAAGCTACTGATGAGAAAGTCAAGGAGGCACTGTCTCGTATAGAACTTGAACATGCCGAAAAACTACAACGTGCTTTGAGTGCCCAGAATGCTGAATTCAAGGCCACTATGGTGAAAGAATTAGCAGCACAAGCCGAAGATTTAGAACGATATTATAGTCAGGAAGTCAAGACACGAGTAGATAAAGAACGAGCTGGTCGATTAGCTAGACTTGATCATCTAGCACTCAAACTACACCATCTAGAACGGATTGCTTTGAATGCCGGTGAAGGACTAGAACGACAATATAATGCAACAGCCTTCCGAGCAGCCGTAGATGTATTACGCGATACCGCATTAGGTGCAGCCATCCGAACTGGATTTGCAACTGAAGCAGCAGCCATTCAGAATCTAGGTCGCGGACGAGCCTTTGTCGAAACACTACTAGAATCCATTCCAAACGATATATGTAAAACAGGTGTTGCCACACTTCCATACTTGGAAGATCGATTCTATCACGTCAAGGATGCTGTACGACGAGTGCAACTAGTACCTGATGATGCAGGACCGATATCGTACATGCTGTCTGTTGGATTATCCTACTTTATACTTGCTAAAGAGGGTCTAGTGCCCGGTAATGATGTTGAAGCTATCGTGGCAAGAGCTGAACATTGGATGCGGGAAGGTGATTTGGACTCGGCTACAAGAGAGCTTAATTCGTTGAGAGGATGGCCTAAACGACTTGCTAAGGATTGGTTGAAGGAGGCTAGACAACGACTGGAAGTTGAGCAGGTTGTTGATGTGAGTACTGATCATCCTCTGTTGATAGGCTCATGTTTTTGGCGTTGGTTGGATGTGTGGGTTGAACGATGTGGGTCTAACCTTTGTATTTGTTGTTTAGATACTTGACGCTCATACGAGGCTGCAAGGACTTGGACAATTATAAAGTCATTATGATAGTTTTGATATTGTCCCTATTGTAAGAGCGTCATTATAGTATTTGCTCAAAGAGTCACAATAAGCATTGAGTGCATGAGGTATCGCGTTTCTTGATCGCCAATCACATATTCCAACGCTTCGGCATGAAGAATCGTGTCTCTTTGCTGCTCATCAGCACTTGCTCCCTTGTTGGGGTTTCGACGAACTCTCTTTTTTCTGGACAAGGTGTCGAGCTTGAGATTGGGAGAAACTGAGTGTACGAAGACCTCGCGCATCTAGAAAGACTATTAGATTGCATGTGATGTCAGCTTCAGGTACATCGTCATCAGGTAAGGATCAAAATCTTAAGTCCTAAACTCATGTTTTCGGAATCATCGAAAGCTTCAAGAGCTATGACCTATTGGTGATGATTGTTGATCATCAGTGCATTCATTTGTTGATTTTTGATCAATGCGATGATGATCATCATTGATCTTCAATGATTGATGTTCAACATCAACATTGTCATCAACATCAGAAATTTACAAATTCTATGAAGCACACTACACATTGTGAGACAAAAATGATCACTGACTCGTTCTGTCACATCCTTAGCTGTGGGATCTCCACATCGAAAAAGGAAAAATGGTATGTGCCAATACCTTTGCGTTTGCCACATCACCACATCACTCACACAGTATCCATATCCTCAAATCCTTCAGAATCTGGCAAGATGAGTCTCACGGATGCTAAGGTCACTGTTCCTCCATCAATTATAGAAAGTAAGTATGGTTTACAAACCTCTTTACTTTTCAAAAAGAAAGCAATCTCTCACACCCTCGTCACCCGTTTATCCACTGTAGAGGGACTATCTGCAGCTGAAGATATACATCGTACCATGAATTCTTGTTACTGGAACGCCTGGGAACGTAATATTCCGACATACGCAGTGTTCAAAAGCCACGTGAGAGATGACCAACCCAAGTACACTTTTGCCCACACAACGAATTTTTTCCGCCTGCTTGATCCGGGCTCTTTGTACGACGAGTTTCAAATCGAAATATACAAGGGCTTCATTGAGGATAGACTTGCCCACGACATTGAAATCGAAACAAACAAAGCCAACAAAGAAAAGAAGCAACAGCAGCAACAAAAGCAGCAGCAGCAGCAACCAAACGCTGCAGACGGAACACCCATGTCAATTGACGGGGTCTGTCAAAGGCACTATAATAATAGCAATGATAATAATAATGGCAAATAAGGAAGGAATATAGGAATATAGCACGTGATGCCGGTGGTGTAGACAATAAACAGATATAGAATGGATGTCAAATAATCATAATGTTCATTTTTGACTTCGATTCGAGGGTGTCCACCAAATTCAGCAAAGTTACTCGAAAACACTAAGAAAAGACTTCACTAGCATCTGCCAAGGCCCAGTTGCTTACAGGGATCTCGATACCGAGGCCATCATTTGCTGATTTGACGACGAATGTTGCATCTGTTTCACGTTTGGAAGGAAGAGGTTCTACCAGTGATAACGGAATATCTCTATGGGTAGTATTGACCTTTACAGCAAAAATTGGAGAAAGGGAAAGGTTGTAGCATCATCGTATTCAACATGTTTGGCCAAAGTTTTCTGTCCCAACTCAAACGATCTTATATTTTATGCAATGTGGTCACTGAGATGCATAGTTGGGGGAGTTCTCGTGTTTTTCCTACGAATTCTGTTGAGATGACCTATGTAGACGATATTGGCAACACTTCTCAGATCAAGCTTCATAACTCAGACACCGTGCTCCTCTGTGTTTTGTATACCAGGCTTGGAACTGGCTATGGCCACATTAGCACGGTGGTGACCACATGCTCCTCATAGTTAGAGCTCTTGATTTCAAGTGTCGAGAAAGGCAAAGCCCTAAGACAGTAGGACGAGAGACTTAGAATCTCAAAACTAACCATGTCAACCAATAAACATGTTACACTATACCTTCTCAACGTCCGTAAGTAGCAGTACCCCTGTCCCAGACTAACCATAAAGGATCGAAGGGCCACTTCAAACGCCACATCTCACAAGGAGCTGCTTTGTTGAGGCAACCAATTTCGCAGGTGCCCATTACTTTCCCGCCGACGTGGTTTTTCGCAGGTAATCCTGTCGTCGAATCTTTTACTTGGGCTCGTCACTCACAACAAGATTCATCCAGTGACGGATGGTTGCTCGTGCCAACCACCATGAATGGTGGATGTATGCAAAGGTCTAGCCGACAGCTTGCAGCAAGGGCTTGCAAGCTGAGAGACCTTGAGGGTTCACTCTCACAATACCGTTGCCATCTACAGGGACAAAAAAAACGTAAAACCGCTCTTTGTAAAAAAAACGTCAAATGTCGAAAACCAAGGCCCACCGAGGAGTGCTGGAAGAGGGAGGAACACGTCCATACACGATAGTATCATCCCGCATCGTATCTAGATGGTTGAAATATGTTGAAGGGTAAGAATATGTGTGTTGACCGCAAGATGACAACTACAGGGAAACTCAATGGAAAATGAAGCGTTTCAGGTACTTGTCAGGGAAATATCTGCCGTACCTGATGGATGGTAGCTTCTAGGAGACACTCATAGTGCTCTTCCTCCTTCCAGCAGTGGTTTCGACAAATTCCTTGTGTTGTCGAAATGTGAAGAAGGCGTAGAGCATGTACACGGTCTCGTTTTGCAAAGTCAATGTAGGTATAGAAACGAATGGAAAAACTCGATTCCAGCATTTTATGCTGCTCTAGATAACGATGTGCACTGGGGAACTGAATAAAGCAGGTGGAAATTTAAAGGTGTTTGGAATTTCGTATGAATACATTCAGATTGCCTCATTGCCTCAGATACTGGCCAAAGGGGGAATTTAGCAAGAATATAGTGCTTACGCGTACCGCGTACCGGTGTGCACTTCCTGTCCAATTAATGATGCTATTTGTCCTGCCCGATTTACATATGGCTTTTCGTCATGTATTGTACAGTTTGCTATATATCTTTGTTGTGCAATCATTGGCCAGACGCTCAATTCGTTTTTATTTGAGTCCCCTTTGTATCTCGCGTCGCGTATTCTCTTCAATGGCTCTTCTCCTTCGAATCGTAGCAGGAGCAGGAGAATCCCATAGGTTCGCCAAGCACAACGTACTAGGCTCTGGTTGGTATAGAATTCGTCGTAAACAGACTTACAATGTGTGTCTCGATCAATATGAATATCAGGCTGGATTTCAAACTGACCCTTATTCATCAAACTGCAGCAAACTTGGAAAATGAGAGCCAACGTCATTCGAGATAAAGTGCAACAGTGGCCTGACATCCTCGAAGACGATAATGATACAATGATACAGTTACTATTCGTTTAGCATGGTCGTGGTCTTGGGAAGTGGACATGGACTACACAAAGGCTCTAATCGAACATGTAAACTCTGGTTCAAGCTGTAGTCATTATCCTAGAATTGCATTCACGCCAGTCGAAGGGATGACTAAAACATCGATTCCTGGTGTTGCCATTGCTGCCATATTTAAGTGTATTACTGTGTTGGTCGAACTGGCTGTAAAGGTCAACGTTACAGCTTCTTTGAAATTCTGCAATGTTGACGTTGATGGATTTGTGAAAAGAGAATGAGGCGACGAAAGGATATTCAACTTGTTCCACGACGGATTTTCGACAAATCCGCTGCAAAACAATCCCAAACTCTTTGGGATCTCCCCCAAACGAGGCTTCCAGCTTGCGATACAAATTGTATTTAAAAGGTCAACCGAGAAACCCGATACTCGTCTTCAATGGTACCCATTCAATGCCAAGCTTACGGATGCAACCTTGGTCGTCAACTCTGATAATGATAATAAACAGATTGACATTCCCGTAAGCAAATGGTATTGGCCAGGAGCAAATGGTATTGAGCTTGAACACCCAGAAACACCCTCAATTGCTATTGGGCCTACAAGATGAAATCTAGAAACGAGAAATGGACTGTAACTTCTATTAAAGATACGGAAAACCGATTGTGCTAAGTCTAACATGGTCTGGGACTTTCATTTGACGAAAGAAGCTTACATATATGAATCCCATTACGTAACAACATCCCTATTCAAGGGAACCACGGTCTGCTCCCAACTCAGATCAAGGATCAGTATGAGTCTTGATAGAAGTCGTGGAGATGACTCCCTCACTTCTGAGAGACTGCCTCCTTCATCGTTGAATGTATCCACTGTTGAGTTCGCCGGCTTGAAGGCGTGTCCTGCCGAGAAAGTCAAAGCCGTTAGCTGGAGAGCAACACAGCCAATTACTATTGCTCAGCTGGCGAATTGGTATGTATACGACTGTCAACCAACTGAGACAACTCGTGTAGTTGTCTCCATAATAATCATACTGAATAAGACACAATCCAATATTCCACTTCCGGTAATGGACGCTAATATGACTGCCAGTCACTCTCGCCGCATCGTGTTGAACTCAAAGTTGTCTGATGCCACATTCATCATACAATCAGCCAGCAACTCTACACCAGTTAAGATTCCTGTATATTAAATTGTATGATCATCTGTCAGTTATGTCTTTCACAAGATGTATACTGGTGAATTTGCCGAATCTGGTGTACATCACGCATTGAAATCAAAGACGCTGACGAACTAAGCAGTGAGAGCCATAATTGAGTCGTTCATACCAATGGAATCACTGCGAAACTACCAGGAATGGATCTTTGATGTCAACTGTATAGTTTAAGTGATCGCTACGAGATCCCAGCATTGTCAATATTCGCGTTTGACTGGATCTTGAAGGACTTGAATGACGATACAGTATTCAAGTTACGGGACTTCTCAAAAAAGTAAGCACTAGATAGAAGAGTGCATCGATACCATTTACTCAGCAATCTACCGTAGGTATCCCAATCAAACTCTCTATGATCATTGCTGCAACTATTTACACCCAGCTCGGAAGACTTGGCTGAAGACAAGTTATTGAAGGAGTTGGATGAAGGTGTAGATGGTGTTCGACGAGCTCACCTTCAACTCTTGAGGTCTTAAAAGTGAAATCCAGAATGTCAAAGCAAACAAGAGTAAAAGTAGAGAGTGAAAGTGAAGAATACCTTGTATCAATAGTGTAGAGCCTCTGCAAAGAAATGGTACTAGCACCAATCAGTGAAGCAACTAACAAAATGATATTGACAAGTTGCGAGTTTGGTTGCAGTCGATATTGGACGAGCTTTCCGTTGAGCGCTTAGGCATCACAAGTCAGAGATTGCCGAATACATGATGAGCATTAGAAATCGAACGAGACAGTCCGTCTGATAATTCTGTGGAATTTCTAGATTTGAGAAACACGAGAATGTTTGCAGATTTAATTTCGTAAGGATTGGACGCAATTTGAAGCTCACAACGAAAGGACATGAGAAGACTTGCAATCTTTTTAGGGATAGATACGATTTGAAATACCGCTGAATGCTGACCATTCATGTTTAAGAACGACAATTAGGCTCCAAACATCTAAATCTGCAAACCACCAGAAGTTTCAAAGTTGGTTCAGGCTTCTTGCTTCTTCCAGAAGCATGCAATAAGAAATCTTTAGAGACTAAAAACCCCATTCAGTACTGCATAAATGTACAGTTTTGGTTTGCATGTGCTCCCAGGTGTTGCTGAGAACTACTTCGCTTGAGGTCACAAGAAAGGCTGGTGAAAATAAACCTTACAAAAAGGGTGTTTTAGAAGAGGTTCGAGAGCCCGGGGGTCTTTCAGGCTTCTCAAGGGGCATTGAGGCACCCCACTGTCTGGCTGTTGGTTAGCATGAGGCTTCTCATGCCGAAACGTTGTCAGCTGAGTCAGCTTTACTTTTTACAAGATAGGGAGGAGAGCAATGGATCGTCAAGGTCAAGATGTTACATGATTTGATTCGGTCTAGACGGAAACCAAAGCAAAGAAATATGTGTACTTTAGAGATTTGTGTTGCTTGGCAAAGCAGCACTACTATAGGAAATCAATACCATCTGAAGAATGACACCTATCAAATAGTCTCACCTCAATGACTGACAGCTGGCTGTCAAACTGACAGTTGCAGAACTTGGTTTCCACGAAGCAACGTGCTATGGTTTGAACATTCAGTCGTTCTCAGTTGGCAGCAACGACGCGCTGTAATTGTTGTCCACACTTGATACGCGTAGGTCACCTGCTCAGCTCAGGTCTGGGAGATAGCAGCTTGTTTTGGCACCTTTGAAGAGGTCTTCATTTTTTGTTGCCTAGCTGCCGTTTTCTGTCGCAATATCGAAGATGGACGAAACGGATACTACCAAAGTTTTGATTGTCAGAGCCTAACTGATGAGCGAGTCAAAAAAACATCCGGATCTTAAGAGTTGTTCAAAAGCCAGTGGATTGGACGCAAAAGCAGTTTTCAAGTAAACCAGCCCCATTAGGATAAGAAAGATGATAGAAATGATTTAAGCTCAGACTTAATATCGCTACTGTTGAGTTTTTTTTTTGCCTTCGTATGTCATTGGATGTTTTTGGTGCTGAAACTGAGTATCTTGCGCTATTCAAAATCAGCCCGAAATTTTGTGATTTTTTTTCAGACATATACAAGGAACAAAGCAGTGCTGATCATTACCTATCACAAATTTATGTTTATTTCGTGACTGATTCCTTGTTTCGGACCGGCAGCAAAGAAAATAAAGCAATAATCGGATTCAAGTAAGTACCAAATTAAGAAACTTGCAATGTGGAGCTCGCCAGCTCGTTTCCTCGTTTTATTGAATAACCTGATCTACGCACTCCCTACTTCATTGTTGATTGCATTTTTGACCTTGCAGATAGATCTCGCTAGCCTCGACACTATACGACTTTATATTTCAATTGTCATAAAATTGTGACTCCAGGGAATATCGACTCCTGTCTTCACATCGACTTGTCGGAGAAAATGTAACATCGCTAACTGTGACGAACTACGCTTTGAGGCTTCGTCATTCACAGGTCTTATTTTCATTAGTCTCGCCAGAATGAATTGCGGATACCAAAAATGGACTTTCAATTCACTTAAAGAAACCGCAACATCGATGGCGCTCAACATCTCTTGGTCTTAAGATGTCGACTTGGTTGTGTAATGTCGACTTGTGGATTCAGTCCCGCAGAGGAGATCCATTTCGTGTACACGGGAACTATGTAATTGGAATGCCCAAATATTCATCAAGGTGCACTTCCTTCGAGCTTCCAGGTTCGGCACTCACATTGAAGTCAGCCTCGATTTTGAGATCTTGCGACTGGCCCCATTGACGTCCTCTAAAGGGTCTCTGTTGCCGCTATACGATCTCTGTTGCAGCAACTTCCACTACGTTCGAAAGACCATGCCAGAAGAGAAGTTTTTGGAAGGATTGAGGAAGATCCTTATGGTGTATAGAGAGCTATTCTTCAGGTGTTGAGGTCGTGGAGAAAAATTCGGAGGCTTGGCAGGAATAGATTCAGAGCAAGAATAGTCTTTGATCGACCATGTATACTATGTAAAGTGATTATAAGGAAATATGCGGCAAATATAGGCAGATGAGAAGCGTTTTGGAAATGCTTGTCGGTGCGAGTTTTTGTTGACAATCAGATTCCGTGGGACGCAATTCAACGCAGCTCTCGCCGACGTCACGTCAAAGCAGTCTTCAGATCTTGAACGGAAGTTATTTGCGTGCTAGATCAGTCCAGAACTATTACATTCATGCTCCAGAACGACAAGCATACTCCAAACATCCAAATCTTGAAACCGCGGAAGTACTTGCGAAGAAAGACACAAACCGTGGACAGTTTCGCAACAAGCTTGCAGCAAGAAGGTTTCTGAAATTCAGATATGGATTTTAAAGTTAAAAAAATAGTTTTGGTTTGGGTTGGTTAAGATCTGGTGGAGCTTCGCAAACAAAAGCATGAGGACTGTCACAACCACCACAAACATCTTCAAAAACGCCCTGAGAACGTGAAAACTTGAAGGGGGTTTATTTCAAGGGTCATTCAAGTCCGATAACTAAGTTCTTTGCCTGCTTAGCACCAGTATGAGCCTCATATCGCAGACCATTTTCGATCGGCTCAGTTCCTTCAAAAAACGACAACTGCTCTCAACAACGACAGAGAAAAGTGGACCTACAACCGTGATGTCCAGAGGAATCACACTCGAGATCTTGCCTCTGGAATCCAATTCCAACAGCTACGTTCAAGGCCATCCAGGTCTTACTACATCTAAAATCCTGGGCAAAGTACGAATTCACGGTTTTCGAAATGCTGAGACACAGATAAGGATCTCGTTTACTGGGATCTCTGAGGCGTAAGTACATAACATTTATCATGATTGTGACCTCTGTCGGCAGTCCTTCGTGGTGCTCAGCAGCACCACCACCACCACCGGTGTCGTGACTTTGTGACTTGTGTCAGCTTGATGTCACATCAATCCACTAACGTCTAAAAATTGTTCCTTTAGGACAATTTCTTCTAAAGGACGTGCAATTGTGGATTTATCTTCTTCTAAACCCAAGTCTACCACCAGTAACGTCTTGATCTCCCTCGCCGAAACTCTATATGTTCCTGCTTCTACCACAACTAGCAAAAGCTTCGTGGATGTTCCCTTTGAATTCGAATTACCAGGTCAGTCTCGCTTTGCACCAAGGCCTATATCTTCGTAGCTGGCAATGAACGGCGGGATCGTCGTTATAGTGTACTACACGATTGTATTGTATACCCGAACACATTTTGTCGTCTCAGATCTCCAAGAAGATGAAATTTACGCCTTTTACCTTAACCAGATGATCCGTCGTCGCCTATGAATGATCGGTGGGTCCTACCGCCGTCACAGAGCTACAAGACAGCGGCTTATGGGTTTCAAGTCCACTATGAACTCGAGGCACACGTCGCTCAGAATAGGCCAATGAGCTTGACGAATCGGCTATCACGGAAAGAATCTACTAATTCATTAATATTTCTAATATCTTTAAACTACATCTCGGGGAAGAGCTCGTCGAGTACATCAACTTCAACAACAGTGCCTGTTACTCTCAAGTTTTATTCGAAAGCCAGTCTATTGGCGTTACTGGACTTTGATGATGATCCGTATATATTTGGGCATACGTGGCAGTACTTGGACGTAGTGGTAATCAGCAGTTGTATGGCAGGAGGGCGTATGGAACCTGTCGATATCTCAGTCACGGCAAATCCACATAAAAAGATACAAATCACCAAAGCTAATGGTACCCTCGAGTCATTTTTAAAAATGCGGCTTTTGATGGTCTTCTCATCATTAACACTCTTGCACCTTTTCGTTTAGTTTCCTTACTAGAGAAGCATACTGTATCAGCAGGATCATCTCTAGTCGAGCAAACCAGGGTTCTAGAAAGTGCGATGCTAATGAAGCTGGACTCGTCGTTGACCGACGCGACTCAGGAGTTGCACGCAAGATTATACGTCATTGCCGATAGTTTACCGTCTGAGGATCTACCATTTGCTCCGATTAGTCTCGAGGTTGACTCAACACCTTCACCAACAAGCTCAGCATCTTCTCCGGACTCTATATTCTCATCAATGATGCTGAGCCCGGAAGCTGCATATAATTCCCTGCTTCGTCGAAACAATAGCTTTACGGACTCATCATTGCAACGTAGTAGGTCTACCGACTCTTTGAATAATATGATTACTACTACTACAATCGCATCACATTCCCATGCAATGACACGTGGAACTGTACGCCATACCAATGGAGCCTCTTCTAGTTCAACTCTACCGATACTAGGCATGACGAGCAACGTATGCTTTGACGTGCAGCATGAGATCCAAGTATCATTCACGGTGGGAGTCGATGGCAAGTATACAAACCTCTCGTGTGTCTTCCCCTTCAGGGTAACTAGTATCAGGTCATCGGACGCATTGGATCTGCTTCAAGAGCAGCCAGATCTTATACCGCCGTCGTAAGTTCTTTGAGTGGTTGCTTGTTGTAGCAAACGTTGTTCATTTGAGTGGTTGCTGGCTGTCACAAACGGTTGCTCATTGTGTCTTCATGGGTTATAGGACGTATGAAAAGGCTATAGGCCTTCGCAGGAATCTGGACCATCATCCGGCTTGGCGTACGAAACGATGAACTTCACTCGGAAGCGTGTCTTATTGTACAAATTATATACCAGTGGTTGGCAGTGTCTGCTACCACACCCAGTAGTTTTTAGTGTTTCGATAGTCGTTTAAAATAAATTGACAAAAGCTTGCCTTACGTGTATCGGAGCGTGAAATTGTGAATTGTATGTGATTTTAGAGATGTTGTTACGTAATGATCTTCAACATTTAAAAAATCACGACGGGTATGGTGCATGTGTGTATAATCAAGAAGAGTAAGCAAAGAAGGCTCGATTTATGTAATTTATCACTTACAAAACACACATCTATAGGCTGTCCTAGCTCGAAGCTTTCACTGGTCTATCTACCGCATCCTAAAACAGGTAGATGTTGCGACGATTTGCTCAAGATCTACTAGAATTCCAACCAGATCGAAAATAGGAATATCTACGGCTTTTGGAATAGATGAAGCTGATGGACACGTCAACTTGCTAGAATTGCAACGTGTAGACTCGGAAAGCACTCGGTCATGGTTTTGTGGAAATTCAGTCATTCAAGGTGCTATCTGTTGAAACTGACGTTTCTCGTTCTTGGTCTGATTCAATATCCTGTGATTTAGATGGAAGCTTTTTCATGGTCTCGCCATTTGATCCTCTCTTCTTGCTGCTTCCAATTTTGACCAAACTTCGCAAGAAGGTGCTACATTGTTTTCGACGACCTCTGATCGAACTGGTTGCTTTTATGCTAAATGTACATTAACCAGACGTTCGTCTTGTAGACTGAAGAATCGGAGGGTGTCTTTTTATCACTGGATGATATCTTGCACCATGACGAATTTCCAAAGTTGACCATGTTGTCTGGAATCACTGTTTTGGATGCCATTTGTGACACGAAAGGTGATCAAAGACAATCAAAGGCTGAATTTACATGTGATTGAACATCTTGATACTTAGTCGCTGGTGCTGACTTTCTGTTTTATCGACTGAATGATGACAAAACACTGTCATGGCTTATGACAAAGGTCTATAAACGTTGTAGATTAATGAAGTCGCGGATCACTGCTTGCTGACGTACACTTGGTTAGGTCAAAACTCTACAAGAAAAGACTCATGATTCGCCAGTTTTCGAGTCAGCAAGGAGAGAAGAACATGGGATGTCACCAGAGGAAGCCAAAGGTCAGGCATCGGCATCTGAAAATTCATCTTCAACGTATGAGACACTGAAAATACGTCTGTTTATTAGAAAAGAGAACAAAATTGACTCTGCGAATACTTTCAAGTTGCTTACCAAAGGAATGGGAAGATCGACTTGTTGCTTCGTACACGTGAGTTACGCTACAAGATTCTATGTGAGGCTCATTACTTACTGGAGCATGGGTATATCTAGATTCTCTGATCAACCCAAAGGAGGAGAATCAGAAGAGTACCATTATTATGATGCAACCAAAGGCCCATCTTCCATTCGACCTCCAGAAACATTTGGCAGCGGTGATGGCAAGAAGCGGGGTGCTCTTCCCATGTCGGCATCTCAAGAAGCCAAGGTAAATCTATCGTGTTAGGGATTGAGTGTCATGTCTTGGCCACGCCAGCTAACCTCCCACCTACTTTCAGAAAAAGAAGGCCAAGTCCACTTCGATGGGCGTCAAGGCTCTTTCCAAAGTCAATACGAGTAAAATGAACAAGCTAGACTCGTTTTTTACGCGTAAATGATGACTTTTGCGTTATATGTCGTTGGACTGAACGCGTTCAAAGTTGGACATGTCAGCTCTTGTAGAATTTTGTAAGCAAAATATTGTAAAATCCTTGAAATATTGCAGGTATAGCATGGAGTATGTTCTCTAGGTTTATTGAAGTTTCGCTATACCCTCTTGCACAGAATCCAAACGTTGGACTTTTCACATCCACTAACAAGCCCAGAGATGGAAGAAGGAGAAGTGAGACCAGAAGAGTCAGATCCTGACGACATACATCTTGAACCGGTACCTCGCTCCAATGAAGAGCAGGCTGCAAATGGCAAGAAACGTAAAAAAGTAAGTTTTTGTGTGGGATTGGTATTTATTGACCAGAGCTGCCAAAACTAATATATAAAACGGTGAAATTAGAAGGTCGACGAAGATGAGGAAGGTGAAGATACCATGCGACCATCCAAGTCTAATCCAGGGGTAAGGTTGCCTCTGGTTTTTGCAAACATGACATTTTGTGCGTCGCCAGCTTTTTCGTGACTTGGATCTAACGCAGACTTCTTTTTAGATATATTCTGATGACGATGAAGGTATATTGTGCTTGCAAATCGAATCATCGTATTGATTGCTTATTGACACTTTGCATTTAAACCAGATGAGGACGAGGAGCAACAAGAAGGAGATGAAGAACTAGGCAGTTTTATTGCTGACGACGATGAAGAGGTCGCTGATGGGCAGGAAAGGCGACGTAAAAAGAGACGTAAAAAGGTTCGAACCATCGAAGACGAACTGGATGAAGAAGATATGGATCTAGTTCGTGAGAATATGGGTGAAGGAGAGGTAACAGATTCAGAAACACTGCAGTTCTGTTATGAAAACGTTTATTGAATCACGTCTACGTTTCTTTCTAGTTTAAACGTCTCCGTCGTGTCGTTGATGAAGAAAAGGGCGACGACGACATGCATCGCATGTTTGATGACGATGAAGCTGGTGAAGGCGAAGGGGATCGTCAAGCCATGGATATTGATATGGATGAAGATTCCGATGATGGATTTGTCGTCAATGACGAAGGTGACGATGAGAATGAACGTCCTCGACCTAAAGCAGTCAAGAGAGCTCGAGGCATGCCATCTGGAATATCAAACGAGTAAGTTTCAAATGCAGCATTAAAGGGATTCAGTTTTTGTTGCTGTCTTTTCTGACTGTTTTCGTGTGTTTTAGGAAATATGATGATTTAATGGATATCTTTGGCGATTACTCAGATTATGATTATCACTTCACCCAGGTACGAAATGCGATGACAGGGCTCCTGTACGTTTTTGTGAATACTCAAATATAGACTCTTCAATAGGGTGAAGAAGAAGCAGAGAAGGAGCAAGAAGAAGTCTTGGACGAATATGGTGAACCCGTTCCAGACAAGAGCAAGAAAGAAAAGAAGCTCGCATCTGTAAGACATGCACCTCGAAACAGAAAGACTCGTAGTTTTTAAACTTTCGCGCCTGTATAGGTATTCGAACCAGCTGCTCTGTCTCGTCTCATGTTGACAGATCGTGACACTGAGATTGAGAGAACGGACTTGCCTGAACGATTCCAGCTTCTTGAACAGAGGATGGATCTTGGTCCATGGGCAGCAGAAAGTCGAGATGAGATGACGGATGAAGCTGAATGGATTGCACGCAAAATATATGCCCAACGACCTCAAAATGTTGTTGCATCTGTTGATGAACATCGAATGGATCCAAATCTTATAGACGCTGTACATTATACCGTCAAATCACTTCGAGACAAGGACGATGGTGGTTATGAAGTACCACATATAGCTCGATATGGAAAAGATCCTATAGCTCACGCATGGACGTTGACTGACGGCAGCGCAAAAGGTCTTCGATTATCGGACTTGTGGAGGATCTTCGATTTGGATCGAGAGTATAGAGTCTTTTCTGCTCGCCGAAGAAAGCTCAAGACGCTTTTGGAAGGTGTACAGCATGGTCTTCCGGAAGATGAATTGGCTGTTATAAATCAATATCTAGAAAATGCTCAGACAAGTGAATTGCTTGCTGACTTGCATCGTCGAATCACTCTCGTGTATCCAGCAGTGGTGCAGGAAGTGATGGGTGTAGATAGCAGTAGGACATCAAAGGTGCAACAATTGGACAAGTGGACTAAAGGTGGCATTACCACGTTCTCAAAGGTAAGGCTGGAGAGAATCTATTCAAGAATTTTATCGTAGATATGCTCACTGTTTTGGTCTTTGCAGAGCTACGATATTGATTTGGGAACCTTTGTACGTGAACTCCAATTCGCTGTAAAGTATCATGAGCCATCAGATCCAGACAAGTTTCCCGAAGACGTTGCTTCAGAGTATATAACAGCTTCTGTTTATAACAACGCACCCATCATTATGGCTGGTACGTCGAATTGGCGTGCTGATTCTGTTGAGAACATTAGTGACAATGATTTGACATTTTCTTTGCAGAGGCCGAAAACTATCTGGTACTCCTTATGTCCACCGATCCTTCTTTGAGATCTTGGGCTCGCGCCAAGTTTGAAAGTAAAGCTGCATTATCTTTCAAGCCATCAGTGAAAGGAAAAGATACCATTGATCCTGATCATCCGTTCTGGGTAAGTTCTAACTTGACGTTTCTAAATCAACTACGAGCTGACTTATTCCCCTCTCGAAAACAGCAATTCAAATATCTCCAACGTAAACCTCTCCGACAAGTGGTGTCAGAGGAAGATTACAACATGGTGATTCTGATGTTCGCAGCAGAGCAACAAGGGTTGGGTCAGATCATTGTTGAATCTGAGGACACCAGATTCCTTGAGACTGTCGAAGCAGCCATTTGTAATGAATCTTACAAGGAAGTTTCTGGCAAATGGAACGAACGACGTCGCATAGTTGCCAGACGAGCTTTTCAGGATGTCATGTTACCTGAATTCGCTAGTCATCTCAAGTCCACTTTGCTGAAGGACGCTAGAGAGTCTTTGGCAAAAACGATCGAGAAAATCATGAGCGAGGTATAGGCACGATTCTGCAGGTATTCTTTTTTCTCTGCCATGTAACTGATACTCAAAAATTTGACAATAGAAAGTCGGAATGGCTGGTTACATGCCATATAGATCAGATGACGAAGACCTTAGAAACACCTTTGAAGACGATCCACCACGTGTATTGGCCTTGACGTTGGTTGGTGAATTCAATCCATCACTCAAAGGTGTCGTTATTGATGAAGACGGCCTTCTCAAAGAACATTGGTCGATACCAAACGTTTTGACACGTGAAGAAGCTAACGGATATAGTCATCTCGTCATGCTAAGGCATGGTACACCGGCCAATAGCGAGTTTGCCAGAAAACTTGCATCTATAAATCCAGAGTTCATTGCTATTGCTGGATCTAGTCCACAACTTCCCCGTCTCTTTGACGTGCTTGAAAAAATTCTCCAAGGCTTGAAGGATTCTAACGATGCCGAGGTGTATATTCGAAAAACACCACAGTATCAATTCGTAGAGGATGATGCTGCTCGTATATACCGTAATTCTCCTCGATCCCGCTCTGAGTTTCCATCTCTGGACGATGACGGACGATATCTCGTTTCTTTGGCTCGTAAAGTCCAAGATCCTACTATGGAGTATGCTGGTTTGATGAACACTGAGACTGAATACAGGTCTTTGAGGCTACATCGTCTCCAACAATATGTGAGTGAAAGTGGATTTAAACGCTCCTATCGTCATGATTACATATCTGACAAAGAGTGTATTTTAGCTCCCGGATGATCAGATGCAGGACTGTTTGGAACGTGCCTTCGTCAATGCAGTCAACCTTTGGTACGTAGCTGGCATTTTTATTTGAAATCCCACTGTTTTGCTGTTTAACAGGTGTTTTGTGACATAGTGGCTGTGATATCAACGATGCAGTAATTCATCCTCATCGAGCATATACCCTTCAATTCGTAGCTGGTTTTGGTCCTCGTAAAGCACGCAAAACATTGGAACGAATTCGTAATAAGGTGATTTTTGGGTTTTTGTCTTTTTGACATTTTACTAATCATCTAACATCGTTCTTCCTTTGCAGAGAACTTGCGTGTATAGTCGAAATGAATTGCTGACAGAGCAATATATGGGAGGTGGACGTCATGCCAAGACCATCTTCAACAATTGCTCTGGCTCGATTCGTATCAGACGTCGTCACTGGGAGGATTCTTCAAAGACACCCGCAGAAGATGTCATCTTGGACATCCTCGACGATACTCGAATACATCCTAGAAATTATCAATGGGCACGTAAAATAGCTGCAGCTGCATTGGAAGTAGAAGAACAGGAAGATCATCTCAATCCATCTGGTGCAGTAGAAGACTTGATGGAGATTATGAAGGGCCAAGATGGTACCACGCCATTGGATGACTTGGATTTAGAATCGTATTCTCAAACTACTGCAGAATTATCACGCTTACTTCTCGTCTTGTATGATATTCGATCAGAATTAAAGCACCCTTTTGCTGAACTCCGTTCGCACTGGGAAGGTGCTACTAAAACGCAAGTCTTCAACATGATAACAAAAGAAATTGTCGGTACCACAGTGAAGGAGAACATGGTGGTAGAGGGTACCGTATATCGTACCTCTGGCCCCTATGTACGAGCTCGCATTGGAGGTGGTGATCTTGTAGGAATAGCCGCCAAGGACGATTACCCAGATTTGAAGGATGCTCAAATTGGCGAGACCTTGAACTTTAAGATTGACAAGATTGATGATGCGTGTTTGAACGCTTTCTGTTTGAACTTGCAACTCATGTCGCATACTGATATGCAAAAGCATCGAAGTGGGGATGATACTAGACCAGAGGTATTTTGGGATAGGCTGGTTGAGATTGATGATATTGAACATCGAGAGAAAGGTAATGTCACATTGTCTCGACTCATATATGGCGAGGTGATTTATTGGATTCTTTCTAGCTCAAATGACCAGGAAACGGAAATTCATTCCTCGATCCATCAAACATGCTGACTTCCAAAACGTCGAGTCTGCAGATGCCATCAACTACCTTGCTCCACAGTTACGTGGTAACTTTGTATTTAGACCTTCGAGTAAAGGTCCCAAGTATTTAATTCTGACTTGGAAGGTTGATGATGGTATCTATGGTCATATTGGTAAGCCATTGCTTTGCAACGTAGAGTATGAGATTTATTTTCTAAATGTTTTCCACATCAATTGAACACAGAAGTTGAAGAAGGCGACAAGCAGCCTACAAACTTCTTGGCTCTTGGCAAGACACTGAAGATTGGAACGAGTTCATTCACAGAGTTGGATGAAATCGTTTCCACGTATTTGAATCCATTGATTCATATGACGAATGAGATATTGGACTCGAAGAAGTTCCAGAGGATAACCTACGATGAAGCAGGTATGTAGCGTTTACAAATCGTTTTCTGCTCTCCTCGCCAAGCCAGATGTCACTCAACGGTATCATTTTTCTTCCCGTAGAATCGTTCTTGGAACTAGAATGTGTCAAGAACTCGAGATCCAACTATGTTCTGATTCCTGCTGATCGTAAACCAGGAGCATTCTACTTTGTTTATAAACACCCCAGCAATCGAGTACATCGGGACGCGGTCCTAGTATTCCCAACCCACTTTGAATTCCGCAATAAGCAAATCAAACCACCGCTTGTACGTCTCTTTGATGAATGGAAGCTTCAAGAAATGACCCGAATGGAGGCTGACAAGACTGCTGCTAGAGCCAAAGCTAAAGAGGCTGCAGCTCAACAAGTACCAATACCACCAGTAAACAATAATCCATTATTCGGAGGCGGTGGCCGTCCAGCTCCCGCTCGTAACCCCAATTACGGACAACAACCAAGTTATCAGCAACAACAACAACAACAACAACAACCTTACGTTCCCGTTGCTGTAGCAGCTGGTCACTGGGGTAACTCAGACTGGAGTGGTCAACCAGATTATAATAATCAAGCATCGTATCCTGCAGCTGGTGGTGGGTTTGCTGACCGATATGATCAACGACAGAATCAACCACCACCACCACCACCACGATACAACCAACGTAATCAGCAACAACAGCAACAGTATGGTGGTCAAGGAGGAGGACGTTGGAATAATAGCAACAATAGTACTGGGCCTTCTGGTGGTTACGGAGCAGGATATGGCCCATCTGGTGCTGCATCAGGATATGGAGCTGCCCCAAATAATCAGAATGGACGAGATAATTACCGTGAAACGATGAGTAGTGCTGGTGGATTTGCAACAGTAACACCACAGCAGCAGTACGGTGCTCAATATGGTCAGATGTCGGGCGGCTGGGGAGCACCGCAACAACAGCAACAAACTTATGGTAATATACCACCACAACAGCAGGGATATGGTCCATCAGATTGGGGCAGTACGGCAACTACACAACTTCAGCAACAAGGAGAGTGGGGAGGTGCAGCTGCTCAACAACTGCCTCAACAAGCCGAATGGGGAAGTACAGCAGCTTCTCAACAACAGCAACCAACTGGAGCATGGGGTGCATCTTAAGCTCAAAATCAGCAGACGCCAGTTGAATGGGGTACTGGTCAATGGGGTTCATAGTTTTCATAGAATTATAGCATAAAGACATTGCATGTAAAAATTATAAAGCTTTCTTGATAGGAATATTCGTGTTTGGGCCGCGGTTTCAAAGCGAGAACAGCGTGGCGAAATGACCAACTGAGCGAATAAATTGTGAAGCTGTCTGACCAACACCTGACAACAGGTGGTTTCCTTTGATCTGGCATTTGATTTTTTGATGTGAGCGAGGAACTATACTTCAATATCCCAACCCCCAGTTCTGCAGAGGCTGACATTCTTTCAAGTAGAGGAACTACGGATCAAGCATGTCAGCAGTGAATTCTACTGCAGAACTAAGTACAAAAGATCTATGGACATTGGCCAAACATGCGGCAAACAGTGATGCAAAAAAGACAACTACTCAACTACAAGGTAAAAACATTGCTTTGGAGGTAAGGAAACAAGACAAAAGAGTGTAGATCTGACATTTATACAATATTTCTAGGCATTGAGAACACCATGATTGTGGTGGGAAGCAAAGGATCAGGCAAAACAACAATCATTTTGAGACAAACCGATCGAGGTAATTCACGACACACGACAACATAATTAGTCTTACAACCGGTCACCGTGATGGCTTTAATGCTTACTTTTGTTGTAGATGAGGCACCGAGTCCTACGAGTGCTCTAGAATACACGCAAGTTGAACACTTTCACACACATGTGAACAATTGCCAATACCTCTTTCAAAACATCTATAGATTTGCAAGACGAACAAGAGGAATGACGGGCGTCAAAGATGTAGTCCACATGTGGGAAGTCGCTGGTGGAGTTCGCCTTTCGGATCTAGTCAAGATTCCGATTGTTGAAGCACAAGTGCATACCATTACTTGTGTTATTGTGGTAGATTTATCTCAGGTAAGAAAGAAAATTTGTTCTGGGGACTGCAAATCCAGTATACTGACATTGCTGATGATTTTTCTTAGCCGGACTCGATCACATCCACACTGGATCACTTTATTACCCTGTTTGCTGAACGTGTGGAATCGCTACTATCTGGATTGGAGAAGAGAGGCTCTAAGCGGCCTGCTGCGTTGAGGAAGCAAGCGTGGAAAAAGTATGGTGTTGATCATCCTGACCAGTAAGTGAGGACTAGAGATGAGTTCAATAGGAGTGCAAAAAAAGTCCACTATTTATACAAGATGCGCAACCTTAGGTCTGAACTTAAACCTAGCTTGGTACCACTAGTAATTATTGGATCCAAATATGACGTCTTTAGAGATTTTGAATCGTGAGTCCCTACATTTGAGATTCGATCTAGTTTCTGGAAGATCCAGTCACTCAAATGTCTATTATCTCTATTAGAGAGACGAGGAAGCTTGTGTGCAAGACACTGAGATATGCAGCTCATGTGTTTGGTGCTTCATTAATATTCACGTCTGCCAAAGATGAGACGTCGATGGAGCGTGTATGGATTCTATGCGCAATAGGCTACTTTTGCAAAATGTTGATTCCTAGTCTATCTTTTCGTACATAGTGTCGGCAACTGTTGAGTCATCATGGATTCAAGTCTAATCCTCCAAAGGGACATATTATAGATCACAACAAGGCTATGATGGTGTTGGCGGGTGAGTTAGATTGTTCGAGTTGTTCTATGACTCATTGCTCAAATCTTGTTTTACTTCACAGGAGCGGATACTCTGTCTCAAATTGGACATCCTACCAAGTCCGATAAGGAATCTATTGGACGCGTGAAAGGATTGGATTGGAATATGTGGAAGACTGTTTATAGTCAGAGTTTGCCACCTCGAAATGGTATGTGTTGCAATGTGCGTCAAAGTATAGATGATGCGACTCTCGTCAACATTGGTTTTTTTAGTGCAAGATGATTCCCTCAAAGACATTGTAGATTTGGCAAAGTATCGAGAGCCTGCTATTGATAATGTGTATGGGCAAAAGGAGTAAGAACTTACCATTGTGGCACTTCCTATAAGTTTGTCTTTTTTTTTTGTTCTAACACGCAATTTCCGAACAGGGCTGAATTTATGCAAAGAATGGAGAGACAATCACAACCACAAAGATAGCGTATACTTATGTACTAGGTTTATAATAATCATCACGTTGCATCAATAAAACTATCATTTATGCTGGCTTTCCAAAGTGATCTTTGGCGAATTCGTAAACGTCCTTTGGTTGATGATGCACCACTTGTACCAGGAAATCAGATAGTATCTGCCTTATCTCTGGATTTGCTTCCATGTATTGTTCTTGTTGTGCAGTAATCAAGGCCTGGATTAACGATTTAATGTCAAGAATGTCGAGCGTGGGGAGAGAAGTAAAAAGAAGAAGAGGATATGGTACCTTTCTTTGGATATGCTCAGATTCTAATTCAATCGTCTTTTCAATCACCATTGGGGGCGCTGTGGTTGTCTACAAGAAAAATTGTTGGAGGATTTGATTTTGATCCTGAGTAGATCTCGATATAGTTATAGTGCCACTTACTTGTTCTTCCATTTTAGAATATATCTATGGATTGGTCTTCTCTGATCCTTACGCTGCTTGGCCTACGAGGATTTGGTTGAAAAGAGGACGAACATCAGTGTTGGGTTGTTGGATGAGGACATGTTGAAATTAATGGAGAACCCAGGTGGAGAACAGACTAGGTCATCAAGTATTTAGCCAGTTTCTCGTATCAGGAACGGTCGGCCAGCTCATTCGCTGCCAGATTATCAGTCCAAACTCAGTCACTTCTTATGGGCTGTATTGCTAGGTCCTTCCTCACAAATCGCTTTCTCAACATCTATGCTTTTGATACATGTTGGCTACACTATGCTACTGATACATGATGGAGTTCGTTCCACCAACTTCCGCATTTGAATACTACTTTTATGCCCTCAAGAGTCTTACGCTTTGCACTGCGTGAAGGGATTCTCCCCGTTTCTCCCTCGTAATTGTTATAGGGAAACGTAGACGGTCTCCGTCTTCACCGACCTAATTACCTAGAATGTAGTTTCCGATGTGAGGGCCTAACCGGAAGATGCCGCTGATTGTGTATTGGGACTTTATCTGCTGACTTTGGTCCTAGACTTACAACCTCAATGCTTTTCACTTTCAATGATGTGCAGGGCAGGATCTCGAATTCAAGCGTTGCCCAAAATTTATTGAATGTTCCTCTGACTAGCACTCGAGCATCCACACTACGAGTTCACCAGTGATAGTGGCGTCTGCAACGTTGCGGTCGAACTGAAGCCACAGTTTGTCTTTGACCAAGTCGATTTCCCAAGACCACAAGACGTTGAACACCGCCATTTCTTCATGCTCTACGATAGACTGGACAATCCATTTCTGGTTTCTGGACACCATTATTGAGGACTACGAGTAGATTTCTCTGTCAGCAATGAAGCCTAGCCAGAAAGAAGCTCGATGGCGATGAGTCTCATAAGGCTCGTGTATACGCACCGGAGTAGAGCTGACTGGATGCTCAGCTCTATGCCTATAGCTACTATGCTCTTATAAACTTGTGAAGGTCTCGCTGGACGTCGCCCACAAGAAGCACAGCTTTGTGTTTTATCAAAAGCGTAATAAACGTGATTTTGACGTGAAATCTACGATGAGAATTGTTTGCAATATTATCAAATTGCTGTTGTCCCTTATTCGAATGTTGTGGTACTATCATAGCAGCTTTCGCCCTTGAAACAAAATACGATTGTGATTGAATTCAATTTAGAATTCTCAGTACTGTAAGCTTTATTGTTCTGTAAGCTTTTAGGTCTTGGATACGGGAATCTCGACGGCAATATTGTCCTTCTTGGACTTTACGGTCAAGACGGCATCGGATAGCTTTGAGTCAAACAAGGTTGATTCATCCAACTTGGGTGCCAAGACAACTTTCAACGGTAGTGCTTGTGGTCGAAGGGATTCTTGCACCTTCTCCAGGGTATATATATATTGGGAGGTGCATACGATATTTGTCGAAACGATCCGTCGGTTTGTATTCCTATTTGGATGATACCGGTGTAATATAAAACTTTGGACTTGGGGCTGCTCCAGCTGCAGTTGCGATACCAGCAAGCTTACATTTCTTATCTTCAACGAAGTGGAAAGCCTGATTTCAAAATGAGGCAGAAGGGATGAGGATGACTTCTCAAAAAGTTGATTTTGATCAAACATCGAGCGTCAACATGGCGAAAATTCACCACAGAGACTGAAAATTGGGTATGTTTGTCAGGGTTTACCAAATGTTGGTCAGTGTTCTTTCAAGTCGACAACCCAAGACCGCGAGAGGCTAAATACAACTGTTGCTCCGTTGTCTTCGAGAGATTCGACAGTCCATTTCTGGTGTGTGGAATGTATTTCATGGGACTATTGATCGAAGGGCACTGTGAGTGACGAAGCTCCAGAAAGCATGCGTTGGATGTTAATGTGTCTCATACGTACGGTCTGACTAGGATTGCTGAGACTCGCTGGATTGACGATCTTCTAGATATTAAGAATATCTTCTTTTGGCACGGACGCTGGCAAGATACACCTGCAGTTGTAAATACAATGTAAATACAAATACAATACAATACACAGGTCAGATAGCTCAACAACTACAATGAAGCAAGCGAGCCAGCAACCTGGCGAGCGCCGATAGAAGATATCTCCACACTTTGGATACGTACTTGAATGCGGCAACTTCTCCAAAGTTCGCTGTCGTTCCAATATAACTCGTTAACTGGGTTGTGATGTTTTGCATTTTACGGAAGGAATCACAAACAGAGAAGCAGAAACTCACGTAAAACATGAATCAAAACTGTGTTTTGTCCGAATTTTGTGTCAAATGCCAACTGTCTGGTTGATTCTAACGCATGGGATGCGGTAACAACGTAATTTTCTTGTCAAACAACTGAGTAAGATCGTACGTCTTTCTTTATAGATTCTACCTCTACAAATGACGCAGTCTCTCTGAATCCTGTGCCAGTCGAGCTGGGACTGCACAAAGAGGTTCGACAGCAGTTTCACTAACGGTCTTCAACATCCCTTCAGATGAGCACAATCGTGCAACGACATAAAACGGCAACAGAGACCAAGAAACGTCATTAAAAAGCCGACTAAATGTCATTCGTGTCTACTTGTCTTGCTCTCATCGTGGTGGCTTATTCGAAAACAGCTTTTGCGTCCAACAGCGTTTGGTTGTTGACCTCTCAAGACTTGTAATACATCCACACAAGTCAAATCAGCTAACCCTTTACAAGCACGAAAATATTCTCATCAACGCCTGCCGTGGTTCATAAATTAAAACGGCTGCCCCCAGCGTTAAACACCCTCTTTGAAGGAGGCAAAAAAGCTCATATCTCCCAGACCTGAGTTGAACAGGTGACCTACGCGTGTCGAGGTTACATGATCCATTACAGCGCGTCGCTTCTGCCTACTGAGCTACTGAGAGCATTTGTTTCGATTCAAGGAAAGTTCTTGCAAAAGTGTCATTGAACGCCAGTTACTTAGTTCTGGAATGTAAGTGTCCGCTTCGCGTGAATTCAAATGATATCATTATATTTGGTCTGCTGGAAGGGTGTTTTTTAAATCCAAAAAAATTATGTAATTGCATTGTTTAATGGTGAATTTGATGAAGTGGCTTTGGAATAAACGTAGAATTTGTTACCCGTATGATTTAACATCTAAAATGAATGCTAAGACGCGAAAGTTCACCTTCTGTGAAATATGTTGAGTGTTTTTGATTTCTTCACAATTCAAAGGCACATTCAAAACATAAGTAAACGACCTTGAAAGTGGGCATAATACGATGAAAATCAGCGAATTCAATGATAACGCCGACGCAAGTTCCACCAATTTACTAGTTTGGTTTGATCATTTATTTCCTTTGACTCATCATGTTTTGACGCGAAATTCATTCCCCAAAGAATTCAGCCCACTTAAACTGCTTCCTCCCCCATTGTTCATTTGGACAATGCAGAGTTCCGTATCTACTGTATCGAACTAGCAGCCAACCCTCGATACTGCTTTGACATCACACTGCCAACGTTGATAATGGAACAGCCCTCAGCCGTGGCGGGACGAATCAGGAATACAAATTGACAGATGACGGACATATCATACGTGTTGGCACGAACAAGGCGCTGGATCTTCGAGAAAACAAAAGTCCATCAAAACGGTCCGAGATTGGAATGCAGAGATAGCCGCTTCGATTGTTATACTCTAATATGGCGACGAGTTTCTTGGATTTCGAGGTTGAGAAGAGGCTGGCGAGGGAAATGCGACTTCAATTTTGAAAACTCTGTTGAAACTTTAGACTGTGACTTGGTTAGTTCTTTGTAAGTGATTTGTGAGCAAGGTTTTAGGCTCATGAAACGAACTCATCACCCACCTCAATGACCAAAGTCCTTCAACTACAGAACTTGATGAGTTAGAGGATGTCAATAATCATCCATTGTAGTCGACTATGTCCGTATTGTATCAGCAGTTTCAGAGCAGCGAAAAATTCTGGCCATCGCTGACCTGTCAGAACTCTTGTACGCCTTTTGTGTCAAATAGCAGCCTAAAAGTACAGTAACAGTATTTTAATCCTGTTTTGGATGCGTCATTCCATCCAAAATCCATTCTTGTAGCTCAACCACACGTCTAGAGTATGGTCCTCTTTGAGGCAGAATTTCTTCTCCAAGCGTGTACCGATCGCCTCCTGTGGCAGTCTCACAGTGATGCGCAATATAATTTCACGATGTTTTAGCTATTCTATGGCGGCAGAAAGGATCAGGAACGCTTGTTCACTTGTAAAGCCAAAACAGTTGCACAACACGATTGCTCGTTTCGAAGCAAGAGGGATACACATTCTGCCGAATTCTCAGTTTGAGTTCACTTTAAAATCGGAATTCTACATGATTTGCAATTTTACTCTGTGATATGTTTTTATGGTGTTTAAGAATCCTGCTTTGAGGTTGATCAGTCAGATCAGTCTGCTTTACATTGTCTTTCTGTGCGCAAGACTTTAAAGAGGACACGTCTTACTCCAGTACCACCGTCATTCAGACTTTCAGGTAGTTTCTCGTCCGGCATTGTCTCCCGAGCGTTCAAAAAGTAGTCGCAACAATGATTGTAGAGAGCTTGATTTGGAAAATGGGCAGAAGCCAATTCCAGCTTTCCACGAGTAAATATATCTACCCTGTGAAGAACAGCATAAATTTAGCATAAAAACAGCATCAAGCAAGTCAGACAGCTCTTGCAGTTGAAATATTGGAGCCAAGAGCTCTACAGGAAGAGTCTCTGCGTTTGCCTTCTTCTTGCCCTTACGAGGCTTCTTTGGCGACGGTTTGGTAGCTACTTCTTCTTCGTCGTCATCAGCAGCATAATCTTCCTCGGTAGCCTTGACTTTAATGGCAGCCGGCTGCTTTCCTTTATCCTTTTTTGTTGATGTTTGGATGACTGGTGATGAATTTCGAGTGGAGGAGCTTCGCTGTTTATAGGAGGAGCGTCATCCTTTTCAAAATCATTCTGATTCTCTACGGCTGGAGGAGGAGCAGCAGCAGCAGCTCTACGAGGTGCAATTCTTGAGCTCGTTCTTTTGGCCATCTCATGACAAAGGTCACTAGAACCTTATTGGAGAGGTACCTATAAAGCTACAAGCCTTTATGATTGCAATACTGAATACTTGTTCGATGCGGGCTTTAGCTGATCTGGTGTAGACTGATGAGCTTTTTGTGTGTTCATTTTTAACAACTTGAATTCGAATTGGGCAATCAACGACATATAACACAAAGCACTTCAGCAAAGTTCCGCTGCAAGTCGATTCTTAAGTCATAATCACACTCTGAAACCGCTTCAAATCCACCTAAACGACGCGTTGGGCCCCCAAATCGTCAATCATTGGTACCTTATCAAATTTACAAAATAGACGCACACCGGTCTTGATGATTTGTTGTGGAGACTAATATCAGGTTGAGTGTTGAAACCCAATTCTAAGCATCAGAAATACTCATAATAGCAGTCATGGATGACGACAGTGTAGATTTCATGTCGACTGAAGCTGATGAAAAACTGAATTCGGACTGGTGGGAGAAGACACCTTTATTGTAGGTGTAGTCTCCGTTCATTTACACTAATTTATATCTATTGCAATCGTTTGCTGATTTGCATTTACCCATTTATATCTAGGAATGGCCATTCATCGTCAACATCAAATCACCCAAACACCCCATTTGCAAGGACATTCAAAAGACCTTCAATCCAAACTCAGATTACTAGAACCTGGCCACTAAGAGAGCCAGGAGTCCAATTCGCTACTCCACGGCCAACAAGTCTATATCTTCCTTCACCATGGGCTGATCAAAGCAGTGTTGGAGGACCTCCTCAACGTAGACGAGGAATCAAGAAATTGTCTCGAAAGAGTGTTCATTATGATGATGCTACAGATGGTGAAGCCTTGGAATCTACTGGAATGAGGATTTGGTACTCTGATTACAGGTGTGCCATCAGCTTATTTTACTCTTTTTTTTGGCTTCGTCTCGTTTAGTAATATCTCATAGAATTTCGTCATACGAAAATCCTCCAATCTCATTGATTTCAAACACCATTAGTACTATTGACTGGATGCATGACTTGGTCAAAGAACATGTACGTCTCCGCCAGCTCAGAAGCATGAAAGGATTGCGAGGGTTCCTAGCAGGTATCTGGGATGCCTCTCAAGGTGAATTCATCATTTGATCGACAAGCATCATTATACCTCTCAACGTTGCCATATATTCTTTCAGCATGGATCCTCGTCCTCCTAATCGGAATCGCAGCTGGCTGCGTCGCATCGCTCATCGACGTAATCCAAGACTTACTCACAGACTTGAAGAGTGGATACTGCTCTTCAAATATCTTGTCAAGTCAGAGTCGCTGTTGTGCAGGCAGTCAAGATGCTGTCTGTACCTCATGGATTGAATGGACGAGCACCGCCAACTCACCATTCGAAAAATCGCAATCATATTTATGGTCGTATCTTTGGTATATCGGACTGGGTGTTTTGTTCGCGACTGTATCTGCTGGCCTAGTGCAATTCACCGCACATATTCGATCAGACTCTAATGTTGAATCATCAACATCACCAAATGCATCAACACCACACAAGATTGTGTATCATGCGGCTGGATCTGGAATTCCTGAAGTCAAAACCATACTATCAGGTTTTGTCATTCGTGGATTCTTGGGATTCAGAACACTGGTTATCAAGAGCTTTGGATTGATTCTTGCTGTTGCTTCTGGGTTGACTATTGGAAAGGAAGGACCCATAGTACATATCGCTTGCTGCATAGGCAATGTATTGTCCCGGATCTTTGGAAAGTATGCTCGTAATGAGGGTAAACGTCGAGAGATGTTGAGGTGAGTGGCATGACACTAGTCATTTTAATCTTTTTTTTTGCTGAAATTTCAATATTAGTGCCGCTGCTGCAGCAGGAGTGTCTGTAGCTTTTGGTGCTCCTATTGGAGGCGTCTTGTTTTCCTTGGAGGAAGTCTCGTACTATTTCCCTTCCAAGACTATGTGGAGGTCCTTGTTTTGTGCTCTTATTGCCAGTTTGACAGTCAAGGTGAGCGAAAAAACCGAATGATCCACTTACGCCACAAGCCAACGAATGCTTTCGTCGTTACTGTAATCACATTTTGTAAGGATTCTCTCCTCCCTTTACTCAACCGTCATTCAGTTCCTAAATCCATTAGGAACAGGCCAAGTAGTCATGTTCCAAGTCTCATATACATCATCATTCGCATTTTTTGAGCTACTTTTCTTTGCTCTTCTTGGTGTCATTGGAGGGCTGTATGGTGCCCTCTTCATCAAAGCAAACATGTGGTATCAAAAGCTTCGTGGCAAATCATTCCTTCGTAATCATCCAATCAAGGAAGTGATGATGCTGGCATTAGTCACCTCAGCATTGAATTATCTTAATGTGTTTTCGAGAGATGGAATGGCTGGATTTGTGGGTAAATTGTTTGCACAGTGTAAGGAGGGAGAGGATGGACTCGGGGATATGTGCAAGTGAGCCATTAGTCTATGATCATAGTCCGTGTTTTTTCTCGCTCCGAGTTCTCAGAAGGAAAACCTGACTTTAGGTTTTCAGAAATGGGATCTGTTGCATACCTGCTAGTCCAATTCATGCTTCTCAAGGCAGTTCTTGTGGTAATTACTTTTGGATCCAAGATACCTGCTGGAATATTCATTCCTTCGATGGCTATTGGAGGTAAACAAAACCTGTTATTTGAGTGGAAGACCGCCTTCAGCCACTAATTCATTCTACTCTTTCTCGTCACTAGGAAGCGTTGGTCGCTTACTTGGAATGCTACTACTCCATCTTCATACCACATACCCAAACATGTCTCTCTTCCAAGAATGCCATGATTCAAATTGCATAGTACCTGGCGTTTACGCTATGGTCGCATCTGCTGCAGCTTTGAGCGGTGTGACTCGAATGACGAGTGAGAAACATGCATCCTTGTCTTGAAAGTTTTCCAATTTTTAGCTCACCTTTTAACAATTCATCCTTTCTACATAGTCTCACTAACAGTAATCCTAATCGAAGTAACAGGCCAACTCACACACGCAGTACCCATCATGATTGCAATCCTAACTGCCAAATGGGTAGCAGATGGATTTGGGCGTGACTCGATATACGACAAGATTATCGACTTGAATAATCTTCCGTATTTGGAAACCAAGCAAGATTATCTTGTCGGTAATATCACGATTGCTCAGGTCATGGAGGGTGCAGAGACTATTAAGGCTGGGAGGAAGTATACGATTGAAGAGTTGGTGGATAAGCTTTCCAGATTGTGTAAGTGGTAGTGGTTATGAGATTTTGTCATTGATCATCCAGCGATGAATTCTTTCATTTTTTCTCTGCTTGTAGATCAATCTGCATGGAGTTCAGATGGTGGTTTCCCTCTTGTACAATCAAACATCCTTGTCGGATGGATTGGCTACGCTGAACTTGAGCACGCCTTGGGTAATTACATTCCCTTTGGATTCTTGTTTTTCGCCGGTCTAGATCTCATCATTCTCCACCTTTTACAAAACACAGGCGAAGCACAATCCGCAAACTGTGACATCCCATGCTACTTCAAACGTCCCATCCATCAATCTCCTCATCGTCCAGCCACTCCACACCCATCATTCACACCCCAATCCATCGCAACAGAAGGCGATGGTCACGATTTTAGCATTTGGGTAAACTGGGCGCCATTGACGATCTCAGTTGCATCGTCAATGGATATTGCGACTGAATTGTTTGTCAAAATGGGTGCCAAAGTGATTCTGGTTGTTGAGGATGGTGGGTTTGTTGGGCTGATTCATAAAAAGAGGTTGATTTCTTACCTCAAGAATAAGAATTCCTCATAATACGGCGTGTAGTACGTCTTTGTGTAAAAACAGCAAAGATGCGAAATGATCGACCGCTATTTTTTTGCCGATGCTCTCAAGAAGTTCCGTGTGTAGGAACAGTTCATGCTGGAACAAGACTTGACCAGACCACACTTTCGAACCTGATTCTATGCTTTATATTTTATATTGCATTTACATTAATAAAATATGGTTTCTACGTTTTACTTGCCAACACCCAATGCTTCCCCCTCTCCTCAAAATAGCATTGCCCTCCCACCATTACTCTTCATATTCCTCGAATCAATGACAATATCGTCTACAGTAGGACGACGAGATTCATACTTTGCAAAATGACTGACAAACGATTCAAGTTTGATATCAGTACGATAGCACCTTGTACAGCCCAAATCGCACGTATCTTGCCACTAATAGTGACGCGGGCTCTTGTCAGGATGGGTTCAAAGTCGTTCTGTTTGTTGAAGATGGCTTGTTGGGGTCTGATTGAAACGACGCCGACTTTTTACATCCAGAATAAGGACTCCTCTTCTTGTACATCTTGTGTCCTTTTCCTCGTATAAATACAATTCCTTCCACTTTCTCCATGTTTTTTGTTTGCTGATGCGTGACTCTATTACGAAATCCAAGCTATACACCCCCTAAGAAACTACGAAACAAGTCTAATCCTCGCATTCCCCACCGGCCTCCTCCCACCACCATCACTAACCGCACTACTCCTCTCCACCTCCACACCACCACCAGTTTCCTTAGGATACACACCCAACGCCTCTGCATCTCCACTCATCTCCGTAAACACCACATCCCAATCCCAATGCACATCAGCCTCCATAAGCGATTCAATTGGCATCAATGCGAGATTCGTTAGTAGACTTAGGTCTACGCCTTGTAGTGTTGATTGCTATGGCGAAAGAAACACGAATGAGATATGTTATCATATTTGCAAACTTTTGCAACATGAGCGGCGATAATACGTACAGTAGAAACAAGTCCCTTCATTTCAGTAGCGACTTCTAAATCCAATTCACGGATGGTTTTCACGCGATCTGCTTTCCGGACTGCGGGGACGGCCGAGACTGTGAATTCAATGTCGGTTGTTTCGTGGTCGGTGTCCAAGTCTGGGATTATGTCGATTCCTGTATGTATAAATGCGGTTTTGAATGTTAGACATGGGTTGAATTGAGTTAGATCCTGCGTAAAAAAAGATCGTATACACAGGCCGAATACCTCGAGTAGGAATAGGAGCATTCACACCAACTTGCCTCCTATTATTACATAATAACAAATAAATAATTCATTCAAATAGCATAAAATCCATCAGATCCTGCATACCTCATGTTCGTAGTCTGAACACCACCACTATCGCCATTCTCACCATCATCTTCACCCTTACTCTTCTCAACACGCTCACCACCACCGCCATCACTCCATCCATTCCTCGCCACACTACTAGGCCTCGCATCATTACTAGGTTCAGGTGAATTAACATCCCCCCTCACAGCAGCAACATTACTTCCAGCAGCTCGTCTCCCCATTCGACGTGGCGGCGGAGCACCTGATGTTGGTGGTTGTGGTGTAATATTACTATTAATATTACTGTCTGTATTTATGGCATCGTTGCTGTTGAGTAGTAACTGAGAAACGTTTTCGGTTGTTGGTGCTGGTTTCATGCTTGTTCCGGGACGAGTGGAGCGTTTGGGAGGTTGGGGAGGGAGGTATGTGCGTTCGTCGGTGGCATCTGCTTGATCGCCGTAGTCGTAGTCGTCTCCGCGCGACATTCTTCTGCTGTTTTGCATTTGTTGGACTCTTTTTGGTTGGGCTGAAGTAGCGATTAGCAAGTGACGAGCGATGTGAAAAAAATAAGAATGCTCCCATGGCCAATGCAATACATGCTATTATTCACCAACAACCAACTACATATCAACATATCTTGTAACTATCTACACGTGATTTTACGCGACAACACCGACAACACCACTAGCATCAACAAAGTTTACATTATGAACAATAATCCTTCAATCATAAGCATTTACAACATCATGGGAAGTCCTGTAATCTACCAACGAAAATGACGTAAGCAAAAAAAAAAGACCGACGTCCCCTGAGCATGCAGTTCGCAAATCACCACACAATCAAAACACAGTACTCACCTCCGCAAACTGACTCATAACCCTCAACCTCCACTCATCAACATCAACACCCTTCGGCACCAAACTCTCAACCTTCCTGGTATACACCTCCTCCACAAAACTCTTGATCTTACGCTGCGGCAAACTGGTCGTATCCACCACGTCCCGGCCATACAAATCCATCTCTTCATCACGTCGTCCATCACATACCCGCACGAAAACACTGCTGCCCTTCGTATATGTGATACTGCGTGTCGCAACATGCTCGGCGAGCACATCTTCAACGGTTTTATCGTTGGGACGTCGTTGGAGGTCTAGGATGAGTGATTCAGGTGGTTCGCCTTCGTAGAGGGGGAGCTGTTCGTTGGCGAGACGGACGTATTTCTCGTTGGATGAAGTTGTCGTGTTTGTGGTTGGTTTGAAGATTTGCACAATTGTCCAGCCTTGGGCTTCGAGGCGGTAATCGGAGCCGTCTGATACCATGCAGCGGATGTCGATTATGGCGACTAGCTTTGGGTCGTATGGTCTTCGTCGATACCTATTGGGGAGATGGTTAACGTTCGTTAAGAGGGAGAGAATATGGAGGCAAAGTTCATATTTGAAGATACCACTATACATTTTGTTGTTGGTAAGTGTTAGCGATCTAATCCCGGCAAAACAAGCCTAGCTCAAAGCATGCAACGAATGTCCTACTTGAAATCCATCCTTCCACATTGGTGACCGCAAAGAAGAATCCAAATCCGTCTTTTTCGTATACGTAATATCATCAAACTTTTCCACACTAGCAAGTCCCCCATCCAAGTAGAAGAATCCAGGTGGATTCAAACTTATAATAGCAACCGCAAATCCTTTACTACATCGTAGATTTTGTGCTGCGTCACAAGATATCTAACACGTAAATTATGTAGACAAGTGTGAGTATACAATCAACATAAAGTTGAATCATTACAAGCTTCTAGTAAGTTTTTTTGCCTCAACATATGCCTACCTTAAACCCAAACGAAGCATCATACTTGCACACATACGACACGTCCAACGCAGGCACTTTGCCCACCTTATCAGGCTTGGTCAAGAATTTAGACACGAAATGCAGCAACGCATCATCAGACTGCACACGTATCAAATCCTTCATTTCCAGTAACGCGTCACGAACAGTCACAGATGGCCGTTCAGTTGCCACGAATGGGTAAAGTTTCAGCTCGTAGGGTGTTGGTTTGGATGGTGACGAGTCGTATATCGAGTCAGAGTATTTCGGGGCCGGTGCTGGTGTTGCTAATAGGGGAGAAAGGTGATGAGCGAGTGAAAGCATCGCACAGTAAACCTATACTCGTTTCTTGGGGTTGCTATTACCTAAATCACCAGGTTTGATATGCACTAGCCTGACCAGCAATGTTGTACATGGAGATCTAAACGGGACGTGTAATATGAAAACAAGGTTGTTAGAAAACATGCATCCATTATTACGTACTAGGATCTCCTTTTTTTGCAAATACCTCGGAAATCCATCCAGTGAGGTCCCAGACAAGAACGCATGCACATCCGGCGTCCCCCTTGAAACACTAATCTGATGCGCCCCCTCATTCAAAATCAAATGATCCGGATTCCCCACAAACAAATTCAGCACACTCGTCCCGACCATCCTCAACTGCTTGGTAACTTTACACAGCGTATACAGTTTGAAAAGCACAACACCGGTCTTGTCTGGTAACTGTGATGTCGGGAACCGGTATTCACAACGAGTGTTGTATGATGGTGAATGCACGAGGGAGTCCAAGTCTACTTTTGATGATATGATTCCGTCGCCTGTGTTGTCTCTATCTCTTTTGCCGGTACCAGGTACGGTGGATCCATAGTTCAATACTTCGAATGTCGAATTAAATATCCTGGCTGTTACTCTGCTGACAGTTGCATTTGCAGGGAGGTATCGAGCTCCGTCTATATACAGGTCGAATCCATCACCAGATGAAAAGAAATTGGCCGTATTTGTTGAATCTAGTTTGTTTTCTACTGGTAGCCATGCTCCTCTCGGCATTGCAGGGATCATGGTTTTAGCTTCGAATGTTTTTGTTGGTGGTGGTCCTTGTTCTGGTTTGTATATTCGGAGGGCAATGTTTGCACCTGCGAAATCCTTTGCATGATGAGATAGCTCTATACGTGAGAAGATTGAGTTGAGTACAAGACGTGATTTCTGGACTGCCAAAAAACCTTGACAGACGCAGAACATAGGACTCAAAACGCCATTACCTGCTGCTCTATACAACTTTAGTCGATGAAACCCCTCATTAATACTCAACCCCTTCCTCCGACTCCCACTAAACAACTGCACATCCGTCCTGGCAGCAACAAGCGCCCCTTCAAAAACCTCAATCAACCCTCTCTTATTAGGCGACGCAACCAAATCCTTAAACACATGATTCATGACCAGTCCACTCCATCCAAACGACTTGTCTTCAACGCCCAAATCAGCCAATTCAGTGACAAAAGTTGATGATGCGTCGACGAGATGTGTTGGGTCCGAGTCATCGAGAATGCAGAGGCGAACACGGACTTGGGTGCCAGGGAATTTGCGGATTTCTTCGAATTGGACGCCGATGGAGGTTACGAATTCTTCGGATGCGGGATTTGGAGTTGGGGTGACTGTTGTTGCGGGTGCTGTAGGTGGATTTGCTGGTGTTGGGTCTGCATTCAGTTCGGTTCCTCCTTCGATGGTTGCTATTCTGTCGTTCGGTTTAGAGGCAGCAGCAGGCTGACGTATCACATCCGGTGGTCGTTGTTTCTGCTGTTGCTGCTGCTGTTGTAATTGTAAGGCCTGCTGTTGCTGCTGTTGCTGTAATTGTTGTTGCTGTTGTTGCTGTATGAGGTTTAATTGATCAATAGAAGCCTGGTTATAAGTTGGTGTAGATGATTCCTGTTCTATTTGATACATAGATCGAACTCTTGTGCGTCCTTCCGTGTCCCTATACGTGAGATTGAGAGTGATTAGAAGAGATGCATCCCGCAAAAAATCGGAAAGTATAATCAACAGATAACTCACAATTTCAGTTTCTCAAACTCGGCCTCCTGCAACATCCTCTCCTTTTCAAACTGCATTTTCAGCAAATATTTCTTATGTTCAATACGCAATGCTCTCATTTCTTCATCTTCTCCCTCTATAGGATCTGGTTGCTGGATATTGGCATTGTTAGTATTGGTATTACCACCACCATTGTTGACGTTATTTGGTCGATCAAACACATCCTGTCTATTCACCCCATTGTTATACCCAGTATCTATATAATGTCGATTCATAGTATGTGGATAGACAACACGTTTCGGACCCAGTACAGGCTGTGTCTGAAACCCAGTCCGTAATTGTTGCTCGATTTGAATCGCGTCGACTTCCAAAGCGTTCATCTTTGTGAGGATCCGCGGATCATTTCCGCCACTACGTAGATATTCACTTCTTAGGAGCAGTAACTCGGACACGACAGATCCATCGGTGGAACGGATGAGATCAGATAGTGGTGGTTCGGTAGGAGGACTAGTTGATGTTGGGATTTGTTTTGGTTTGGCGGATGCATGCTGCTGGATTTATAGTTAGATCACATTCTGGCACAGAAATATAGTGATATTCGATGCACAGTGACTACCTTTGAACTTCTTTTTGCCTTTAGTTTGCGTCTGTGATCTTCGTCCAGCTGCCTTTCCTGTTCAATAAGTCTAGAACGAATAGATCAATAAATGGCTCGTTCGTGATAGAACATATACGCGTATCTAGACTTACTGTGTCGCCTCTAGTTTCAATTTCTGCACAAAGCTGTAATCCATCACCCTCGTCACATCAAAAGCAATCGACAAACGAGTATGTCACGTAAGGCCGTATTCGAGGATGTGCCTCTGCCGCCACAGATCGAGGGCTTTTATAGTCGGTCTGTGCGTAAAATGAATGAGAATCCCTTCATCCTGCCAGGTACATAGTGATGTATTGTTTCAATCAACGTGAATCCAACTAACACATACCGTTTATACTAATAGGAGTGGTGGCAGTGTGCTATTCTCTCTATAAAATGTTTATATCGCTGCATAGAGGCGACAAGGTTGGCTTCCAGCATAGTCAGAGAATGAGGGTTGGTAAGCTTCAACATTTGGGTTTGCACCCAGGCAGGCTGGACGAATACTGAACCAACCTCTATTGTAGGAGCTCAATTATTCGCGGTGGGAGCATTTACAGCGGGAATAGCGTGGGAGAATTACTGGAAGGGCGACAAGAAAGCTCAACCAACACCTGAACGACAGTATTGAATTGAATGTCACCTATCCATGATCGCATAACTTCACATTGCCACATCGCATTTGTAAACCATCATAAATTCGTTTCTTCTCTCTTTATAAAACAAGTTGCATAGTCTATACGTGTCGTCGTCTTTCGCAGCTCCAAATCACACATAAGCAAATCATGATTTCAGCACAAGAGAACGAAGGAACTTCATTGCGGACAGAGTTCTCACGCGGGAAGGCTGCTTATAAGGAAGTAGAAGACTCGCCTCTGGCCAGCATAGATCCCAAATACCAAGTAATGTTGATTTGCAATGTCTGAATTGTTGGCTTGATTTACATGGAACTAATCTCAACCACATATAGACCATAGTATCAGACTGCCTCCTAAACTTTACCAAGTGTGCCTTCCTCGTCCGCCAACTGTCCCTCTTCAGCGACAACGAGATCTTGGACGACATTGTTACTACTGACCTGAGGTTGCTACAATCTATACAAGTTATACAACACAGCAATCTATATACTGATACCTATTGCACTAGGTATATACTAGTAGACTACTTCCTCGGCGAAACAACCCTCAAACAAGTATCGCCCAAACTCGAGCGAATGCAAGTCATCAATGTCGCTGAAATGTATCTGTCGCGCTACCTGACTATATGCGATGACTATGCCATACTCGATTCCGATGATGCAAAGAGATGGCATGCCATGACGAGAAAGAATGAGGATGGGGATCTAGTGGATAGCAATACGACAGAACGACCACCCACTCGTGACGAAAAGATTGCGAGGTACAAGAGGGAAAAAGAGACAAAGAAGCGATTAGAGGTATGTATTGTACATGTGAATGGTTGGAAGAGAATGTGTTGCAAAGGGGAAGAAGGACGATACATGTTTCTATCATAAGGGCTTACCTCCCTACTTTTTTTTTGCTACAGGACTTGCTAAGCAGACGCAAAGACCAGGAAATCGATGAAGACATTGAACGAGACATCATTTTAACTAGTGGCAGACTATACGCTCAAACCGCACTCGAATCCATACGACTCATTCGTGATGAACGTGTCATACTCTTGGAAATGGAACAGATAAAGAGAGACAAGAGTCATGAATTGTCTAGTCAGCTTGAGAACAATAGTGACACTAGAGTGGCGCTAAAGGATAGGACTGGTCCGTTGATGAATCCACAAGGAAGGGTATGTGTGAGAGGTGAAAAAAGGGTGTTGTGTATACTATGAATCTGGATGTGAACCAGTTGCAGTTCTCCCGCATGATGTCTACTGATACTCTTATCTCGATATTAGATCATGCGTCCATTCGTGATTACCAGCAAGAGAGAAGAAGTACGACGTGGTGTATTCAGACCAGGCTGGAATCTACCAACAATGACCATTGAAGAATACTTGGATTTGGAAATGGAACGTGGGAACATGTTATCTGGTGGAACAGGGTAAATAGCTTTTGAAAGCGTGAACCTTTTTTTTTTTGCTCACCATCTAACAGCCCTTTATCCTCAACCATAGAGAGGAAACAAACACAAAGGTCGTCGAAGATTCCGACTATGATGCTCAAGATCAGGCAACGCTCAAAGCTAGAGAGTGGGATGATTTCACTGATGATAATCCTAAAGGGTGGGGTAATCGTGGTGCAAACCGTGGATGATGACGAGAATGTCGCATCGTATGTCACGGCTATATCTTCGTCCCTTTTTGTGCAATGTTCTATAGCTTACCAAGCAGTATGTACAGAAAAGAAATGTATTTGCAAGAAACATTGCATCTCTTCTCATATCTTCAACGTTCGCTTCTTCTTCTTCTTCTTTTGAGTCTCGACTTTCCGATTTCCGGGAGCGTCGTGATTGTTTTTCTAACTGGCAAAAAAAGGACGCAAATATAATTTGGGATAGGTTGATGCGAACAATTGTACCTCCTTGGCACTTGCAGCAGAAGCAGCAGAAGCTGCACGTCTTCCAGGTCTTTAACTTTCACAGATCCATTTATTCCCGTTCTTCGATACATCGTCGTTTAATAATGACTTTTCGAATGTCAGCCTCACAATTAAGTTATACCATCAGCAGCTCCGTCTAGTACTTGATGACCATTGAAGGCACATTAGTAAATTATGAAGCTATAACAAGCGTTCATTTGCTTGGTGAGTTCCAAGTACAGCCAATAAAACAGTTGAGGAAGTAAGATAATCAACACATCCTTGTGGAGTGACAGTTCCCTCTGGTTAAATAATCCTCTCCACACAATTCAGGTCGTTCTCCTCACATGGACACGGAAGACTTTGATTACTTCTTGTTTATGAGCACTTTTGAGACTCTAGCTTGCGAGAAGTGTGAAAGGTGCAGTGGCAAATCAACATCCAGCCTTGGTCGTAAACGTTTTATTGTTGTTATTCATGCACACAAAAATCTGTTGCGTTGAGATGCATAACATCTGAAAACTTGGCTGTACCAATGCTTCTGGTGCCTCAATGGGTACAGGCCGATCCTGAGCAACATTGGAACACACCTTCACACAGAATCGCTGCATAGGTGGCTGATGCTTGATGAGTGGGATCTGATCCCATATTGGCCATTTTGTGTACAAATCCTTGTATATCGAGCAACGTTGCTCAGCACCGCTTTCAGATAACAAAGTTTTTCCTTTTTCAAATGAAATGTTAATATTTTAGCATGCCATATGTACAAGTAAAAAGACTAGCTACTAGTATCTACAAAGCCGATTGCATCGCCCTTCTTCTTCTTCTACATTCGTCGTTTCTCCTTCTTCTGAGTCCGTTTCTTTTCTTTTTCTTTATCAGCTTTCTGCTTTTCAAGAGCTTCCTTATTCCTATTGTTGAGTTGTGTGAGTTCGTGGCCAAAAATAGAGTAAATCGGCCCCACGAAGATCCACTTTCATTCAAATCGCGCTTTCATTCTACCTTTGTACTTCCTTGGCATGTGAAGCAGAAGCAGCAGCTCTCTGAGCTTGCTCCTTAAGTTTCACAGCTAGAGCATTCTCATTCCTCGATATATCATCATTTGACGATGTCTTTTCCGAAGCAGCTTTGTATACAAGTTCACCATCAGCACCTTCGGTGACTTGATCTACATCGAATGCGTACTATCAAAGTAGGATAGAGTGTTAGATGTGTTGACAGAACAAACAAAGAAGAGTCATTATAGATCGCTGTATGAGCATTACCTTGTTAAGCAAGGCCTCCCTCTTCTTCTGATCTTCCCTAGACAATTCAGGCCTATCTCGTACGCGTATCGCCTCTTTAAGCACCTCAGTTTCTTTGAGACGTCCAGCAACTATGTCGTGCTGTTTCTGTTGTGCGTCTTTTTGATTGTTTTCTTCCCGTTGTTTTGAAGACCATGTTATGCATTCTTTGATGAATGAGTCGATTGATGATGATTGTTTGCCGTCCTATATGGTGTAAGTGTAAGGACAGCGAAGAAAACGATCGAACATAGACAGATGTTGGATGTTCTCGTCCAAACGCCAGATGCTCACAGATGCTTCCAATAAGAATGATTCCAAAGCTTCTCGGAGCTCTTCTTCATCGTCACCAGAATCAGCCTGTATTATAGATTCACAGTATGATGTTATGGTCTATCCTAGTTTTGTTAGATAATTCTTTTTTTCCCCCACATAAAAACAGTCAAAGCTTCATAACGGAAAACCAGCAAGGACCTCTGATCTAGCTGACCTCATCGTGCAGCCCAATAGCTGCCAGTTTGGCCGAAATCCAATCTGTAAGTTCCTCGTGATCTGCCATTCTGTCGTTTTGTGAATTCAAAGGGAGCGTTACGGCGGACAAATGAGACAAGTTCCACAAAGGAGACAAGAAACTGCTGATTGCATTTCCGTGTATATTTACGCTATTTTCTATTTTACAGCTATTTTTCTTTCTACGAACAATCGTACAGTATTCTTAGCTCTGACAAGCATATTAGCAGCGCATTCGGTTTACATCCAAAAGCTTGCCGCTAGAGGAGGAAGAAGGAAGGAGGCCAATATGGACCATCAGCCCGTGATTATAACTACTAAGCTAGAGGGTGAAAACTTTGGATGCCGTATGGAAGTCAGCCCAACAATGACTTTTCAGCAATTGGTCGACAGTGTGATGCATAAATTGAAGCCTGTTTTGCTACCGAATCAACATGTGGAATTCAAATATCAGTTGCCAGAAGACGAGAATGTCATAAATATCGACCTAGACTGGCTCTATGTCGCTGATGATGAGGGGGTTAGGATTTTCTTTGCTGACATCCAGGAACGACCAGCCGCATCACGGAAGCTAATAGCATCTATAGCAACGAATCCAGTTACAAAGATATCTCGTATACAGCCTGTCATCACTCCTGTTACCACGAGGAAACGTAAAGAAGAGAGCCGTGATGTTATTGTAATCGAGGATGACGAAGATGACGACTGTAGCAGTGGCGTAAGTAGCACTAACCAGAATGAGGTCGAAAAGATTTCTGAAATACCACGACGAAAGAAACGGGTCCATCGTACAAGCGACGAGGATGATGAGATTGACGAGATAGAAGAGCCCAGGCCAAAGAAGCGGTCGGTTCGTCGAAAGAGTACCGAAAGTGATCAGACGGAATTGCCACGACCAAAGAAACGTCTTAGTCAGGCTAATTCGCCTGTCAGGGAGAAGATTGAACATCTTCTAACAGGTAACGTTTCTGGATATTGAACTCTTGTGCAGAGCCTTACCCAGTGAACTCTTTTGCAGAACTGTGCTCTAAGCTTACTACTAATCTCCGACCAAATCTAGACTCAAAGGTGTTTAATTTATCACGAGATGATGTGCATGAGATAATTTTTGGAGTGGGCTGCTACAAGTGTGGATTGGCCAAAGTACGAAAAGCTTGTTGGGCCTTTCGGATGAGGATTTGTGAGGACTGTTTCGAAAAGCAGTAAGTTTCTTAGAACGTCAAGAAGGTTACCTTGGCCCGTTCTAATGTTGCAATCTCTCCTACTAGTTCAGTGAGCAAGGCAGTTCTGTTGGAAGAACAAAAACTCTCTCCTGAAATTTTGCTTGGATTGCCTTGGACTAGCGGGAGCTTTTGGCCAAAGTATCATAATGCAAGAATCGAACGCTTCTTTTATCTCAGATCTGATATCAAAAATGCTCTACGAGAACGCAAGCTTGCGATACAGGACGGCACTCATCCTCAATGGCTTGCGTGAGTATGGAAACCATGGTTCAGAGGTGGACGAGTCTCGCTGACATTGCACTCTCGTCTATAGCGAACGAACGAAACGAGAAGAATTGGTAGAGGAAGAAGTGACTCGTTTAGCATATACCAATTTCCGAATTTTGCAACAATTGGAATATGCTGGTGAAGATAACAAGAAGGCCAGAAGACTTGGAATTATCAAGCAGGCTATTGTGCGTGGCTGGAACGAGGCCACGCTTCGCAAATGTCCCTCTTATCTCTCTTGTATAGAGAAGACAACTCCATACACTCCACGTGTTTGGAAAATACTTGAAACAAAACTAAATTATGAAGTTGGACGACGGCGCTGAATGGGCTTGCAAAGTAGGCTTTTTATATTCATTGTGTCAATCATAAGGAGGGGAATGTGTAAAAGAAACATTTGTAAGAAGAATGCCGAGAGCCCATCCCAATCAGTGCAATAAATCCTAGTAAAGAGAGTATTTGCAAGATCTGTTCGTCTTGTGTACCCGAGATTCGTTAAGATACTGCTACTTTTATTGAGGTATGTTTACAACTACTTGCTCTATGAAAGATACTGCTACTTTTATTGATGTAAGTTTACAACTACTTGCTCTATGAGATTATGACAAATGCAATTCAACAGCCCTCTTATACTCTCATGATAAATGATGCTCTCTAGTCTAGCAACTTATCAAAGCACATTTCGCGGCACCAATGCTGTAAAGAAGAGCTCATCACTTATAGTTGGACGACCTCCATGCTTCCCAGCAAAGCGAGTCACGAATGTGCTCATTGCTATCCCACTTTTACTGTACCTTGCTCCATTTCATGTACAAGAAACTTGACGAGTGCTATACGATAAGTCAGCTCGTAACGGGACTTCTTGATATAATCCTAGTGATGACTATTTGCAGCATCACTTCGGCTTCCATGTGCGTTTGATTCTTCTCCAGAGTCTATTAGATCTGAGTGTTAGAAAATGCGATTAATTGTGGGACGGCCTACGTAGATCTGGCCATCTAAGAGATCGCAGACTTACCAACAACACTTGACTAATGACTGACCATGAATGAGATCGCTTCCAAGTCCCTCTTTCTCTCCCCTCTTCTTGCTACTAATAGGCGATTGTGGAAATAAGACTTTTCAGCTTGCTTCGAATTACGCGACAGGATACACCATCTGCACTTAGAACTCTCCTGCTTTCAGCATACTCCTGAGCTCTCAGTATCTCGCTCTTTTCACGCGCAGTTTCACTATAATCTTCTCTTGACAACACTTGCACCCAAAAAACCCAAAAAACTACGCAAGCTGCAACCAGACCATAGGACGAGATGCTGACGACGAGGACACTAGTCCCATCTCATGTAGGAGCAGGGCCGGTAGCGCGCAAGCAGGGATATGCCTATAAAAGAGGCTCATCAATTCTTTCTGGATGGAAGCTGAAATTCCTCATTTTGCGAGACAGCTTGACGGCCGATGCTCGTCCCGTCTTGTTGGTCTTTGATCGTCGAGATCCATCGGCTCCAGTCAAGCATGAAGTCGATCTACGAGGTGCTCGTGTTAGTCTGGAAGAATCAGGAAGTGCTGGATGTGGATTCAGCGTCGAAGCAAGAGACAGAAAGGTATTTGAGTTAGGTCGATGAATGGGAAAATGAGATCATTATGAATCTAATATAATACATTCTCTTTCTCTAGTATCTGTTTTATGCTCAAACAAAGTCAGATCGTGACGAATGGGTCAATATTATTTCGGACGCCACTCAACCTGCCTCATCATACACCAAATCACAGCCGATCGCTGATACATACAATTCTCAACCATGGAGAAACTCGGCACCTACATATCAACGACCACCATCACGTATGCAGTCCACGAATAAAGCAGCTCGACCAACATCCTTTCCAGTTCAAAATACGCTACAACAGCAACCACAGCCTCTAACTCACGGCGTTCAACGTAATCAGTCAAGGCCGCCTATACCCACCTTCTCTCGGGCCACTGGTCCACGTGACGATGATGACGCGACAAGCAACTGGAGTGATGAAGGAAGTGTCGTATCTTCTGTCGCTGGCGGACTTGATTGCGGAGATAGTGTGGGTACCGGTATTGAGACTCTGGTAAGACTCCTCAAAAGTCCTGTGTTGATCTTGATCACCGCTTTTTGTCGGTAACTAATGAACCGTCCTCTAGTCATTTTGCAACGAGCCTGTTCTCACGCCTCAAGAATTGGTGTCATTGGGTCGAACGAAAAACGGTGGTGAAGCTGCCAAGCATGGAACGACACGCCGGCGGAAAGGTAGGAGCTATTTCGTTCAGCAACAAAAAAATCCCCCACAAAGGAGTATCATATGCTAACGTCCTTTTTAGCAATCGACATCACATCACCTTCAGCCTCCGCATCTCCAACACCCCACTGGAATGAAAAGTATCAGCGTATGCTAGCTATGCCCATAACGAATGAAGATGCAGCACTACGAAAAGACGTGGCACTCTGCACTCTCATTGGTACTTTTACCGAGATAGCTACAGCATGGGCCAAACGAATTGTGGATAACTATCATATTCAGCACCGTGTTGCATTACGACCAATGACACCTGGTGGTGGTGATTGGGCAAATAATGGAAGTGCTTCAGAAGTCTTTCATCAGCAAACTTCTCCGCCAGTTCAGAATGCTGCTGGACCACCATCATGGCTAGAAGGAGAAATGTTCTTTCATTTTGTCGCTGATTATGAAGGTAAGAGGTGAACCTGCCAAAAAACGTATGTCTCACTCATTATTCCTTGCTTGCAGCCGATGGCGATGACGAAATCTTATTGGCGCACAAGCGAGCATCTCAGGAACTTTTGGGCATTGATGCTATGAATAAGACATGTGACGGACTGTTTGGTACTCCATTGATGTGTCTTATAGATTACAAGGGCTTTAGAATCGTTGCGTTTGCGACAATGCCTTTAGAAGACGCAGTAAGTCATTCTTCAGTTCATCGTTCGTTTTGGTCAGATTCAGAAACATTTTGCCCACGCCGCCTTTATTAGAATGCGAGGGTTCTGGACTTGACAGCTGAAATACCCCGCACAGATGATGGCGTTTTACAACGGCTGTCAAGAGTCGCAGCTCGACTCAACCTCAAACCTCATTTGGCTGTAGTTGGAGGTCGAGAAGTAGTACGAGTACCAACATCCGTGTCTATGGAAGTTCACTATCACCCACAATCCCAGATCTACTATTCGCTCAACATTGCTGACCTCTTCCCACATGATATTGGAAATGGCGCATCCAACGAAAACACCAACAGCAACACCTCACAGATAAAACCCAAACCATTCAACAAGTTCCGTCCTGAATTTGTTGAAAAGTATGTCAATGCATTATCAGCTGATGCTCTGGTACCATATGAAGCACCACAAGAACCAGAACGAATGGGCAATGAATCCGATGCCATAGCAGCCAGCAAGTATTTGCAAGAAGTGTGGATTCCTTCAGCCGTAAAGAAGCTAGACTCGATGCAAGAGAAATCCATCCTGGCTGATTCTAGAGCATGGAAGGAATGGTTGAGTTCTAATGGCATCAATGTGAGATATACTGGGTTGATGGCTAAATTGTCAACTTTGCCATATATTCGACAGCTGTGTGCTGTGGATATGGTTGCCAGAAGCTGCAAAGCCCTCTTTAGACGACGTATGAGAAGAGAGATTTTACGATTCAAGTCTACTGGTGCTACTGTTGTAGATGAGCCCTTCCGAGATGAAGTTGTTGGACTTTTCAACACTGTCCTTGGCTCTAGTATGGCTGCCCGAAAGGTACGTTGTGAGAGCCCAAGAAAAAACCGATAGAAATGGATATGTATTTACATTTGATTCCACTAGTTCTGGGAGGAAACTCTGAAGGGTGTCGTATATGGCAAATTTGGATTCTTCATGGACTGGGAATCATTTGATGGGATACATCGATCGGCTCTATTCCTGGCATTACAGCATCACGTAAGTTCGAATGCAGCAATTTGCATATAATGCAGTTCCTCTTTCAGCATCATTTTGCTAACCAAAACTTCAAACCAATAACAATAGTGTGGAGTGCAATTCACAGAAGGAAATATCTATGACTTTAGTGGCCCCCAACCTTTATCTCGTCAACATTTGATATGTTTTACAGCCAACCTCCATCGTCCTTCTTCCATCAACGCCCCCCCGTCCGATACCACACCAACTGAATCTCAACTAGCATATTCTCTCACAAGGCATCTCAAACTCCTCGGTCCTCAATCTCGACTATGGAGAAACGAAAAGACACGAGATATATTAAATCGTGTCAGTGCCTTTTACGCAGCAATACGTAAAGGAGATCAAGCAAAAACGTATGCAGTATCATCGCTCCAAGTCGGAGATCAATACGCGTCAGCATCCGCTTCCTTATCCTTGACTCGACTCATGGAGTCATCGTGTCTCATATCGAATGCCATAGTACCAGAAACTCTACAACACTACAAGGCCTGTATCGCCGCCATTCAGTATCACTGGGGCGAATTACATCCTATTGAAATGCAAGCTCATGAATGTATGAGTAACTGCTTTACACGCTTTGGACAAGAAGACAAAGCCTTGGAATGTATTGAGCGTGCATGGCACATTGCTTTACGAGCTTGTGGCAAACTTCATAATGTCACTGCTGGATACCTATGTACTATGGGTCACTTGCAACACGTATTGGGACGAACATCAGATTCCATACGGTTCTTGACTGAATCACTCACCATTTACTCATCACTGGGTCCGGAATATGGATTACTGACTGGTCGTGTCCATTTCCTATTGGCTCAATCTCTACAACAAAAGGGTGACTTGTCAAATGCTACCAAACATGCAAAAGCATCAAAGCTTCTTCGAGAAAAGTATGCTGGATCATCACATGCTGATACCGTAGAATCGTATCGTCTCTTGGCTACACTGGTCATGGCTCCATACGAAGACTATACTGGTGTAGTAACAGGAACCGTCGCAACAGCGATCCGAGAAGCAATTGGATTGTACGAAAAAGTATTTAGATATCTACGAAACCAACGTGGTGGTAGTATGGGTATCACTATGAGTGGCAGAGCATCTGTCATGGGAATGTCTACCAGTTCTGTTATATCACGATCACCCAGTGTCAGTGGACACTATCAAATCCCTGTACCCACTACGACAAACTCGACAGTATCGTCTTCCACAAGCTCGACCATGGAACTCAAGGATTTGACTCGTCGTATCGTCTCGCTCCGTCTCGTTCTCATAGATTCGCCAAGAGCTAAAGAGGTGCTGCGAGGTATACGTGAAAACTTGGCTACTCAGGGACATGAAGAATCTGCTATACGTGAAGTCGTGGTTCGATTGCTGGCTAGTGGTAGTCCCAGCGTATACACTGAGAGTGTTGTGAGACGGGTTGAGGAGGGGGAAGGTGAAGAGGCTATAGATGAATTGAGCATCATTGTGCAACTCACTGAGGGTGAATCGGTTGGAGTAATGTCGTGAAGGAAATAGGTAGATAGATATATATGGATGCATAATTAAAATATAATCTCTAGAAGGATGATAATTCGTAAAACGATCTCAACAACTATATACATATTCTCTCAAGAACTGCTCATCCGTCTTCGCGTTGTTTGAACGAAGCTGAGGCGGTCTAACAATAGCTTTATTTGTATGTGCAGCTCTGTGGAAAATGCAAATCACATGCGATCCTCGCTATACATATACTCTGTACTCTATCTAGTTTCACTCACGGATCAGTAGTAATCATCATAATCATCAAACACCGGCGCCTGGAAGTAGCGTGCATGCTCGCCATCGTAGTCCTCTCCATCATCAGTGAATGATGATGATGATGACGATGGAGGGCTCGAAGGCGGTGGAATCCACGTGGGCCATACGAGGGATGGGAAGAGAATTTCAGCGTCAGATAGTGGTGTAGCTGTGGCTGGGACTTGACTATTGCTACTACTACTAGCAAGCATCATACCAGATGATCCTGCAGCATTGACACCGAATTGGAATGGTTGAGCGTTTGCATTGATTCCCGATGGATTGTTGACACCGAATGCAAACGATGAAGGGAAGGCACCAAATCCAAACTGAGAGACATCTACACTACTACTATTACTACTAGTACTACTATTTGTGACACCCAATCCCGTCTTCAAGTTCCCATAATTCACATACTTTCTAGCTATATCTTTCGGATCTCGTGCCTTGATGGTAGCGGCCAGCCGTTCAAAGTTATCCAATAACAATGGTCTGAGACTTCCGGTCACGAGCGCATCGCCATTCAAGAAGGTGTTTGCTAAACCTTGACGTGCTGAATTTATAGTCGTAAAGTCATCCTTAATCATATAGTGACCATGTAAATGTGCTTCGGGCAGTGTGGCTCTAGTTGTTTCATTGAGATCCATTCCAAATTCATGTGATATGCCAACGATCTTCTCGCCGTCGTCGGTTGTTTGGAATGCAATATATTCTGGTTGGGATGACAAAGCAACCAGACGGAGATGCCATGGCAGGTCAGATACAAAGACCTGATTAATGAAAGAAAATTGTTGGTTAGTTTCGCATTCTCTCTGATAACTTTTTTATCACAGACTTACTGTAGAGCCAGTCAGAGCGATAATATTTCCTGTTTTCCCAACACCCATAGTAGATCGAGCAGCACAGTATACACTAACTACAAGACAACCAGGGAATTGAGTTCTCTTATAACTTGAATTGGTTTTTTCTCTACCACACCGTACCTGGTTGCTTGCCTTGAGTCAGATACGGAGTAGTAATCGAGTTCACAACAGAATACGAATACGGGTATATAGTAAGAGGAGGCTGCCCCCTTATTTGTTCTTGTGGTGGGCCCAAAAATCTCTTTGCCTGCCATCGAATCATATTTGGCACTCGAATAGCAGCGATATCCAATCCAGTGGAGACTCGTCCTTGTACCCAGTTTCCTTGTGCATCGTAATCATACTTGATGGGTGCACTATCTTCTACTATTGCGATCTTGAAGCTGGCTGGGTATCCTATTTGATTAAAAAAATGGGGGTGAAAACGACATTTCTAGTAGTAAACCCAAACTTTAAAATACCTGTACACATGTACGAAGCAAATCGAAGGCCAATAGGCGACGAGTATTTCAAATCGACGGTACTGATGGGCTGACGATTGGTTCTATTATGGAATGGGTCCTTTATGGTAGATGTATCAGTAGCGTTTATATTAGTGATGAGAGACATATTGTCGTTGGGGTCTCGTGGTGAGTCAAAAAATTCCAAAATGACTAGAGCCGGTTTACCACCCTGTCGAAACCCTCCAGGCTTGCCTGGTACGTATGCAGCTCTAGACACCCCCAACCATTCCAAAGATGCACGTATCTGTTCTGCCTCTTGATATTTACTATTCTGTCTGAGTCTCTGACCCAACAATCTAAGTGCAGGATCAGATGCATTTTTGAGTTCCAAAACACAGCACTTTAGTGGTTCAAAACGTTCATAACGTCCCATTAATCCATCGACGAGGTCTGGGTATACGGTTGGTGGCAGTTTTGCTCTTGCTGCTTTAGGATCTTCTACATATTGACGGAAGTAAATAAGACGAGGATCGTGGCCAAGACCAACAGGAGCTGGTTCAATCAATTCTCTGGCCAGACGAGATGCTTCTAGACGGTCTTCAATTTTCTTTTTACGACGATTGGCGGCTCGGTCTTGACGTTTATCGGTAGAGCTGCTTGCTACAGCAGCATGTTCAGGCTGTTGAGTATCAGCAGTTTCAGTAGCACTTTCAGCCATGTAGGCAGCAGCAGCTTCAGCTTCTAGAGTTGCTGCTTCAAGTGCCTTCCTTTCGATAATCCTATTAGCGTCGTCCACAGCAGTAGAGTAGTTGCCACTAAATCCCATACATATTTGTGGACTGCATGCAGTCACAAGAATGACACGCAAGCATTCTACTGGAGTGGCAAAGAATTTATAAGGACTCGTGGCAGTGAAGTTTTTCGGCAGCAAGAAAACTTTCTTTTGCTCAGGTACAACTATACTGCTGAGCTCACGGAGTCCGTTTATAATTCCACGACCAGATTGGACCAAGAACACGTTGTTGGCTTTACTCTTGATTTGACCATCAATAATCGATATCATACTCTCAGCTAGCCTTTGGACACAGAGCCTAAACACACGAAACCTCTTTGCATTGACGCATAGTGAATGCATCAAGGCTTGTCGAGCTTCGTGATCAGCTTCACCAGCCCATAGTTTCAAGGCATTTAATACACCTATCGGCTCACTCATCGATCCAGCATCTGTGTACATTCGTGCACCTTAAAGCAGGTAAGACAAATTGTGAGGTTAGAGTTTCTACCAAGACGACTCTCATAATGTCTTACCAAAAGTGGAAGCAAGTTGGGACGCGAACTTGGCTTGATCATGCTCTACGAGACTACTCGGCATGGAGAATATATCGGGGGAATTCAATGCAGCAGCGAGAATTACACCTAGAACATGATTACGTTTAGTAATCATCGTAAAAAGTTACAGCTCATCAATGATCCGCCAAACCTTCAAAATGAGCACCCATGGCAGCTGCAAGTAAAAGGACACGAGATTCGATTATAGTTATTGGTAGTCGAGAAGCCATTCGACCAAGGAACGTTACCAGCCCCTCTTTTTGAGCGTCGGTAAGATCTGCGGTGATAATAGTGGGTGGTGGCAACATTGCTCCAACTTCACGTAGTCGTATAAGAGCACCATCAACGGCAGCGATATCTGGTGGTTCAATCATCGTATTCAAGACGTCGCGAGCCGAGCTTCTTGCAAAGAGCTCTCGGACTCGAAGGATTGTAGTTTCGAGCGAGCATTGAGAGATTTCGGGGAGATCGTGCTTCAGCATGATTTTATCATGGAACTGCCTGGTATAAAAGGCCATGATTTTGCCTTCAGAGCAGCGACCAGCTATTTCATGATAAGTGTCAAATCAGATTTGACAAGCCACGCAAACCCCGACCAATCAGAATTACCTCGTCCTCGCCTCTGGATTCGAGAAGCTTTTGATATGAAATTCAGTGTCAACTGTTGAGACCCTCGAGTAGTGTTGAACTCCATTTCCCTCCGTAATCCATAATCAAGGACAATCTTGACATCAGGAATAGTCACTGACGATTCAGCAATATCGGTGGCTAATATAATCCTACAAGTACCTGGCGGGCCTACAAGGAATGCTTTGTCGACTTCTTCCTTGGGCGTTGTTGAGTGCAATATATGGACGCTGATACGTTCAGCAGCGCTAGCTTGGCAAGCAGGAGTTTGTACACCAATTATATCACGATAAAATTCCCACCACGTGAGTTGTTCGTGTTCACCAGGTAAGAAGACCTAACCAAAAACAAATTAGTTCAACACAAACCTCCAGAATGAAATGTGTACACTTGAACGTACAAGTATACATGTTGAATCAGCAGGGTCGCGGAACTGTCTGGTGCTTGGAATGAATTCTGGGAGGTTATCGCTCATAACACCAAGATTGAAGGCTGATGCATCTGGCATATTGTCGATATCGACTTGTTCATCTCCAGATTCTGATGACTGAGAGGAGTTTTGGCCACCTTTACTACCATTATGAAGACTATTTGAGGTACCTGTCACATTATCATCATTATTCAAGACTTCTAGTTCTTCAGGATTGGCCTTCCAGGCACGAGTCCCTTCCAGCTTACAATAATACAGTGCCAAATATATACCGAATTCATAAAACGAGTCATCAATACTTGGCGAAACATCCCTAATCTTGCGTGTTTTTGGGTCACGCCAACCTTTGTTGTATGTGGTTATCCACGAGCTCATTGTACGTTCCAGGTCCTCCAAGCCATTCATGCTATTCCAGAAGTCTCCAAACCTCTTTGGCGCAGCATCTTCTGTTGATTCTTTGGGTTCATATCCGAACAGATTCGGGCGTTTAGGGACATCTACCATGTCGTCGAGATAGTAATCTTCGACTTCAAATCGATTCCCGCCGACGTGTATATGTGGCAAGAGGGGTACGTTGCGTAACGTGAAAAAGTTGTTGTATAACTCCACGTCAAGCGTAGCGCTCATGACTACCAGTCGTATGTGATGATTTGAGCCTTTGGCTAGAATGTGTCGCTTGATTATGAGGGAAAGCAAGTCCATGTCGATTGTACGTTCGTGTGATTCGTCGAGTATCAAATGAGAGATAGAGTCCATGGCATTCTCGTTGCGAGATAACCATTCAACCAGATACCCGGTCGTCGCGTAAACTAATAGAAAACCGATAAGGTGTGAGCTGTCAAGGAAGCTTTCGACACCTAAATGCCATGCAATTGAAATCTGATGCACCTGCAATACCACATACCGACAGCGCAGCCATCATCCTTCTTATCATTCATAACTCTATACCCAGCAAAGTTTGGCTGGCCATGTTTAGAGCCCCAATCTTCGTTGACTCGTTGCGCTAAGCGGATTGCAGCAACACGACGCGGTTGAGATACCAACACACGTGGCTCCTGTCCACGACGCCTAGCATCTTCAGCAAGGGCTCGAGGAACCACAGTAGATTTCCCAGATCCTGGGGTAAGTGAAGCTGTCAAAGTCCAGCACACACACACCCAGCCACCAATCGACATTGCATACCAGTTTCTCCAACGAGGATAGTCACTTGATTGTTGCGTACACGCTCTACGATATCCGAGATGTGTTGGTCGATGGGAAGATCCGAGCTTTGTCCAAAGCTGTTGATGTTGGACATGATGTTCTTGATGATGCTCGGTGATTGACTAGTAGAGAGACATGGTATTTGATGAGTGCTTCGTAGGAAGTCGACGCGATTGCCAGTAATTCTCAGGATCGTTGACTAAAACCCAACTTTTCATTTAACGTTCAAGCATCACTGATTAAAACAGAGCAGACCAGATCTGAAAAGACGACAGGACTTACAGATGATGTGTCTATGATCTGGCTGGCGTCATGATCACCATCGATACTTTTGCTTATCAACTTCGTGAAATTCAAAATTGACACCTCAAAAGTTGACGTTTTACGTTGATCAGCCAACCACCAACATTGACAAGCAAGCACAATTAGTTGCAACTTCTACGTACATCGTCGCGCGTTAAAATGACTTGACGCTAGATCTGTTCAACAAGTCTGTTCAGTCAAAATAGGAAGCTAGGAAGCTTAGCAAGCAAGTGATTTCTGATTTGAACCTTCGATACTATCCACGGCAGCCCCACAATGAGCTTTGTTTAAGATGCCAAGTATTCTATCTACGCAGAAACTATGTTAGGGCCTCCTTAATCTTAACTTGCATTGTTGATCGAGATCTTTGACCATTCTCTTGCCTCAATCGATTTTCAGCGTGGTAAAGGCGCTTGAGCAACCTGCTTTGATTCATATGAGAATACAGAGATTCATTTAAAGACATCAATTTTTTTCTCAATCACCGACCGCATAGCAAACATTCGACAAAATGGGACACGGACTGTTTATTCAAACAGAAATATTTCTAGCACAGACTACAAAAACACTTTCATTTAGAATTGATTCCAAACCAAATATTATCTAATTATTCCAACTGGTCATTCCTTTAGGCGTGTTCAATATGTTCAATGTCTTTCGAGTTCATCAAGATGTTCACTATCTTTCGAATACTCGGAATCCGCAAGCGAAACCACCTCATCAGCATACATAGTATCAGAGAGGTATGGATCCTTCATTATGAAAGTGGCTAGCCAAGCGATGAGAGACATGAAGGCTAGAATGTACCATACGTCCTTGAATCCAACAAGAAAGGCTTCAACGACCAGTGCTTGTACTTCTGGGGAAAGTTTTGCAATTGCAAAAAGGTTGAAGACCTTTCCAATCACCAGGTCGTTTGATTCCTACGTTGTTTTGCCAATTAGCACTTGAAGAAACCTGAGCAATCCCGATTGCCGATATGAATACCTCAAATATAGACGGCGACAGGTACTTCAACTGTGAAATCCATGCAGAATTAAGGACGGCACCACAACTTGAAAGCCCTACGATTCCACCAAAGTTCCTAAATCTTGTTGTGAGAACAATAATTGATATGCCAAATTATTGCAAGATTACAATACCTGAAGAAAAGTAAAGTAGCCGTTGCGGCACCAACGTTGCTTGTGGTTGCTTGGGCAATAAGATTTGGAAGAACGAGGGATCCACCTAATCCAAACCCCACCATCTACCAAATTGTTTCAGTCAATTAAAGTTCTACCAGCTATACGTCAATGAACCAAGAGTTTGTCCCAGAAAGGGGTTTGCATCGATGCGAATCAAGACTGACGAACTCACCAACATCCATCCGACTTGCGAGCCTACAGAGGAATCGAGAGTCCATTGACTAATCATGTATGCACCGACTACACACAATGGGAGCTGAAGCCTAATGAAAACTGAAGCTGGAGCCACAGGTATAAAAGGGAAACGTCTGATTTTAGTCTCTGGCCTCCTTACCTCAGAATCGTTGTGGTTTTTCCAGTCGGTTTTGGCAAGGCGCCAGACACGACTAAAGAGATCATAAAGGATAAAACTACAGCCAAAAGATAGAGGCCGGATGTTGTAGCACTGGCACCCTACATGAAATGTCAGACAACGTCTCATCGGGTTGAATAGATACGAATGAAAAGATTTGAAGGAAGCGTACCCTCCCGATTTGTTGGTACAATGGCACTATGAAGATATAGTGAGACCAGGCCGAGAAACTATTTTAGAGTATTCACTTACAGTAATATTCAGCACCAAAGAATACGAATCCAAAGCCAAATGTTAATATGCAATTCCCCTAGAATCGGGAAATCGTTAGGTCTGGGATAATAAATTGGAATGTGAGAATATCTCACGGCGAAAGTTCTGTCAGCAAAGTAGGAGAGCTTGGCAATCGGTTCAGGTCTAATTCAAAATGAGTCAGTCTTGGTGGGTGATCTGAAGCCAATGCCTCTGAAGGCTTACGCAAAGTATTCCGCGACCAGAAAGCAAATGAATAAGAATCCAGCCGCAGCAAATAGTGCAATAACCTCCGGATCGTCCCACGCTTTATCTTGACTTCCAGACGAGAGAGCAACGAGCAAACACAGCGTGAATCCCGTTAGGAACAGTGACCCAAACCAGTCAATACGTGAGAGACGACTGGTTCTGTGGGACTTCTGCTGTTTGGGAACATATTTCCCTAAAACCAGCATGGGAGGGATGAATATTGGAAGCTGCGAAAGAGATGATGGATGGATATAGTAAGTGACCAAGCGTATACTCATCGTTTAAATCCTACCGCAATGTAAAATATCCAACGCCAGCTCAACTTGTCAGTAAACAATCCTAACAGTGACAAAACCGTTCGGTCAGAGGTTCGCTTCTTTTCACACAGAAGGATTTGACCAAGCAAATGGGTGTACCTCCCACCAGAGGGCCGAGACAAGTAGATATTACGACAGGAAAGGTGGCGTATGGCATATATAGTCCGATCAGCTTTGGTGCAATCAAATCTCCCATAATCATAATCGTGATGGCATTGATTCCTCCTGAGCCAAGTCCTATTAAAAACAAGCTAGTCAGCAAGTCGTCTCAGCAGCGAAAGCTCTTAACCAATGCGACTACCTACCCTGAATCCCTCTAGCTGCTATCAACCACTCCATCTAAGCATAGTAATTTGAGACAATTGGAAATCATTGCCAACTTCTTAAAATCTTCAGAGGTTACCAGCACCTACCGTCTGTGCACTGCCACACAGTACAGATCCGCTATAATTGAATTTCGTCTTAGCGTGTTTCACTCGACGACTTGACGGTCATACAGCACGTACACAATAAAGAGGGACGTTGAAAGCAGCAGGACTGGACGTCTTCCAAAGATGTCACTAGCTTTGCCCAAAACAGAAGACGACACAGTGAGAGCCAACGTATAAGAATTTGCAATCCAACTGGTATGAAGGTAAGGCAATGTTAGTAAACTTTCTTTTAATGTGCAGCAGTACTGTGGAGTACGGCAGCGAGTCACAGCTTACGGTAGCTGTCCAACATTTGACAACTCGGAAGATATTACTGGCAGAGAAGTGAACACAATAGTTTGGTCCAGCCCTACAGTCGTAGCAACGAGGAATTCAAATTACAAGCTCAAAAGCAATCAAAAAATCATAATCGATATTGAAAAATACCGTCAATAAAAGTCATGATTCCCAAGGCCATCACAATCCATATGATTTGATTTTTGGGCAATAAAAGTCCAGTGTCAACCTCAACGGTGTCCTTGACAACCTGAGTATCGTCTTTAACGTCAATGAATCTTTCATTATCTTCCATTTTGTGGTATTATTATAGTTCTTTGAGTTGGAAGTTCCTCTGCGACTTTGGTCCCAAAAAACAGAAGCATAATTGTAAAAGCAGGCCCATATATGATACCACTGAGGCTCACAGTCACGTTTTCTTCGGCAGATTTTGATAGCTCCTTATGCTTTGCCCGGTTGCGAGGCTCTCTCCAAAGCCATCCGCCCGCTATCTTGTCAAATTTTCGTGGATGGCCTAGAACATGAATATTGTGAGTTGTGAAATGTTGAGAAATCAAAACACTTCCGAGCAGCGAGCGTCGTTGACTCCTTATGAGACTACGGAGCTCTGTCCTCAGAACAGGAGTATCTTTCAGTTTAGATGGCCATCCAAGCAGTTCAACAACATCCACTCGGAAACACGAAAGAGTTTTCGTTTTGTAGCGTAGTCTGTCTGACAGGGGTATGGGGTATCTTTCAAATAAGAAAATATGAGTATACGTGAATATCTGCAACCTCACCAATTGCCACGTTTCAGACGACCGCTCGCTTTAACAATCAAAGTGCTGAAAGTTTTGTCGCTGTACAGACGCAAAACAAACTTTCATCATGAAGATACCCTTAAGACGAGTGATGGTATCATAAAAGTAATTTCAATACGTACATATATGCATTCAGGTTAGTCTCATTCCTTCTATGAGTTGCCTAGCTACCATTATTTATCCATCAAACTGAGCTCGTCATCCTCGTCCGCTGTCGCTACTCCAGATTCACTTCTATCAGACGGCTTCTCACTTCTCAAAAGAACTGTTCTCAAATCGTGACAACCTCCCTTTTCTGGATCACCATCTTCAAACTCATCATTTCCTAAATCCAGCTCGTCATCCTTGTTGACGCTGGCCGACAGCACCGGGTCTTTCATCATCAACAAGGTGGGTAGCCATGCAATCAAAATCATCGAGGTGCTAATATACATGATGTCTTGGAATCCAAGTAGGAATGATTCAATGACTAGTGCTTGAATGTTTGGAGGAAGACCGGATATGGCAAACAAGTTAAACACTTTGCCTACAACAAGAGAGTCGCCCGATTGCTAGAAATGGAGATATTCGTTAGACTACTTGCACGCGTCGACATATGGCTGTTTATAGAATAATACCTCAAATATAGATGGTGAGAGGTACTTCAGTTGCGTCAGCCACACCGTGTTAAGAACCGCGCCCATTGTTGAAAGTCCAACAATCCCACCAAAGTTCCTACATTGTCAGAGACGATTTAGTGACGAATATTCGAGAGTCGGCGGCCCAAGTGGTGACTTTGTGGTACCTGAAGAAAAGAATGGTAGCAGTGGCACCGGCTACGTTCGCTACTGAGGTTTGAGCGATAATGTTTGGAACGGTAAGGCACGGCCCCAATCCAACTCCTATCAGCTAAAGAGAGGTATGAGACAACAAAATGCAAAACAATGTCGC